TTTCATGAGTATGGCATTGTTGCTACATGCAGGCAAGGCAATCTATATCCTGGGTGTGGGTCCTTTCTTGTGCCTAACACCTAGTTCCATGTAACCTTAAAATAGTGTTGGCACCCTAGGCTCTGGAAATGTTGTTTACCTAGGAAACAAGAAGGGAACTAACGTAGACTGTGCAGAAATGATAGGGTGGAATTCAGCGTTTATAAGGCTGTCATACGTCCGGATTTTCCCAGACATTACAGGGATTTCAAAGGTAGAATTGATGTCCGGGAGAGAATTTCCAAAAGGTGGTGCATCGTCTTGGATTCCTGGATCTTAACAACTTTGTTAAGCTCAACAACTGGAGCTCAACAGCTTTTAGGGTGTCCTGGTTTTTACTCTTTGAAATATGGCAACCCTAGTGTTGCACTATGATGCATGTTGTTTCAGCTTGCTAAATGAAATAGTCCCCTCTCTCCTCCCTCTTGTGCACTGCTCTGTGGGTTCGTCCAAGCCCCCAAACCCAAGCCAGATTCACCTGAACATATTCCTCATGTAAAGTTCAGGACATTATTAATGTTGTAAACTTTTTTTAATTTCCTAATAAATTAGCATTTTCTGATACCACTGCTCTTGATTTGATTAACGTTTCTAGAAATACTGTGTCAAGTCAAATAAAGGTTATAATATATCAGCTTCCCATTCTAGAAAGTCACCTCCTGGTATTAAAGAATTTTGAATGCAATTCATATGCTATGCGACACCAAATAAATCCACAGATGTTCAGATGGATATGGGTTTATTTGGTATTTATTAAAATTTGATTTATTAAGATACTAAATATAGACAGTTTTCTAAACAGCAAGAGGTTGAACGAGGGTCCCCCAAAAACATTGACCATGACTTTAATTATGATAGGAGCTGCACCGTACACATGTATTTGTTTTTGATAGCTTTCTGCCCTCCTGACCCAATCACAATAGATAGTATAAGGGGAACATATGAGGAAAACATTGGTTGAACTTTCCCACTCCCTATTTCTAGGCTTTATTTTAAAAGGGGGGGTTATATCAAATAAATACTTAGAGCTGGTTCTTGGTTTCTTTCTTATACTCCCTTGAGTGCATGCATGTTAGCCATTTCTCCTTAATGAAATGTCATGCCCCTGAAGAATGTGTGTGAATAATCCACAAATATGCATGTGATCCATAGGTCTTTCATTCCCTAGTCCCAACTGGCATCCTGCGGGGAGGAAAGAGTGTTGGCGTGTCTAAGCTTATGGGACTGGCTGCCTGGTAACCGTTCTTTAAGCACAGAAAACAAAAGCCCCATTTTGTTTTCGATTCTGTTAAACAATTGGGAATGAGAAGCCAATCACACAAATCACCCAAAGATCTATTAGTAGATTCCACTGCCCATCCCCTAGTATCGGGGTTCCCAACTTTGGGTCACGGAGCACCAGTGATTTGCAGGTTTTCTTCATGTGATCTGTAGCATGTTTGTAAAAATACAATTAAAAATCCTACAGCGCCTAGCACAGCACATTACAGCTGCTACAAGAGAAAGAATTTTTTTTTAAGCAGTCTGCCAAGACCCTGAACAATTTTCACGTGGGTAAAAGAGTTTAGGAACCATTTCAGTTTCCCAGGCAAAAATCCCCCGTCAGGGAGACAAAAGCAGTTTGTATCCAGGACCAGAGGCTAGGCAGATCCAGAAAGCCTTTAATCTAAAGGGCATCTTACACAAGCAAAGCACCTGTATGAAAGGCAGAAATAAAGCAGAAAATCCATATCTATGTTTGCTGATTCATTACAGCATTTGACACTCAGAACACATGCATTGATTATCTTTCGTGCAATGCAATCTTTTTAAAAATGATGCTTTATGATTCCCTTCAATACCAGTGGATTGTAGAATTATTTCTGGGAAGTCTACTCAAAGATGACAACTTACTTTAAAAAAAACAACCAACGCCCTTTCATATGCAGCCGCTCGAAGTGTCATTTTGACTTGCCAAGTACAAAAAGCAGGAAAGGACAATTACATTTTAACATTAAGATGCCAGATACAGAGCCTAGAAATAATAGATTACAGTATAATCAGAGCTGACTTTACCAGCTCCAAGAGAATTACACCGGCCATGGATACCATTTGGATCGGAAGGGAAATTGTAGCATAAGCTGCTACTGCCCTCTTGAGGTTTCCCAAAACCTGCTCAGAAAGAGTCGCATGCTAAATGCAGTTCCACAATTCCTTTCAGAGACTGTTTTGTGTTGCTTTAATAGAATACAGTCACCAATACTGCCATTTGAAGGGGAAGTGCAACACAGGAAGAGAGAGTTCCTAATCTGTTCCCCCAAGCCTGTCATACTGTTTTTACTTCCACTAGAAAGAGATTGGTGCCTGTATCTTTTTCCCCAGGGTTGTATGGGGTGTTAGGAGAGAGGTAGCACCTCTAGTAGGGGACATGTCATGCTCCTTCAGGGGTAGTTTGCCCACCTTTTGTCCCCCCTACAAGCAGCTCCCCCTTGTGGCTCCTAGAAGCTGTCAGCATGTGACTGTGGCCACATCCCAGGAATGGCTTTGGCTAGCCGGCTAAGCCAGATAAGGGTAGCTGATAGGTCTCAAACTCTCATTGACCTAGGGACTTTCCCTGGATGCAAAGACAGGTTCCAGTGGGTTGAGCAGATGAGCCAATAGTAGGTCCAATGGCCAAGAAGGCGGTTTCTGCATGTGCTGTAGAGAGGTGAACGGGAGATGGGGGCTTGTCAACCTGGGAAGGTAGCCCATCTAGGAGAAGGAAAACTCTGGTCCTAAACCTCCGCTTCCTTGTGGGATTTTTTCAGGAGAAGAAAAAGCTAAGGAGTAAACCCTACACAAATCTGGAGTGGAGTCCCTAAGATGGTTGGATGGTATGTTGTACATCTCGTCCTGGCAGCTCCTGCAGCCAAGGAAGTGTCAAAAGTATTGCTCTGCTTTCCTTTGGACGCACCACTGAGGCCGAGAGGGGAGTATTGTTGTCTGGTTAGCCAAAGACCTCCATACAGTGCCCAGGCTTGAGCCCTGGGAAGGTCATTTGGGTGCTGCTAATGCAGCAGTTTGACTTCACGCCCCACTCCAGAGGTGCACTCCATTGTCTCTTGAGACAGACGGATGCCAACAAATTTTCCCCAGTTGGTTTTATCTTCCCCAGTGAAGAGAAAAGCAGCTGCCAGGTGATGGGTGAGGGACAAAGGAACCTGATGGAGCTGCTGGACTTTCAGTAAAGCCAATGCAGTGTCTCTGCTTCCCATCTCTCTCTTTCTCCTGCAACCTCCCTTCAAATGAGTTTAGAATTCATCCAGCCCTAAACCTGTGTCACTATGCCTTCCAGTCACACTGGACCAAAAGAGATAGTAAAATTATTTCCCATGTATTAGGTATTTCACTTTAGGACAGGACACTGGTGTCGGGCAGTAAGACCAAACTGGGTGAATAGAATACACAAAGGAACTGATTGGCCAACAGGAAGCAAAGTTCACATTCCCTCCTGGCTAGTATCACAGCTACCTAGAATATCTTTAAGTGTTACATCCATAACAGCGATAGAGCTAAGGGACTAGATCACATGAGGGTGAGTTAAAATGGACAATGTTTAGTTTTAGGCAGGGAATCTGTGGCTCAAAGGCACTTCAAGTTAGGCAAATCCTTTGAGAAAAAGGCCAATGTGTTGGTGACAAGAATAGACATACTGTTCCCAGAGTCAATGATGCTAGGTAACTTTCTTTTTCTTGCACTTTAGTGCTGAGACCCATCTCAAGGGCTAAATGAAAACATTTGGGAGTATGTAGTTTGAGCTCAATTGAGGTCCTTTTGCTCAAACTTACACTAGTCAGCAACAGCCTGCCAAGTGTGTTTGTGAGTTCTGCTAGGGGGAAACGGTATAAGATTGTTTACATATAAGAATACGGTTTTTATTTATTAAATGATTATGATCAAATTCAGCTATTGCATATAGACATAGGCTTACAAATGCAACCATCTGTTCTATACATAAAAACTTTATTATTAAAAAGCAAATATATTTGTTCTCAAGGAAACAAAGCTAAAACTGAGTATTACCAGATTTATTACAATTATGGTGTGTACTGTGTAATACTGCTTCAACAAGAATCATAACCTGCATAATTTATAACAAAACAGAAGCAGAACAAAAAAACAAGCACCACACAATGTCATAACATTATATGGCTATAATAAAATAAGCATACTTTACTTATGGAAATAGGCAGCAATATGCTTTTGTTTATGGTACTATACTATGTGTTTTTCCCTGTGTAGACACTGTAGACAGGTGCAGGACATCAATTTTTCTCCTCCGTTTTGAAAACACCCAGATTTGATAGTGTTTTAATTAAGTGTAGTAATTACAGGCTTTGCCAGAGATTATCCAAATGATTGTCAAATTGTAAACTTTGGATATAGAAAAGATTTCCTAACAAAAAACCAAACAAAAATGAACACTTACTAAACCATCAACATACAATTGATTGCAGAAAATAAATATTTTTCGATTTCAAGAAATTGGATTTATAGCATTTTATAGTTAGTTTCTTTGTTCTTTTCTAGCCAAGAAGAATAAACATGAATATGCCAGAAGGCAAATCATGAAAGCCCATTGCTGACAATAGACTTTTTCTTACAACATTTAGTGTTTCTGCAGTGCAAGCCATAATAGTAATTTCGACTGTTCAAATATAAAAGATAGTACAAAGTTATAATCAATGGACTAAGACAAATTACAGTATCATGGAAACCAAAAAAGCTCCCCCCCCCCCCCGAATTATATCCCAGTTTGGTTTACTTTTCCAAACTGTAGTTTGTACTTAGGCCTTTGATATGCTCTTTTTCTGAAAACTACACTATTTTAAGATGTAGTTAGGCAGCTTGCAACCCATCAGAGCATTTGTTTTACAAGTACATCAAATGGAAAATAAACTGAAGTGTTGATTCAGCTAATCAACATCTGTTGCACTCCACACTTAGGCAGCACTTGATACAGCAAGTTTCTTCAAATGATCCATGAAAACCTGCAAACTGACATCGTCTGTGAGAATGGGTGCTCCAGATTCCTATAAGAAAAGGGAAAGTGTTAGAAAATATGTCAAATTCATTAAGCAAAGCCAAAATATTCCATGAGAACATGTACTATGAAAATCAGTAAGTCTAATCACTGTAATTAAGTAACCAATATACCTCCACATTTCCCTTTACTAGACAATTAACAGCTGTTCCAATAGGGGCAACTGGCAGTCGAAAGGAGGAAAAATGGGCGATCAATGGCTTCTCCTAACTGGCAACTGTCCCCTCAGCAAATATAGAGAAGACAGGCAGCAGAAAGGAACAAAGAAATAAGAAAGAACGCAGAGAAGGTTCAAGGCACAAGAGGAGCAGAAAAAGCAAGAAGAGAAAGACAGGATTTTATTTATTTTTTACGAAGTAGGGAAAAGTTGACAAGAGAAGCAAAGCGCAGTAAACATGCACACAGAGGAACCACAGGAAAGAAAGGGAAAAAACAGTTAACTGACAGGAACAGAGAAAGTCAGGAGGAATGAGCTGCTTCACCAAGGCAGGAGAGAAAAAACAGGGGATTCACTCCAGTTCTGCTCTCCTGCCTTCCTCATAGCTTGTAATCATTACCCAACCCAGTTAATCCTTCCTTATCCCACTGAAAAACAACTTCTGAACCTGGTGTTATTAGTTTAGCTGGAATGTAGGAATCTGCCACATAGCAACTCAGATACAGTCGTACCTTGGTTGTCGAATGCCTTGGAACTCCTATGTTTTGGCTCCCAATCAACTGAAAACCAGAAGTGAGTGCTCCATTTTTCGAACGATTTTCAGAAGCTGAACATCCAGTGAGGCTTCCGCGGCTTCTGATTGGCTGCAGGATGCTCCTGCAGCCAATCAGAAGCCACGCCTTGGTTTTCGAATGGTTTGGGGAGTCAAATGGACTCCCAGAATGCATTTTGTTCAAAAACCAAGGTACGACTGTAATTGGCCCAGCTTCCTCAATATTGTCTGCACTGTATAGTCTACATTGTCTACGATGAGTAATAGTGATTCTCCAGGGTTTCAGAAGTATTTTCCTGCGACCTTTTGCATATTAAGCATGTGAACTACAGCCATAGTCCTAGACCCTCCATGAATCTGCTAACCTTTCTTTAGGATCCAATGGTAATGAATTTCATACAATATAAGCTTTTATGCTGTCTCCGCTATTCGGTTTCATCAACAAAACTGGCTTTAGTACATTTTCTACTGAGAACAATCTTCACCTCTACTTATTTTTTTTAAGGCCTTTGAATATTTTGTATCATATCAGAACTCCCAGAAGGAGAGAAACACATTGTTTCTAGGCTGCAAGAAATGCTTGTTTTTAAGGGCAACAAAAAAGCAACATAGCATTTCCTTAATCGGAATGGCAGCTTCTAAAAATACTGTATTGTTTATGACATTCAAGTTTTAATATTGGTAATCGCTCCTTATTTGATTAACTATCAAATTGTTTTATGAGAGTTAAAGCAGGAAACATTATTTCTATTATCTTAGCCTTTTGGTTAATCCACCTGAAACTTACCTGACCCCAGGCGTACATATTATTGTGGGTCTGAGAGGGATTCACTTTAGAAAGCAGAAAACGAGCCTTTAAACAAAAATAAGGAAAATAAAGTTATTCTAAATAATGTTTACACTCCAACAAGAATGACCATCCTGTGACCTGCCATTTGCAGGCTGCCCTGAGTTGCCTGTTATATAGTTTGCATTCAGAGAATCATATCTCTCTTTTTTTAAGCATTTAGCTTTTATTAAGTATGAAATATTAAAAAGCGCTAAGTGAGCAGCAACAAGGAATAAATGTACACAGCCCTACCACATATAGTTTGGCTTAAGAAGACTGAATGAAGGTGAGCTATGTTCTGGGAGCCTATGCAAACAATAGCAACGGGGTTGCTGTTTGTCTTGTCTAAATCCCACCAGAAAATGGGGGGGGGGGATGAGTCATGATCATCTAAAAGCAGCTTAAATCTTCAGCCCAGCACATGAGCCATCACATGGTCAGTATGCTAGAAGTTGAGTCATAATTCATACCTCTTTCAACTACATGAAACTTGAAAGTTTATTAATGCAAGTCCAATATTGATTTGGGCTGTCTTGCATTTAGCAAGATGATTCCATAAACCAGTGGTTTTCAACCAGTGTGCCATGGCACCCTGGGGTGCCCTGAATGATGGTCAGGGGTGCCGCGGGCAACACTGGCCTCTGTCCCTCTTCCCTTCCCTCTCTTCCTCTTGTGCCCTCTCATGTTTCTGTCTCCCAAAGGCTTGCACAGCTGTTTGTTGCAGTAGCTGTGACTAAAAGCTCCCCAGGCAAATGTTGCCTCTGGGGCTGGCCAGGGGGTGCTTCCCAGGTCCCTGTGGGGCAGTGGGAGGAGACATCTCTCTTTGGGGTGGGGAGGCAGCTCAGAGACCAGGGGCGGCTGCTGCAGCTTTCCAAAGGAGAGACGAGAGGAGGCTGAGGGAACACTCCACAAGGAAGGGTGTTTGAAAAAGGGTGAGAGGCTGCCAGCTCTACAGGCAAGAGGTGACATAACTGGGCTCCTGAGCCCCACAGGGTGCTGCAGAAAGAATACAGTTGGTCAAGGGAGCTGTGGACCCCAAAAGATTGAAAACTTCTGCCATAAACTGAAGCAACGGTGCTTTACCTGACTGCCTCCATGCTCTGTATCTATGTATCGTGGCATTGGAAATCTGGAATGAAGAATTTCCTGTGCATCATCTGATGGAGCCTGGAGCAAATGGCGGAAGTTTTCGTACTCTGGCATGTCCTGGTAGCCTGACTTGCGCCACTGAGCTATGGTCTATAGAGCATTAAACACACATTGTTTTATTCATCCAAACAAGTTTTATATAATCTAGTTTGAGCAGGAAGCAGGAAGAAATCTTGGGGAACAGGTCAGTTAATTAATGTTTTAGCAGTGATTTAATCACCAGAATTACACTATTGTAATTATATTTTTACCAAGAGCAAATAATAACTGTGATTTTCCATTATGTTCTAAAAAACAAATGCTCAATAGTTTCTCATTTTTCAAGCAGCAGCTCTGTCAAAGCAATCATACACGATATCTAGTGCCATCATCCTCAGTGGAAGTATGCCATAGTAAGTAGTCATAGAACTGCCTACTTAGTGTTATTTGTTAACTGAAATACAAGAATGTATGTTTACTGACAATAGCAACTTCCGTAAATACAGCAGATAGCAAACATATTAGCTTTCAAGGCCTCAACTTATAAGGATTTTTGCACATAAGCACTTTCATAGAAAATTCAAGTACCATGATGGCCTTGAGAAGCTACCAATATGGACACGTGACAGAGCTCTACCCAAAAGGCTCTGCGATGGCCTCTGCAATGTAACAGTAAGGTTTCTGAGCCCTCCTCTTCCCAGAAGCAACTCCACATGACAAGCAGCTCCTAAAACTGGGCAAAGCACAAGAAATACAGAGCTACTGCCATGTGTGGGTGACAGCCACTAGTTTTAATAAGTATGCCCAAATAGTAGGATATGGAAGTCAAAGTGACTTGATCTTACCTCTCCATGATAAATAAGGATCTGGAAAAAGGTGTCCATGAGAAGAATGCGATCAGGCAGAATACTGCTGCTATCTAAAAGAACAGGCTAATATAAAAGGAGAAAAGTGTCTTAACTACATATACAAAACAGAGAAATCCATTTCTTAAAATTCAGCTTTCTCTGTTCCATTTAGCAAGCCACATAACACGAGGAAGCAATTGCTCCCAAACTTTTCCTGTGCAAAACTGCTTTACATTTAATTTAAAGCGTTAATTTAGTTTGAAATTATTTTCCCAACAATGCACTAATGAGTCTTCTTCATTTTCAAGTTTTCTTTTTTCAGCTATTCATACACACTAGGTCATACATGCCAACATACCTCTGGGGGTCCACTGAAAGAATAGGCATATAGAATTGGCTGAACCATTATAAGGGACTGAGTCAGATCTTGCCGCATGAAATTATGGCGATAGTAGGAACTTTCATCAGGACTGTTGTTGAAGACTTGCAAAAAAGGAGATCTTCTTAAATGGAACATAAACTGCAAAATAAAACAAACCAGAAATTCCCCCAATGTTTCTTGTCCACAAACCCAGCTGCATCAATAGTAGCAATGTTTCTTTCCAAAAAGATTTGATACTGGTCTATGTCACTGAGTTTAGTGACATCATCTAGCTTGTCTGGGACATAAAGAAAGACAACCTCCAAATTAGTAGGGTAACAATGCTGATAGCAAGGAAAAGACCAGGTGTTACCTCTGTGGCCAACAAAATGATAGAAAATCACAGAAAAAAATGTACTTCAATTTTGTCTGTTCATTGGACAGTAGTCTAATACAGTTGTGAAATGAGGTGTTTAGGGCTGTAAGTCCTGTGAAAATTGTTGACATTGCATGTAATTGACAACTTATGATTACTGAACTGTTATACTAGTATGTATGCTAGTGGTATAATATGCCGTTTTATGTTTAAAAAGTGCGCACACTGTTCTTGTAGGTGTTGTATACTTTTTCATTGTGGACCAAAATTGCCCTTGGTGATCTTTTTGCAGTTATGTTGTTTTACTGAAAAAGGAAAATTCTCAGTGAAGGCATAATTTTTAAACATGAAAAATCATGTTATAGTTAATATCACACTTAGATGTTTATATTTATATATAAATGGTTTATATTTATATATTTATATTTATATAAATGCTCTTGAGTGTTTAAATTTATGACAGTCTTGTGGCACATTTGATCCCAAAACTAGAATGATACAGTATTTTTTAAAAAGTCTAAGAAATTCAGAACAGGCAAAGTTAAAAGGCTTAGAATGAGAAATACTATTCGGTTTTATGTTGTACTGCTTCACAAATCCCAAAATGCTAGCATGAAGCAGAACTTTTTTAAAAACTGCAATCTAATGAAGGACACTTGGACTTCTTACAATAAAGTGAATATCAGCATCATACTGGATATAGAATGTTCTCTATTTCAATTCATTCATACTCACCTGTGGGTAAAGGGAAAATGTTTCTGAAAATCTGAAGGAACTTGGATCATCCTTGTGATATTCTCCAAATTTCTGACACTGGATAAATTTTAAAAAGCCTTTTAAGTTTTCAGTGTGACACTTCAAATACTATCATGACATTTTCAGAAATATATACTTCTACTTTCACTACATTACAAAGCAACCTAACTTCACCGAAGTAGCATGGGGAGGCTTCTAAAAATCTGTTCAAGAGTGGCAAGTACCGGTACATAGTTACCATACATAGATCCCAGAAAGAAATCTAACCAAAATGCTTCATTCAATACCAAATGTTTAAGACCCACAGATTTTGTGGAAACATTCACATCAACTTTAACAGTTAGCAACAAGCTCAATGTTTGTATATTATTTTTCGGCTCTCAAAAGAGGGAGGAATACAACTGAGGCTTCCAGACAATTAAGTTTTACTTGAGCAGTATATCTATTGAGAAAAAACATGACTTTAAAAATTGTGGAATGAAGCTTTGAAATGCAAGACAAGCAAAACCTTTGGCTTATTTATGTTAGCACTTTATAGTACAAAGTAGATCCACTGTGAAAAGCCTTCTTTCTCATTCTTCTAATATCTTTCAACAAGTTCCTTTGCAACTTTATACACTGTATATAAGCCAGCCAAATTTACATCTAGCACCAGAAGCACATAAAACTATTCAAAATATACATTTCTCAAAATGTAACTATGTATCAGATTGCCGTCTTAGGAACAAACTCGATGTGGCATCATTCACACAATCATCAGTTGCACAAATGTTTGTTGGTTTTTTAAAGTAAATAATAGGAGCAGTAGCCCATTCTGGATCAGGACCTCTACATCTGCTATTTGCACTGGGGGCAGAGAAGGCAGATACAAGACCCAGGCCTGGTCCTATTCTCTCCCTAAATACAATCTCAGATGGGAGGAGGAATCAATATTTTCAAACATTTGTAATGCCTTACCAGTCTAATGAGCTGTCTGTCCAACCACCTAAGAACATCGGGTCCTTCCTCTGTCTCAGCCCTGTACACTGCCAGCCTGGCCATAAGAATGGCAGCCGCCTCCTGGTCAAAAGAAGCAGCGATGTTTTGAATCTGTGTCTGAGCATCAGCCCAACTGCAAAAGAATAGCATTTGTTTACCACACAGGTCATCAGAGAGAAGCAAAAACGTATCAGTTTAATAACGAACAGCTCCAATCCATGTTGCTCCTCCAAATCAAAACAAAGCTCCCTTATGCAATTAAGAGAAACATAAAATATGCAGGAAGCTCACTATGTAGCAAATACAACAATTCCTTTAGAGCCAATTTAGACATTATGCCAGAAGCAGGCCTTGCAGAATCATCAGCAATTCATGATCCCCTGAAGGAAAGGCATCATATAGCTCTCGGCACACCATGCTCTGAATCATAATCACACCCAACCCACCTCCATGGTTGCTAATGTGATCATGCATTTGTGGAGGTGTAGGAAACTGCAATGATTAGGTGTCCAGTTCAATTGGCACTGGCTGCCAATCTGCAATCAGGCTAAGTTCAAGGTGCTGGTTCTACCATATAAACCCCTATATAACTTGGGATCCAGCTACCTAAAATAATATCTCACCCTTCATATACTCAATCAATCACTGCGCATTCTGCAGTGAGTGCTTCATGCAGATACTATCTCATCAGGAGGTACTTCTCCATATAGAAATGGGGCCTTTAGTGTTGTGGCACCTACTCTTTGGAATTCCCTCCTATTAAATAATAGACAAGCACAGTCTCGTTTGCCTTTTCAGCACCTACTGAAAAGCTTCCCTTTCCAAAAAGGCTTTTAAGTGGAGAGTTCTTTCCCAGACCTCATCTGTACTGGATTTAAGATGTTTTCATTGTTTCTTGTTTATGTGTCTGCTGCCCTGGGATTCTTCTGAATAAATAAATGTTGGCAGATTAACAAAAATCAGGTGCTCTGCTATGCTTTCCACTGGTGTAAAGTCAGCATTACATACAATGTCAGACCTTACATACATAAGGTCTACCTTTTAAGCAAAATACTGTTTGTTAAACAGTGTGTATACCACACAAATTTCTAGAATAGCACATCAGAACTTAAGGCTTACTTTCTGGCAACAGTGGTCACTCTGATTCGTCTCTGTCCACTCGAATGCTGGTACTGAGTCACAAACTGGATTGCACCTCGCCCACCCTGAGGAATTGGAGCATTGTGCTATTTCGAAAGGTAAATGGTGAAGAGATTAAATTGAACAGAATCACAGGAAAGTTGTGCAGCATGATCACCACATTAAGAATCCCATCACTGCCACTGTCAATTCTATAATTAGAGGTGATTTGACAGAAGCTACTTTAATAAGTACAATATGCTGTACAAATATGAAAAAATTAAGTCAGTAAGCTTACTGCCTATATTTAGCTACAATTTGATTCAACACTGGAGCAGCTTCCAAAACAGAGTGCTTTAAGTAGAGAAAATACTATAGGAGATGTACAAATCGGAAGGCAAGACAGGAGCACGGTAGATGAGACAAGATAATACAATGTAATATGTACATAGCTACTTGGAGCAACCAAGTGCTTCACAACCTCAGCATTTCTTACAAACAGCCCTATAAGGTAGACAAGTATTACTACTCTCATATTGTAGATGTGGGCTGAAGGCAGGCAAACTACTAAGGCTGCCCACCAAGTTCATTACACAGGTGAGAACTAAACCAGGGACTTCCTGGTTTGTTGCTTAGCGCCTTATGGTATTACAAGCTACAGCAAGTCTCAAAAAATGTTCCTAATTAAAATGGGGAAAAATATAATTTGCTTTCCCCCCTCCCCAAGTGATGAAACACACAAGGAGGCCCCATCACATAATTCTTGAAAGAAACTACTTTTGTAGACCACATCAGCTACTTCCCCAAAGCTCCAATTAAAATGGGGAGGAGGAAGTGGGAATTGTGCTTTTTCAACCACCTACCTCCTACACAATCAGTAAAAATATTTAAATATGCACATGTACTCTAAAAAAATTATCTTACCTGATTAACCACCTCAAAATACAATCCTAGGGTTGTGGTAGGATTAAGTCCACAAATCTTCCACTGACATGTACCTCCTGTTCCTATCTCCTGCAAAAATATTACAAATAATTTTCAGCAAAAGTTACATTTGCTATACACAGCAAATTGTAGGATTTGGGAAAACGTACTGCTGTTTTCAATGGTTCCTATCCCAGTTACTTAGATACAGCAAAATTATATCTTTGTTATAAATGCTTCACTTCTCCCCTCTACTAAGATAACACTTAACATGTTGTTAACATTTTACTGTAACATGAATTTCCACAGACTCGAGTATACTTTGGCTGCGTGAAGGAAATAATGCCACCTTATGCTAGTGGAGAAAGCCAAACGAAACAATGAGCCACTATACTGGCACTAAGCAAGACATTAATGGTACACATCCAAAGAACAACAGGATTAGTAGGATAAATAGTGAAGTTTATTTGTGTGTGTGTGTATATATATATATATATATATATATATATATATATATATACACACACATATATAGTGAGCACTGTTGAACCCAGGAGGCACCACAAGAGGTACAATACATGAATAAATAAGCCTATATGTAAGGTGCTTATCGCTACCTAGAGCTTTCTACTCCTCAACAATATATTCACTACTTTGGAAACTGAGTGGCTAGTGAAATAAACACACACACACACACACACACACACACACACACACACACACGGAAGGATTCTGCTAATGAGTCCTGTCAGTGGAAGCCCTGCACAAGGACTTCTCCTTGTACAATAGGGCTTTTCCTTCACATCACCCTGCGTAAACACGAAATTGTCTCTAGGGGAATTGGGAGAACCCCTAGAATGGCATGTAGGGGGTGAGGAGGGGGATTGTTCCTACAGGCAAGCCAAAATGCTTTCCCTGTCCGAACAATCACCCTAGTGTGACATTGAATTACTCACACACAGAGTGGTATAGTGTAATTGCAATATGATTCCCACTAATGCTTAGTCACATCAGAAAAAGCTGGATCTACTGCATTTTTATGTAACAGGTGTAAGGGTTGGATTAAAACGCTATCAACTATTTTAAACCATCTGACAGTCAAACAACTCACTGCTCACCCAGCCTGAAGAACAAAAAGTCAAAACTTTTGTAAAATCATGCCTTTGAAAATGACAACATGCTAATAGGATTTTACACAAGATTTTACTACATAATGTCCATAGCGTTTTATGTGTGAAAAGTGAAAAAGGCACAGATTGTATAAGTGATTTATAGGTTAATCAACTTACATTTTCTGATACGCAGGGCCCTTTAGAATTGAGAGATACACAAGGTCCAATAGCTCCAGATATCTTTATTTCTCTTGAAGTCTACACAGATTAAAGAGCAAAATAAAATAAGAACAAATGATTGTTCCTGCAGAATGTAGGATAATCTTTCCTCTTGGCAGTCTGAGCTTATAAATCTCCTTTACTGGTAAACAGCAGTGCTAACAGAGGTCTGAAGAGTCATTTGATTCAGAATGGAGCAGAAACTAGACAGCTTTTCTTTTAGTAAAAATGGTTTCTATGAGACTGCACTGTGGGTAAGTATGTAGAGAACTGCAGCCTGGATCAACTAAAAGTACTCCTTGCACTAAAAAGACTTATGAGACTTCATTCCTCTAGTTTGTAGAAGCCTATACACTTTAACTTTACATCTCCTTTACAGGTCCAATCTAGAACAAGCATTGGTGGCAGAGATGACGAATCATATCTCAGAACAGGCACCTGACCCAGAGTACCCTCGAAGTTCCTTAGAGTCCCATAGTTCCATACAGGTGAACATATGGAGTTGATTTATAAAAACGCCATCCAGCTCAGTATTGTCTAGTCTGACTTTTCACGGCAACATCCTTTGTGAAGACAGCAGATACTGGGTCAAGGACCTTCCATGTGCACACCATGTGCACTACCACTAAGCAACAGCCCCTTCCCAGATATATTTTTTTTCATCAGCAGCATATTCATATGACCAGCAGGATATGGACAAATCACCATACCATCCCCTGGATCTCATGCCCTGCTGCCCACGTTCCATACTGGCAAGAAGAAATGTTATAGGAACTGCACCTTTATGCAAAAGAGAAATATTTCTGTTGACGATTCAGTATGTATTGTGAGTGGAATCTAAATATCATGTCAACAGATTGCAAGATGTTAGAGTGAGCTGTGTCTGCAAAGGTACAGGAAAGATACCCAGTTGCATATCTTGTAAGTCAAGGGTAGGAATTCATAACAGTTTTGCCAATCAATGAATGCTGGATCACAGCCACACTAAATTCCAGTGTTTATTTTCACAGTAAAATAAAATACTACGACCCCAACGCTAAAGGTTTAAAGTAAAACGCTGACTGAATAATTGTTACTAGCAATAATAATACCTTAGTGCAATAGTTTAATTAGTTGTAAACAAATGCGATGGAACAACAACACATGGCCTTTAAAAATAATTATAGTAAAATTCCAAATCTTACTTTGATTTCTAAGGTACCTCCAAATCCCATCTTGAATTGCCCCTGTGCATCTTTGGTAAACACACGCTGAAAGGTTTGTTTGAACAGGGATGTATTGAAAGAGTCTCCCATTACCATGTAACCCCTACATGGGGAAAAAATGAATAATTAAGTCAAACAATATATGAAAAATGCGAAAGAGCAGTTATAATGGAATCTGGAACTGATCTAAGTCATCACACTCTAGGCTGCTACCACAAGTTTACCTGTGAAGATTTCTGCTCCACTCCTGCCATCCCATATTTCATTGTGATATTGCAGATCTATATGCCATGTATAAAAGTGACCACCACAAGGCACTCATGGAAGCACTGCAGTATTAGTTTATATGCATCAGCTTCCCCACCCCACCCACAGCTCATCCCTGAAGAGCCATAATGTAGTAATAAAACATGGAAAGCAGCACTGAGGGCCCAGTGGCTATCCCTAAACAATTTATTTCACAAACAGACCATTTTAAACATATCGATGTAGCTCCCGAGAAGAGCTGGCAGAATTTGAATAGGTCTGCTTCAAGTAAGACTTAATTGGATATCACCCATTGATTTTGCAGGGTGTGCCTTTCATGCTTGCAGCACACCATGGTGTAGATTATGGATGTTAGGGAAAGAGAAGAAAGAAAACATTGGTGCTTGACAAAGGACAGGAGGTTAGATTTGATCTGATGATACTTTCCAGCACTATCATCCTACAATGGTGCTTCTGTGCAGCAGCATTTAACTTTCTCAGTAGAGAGAAAAATCTTCCTTTAAGATTACTCCCCAGAATAGTATTATGCTCAGTATTAATAGCTGCGTGATACAAAATATTTAAACAGGAGAAAGGAATATATTGCAATTAAGAGTACTAGTCAAAGAGTATTGCTTTCTAACGTGAAAACTCATTTTAATCTATATTTTCATGATTGAAAAAGATTAATTGTAGTGACAACTTTGCTCACACAGACACAATCAAGCAAACATATGCAAGTCCACTTGACTTCCAATATATAGCTTTTCTCTTAATTACACAAAAACACTGTTTCTGCACATAGCCTCTTTTACATTACTGTAAAATGTAACACATACCCAGTATAGTTAGGGCAGCACTTCATCTCCAGAAGACCAGTCTGATCTAGTGCACATGCGTAAATGTCAATAACGTGACCGGTTGTAGCAGCGTGATTTGCCAAAGCTTCAAAATGCTAGAGACACAAATGTAAACATAACTTTTACTAAACAATGCAGGTCAAACTTTCCACATTTTACATTAAAGCTTCAAATATTCTTCTGAAGTTGAAGTGTATTTGCCAAATTATATTCTTCTCAGATGCTATACAAGACTAGATCAGTATTTAAAACAGAAATATGTTTTAATTCATAATTATTCTGATTTTATATAAGCCAAAATAGCTACCTTTATTTTAGGGCTGGGGGGGGGGGGGGCATTCCGGACAAGAGATGCAGTTTGAACAAGATGAAGCTGAACTGCATCAAGGAGCAGCCCCAAGCCCTATATCTGATATTTTAGGGGGAATGTTGTGACCTCATCTAGAATGTAACACTTTTTCCTAGTTCAGCTTCCCATCCATCACCAATCTTATCTGGATTAAATTTTATTCCAATGGCATGATGGCTGTCACTACACTGTGGTTTTGAAGGGAAGGAAGACATATAATCACACAGCAGTTTCAAGGGATGCTACATCAAGTATTGGACGGGTGGAGAAGAAGAAGAAGAAGAGTTTGGATTTGATAGCCGCTTTGAGACTCCTTCGGGTAGTGATAAAGCGGGATAACATTCTCCTTTCCCTTCCTCCCCCACAACAAACACTCTGTGAGGTGAGTGGGGCTGAGAGACTTCAAAGAAGTGTGACTAGCCCAAGGTCACCCAGCAGCTGCTTGTGGAGGAGCGGGGAATCAAACCCGGTTCACCAGATTATGAGTCCACCGCTCTTAACCACTACAATTACATGCTATTTCTTCCACAGTCCTATATGTTCCATTATGCTTATGTCACCCTTTGTCAAGGCAAGCACACAAAATATACCTCCAAGGTTAATGGAAATATACCAGTTTGTTTTGGAGGGGTTTTAATTTTAGAAAAATATGCAGTCACTGAATAAATTATGTACAGATCTCACATTACTTCACATATATTCCAAATAATTACAGAATTTAAAACTTTTGTGTTCTTACCTTAGTACCCTTTTTTACATATTTGGCATTGTCTTTTTCAATGTCATGCCAAGACCTTATAGGCACCTTAAGTTCATCTCCTACCACCATCCCAGGTCCCTGTGTAGCCGGTCCGCCAATAAACATCATTATACGGGCACCAGTGTTAGGAAAAGTACACTGTGGGATAATAAAAGTTTTTAAGACAGAAAGCAAAAAGATGTGTTTCAAAGACATATTGCGATGATATTCGGAACTGCTGATTGAGTTCTAAAATAGGCTGAACTGTGAATATGACACAAGGTTAATGCTGAGACCTATTTAACTAAGTATATTTAGTATTTGCACTATAGTACCTCACTTTTCTGTAACTGCAAAAAGAAACAGCTGAACCGGAAAAACTTCAGGAAAGTCTGTTTGCAATTGGAGGGAACAACCTTCAGCATTTTCCCAATTTCAAATCAAATTCACATTGCTTTAACTCATTCAGGTAACCCAGATAAGGGCAGCGAACTTCCAGATGCGCATAAATGAGAACTTGTTACCTCTAGCAGTCCTACAGCTATGGAAAGTGCCACTCCAGAAGACCGCAAAGGTCTTTTCCCTTGGGGAACAGGCCAAGGATCACGTTGCAGTTCATCCAAAAGATCAGTGAGATTCATGTCAATTTTCTGGACCGGCTGTAAGAACCTGGAGACAAGAAAAACATTAAGTTAAAAAGAAGTTTCCCTTGATTGCACAAGCTTTCAAACGATTCTAGACCATTTATATATTTGCAAAGTATTGACCTACAATTATAGTGTTTAAAATACAAATTAAATTTTGTTATAAATTTAATGTTACATGGGTGGTATCCAACTAAGTAATACTTGGAAAAGACCTACCAAAATCAATAGACAAGTTAGTTCATGCTTGATGTCTCCCTGTGTTTTTATATTATGTTGGAAACTACCCATTATTATTATTATTATTATTCATAACAAACTTAAGCCCATTGATTTCAGTGCTTCTACCCCAAGTATGACTTAAGTTGGCAACTGATTTACTTTCATTGTGAGTCACCAGAAAGCTTGTTACTGGGTGGCATGCATATAAATGAGTAAATAAATGAATGAATAGGATTTGGCACAAGCTAAGGTTTGCATGGGACGCGGGTGGCACTGTGGGTAAAAGCCTCAGCGCCTAGGGCTTGCCGATCGAAAGGTCGGTGGTTCGAATCCCCGCGGCGGGGTGTGCTCCCGTTGCTTGGTCCCAGCGCCTGCCAACCTAGCAGTTCGAAAGCACCCCCGGGTGCAAGTAGATAAATAGGGACCGCTTACTAGCGTGAAGGTAAACGGCGTTTCCGTGTGCTGCGCTGGCTCGCCAGGTGCAGCTTGTCACGCTGGCCACGTGACTCGGAAGTGTCTCCGGACAGCGCTGGCCCCCGGCCTCTTGAGTGAGATGGGCGCACAACCCTAGAGTCTGTCAAGACTGGCCCGTACGGGCAGGGGTACCTTTACCTTTACCTTTAAGGTTTGCATCTTGAGTACACTTGCTTGGAAGAAAGAGAGTCGGGAACAGGGATTGACTTCAATATCTGGCATTTTAACATTTTTTATTCATCTATTTATTATTATGCTTATAACCCACCTTTCCTCCAATGACTCATACTGCAAAATTACAAAGCAGGGCTTACTGTAAAACAATTTGGTACATTTTTCTTCTTAATAAAAACAAATACCTGTTTGATGGTGGTGGCTGCTGAGCTTGAGGGCCACGACCCACTTGTGCAACATTCATTTTTGTAAGTCCTAACATTTCCTGTGAGTATATTTAACATAATAAAGTTGAATATAGTTACATATTCAGCATATAAACAGCAACAACGTTTTAAAGAAAATTAAGGAATATTTCTTATTCGTTTACACCGAGTCTTTTTAATTAAAAAATCTCTTACTTTTATAAAAAGTTTAGAAACATCTTTATAATGTTGGTTTTTTCATCTTACACATTGAAAATGTTTGCTTAATTCCTTAACTGTTCAGTAAGGTACAGATTTTTTTACTTCCATCTTCAAAGACAGAGCAGCTCCAAAACTGGAAATACCATTCTTAATATTAATTTTATATTTACCTGAAGCTGTTTTGCAGTCAGATCCTTTGTGCCTCTGAAAACATAACTTTTGTAAATCCCCTCACAGCCAAGCTCATGAACTTGCACCATTCTCCCAAAAGTAATAAGTCCAACCAAAGCAGTTGGAGGTAGGAGACTTAACGACATTTGCATGGATTCCTTCAAAGCTTGCAAGTCTTCATCTTCCATACACGTGTCAACAACATAAAGAAATATCAAAGGCATCTGAGGTCCACGCTTTAAGAAAAAGTGAACAAGATTGCAGCATTAACGATACTGCAAAAAGTCAGAAACAGCCTTGTTGTAACTATCCCCAAACTATACCTGATCAAATGCTTTCTTGGGAATACTCATGCAAAATCGGCTTCAACATGGTTGTATCCGTTTTACAGTCCTATATAAAAACACATGAATCTCTCTAACACTATGCAAAGTGGCATGCACTGACTTGGGCAGACATACGTGTAGCAGATTCCTGTGTTATTTAAATCTGTTTTGCTATACAGTCATACATTGGTTCTCAAATGGAATCCGTTCCAGAAGTCCGTTCGACTTCCAAAAACGGTTGAAAACCAAGGCACGGCTTTAGATTGACTATAGAAGCTTCCTGCAGCCAATCGAAACCTGCAGACGCCGCGTTGGACGTTCGGCTTTGCAAACTGGAACACTCACTTCCGGGCTTGTAGCATTCAGGAGCCAAAACGTTTGAGTCGCAAGGCGTTCCAGAACCAAGGTACGACTGTGTTGCTTAACACTCAGTTCAGTTGAAACAAATGTATAAGCTGAAGAACACCTGTGTTACCGGCTCCATGGTGGCCGAAACATATTTAGGATGTCACCCCTGAACTACCCATGCTCCTTCTACTTCTGAGTTACATAGGTTTTAGGCTACACTAATTGTTCAGGAAAGTATGACTACAGTGGACTCTGAGGTAGAATCTACACACATATAAAAAATGCTGTGAAAACGCTTTTTTAAAAAACGGTTTTAAAAATATATTGAACTCACTGTCGCCATCTGGTGTCACATTTGTATATTGCACTTTACAACACATCTAAAACGTTTAATTTGCCACTATATAGCTGAGTCCTTGTCCAAACTCCACATATTGGAGACCATCACAGTGGCAACTTTTCTGACCCAAGAATCCCAAAGATTTTAATCAAGGTATTTACCTGTACTACATATTCAATGCTAGAAAACTGAGGTAAGAGTTCTGCAGGCTGGTTCATCTCAGATATGCCTGCATATGTAGGAGGAAACTGCAGAAGAAAAGGGATCCAATCAAATGAAAAATTCAAAGAAAAAACACTTTGAAGCATACATTTCTATACCAGTCAGCCTTTCCTAACCTGGTGCCTTCCAACTGCTTTAGAATATAACTCTCAATATCCCTGACATATGGCCACAATATGTGGGGCTGTTGAGAGTTGAAGTCCAAAATATCTGTAGAGCAACAAACTGGAAAGGGTTTACCTATACTAGTCTATTCCACCCCACCCCCACCCTTTACATGTTAATATTACTACCACTCATATCTCAATCTTAAAATGCATTCACCTGAAAGTTCTCTTACCTGATTTCTCTGGTAACAAAAATTGCAAGCCCATAGTTTTGCTCGGTAATCCACTTGGCTACAAAAATAAATTTTAAAGTGTTTTAATAGACAAATTATGAATGCAAGTCAGATACTTTGCGGTTTCATGCTTAAACATGAGCACAGGTAATACAGCATAGTATCTAACACTGTCACTCAGCAAGAATGTGAAGGGAAGCAATTTTTGGCCATTCCCCTCCCCCAAGCAGCTCCCAACAAACACCGTAAATCTGATCCTGATGTAGTGGGGGCTAGAGAGGCAGGGGAAGGATAGCTTAAAACTGCATCTTTCCCCATTTTTCTGACAGAAGCTTTATTGTCAGGTCACTGAGACCGCTGGTCAATGGTCAACCCACAAACTTTAGTCTCATCATTTATTCTGATCAAAGCTAGTTATCAAAACTTTTCTTCTCTAACCCTTTGGAATATTTTTGCTTTATCTTATCTCCTTCCTGATACTGTAAGTTGTGTTTGGTACTGCTTTTTATTTGATTACTGTTAAATTTATCATTTTAGTGTGTTTTCTTACAATTATTGTAAATTACTTTACACTTGCTGGGGAAAGTATAAATATTCAGGGAAATAAATAAAATTAGAGTTGTGTCATGCCATGCACCATAACAAAAGGCAGAACAATTATATTAAATAATCTGGTTAGCCGTGTGACTGCATGTTAGTTAAGCAGTGAGTGGCTGATAATATTGCAGAAGCAAAGTGGCACCAGGGTTACCTTTATTTTGGTATTTATTGTTTTTGGCATGTCACCAAATGTGGAAATTTCAGGGATACCTTTTCTGTTAATGGTATACAGCACAGCACATTAAAAAAATATTGCAGATTTGTACATGGCAAGCGCACATATGAAGCATCACATAGAAGCTCTGTGTGCACATGAGGCAATATGATTTCAGTTAATTTATCCACGAGAAAGCAGTTTCAGTACAGAACCATACATTATAAGTATGTTTTTAAAGTCCTGTTACAATCAACAGGACTTGCTTTAAAAAAGGTCTTGTGGGAATAAGGTATTAAGACCCTTGAAAAAAATACTACAAAATAAGAACTGTTTTTACTATTTACACTTTTTGGCCATTTTTGTCTAACTGCTGTCATGGATAACTTTATGGAGCAAGAAAAATTCTGTAGATAAGGCATGCTCACAGATACTGTCAACTTCAGAAATGCACTTTGGAAAGTATCCAAATCATATTCCAAACAAACTCATTGAAATCAATGAAGTTATTTAACTCAATTGATTTCAGTAGGTCTACTTCAAGCATGACTGAAGCTGGATATCACCCATAATGAGCTGCACTTCAGATAATCTCTTTTATGAGCTGTGCATAATTTTGTATTGATTTGTGAGGGTGTTTTTTTTTAATGTCCAATATACTAACTATTTGTAACGGTTTTTTATAGTGAAGGTCAGAAAATAAATTTGTCTTTCAAACTCCCAAACATATATAACAGATAAAATACTTTTTTTAACAATAATAAAGTACTAATATCCATGCAAAGTTTAAAACTCTTTATCTGAAATTACCATAATGGATTTAGAACAGCTCGGCAGGTAGTTCTGCTGCACAGGACTGGCTCGTACTGAATAGGAGGCAAGTCAGGCCGCTCTTTCAGTGGTGTAAACAGAGAGGCCACAGGAACCACCATCCTTGTAGCCTCAAGACGACTGGAAGGCCATACATTCCAGCTGAATCGAACGCCATCCCTGTCTTCATTCTGCTGGATGAACTCGAGGAAGGTTGCCATCACTGCGTTCTTATTTCTGAAACAGAAGCACACATTAATTGATACATGCAAGCTTTGGAGAATGAATTAGAAACCAAGCCTTGTTTCATCTGAATGGGCATTATGGAGCACCTCCAAGTTACCTGCATTACTAGCCATCTCGAAACACACACATTTTTCATAGAGCTACATGCGGGAAAACAAAAAATAACTAGGAGCCTCTGTTGCATTTGGATAGTGGACAGTCTACAGTGCACATATAAAAAAAGAGATAACATACATCCATCTCTCAAGAAGCTGTAACCTTGCAGCAATATAAAGTGTCAGCTTGAAAGTACACTGACCTGCAAAGTAACTTTGATTTGAGAAGTGTTATCCAAAAGAATATCACAAGGATTACCACACTCCCATTCATTTCAAAACAGTGTGCACAGGGGAAGGGTTCATTCACCTCTTAAGTTCTTTAACTAGCAAGTTCAGACTGGTACTATGCAATACACACCAGCATATGTGGTTGCTGTATTATTCAAAGCTTGGTAAACACATCAGATATGGCAGCAGCTCAGCAGTACAGTCACCATGGCACACCACTCACATTGGACAAATTGAACTGCAATGAAAGTATCCAGTATAATACAACAGTTCTGTATTATCACACCAACAAACCTTTTGTTGTTTTAAATATGGCCAACCAGACTTGCACACTAGAAGAGCAATACAGAAGGGGGGAGGGAGACAAAATAGTGAACATATTCAAGAGCTACCAAGCTCAGCGACAGCCATGTCTTCAGTAAAATTCCTCCAACCTTTCCGCTCATAAGCTAGGAATTATTCCATTTATCTGTACTCTCCATGCCAAACACTCTTCATGTATCCTGGGTCTGCAGCAGCCCCTAAATTGTGAAAATCCCTCCCCAGAGAGGTGTACCTAGGTAGCATCTTCATTATGAAGCTTGCACTGTATGCTGGAGATACAACTCCTTACCCTGGCCTTTGACAGTTAAGGTACAGTATTTTGTTTTGTGAGACCCACCTCTTTTGTTGAATTTATATTTTTCTATTCCACTTTTAATTGTTTTACTTTTTGAGGGGGGAAATATTATATCGTTGTAACCTGCCCTGAGACCTTATAGTGAAAAGTGAGTAAGAAATTTTATAAACAGCCTGATTTATATTTGTTATTTTAATACCAAACTCCTGTCAACAGTTCCATGTGGCTTTGTATATGTAAAGCCAAAAGTTTTCTTTGTTAGAATTCCAAAGCTGAATGCCAAAATACTTTCTATTGTACACATATGGTTTTATTGTAGGTGTGTAATTTTATTGTAAGCTGCTGTGCAGGTTCTACAGATCAAACAATAAATAAATAAAAGCACTATAGGCAAGTATCAATGTTGCAAGTGGACTATTGAGGGAGTGACATAGATGGGAAGATAATACCACAAAAACCTACCCTGGGCACATCTATATTGCACAATGCATTTGTATCATACTGGCTGCACTGGCATGCAACAGTGCACCATGGGCTCCCTTCTCCTCTTCCAGTGCAGCTGCAAGAGTGGAAACCTTAGTCTCCACTTTCAACTAACCACAGTAGTTCATTATGTCTTGACTTGGACAAACCATGATTAGTATTAACTCTGAAAGAAGTTTACTGAAAGAAGTTTGAACCATGGTCAATAATGATTGTTCTCAGGATCCTACTCCAGAATGAATTCCACAATCATAAAATGATATTACCCACAAAATACCTTCCACTTATTGAAGCAGCTGTAGCTTCAGTACACTGGGGAAAAATCTCAAGCTTCAATTTAGGTGTTTCTAATAGCTGCATTAAGGGACATGGGTGGCGCTGTGGGTAAAACCTCAGCGCCTAGGACTTGCCGATCGCATGGTCGGTGGTTCGAATCCCCGCGGCGGGGTGCGCTCCCGTCGTTCAGTCCCAGCGCCTGCCAACCTAGCAGTTCGAAAGCACCTCCGGGTGCAAGTAGATAAATAGGGACCGCTTACCAGCGGGAAGGTAAACGGCTTTCCATGTGCTGTGCTGGCTCGCCAGATGCAGCTTGTCACGCTGGCCACATGACCCGGAAGTGTCTGCGGACAGCGCTGGCTCCCGGCCTCTAGAGTGAGATGAGCGCACAACCCTAGAGTCTGGCAAGACTGGCCAGTACGGGCAGGGGTACCTTTACCTTTACCTTAATAGCTGCATTATCCAGCTGTACTGAACAAGTCTGCATCAATAAACTTTTGAAACTTGCAGGTTTCAACAGCAGCTTGCCAAGCAGCACAAAGTGATGCTGCAAGTTGGGGGGAAGCAAGGAGAGAGCAGAATCTCTGCTGAAGTTGCAGAGCTCACCAATGCAGCCCTCTGACCTGCAATTATAAGCAGCCAGCTTCCTGAAACTCTGCTTTTAACGAATAGCTCTTATTTTATTGCTGTCATTGACAGAATTACCCCAGCCAAAGCCCATGCAAAAAAGCACAACACTGTGTTATCAAAAGGTCCATGGAGGGAAGAAGTTGAATAACTTAGCTAAACGTGGAAAAATCAGAGAGCAATAAATCAAGCAAGAGGTGGGAAGAGGTGGTGCTTAGGTCTTCCCTTGTCTGCCTCATACCCACAGCAGACCCAAAGTATGGTAACTTTTCCCATTACAGAAAGAAAAATCCCAAGGGGGAACACCTCTTTGAGGGGAGGGGAATTTTAATATGATAAACAGTGAGAAGGAAAACAGTTTAGCATTCTCTGTGCCCCTCCCCACCATTTGTCTACTCTTCACACTTTCCTCCAAACAAAAATTTATTTAATGAAAAAGAGTGTCAGGACTCTGATTTTGAGTATTTGCATACAATGTGTACTCTTTGCCACCAAAATTTGCAATCAATATCATGATGAAGGAACTAAAGCAATACCTACCCTACATACAGATTTACAGCTGAACTCTGCACTTCCAAAGACATGCATATAGCCAGCTATAAGAATATTCTCAATGGCAATTCAGAATTATAGGCGTTTGGTTGGGTGCTTCACTGAGCTCCATGTAAACAAGCTTGTGTCAAGCACAAGCAAACTAAGTAACTGTGTGAGCAGAATGACTCTTCCCTTCTCAATTGCTGCCCCCAATAACAGATTTAGGGGAACTCTCAGGACAGATTTAGGAGGTGTGCGAGGGAGGAGAGGGGAGGGGGGAGTCCCACTGTGTAAGCTGAAGTCATTCCCCTCAAACAATTATTTAACTGAATACTATCCATTAACTATCCGTGAGATAAAGACCTTAGGATGAAATGCTTCCACTTTTTTTAAAGCCACTGTACATTGTTTTATTACATGCTTACACATTCTACAAAGACCAAGGTACACACAACGTGTTGATTAGAACAGACGTCTTCAGACTTTTCAGATCTGAAACTCACCTTTAACCCCTGTCTACAGTACAAGACACAAACTTAAAGCGTTTATTATACTGGTCCCTTCTCCATTTTCCCTTATTTTATTTTCTTAAAATATGGGGGGAGGGAATGACAGCAATGTCACCAGTACAACCCTTTTTACATTGTTTGTGGGTTCTAATCCACCAGTAAAAGACCAATGGATGAAAATATGCTTACCTCTCAATACCACATCATAGCTGACGTTACGAAGCTTATGCATACAGTTTGGCTCATAAAACCTGATCTGGGCAAAGGAATTTATCCCATCATCTTCCTTTATTTTTGCCTTCCAAACACAAATTACAGCCTAAAAAACTTGGCACAACACAACCTATTTTCTTGTAAGTTGTACCAATTTTTGTGGAATTTACTTCCAAGTAAGTTTGCCCAGAACTGTGATGCTCATCATAAAAGTACTACAAACCTATACAAACATCTAGTATATACAGCATATCTAAAAACAAGTTATAATCCAGCATAAAACCCCAAAGCAAGTTTAAACAGAAGTAGATCCCAATGAGTTCAATGGGACCCACTCCTTAGTAAATGAGCTTAATATAGTAGCCCTAAGTATGCTTACACACCAACATGATTTTAAATACCTACCTCTTTGTTCAACTGAGATTACTAGCTCCCTAAAATAGAACTTGTAAAATTAATGCCCTGAACTTAAACAAAATCTCCATACTTAACATTCAGGAAAACCTTTTGGTGTGTACAGAGTTTGCTGGTTTTGACTGACATAGCCCTATATGGTTTGGATCCAGTCTAGCTGAATAATTGTATCTCCCTTTATGGGCCTTGACATCTTCTGAGGAGGCCTTTATCTTGGCTCCACCACCTTCATAATTACCTTGGTTGAGGACATGAGAGAGGGTCTTGTCAGTAGCTGCTCCCACCTTGTGGAAGGCTACACTGACCTTCCTCTTGCTTTTCTTTCACCAGCAGGAAAGCACTTTTTTGTTCCAGCAGGCCTTTGGCCATCAACTAGCTGTTCTGAAAGGGTCTCCCGAGAGTGGATGCGGTAATTCTTTGTGCTTTTAAATGGTTTTAAGCATTTTCAGTGCTGCTTACATAGGGCTACTTGCTTGGCTGACTTTAATATTTATTTTTAATTTGTGTTTTTAATTTGTGTTGTAAGATGCATTGGGATCTTCACTGGGAGAAAGGTGGAATATAGAATAAATACCCCACATTTATAAAACTTTTAAATTAAAGTTTCTAAACAAACCAATAGAAGCTGTCAGAAGGCTGAAATGGGCTGCACTGAATGTATGTTTAGTATCATGCTGCATGTCTGTTTATGGCAGATGATATCGTTACCTGTGAAGTGAATCACTTTCAAAAGTGAATGTACAGGACTACATATATTCAGACCTCCCTTGGAAGATACGGTAATCTCCAATGCTATTGCAACAGATATATTAAATCCAGGAAAACATATGATTACAAATACAGCTCTTGGGAGAGAGAACTTGTTTTTCTGAAAACCCTGGGAGATTATCAATGGAGGCTTCTTGTATTATAGAAAGAAACTGCGTTACTTTTTCTAAGATCTGTTCACTCTACTACAAATAATTGATTTGCATTATTTGTGCCAAATACTGCCAGTTCTGCAGTGTGGGAACACAGTGTACACATTGCTCAGACAACAGAATCCTATGGCACCTTAAGCATTAACAAATGTTTTGAGGCATTAACATTTCTGGGCCAGAGGCAATTTGTCAGCTGCATGAAAAGGAACTCCATTCATTCCTGACATTCTAAAAGAAGAAAAACCATTGAGCGGAGAACCAAAGCAACAATGTATTAGCAAATGTTTACCTGTTTCATCGGTTTGATGTGGGTTTTTTTGTCTTTAAACAGTTGGATTTAGGGACCAAAATACACTGTCATGTAGCACAATTCCTGCTCCCTCTTTATGATCCCTACTTTCCCCTTCATCTTTACATCTTTGTGTACATCACCCTGGTTCATTTCTTACACATCCCCTCTTTTATTTCCAAACTATCCAGATGATTAAGAGCAGCGCTCTTAGTCTCCTAACCCCACAGGAAAGCAGCTACTTACAGCATTTCTTGGGCATAAGGTACTACAGCGGTACCTTGGGTTAAGTATTTAATTTGTTCCGGATGTCCATTCTCAACCTGAAACTGTTCTTAACCTGAAGCACCACTTTAGCTAATGGGGCCTCCCGCTGCCGCTGCGCGATTTCTGTTCTCATCCTGAAGCAAAGTTCTTAAACCGAGGTACTATTTCTGGGTCAGCGGAGTCTGTAACCTGAAGCGTCTGTAACCTGAAGGGTCTGTAACCCGAGGTACCACTGTAGTTCTGGCCACTGACTCCTCTCCTCAGTAAAGTACAGCTGTGAAATCCCAATATCCTTTATACCCAACCCTGCCCAAACCGAGGAGAGAGGCGGGGGTCGTTGAAGGGGCAGAATAAGGCTTTGGTTCCCAAATCCTCCAGCCACCGTGTGTGCCACAACCGCCTACCCACTCCCAGTCTCTTCCTCACACACTTCGTCCACAGTACAGCCCCTCACCTATAGAAGAGGGCGAGGGAGTATGAGGGACGCTCGTCCTGGGCTGGGGGCGAACGGAAGAGGGAAATGGGGGGGTAGTTATATATAAAAATATGTATTTTATAATCACATTATAAAATTTATAATCACATTATATTCACAATTCTAGCTTTGGGGAGGGGAGGAATGGGAGAAAACAAGCACCCTGTCGCTGACCCCTCGCTACCACTTACCTCAGCCTACAAGTAAACGGGAGAGGCTGGGGGGGGTCTTTTGGGGGGTGTCCCCCGACAGGCACCGAAGCGCCCGGGGGTCAGAAGGAGCGTCTCTCCCGCTGCGCCCGCTTCCAACACCGAGTCGGCGAGCGGCTCTCCGGCGGGACTTGACTCTTGTGCCACTTCGGCCTCCTCCCCTCCTCCTCCTCGGAAAGTGGCGCAGCCCTTCCCTTCGCCCAGCCCTTCGCCTCAACCCACCTGCGTCGCTCAGCCAGTGGAGCAGCCGCCTCCGCCGCTCGCTTCAGCCTCTCCTCACACGGGAACCCAGCGGCCTGAGCGCTGCCGACGCAACCAACATGGCTGAGGGGGGAAGCCGGTGCCACGTCAAAAGGGGCAAGGAGCGCGCAGTGCGAGGCGCAGCCCGGAGAGAGGCGGGGTTTCGGGACGCTTTTTTTGTTCCCGCCTCTACCGCCGGGCGGCGAATGCGAGAGGGGCGGAGAAAGATGGAGCCCCGCCTACGGCTCAGGAGGCGAGGGCTGTGGAAGCGGGCTTTGGCGAGGGGCTTTGGTCCGAGCCTTGTCATCGACCCGATTCCTCACCAAGCGTCTGCTGTATTTCAGCGTTTGCTGGAAACTTTTCTGCGCCGCCGGGTTCACACAGACGATGAATAAAAACCTTCCTCCTCGCCTCCCCTACTAGTTTGCTGGCGATCTGAAAATGTGTGGTTTTTGTGTGTGTATAAATAGATAGATAATTATATATATATATATATATATATATATATATATATATATATGGTATATATATATATATAGTTAATATATATATATATATAGTTAATATATATAGTATGTGTGTATATATAGTGTGTGTATACAGTGGTACCTCGGGTTACATACGCTTCAGGTTACAGACTCTGCTAACCCAGAAATAGTGCTTCGGGTTAAGAACTTTGCTTCAGGATGAGAACAGAAATCGAGCTCCGGCGGCGTGGCGGCAGCAGGAGGCCCCATTAGCTAAAGTGGTGCTTCAGGTTAAGAACAGTTTCAGGTTCAGAACGGACCTCCGTAACGAATTAAGTACTTAACCCAAGGTACCACTGTATATGTGTGTGTGTGTGTATATATATATATATATATATATATATACCTATAGCGAACTGCCTTGATTTTTCTGTCAATGAAACGGTGGCATACAAAGTCTTCTGTAAATAAAAAGATGACCGGCGCTTAAAACCTTCCTGCTGCCGCTAGGTTAAAGGAGCACCTGTAGAGAGAGTGTTTCACAATAAGCACATTTTACTGTATTGGAAAGGGTCCTTCTTTTCCCAGTGCAGGAAAGAACTGGACAGGCCTATTACTGGTCCTCAGAAAAAGAAGAAGAAAAAGTCAGCCCTGTGCCTGACTTGTACCGGGGTCTTGAACATAGTGCTGCCTCCTCCTTTCCTGACAGCTGTTCCTTATACGGTACTGATATGTTCAACAGGTGCAGCATTTCTTGTCATGAAACTGCCATGAGTGGGAAAGCAGCGCCTGGATCTGATTTCTCTCCCAGAACATATCCCATTTTAGGTGATCTGGACCTCTGTCAGAAAAGGAGACAGCAACATTTTATGAATGTAGCCACTTTCCCGTGGAAAACACAAATTACATGGTGGGGTTATTCGAGTTTCCTGCCGTTTCAGTGTAATGGATGAGCCTCACCCTGTGAAAAACCACCTTCCTGGTTATCACGGTATCTCCCCTGCCAGGTAACTTCATATACAGAACCATTTTTATTGGCGTCAAATAAATAATTTGTTGAAAACAGTAGCTTGTCAGAGGCAGCCTAAATAAACCTCTGAGGAAGAAGCACCTTTTGAAACAGAAGACTTTGGTAATGTTTGTCCCTGAGGAAGGCATTTTGCTGAAACATCTTGGGCACCGTATTTCTTTTTAGCTCTTGTCAAACACAGTATCACATAAACGGCAAAGCACTACGCTAGTCATAATAAACAGTTTATAATCCTGGTCACTATAATTGATTGTTCCATGCAGAGGCACTGAGTTTTTAAAGGGGAGCATGCTGAATCCATGGCAAGTGTTACTGCAACCTCTGGCAAAATAGCACACCTCACTGCAGCACATTGAACCGAGAGACTGAAATTTAACTGGTGTAACTTTTTCCATCACTACATCTCCATACCATGGGGTGCTCAAAGATATTCAATGGCTGTGTACTGCAAGTGGGGTTGTTACTATAATCAAATGTGTGTGGGGGGGTGTAAATCCAGTCTCATATAACCAGTATGCTTAACTCTAATCCATTAGAAGTATTCCACTGCCCAGAGGCAAGAGGCAAACATTCTCAGTACATTTAAAACTCTAAATTTACCACAACACTAAAAATGATCCACCATTAGTGACTATTTAAAATGTGTTTCTGAATTCAACATTTCTGTTGTTTAGGTGTAAAAAATGTCTTTTAAGGACAGACTTTTTCGGGTTGGATTGCACATATGTTTTGAAAGCACACTGAGATAATGTATAGATTCGGCCGGGGTTAGAATATAAACGAGGAAAACTCCACTTGGGTTATGAAGCCAAGCGTGTCTGGTCATCGCCCTGGCAAGCAAGGGGCCGAGTGCTCAGCAGCGCAGGGACGACGAAGGGAACTAATAACAGTCTAAAACAACTTCTCCGGAGGTGCACTAAACCAAGGCGGTCGCTGGAACTGAGAGGCAGCAGCCCCTGGCTGGACGCGGCTTGGCTGGGAAGAGCGGGAGGAGGCGGAGCCACTCTCACATGTAGATGAGGCGCCGCCGCAGAGCATTATGGGAGAGCACGAAACGGGCTTCGCGGGCCTTCGGAGAGGTCGGGGCTCCGAGAGGCTGGACGGGTACATGATGCCCGGCTGCGGGTGAGCGAAGGGAAGCGAGGATGGGACCCTCGTGTGGGGCTTGGTATGCTCGCAGTGCCCTGTAAGAGCGCGGGAGGACGGCGGCCCGGATCCTGTCGTAGGAGAAAGCATACTTACCTGGCAGGGGAGACACCTTGATCATGAAGGAGGTTTTCCCAGGGTGAGGCTCATCCATTGCACTGCGGGTGTGCTGACCCCTGCGATTTCCCCAAATGCGGGAAACTCGACTGCATAATTTGTGGTAGTGGGGGACTGCGTTCGCGCTTTCCCCTGATCTCTCGTGTGCAAAAAAACAGAATTTATGTGCTTTATTCATATTTTTATCTATGTTGTATTCAACGTTCAATTTCATTTCAACTTTGATTAAAAAAAAAATCTCAGGAAGTTGGCCGCACTTTGGTCACTAAAGTTGCCTGACGAGGAGTGCTACTTGCTAGGAATCACATGAACAGATTGCATGTCCACAAGAAACACTGTGAAGTTGCCCTGGCTTTATTAGCTTTTCCGCAGATGATGGCTTTGCGGTAGCGCCATCCTACTGCGTTCCTGGAAATCTTGTAAATATATTGAGTATTCTTTAGGTAATAGCTGAAGAGCGTTTCTTTTCCATCTGGCTTTAATTTCCACACTAGTTCTTCTCATTGCCCACTGCACCCCACGTTTCTTTTTAATGCTAAGGCACTCGGTCAGGTTCCTGCTGATCCTTTTCGCGGCAACTCTTCTGCCTTCGTTTTGCTCAGTAGCTTTTCCTTGGGAAAGTGCCTCCGATCGCCTTCTCTGTGGTATTTCCCTTAACTACAAGTTAGGTTAACAAAGTTTGTCCCGAGCTGGACTCCGTAGCTGAGGGGTGGGGAATGAGAGGAGCACAGCAATAGAGACGGACCAATTGGGCAGACAAATGTGAGTAATAACGCCTGAAAGTTTAAGGGACCCCTGACCATTAGGTCCAGTTGCGGACGACTCTGGGGTTGCGGCGCTCATCTTGCTTTATTGGCTGAAGGAGCCGGCGTACAGCTTCCGGGCCATGTGGCCAGCATGACTAAGCCGCTTCTGGCAAACCAGAACAGCGCATGGAAACGCTGTTTACCTTCCCGCCGGAGCGGTACCTATTTATCTACTTGCACTTTGACGTGCTTCCAAACTGCTAGGTTGGCAGCAGCAGGGACCAAGCAATGGGAGCTCACCCCGTCGCAGGGATTCAAACCGCCAACCTTCTGATCAGCAAGCCCTAGGCTCTGTGGTTCAACCCACAGCACCACCTACATCCCAATAACGCCTTAGGAATCACTGAAATCTATTTCTTCAACGTCTGGGGGTGGATAACCAGCCCCGGCCTGTCTCTTAGGCTGTGGAGCGAAAGCATGTCTGGTCCTTGCCCTTATAATAATTGTAGTAGTGCAGCTCATGCAACATGTTGGCAATTAATATACACAGAACAATAATTATACATACTTTATCAACCTTCTGAGAAAAATACAAAACATTAAATAAAGCCACAGAGACTTGTGAACTGACAAGCCTAAGATGCACTTATAATGTCTGGTTTCAATAGATTTTTCAAATGCTGAACTCAGTCTTTTAGAGAAGTTCATGAAGATACCAACAAAAGGTAAGTTCGTTGTTATTCACAATACCGAGAGATGCTAGTGGAGTTGTAGAGACAGGGTGCCAGCATTTTGCACGTGTTTCACCCTGGCAGTCCAAGTAATCAAGAGGCCGCTGTTCACCCCCAATGGGGGGCCCTTTTACTGGGGCTTGCAGGTAGCACACTCCCAAGATAGTTTTCCGGCCTTCTTCAGTGGTCTAATCTCAAAGTCTTGATACAGTGGTACCTCAGGTTAAGTACTTAATTCATTCTGGAGGTCCATACTTAACCTGAAACTGTTATTAACCTGAAGCACCGCTTTAGCTAATGGGGCCTCCTGCTGCCGCCGCGCCGCCGCCGCACGATCTCTGTTCTTATCCTGAAGCAAAGTTCTTAACCCGAGGTAATATTTCTGGGTTAGCGGAGTCTGTAACCTGAAGCGTATGTAACCCGAGGTACCACTGTACATATATTGATATTCAATCTTAGAGAGAATACTCTTTCTTGGCTTAAGCTTAAAAAACTGATTTGCTATTGAAACCAGACATTATAAGTTCATCTTAGTCTGGTCAGTTCGCAAGTCTATGTGGCTTTATTTAATGTTTTACATTTTTCTCAGAAGGTTGATAAAGTATGTATAATTATTGTTCTGTGTATATTAATCGCCAACGTGTTGCCTGAGTCACACTACTTCTATCAGCAGCACAGGTTGCATTTTTCCAGCTTATAATAATTGCAGGCAAGGCGCCGAGGGCTCGACAGTACAAAGTACTGTACAAAGGAACAGAGGCCTTTGGCCAGAGCGGGGCTTGGCTGGGAAGAGCGGGAGGAGGAGGAGGAGGAGGAGCCACTCCCGCATGCAGATGAGGTGCCGCCGCAGAGCATTGTGGGGGAGCACGAAACGGGCTTCGCGGGCCTTCGGAGACGTCGCAGATTCGTCAGGCTGCGCCGGTAGATGATGCCCGACTGCGAGCGAGCGAAGGGAAGCGGGGACGGGACCCTCGGGTGGGCCTTGGTATGTTCGCTGTGCCTTGAAGGGGTGCAGGAGGACGGCGGCCCGGATCCGGTCTGATCAGAAAGCATACTTACCTGGCAGGGGAGACACCTTGATCATGAAGGAGGTTTTCCCAGGGTGAGGCTCATCCATTGCACTGCGGGTGTGCTGACCCCTGCGATTTCCCCAAATGCGGGAAACTCGACTGCATAATTTGTGGTAGTGGGGGACTGCGTTCGCGCTTTCCCCTGATCATTCGTGTGCAAAAAACAGAAATAATGTAGCTACTTTACTATCTGCAGCATGTGATTGATGTCCTATATCACCCAAAAGTTTCTAGTGTACTATTATTGCGTGGCGAGTTCCCGCCTCCCACCAGGATAAATAAAGACACAAGACACCATTATTTAAGGTTAATTGGGCGAATTAGGCCACAACTTTATTGAATTCAGGAATGAGAGGCATTGGCTTAGGCATTGGTCCTATCGACTATCCGGCTCCAGCCCATTTGCTGGAGACCCGGGGAAGGGTTAACATCTCCTGGCGAGGCACGTCCGACTAGGAGCTCCCCGGGTCACCGCTCTGGGGCGTGCCTTTGGCCCACACCTCCATAGGCTTCGGACAGGGCCACGCCCCCCGGAGTCCTTTAACGGACCACCCTTCGCTCACTGGGGGGAGGTGATGGCGTTCCTCCCCCCACACACATCCTCTTAACCCCTTCTTACCAATGCCTACCGCCATACGAGCAATTTAGTCGTGACTGCATGGAGCAGAGCCTGCATGCTGGTAGCTTCGAGAACACTGTCCAAACATCTCGTCCTCTGTCGTCCCCTTCTCCTTGTGCCCTCCATCTTTCCCAGCATCAGGGCCTTTTCCAGGGAGTCTTCTCTTGTCCTGAGGTGGCCAAAGTATTGGAGCCGCAGCTTCACGATCTGTCCTTCCAGTGAGCACTCAGGGCTGATTTCCTTAAGAATGGATACGTTTGATCTTCTTGCAGTCCATGGGACTCTCAAGAGTCTCCTCCAGCACCATAATTCAAAAACATCAATTCTTCGGCCTTCTTTATGGTCCAGCTCTCACTTCCAGTGTAATATATGGGAGGTGTATTTAAAATCGTTACTGTGCAATCCAATGTAAAGGTAAAGATTAAGGAGCCCTGACAGTTAAGTCCAGTCGTGAACGACTCTGGGGTTGCGGTGTTTCTCCACAGACAGTTTTTCCGGGTGATGTGGCCAGCATGACTAAGCCACTTCTGGCAAAACCAGAGCAGCACACGGAAACACCATTTACCTTCCCACCAGGGTGGTACCTATTTATCTACCTGCACTTTTTTTTTTAAGATCACGTTTTATTTTTCATTCAGAATTGCTGCAGGTTTTCATCATTCCTGCAGGTGGTAACACAACAGCTGCTATTTAAACTGTGCATGTTGACACATACATCATATTAGAGTGACCTATAGAGACTCTAATCAAATCTACATTGAAGGAATTAAACTTAAAATGGCAAATAAAGAGCGAGGAGACTCATAAATATATGTAGCCTTATTGCAACCTTATTGGTTTATTAGAATTCTATCCTGCCTTTCCACAGAAGACCCCTTAGGCAGCTTACAAAATTTAGCCATATGAAATCAGAATACAGTGGTACCTCGGGACCAGAACTTAATTTGTTCTGGGGGTCTGTTCTTAACCTGAAACTGTTCTTAACCTGAGGTACCACTTTAGCTAATGGGGCCTCCCGCTGCCGCCACGCCGCCAGAGCACAATTTCTGTTCTCATCCTGAAGCAAAGTTCTTAACCCGAGGTACTATTTCTGGGTTAGCGGAGTCTGTAACCTGAAGCGTCTGTAACCTGAGGTACCACTGTAAAAACAATTAAAAGTGCACTTTGACGTGCTTTTGAACTGCTAGGTTGGCAGGAGCTGGGACTGAACAATGGGAGCTCACCCCATCGCGGGGATTCAAACCGCCTTCCGATCGGCAAGCCCAAGGCTCAGTGGTTTACACCACAGTATACAAAACAGGAGATATACAAGAAGGTAGAGCTCGACTGCATAATTTGTGATACTGGGGATTGTGTTCATGCTTTCCATTAACTGGTGTTAAAAAAAAACACAATTTAGACTGCAGATAGTACTTGATTTGATAATTATTTATTAAAATACAGCAAGTTTGACATTCGTTTTTTATTATGTCTGTTAAATACTTGCTTCGCTGTTTGTTTTTCATTCCTTTCTTCACAGAGCAGAGGGGCTGCAGGCTGCTGGACAGGTTTCAGCAGGAGGATTGAGGTGGCTCCTCCATTTGGGAACGGGGGTGGGGGGTAGCAACTGGGTAACTGCCTTCTAGGGGCTATTAAAGGGTGGGCTTTTCTTTTCTTTTTTTCCAATTTTTTCTATTGGTTTTCCAAATTAATAACAAACATAAAAGAAAAACATTACAATATAAAAAAACATACAAACAATTATCCTAGCTATTATAATCCCACTTTTGTACCATTATTGAGTGACTTCCTCGAATCCCCCTAGCTGAGTTTCCATGTAAATCATTGTAGCAGTTTTCCAATACTATTTTCAAATAAGATTAACTTGGTCGATTAACTTCTTTCTTTCTTATCATATTAACTTCTATCCATAATATTATGCTATTTAACATACTTAACTCCTAAGCCAATACGGTACTCACAAATAATTCTACTTATATAATCTTAGAATATTTGGCTAAATAATCCTTAAATTTCTTCCATTCTTCTTGATACTCCTCCTCTTTCTGTTCGCGGATTCTTCTGGTCAGGTCGGCCAGCTCCAAAAAGTCCATCATCTTCCTCTGCCATTCCTCCACTGTTGGTATTTCTTGTAATTTTCAATTTTTGGCTAACAGAATTCTTGCTGCAGTTGTGACATATAAAAACAATCTAACATCTTTCTTGGGCAATTCCAAACCTATTATTCCAAGTAGAAAGGTTTTTTAATAAATGTATATTTCAACATCTTTTTCAACTCATTATAAATCTTTTCCCAGAAGTCTTTCACCTTGGGACATGTCCACCACATATGATAAAAGGTACCTTCCTTTTCTTTACATTTCCAACATAAGTTATCACTCATATGATAAATCTTTGCTAGTTTTACTGGGGTTAAGTACCATCTATGCATCATTTTCATGATATTTTCTTTTAGTACAGTACAGTAAACTTAACCCCTTTATTCCACAACCTTTCCCAACCTTCCCACATTATATTGTGCCCAACATCTCTTGCCCAATCTATCATCACAGATTTGACTTGTTCATCCATTGTATGCCACTCCAACAGTAAATTATACATTTTCGATAAGTTTTTGACATTAGTACCTAACAACTCCATTTCCAAATTGTTTTTTTCCGATGCAAACCCATTTTTCTTATCAAGCTTAAACCATTCGTTGATCTGATAATACTGTAGCCAATCCAATTTAATTTGCTCAAATGGTCTTAATTTAAATCCTTTATTATCTTCCAACAATAAATCCGAATATCTCAACCATTTATTCTCCATATTTAACTTTTTCTGGGCCTTTGCTTCCATAGGTGAAGGGTGGGCTTTTCCACTCGCCCCTTCACAGGTGCCTCTCTGCTCCCCCTAGGATGCCCTCAGTTGATCTCCAGGTCACTGTCCTCACTGAGGCAGGAGGAGGAGGCATCGAGGACAGAGGTGAGGAGCACCAGGTCCTTCTCAGGGAGCAGGCCGCACTCCTGCAGGAAGCCCTCCAGGTCCCCGGTGAAGAAGTCCTCACCCAGCTGGTCAGTGACACGGACAAAGTTGCCCACCAGCTCCCCACCCTTGTAGACCAGGAGTGCCGGCAGGGCGCTGGTGGTGAAGCGGGAGCTGGCGCCGATCAGGGAGCTCCGCACCCGGCAGAACTTGACCACGGGGTACTCAGTGGCCAGGCAGACCATGCATCCGTGGAGGGAGTCGGCCCCTGGGACATCATCCTCGTAGACGTGGACCATCACCAGGGAATTCTTGGGCGCTTTGTCGATGGTGTCCAGGAAGGCCTCCCCACTGTGGATCTCGACAACCTGCTGGAAGTGCTGCCCACCGCGCAGCTGCAGCCGCATCTCCTCCATGCGCCGTTTGCGGTACTGCTGCAGGAACTCCTCGTCATCTGGGCCCTCACGCAGCGCGCTGTACTCCTGCAGGGTTAGCTTGCCATCCAGCTTTTTCTGGAGCTCCTGCTGCTTCCGCTTGTCCTCCTCATCGTCCAGGTGGGACCTGCATGTCATCGAGAGCTTCTGGATGAGGCGTTTCATCTCCCGGCACTGTTCCTCTCGCTGCTCTGTCTCCAGCTGCTTGAATCTCCTCCAGTCGTTGATCACCCCTTTGGGGCCTGTGTTTACCGAACCGCCATCGCTCTTTGACATGGCCATCTGTTGGTTAGTGGGGTCGCAGCATGCTGTTAAGTTCCCTTTCCACATTGCTAGTGCCACACAGTCTTCGAAAGATTTGAAATTATTCTTTGTAGGCAAGGAAGGTAAGACAAACAAATTCCCTGACAGGTCTCCCGCCACTCTTTCCCGTTGTTCCTGTGTAACTCTTTCTGCAGAATGTGGTTTGGAAGAGACTTCTAGATCTATAGTATGTTTCACACAAGGAAGAATGTAAGCTAGAAGAAAACAGAGAGGTAGTTTAGTGGAAGAAGGCAGCTCAAAGTATAAGTGTTGGAACGACAGGAATACATAGGGCTCAGGATCTGCGAGGAAGGAAATGGTTAGAAAAGGGCATCCATGGAGAATATTGATTGCTGAAATCTTAGATTGAAGAAACAAAACAAACCTCTCAACATTTCCTTAAGGAACAGAAGAGAAGAGTACTTCAGATCTAGACAGGGATCAAAGCCACTACATATTCCAGGGCAAAGGGCTGTTGCTAGCCTAGTGCCCCCCAGTTTGAAAATGATGCTTTCAAAAGTAGTTTGCCATGAGGCATTGTTAGGATCCAAGCAGTCTGGTTTGGAGATGCAAGGAACTAACTGTCAGGCTAACTGAGACAGGTAGGCTGTGCTGCTCACATGTCAAATGGGGCGCCTGAAGGCCGATCCTGATAGGGATCTGGTGTGTGGAGCCAAAAAGGCTCCTGCTTTAGAGAAACAGAGCATTTTCGAGGGCTTGCTCCACTCTTTAACCTGCTAGGTATTGCTGTGTGACCACCATTGTCCTCTTGTCTGCAGCACTTTGCAGTGGAGTAAGAAAATCAGCAGGAATCTGCTGCTCTTCTGCAGTGTGCACACACACCCTGAATTTTTCCTGTGTGTTATTACATGCCTGCAATTCCTCCTGCAGCAACCGTTTTTCTGGCACCGCCCCCAGACACTGATTCCTCCTTCACCCCATTTTCCACAGCAGGCTCCCAAGGAGTGGAGAAATCAGGCAGAAGCTCCTCAGCTCCAGGCAGGGCATCCTTCTGGTTTTTGAAACACCAGTTAGTGGAAAGCATGAACACAATCCCCGGTATCACAAATTATGCAGTCGAGTTCTACCTTCTTGTTATGTTTTGTATATTCTATATCGGATTGCACAGTAACGATTTTAAATACACCTCCCATAAATTACACCAGAAACTTTTGGACTCCATAGGACTGTCTTAGTCTAAAAAACAAACCAAAGAGCAAAAGAAAATGTACACAAAAAAGCCGCAAGTCCTGCAAAGAAACAGGCATCAGTCACATGCCACCAAAAGTAAAGATACTACATTACTTCTAGAACTTTCATTTCTGTTTTTTTGCACATGAATTGTCAGGGGAAAGCGCGAACGCAGTCCCCCACTACCACAAATTATGCAGTCGAGTTTCCCGCATTTGGGGAAATCGCAGGGGTCAGCACACCCGCAGTGCAATGGATGAGCCTCACCCTGGGAAAACCTCCTTCATGATCAAGGTGTCTCCCCTGCCAGGTAAGTATGCTTTGGGATCAGACCGGACCCGGGCCGCCGTCCTCCCGCGCTCTTCCAGAGCACAGCGAGCATACCAAGACCCGCCCGACTGCCCCGTCCCCGCTTTCCTTTCCTCGCTCGCAATCGGGCATCATCTACCGGCCCAGCCTGACGGACCCTGACTTCTCCGAAGGCCCGCGAAGCCCGTTTCATGCTCCCCCATAATGCTCCGCGGCGGCACCTCATCTGCATGCGAGAGTGGCTCCGCCTCCTCCCGCTCTTCCCAGCCAAGCCCCGCTCTGGCCAAAGGCCTCTGTTCCAGCGGCCGCCTTGGTTGTAGTCCTTGTACTGTCGAGCCCTCGGCGCCTGGCCTGCAATGCTTATAAGGGCAAGGACCAGACACGCTTTGGCTCCATAGCCCAAGGGTCAGGCCCGGGGCTGGTCATCCACCCCAGACGTTGAAGAAATAGACTTCAGTGATTCCTAAGGCGTTACTAGCATTTGTCCGCCCAATTGGTCCGTCTCTATTGCTGTGCTCCTCTCATTCCCCACCCCTCAGCTTTGGAGTCCAGCTTGGGACAAACTTGTTAACCTAACTTGTAGTTAACAGAAATACCACAGAAAAGGCGATTGGAGGCACTTTCCCAAGGAAAAGCTACTGAGCAAAACGGAGGCAGAAGAGTTGCTGCGAAAAGGATCCTCAGGAACCTGACGGAATGCCTTAGCACTAAAAAGAAACGTGGGGTGCGGTGGGCAATGAGAACGCCATGAGAAGAACTAGCGTGGAAATTAAAGCGAGATGGAAAAGAAACGCCCTTCAGCTATTACCTGAAGAATACTCAATATATATACATGATTTCCACGAACGCCGTAGGACGGTGCTACGGGCCACATGATCTCCTGCAATGATTTTGCAAAGTTTTTTGCAGATAAAGTCCCTCAGATTCGAGAAGAGGTAGACTCCACCGTGGGAACAGGGTTGGGGCCGGAGAGTGCTAGAGTCCTGTCTAGTCAAGTTGTGTGGGATCAATTCCAATCTGTTACCTCCAAGGATGTGCACAGGCTGCTTGGACTAGTGAAACCAACCACCTGTCTCCTTGATCCTTGCCCATCCTGGCTTATAAAAGCTAGCTGGAAATGGCTGGGCGATGGGGGCACAGATCAATTCTGTGTCCAGGGCAGCTGTTTACCAGGTATGCAGGCTGAGACCCTACCTGCCCGCAGACTGTCTCGCCAGAGTGGTGCATGCTCTGGTTATTTCTCACTTGGACTACTGCAATGCGCTCTATGTGGGGCTACCTTTGAAGGTGACCCGGAAACTACAACTAATCCAGAATGCAGTAGCTAGACTGGTGACTGGAAGCGGCTGCCAAGACCATATAACACCGGTCTTGAAATACCTATACTGCCTCAAAGTACGTTTCTGAGCACAATTCAAAGTGTTGGTGCTGACCTTTAAAGCCCTAAACGGCCTCGGTCCAGTATACCTGAAGGAGCGTCTCCACCGCCATTATTCTGCCCAGACACTGAGGTCCAGCGCCGAGGGCCTTCTGGTGGTTCACTCGCTACGAGAAGCCAAGTTACAGGGAACCAGGCAGAGGGCCTTCTTGGTAGTGGCACCCGCCCTGTGGAATGCCCTCCCACCAGATGTCAAAGAGAAAAATAACTACCAAACCTTTAGAAGACATCTGAAGGCAGCCCTGTTTAGGGAAGCTTTTAATGTTTAATAGGTTATTGTATTTTAATGTTTTGTTGGAAGCGGTCCAGAGTGGCTGGGAAAACACAGCCAGATGGGCGGGGTATAAATAATAAATTATTATTATTATTATTATTATTATTACTGCAAAGCCATTGTCTGCGGAAAAGGTTATAAAGCCAGAGCAACTTCGCGGTGTTTCTTGTGGTTATCCAATCAGTTCATGTTAGAACGTAAGAAAACGGGGATGAGACCCAACACCTACTGTACTTGGTGGAATGCTCTTCTCCCAGGGACCAACCAGACAGACGTGTCTCTTGTGAATCCCACAAGGAGGCCGTGAGCACAGGATCCCTTTGGCACTCCTGATTCCTAGCAAGTAGCACTCAATGTCAGGCAACTTTACTGACCAAAATGTGGCCAATTTCCTGAGAAGTTTGATTTTAATCAGAATTGCAACAAATTTGAAAGTGGAATACAATGTAGAAAAAGAGTATGAACAAGGCATATTAATTCTGTTGTTTGCACACTAGTCATTCCTCCTGCTGCACCCGTTTTTCTGGCACACACCCCCAGACAATGATTCCTCCTTCACCCTCTTTTCCACAGCAGGCCCCCAAGAAGTGGAGAACTCAGGCAGAAGCTCCTCAGCTCCAGGCAGTGCATCCTTCTGGGGTTTTTTAACACCAGTTAGTGGAAAGCATGAACACAAAGCCCCGGTATCACAAATTATGCAGTCGAGTTCTAACTTCTTGTTATGTTTTGTATATTCTATATTGGATTGCACAGTAACAATTTTAGATACACCTCCCATATACTACACTAGAAACTTTTGGACTCCATAGGACTGTCTCAGTTTGAAAAACAAACCAAAGAGCAAAAGAAAATGTACACAAAAAAGCCAGAATCCTGCAAATCAACGGGCACCACTCACATGCCACAAAATAAAGTAACAACATTACTTCTACAACTTTCATTTCTGTTTTTTTTGCACACGAATGAGCAGGGGAAAGCGCGAACGCAGTCCCCCACTACCACAAATTATGCAGTCGAGTTTCCCGCATTTGGGGAAATCGCAGGGGTCAGCACACCCGCAGTGCAATGGATGAGCCTCACCCTGGGAAAACCTCCTTCATGATCAAGGTGTCTCCCCTGCCAGGTAAGTATGCTTTCTTATCAGACCGGACCCGGGCCGCCGTCCTCCCGCATCCCTTCAAAGCACAGCGAACATACCAAGACCCGCCCGAGGGCCCTGTCCTCGCTTTCCTTCCCTCGCTCGCAGTCGGGCATCATCTACCTGTCCAGTCTGACGGAGCCCCAACCTCTCTGAAGGCCCGCGAAGCCCGTTTCATGCTCCCCCATAATGCTCCGCGGCGCCGCCTTATCTGCATGCAAGAGTGGCTCCGCCTCCTCCCGCTCTTCCCAGCCAAGCCCCGCTCCGGCCAAAGGCCTCTGTTCCAACAGCCGCCTGGGTTGTAGTCCTTGTACTGTCCAGCCCTCGGCGCCTTGCCTGCAGTTACTCTAAGGACAAGGACCAGACACGCTTTGGCTCCACAGCCCAAGGGTCAGGCCCGGGGCTGGTCATCCACCCCTGACGTTGAAGAAACAGACTTCAGTGATTCCTAAGGCGTTACTACTCACATTTGTCCGCCCAAATGGTCCGCCTCTATTGCTGTGCTCCTCTCATTCCCCACCCCTCAGCTACGGAGTCCAGCTCGGGACAAACTTGTTAACCTAATTTGTAGTTAACAGAAAGACAGTGGTACCTCGGATTAAGTACTTAATTCGTTCCGGAGGTCCGTACTTAACCTGAAACTGTTCTTAACCTGAAGCACCACTTTAGCTAATGGGGCCTCTTGCTGCTGCCACGCCGCCGGAGCACGATTTCTGTTCTCATCCTGAAGCAAAGTTCTTAACCTGAAGCACTATTTCTGGAGTGTGTAACCTGAAGCGTATGTAACCCGAGGTACCACTGTACTACAGAGAAGGCGATTGGAGGCACTTTCCCAAGGAAAAGCTACTGAGCAAAACGGAGGCAGAAGAGTTGCTGGGGAAAGGATCCGCAGGAACCTGACCGAACGCCTTAGCATTAAAAAGAAACGTGGGGTGCGGTGGGCAATGAGAACGCCATGAGAAGAACTAGTGTGGAAATTAAAGCGAGATGGAAAAGAAACCTCCTTCAGCTATACCTGAACAATGCTCAATATATATACAAGATTTCCACGAATGCCGTAGGATGGCGCTACTGCAAAGCCATTGTCTGCAGGAAAGCTTATAAAGCCAGGGCAACTTCGCAGTGTTTCTTGTGGAAATGCAATCTGTTGATGTTAGAACGTAAGAAAACTGGGATGAGACCCAACACGCACTTGGTGCAACGCTCTTCTCCCGTGGACCAACCAGGCAGTCGTGTCTCTTGCGAATCCCACAAGGAGACCAGAGCACAGGATCCCTTCGGCACTCGCGATTCCTAGCAAGTAGCACTCATCGGCGCGCAACTTTACTGACCAAGGTGCGACCAGTTTTCTCAGACGTTCATTTTTTTAAATCAGAATCGCGATGAATTTGAACGTGAAATACAACGTAGAAAAATAATATGAATAAAGCACACAAATTCTGTTTTTTTGCACACGAGAGATCAGGGGAAAGCGCGAACGCAGTCCCCCACTACCACAAATTATGCAGTCGAGTTTCCCGCATTTGGGGAAATCGCAGGGGTCAGCACACCCGCAGTGCAATGGATGAGCCTCACCCTGGGAAAACCTCCTTCATGATCAAGGTGTCTCCCCTGCCAGGTAAGTATGCTTTCTCATCAGACTGGACCCGGCCCGCCGTCCTCCCGCGCTCTTACAGGGCACTGCGAGCATACCAAGCCCCACACGAGGGTTCTGTCCTCACTTCTCTTCGCTCGCCCGCAGCCGGGCATCATCTACCGGCCCAGCCTGACGGACCCTGACCTCTCCGAAGGCCCGCGAAGCCCGTTTCATGCTCCCCCATAATGCTCCGCGGCGGCACCTCATCTGCATGCGGGAGTCGCTCTGGCTCCGCCTTCTCGCACTCTTCCCAGCCAAGCCTCAGCAGAGAGCGAGGGGGCGTGGAACTCTGCCTGTGTCTCTGGGTTCGGGTGGCAGTCTTTGTTTTGACTGCCTTGTCCGACGGAGTTCTGCTTCCCCACACCACTCTGCCTACGATGCCGGTCTCTCGAGCCTTTGCTTGATCTGCACGTGGATAAGCAAGCAGAGGAGATGACCACTCATTGGCTCCAAGAGGCAGGGATGGATTTTTTTTAATAAAAAAATTTTTAAAAGGGAAATCTTTATTAGTCACATCCAGTCACCTTTCAGCCTAATTTTTTCCTGCCTATTTATCTCTGCTCCTTCCACCTGCCCTCGCCCCCCCAGCCAAGCTACTGGGTTCCGCTCAGGACGACGAACGTATTTAACACAAGTTTACAGTTAACAGAGTACAACAGGGAGGACATTTAGCACTATTTTCACAAGGAGACCCTAAAGAATAGAATAGCGGAAGCGAAAACTATCCGTCAAAACATAACTTTAGTATTAAAAAGTTACCTCTAGCCGAAAATAGTGAGAACCCCATAAGAATCAATAATCTGAATTAATGCAAAATGCAAAACAAAAAACCAGCAACCAAAATACATAAGCTGTTATATGAACAATACGGTACTACTCAACCGATATTTCTTGAACTTTCCAAAATACACCATAAGATGGCGCTACGGTAAAGCTATTGTCTCCAAAAAAGCGCATATAAAGCAGGACAAAACGATCTTCTATCTGCACAGAACCTTGTAGAAAACAGTTTGTCATTAGAACATAAGAAAAGACTTGCTGCATCAGCCTAAGGGCCATCTGGTCCAACACTCTGTTATCTTGGGAGCCAACCAGACACCTCTTTGGGGAAGCTCACAAGAGAGACATGAGCACAACGGCACTTTCCCCACCCAATTCCCAAGCATCTCATGTGTATACTGGAATAGTACACGGTGTTCTTTTAATGATTCATGGCATGTTTTTGTACACCTTCCTTCATTTTTCATCTATTTTTCTAAACTTTACAAAAGTGCAATTTGGCTGAGGTTGTGTAAACACAGTAGAGGCTGCGATGGAGGTACCTTGAGAATATACACCCAGGAGGCTGAATAAATTAGGTCCAATAGAAGGGTGTTTGTTTGTTTGTTTTTTACTGTTTGTATATCTTCATATATTTTGGTTTCATCAAAGGTGCTGAAGAAAATGAGACTAATGGAACACTTTGGAAACTGAAAATGTGATTTTCAAACAGCAGCTTATACACCACTATAACACATGAGTAGGGTTGCCATCTGTCTTGTATATCACAGGATCGTCCCATATTTCAATGTAAAATACAATGTATTGATACAGTTTGTCCTGTATTTCAGGTCTTCTTTCTCTCTCTGCCAAGTTAGGGAACCTCTCCAAATGCATGTGTTTGAAAGGGTAGTGAAAGGTCAGGTATTTAAGCTCTGGGTAGCAAAGAACAGACAGATTTACAATTTCATGTGTATGTGATTGTGTGTGAAAATTTCCAGAAGGGAAATCCTGTTAGGCTGCAGTAGATTGCAATGGATTGCTTTGAAGTCACTTCAGCACCAGATAAAAAAAAAGAAATTGCCCCCCATCCCCCTGCCCCGTATTTTGCCAGAACAGATTAAAAAAAAGAAATCGCCCCCCACCCCCCTGCCCTGTATTTTACCAGAACAAAGGTGGCAACCCTATGTGAGTCAGCCTAGTGCAATGGTTTTCAGCCAGTGTGCCATGGCACCCTGGGGTGCCTTGAATGATGGCCAGGGGTGCCACGGGCAACACTGGCTTATGTCCCTCTTTCCTTCCCTCCCTCCTCCTCCCTCCTCTGATGCCCTCTCGCATCTTTGCCTCCCAAAGGCTTGCACAGCTGTTCGTTGCAGCAGCCCTGGCTACAAGCTCCACAGGTGAATGGTGCCTCTGGGGCTGGTCAGGGGGTGCTGGTTGTCAGAGCTGAGGTGGCTTCAAAGTAAGCAAGTGGGTCAAGGAGCCCAGCCAGCTAGTCCACCAGCCCTTGCTGTTGGGAATGGACAGACAAGTCCCAGGACCCAGTGAGAAAACGTGAGGAGGTACCTCTCTTTGGGGCAACGGGGGCAGCTCAGAGACCAGGGGCGACGGCAGCGGCTGCCCAGAGGACTCCCAAGGAGAGGAGGCTGAGGGAACACTCCACAAGGAAGGATGTTCAAAAAGGGTGAGAGGCTGCCAGCTCTGCAGGCAAGGGGTGGCATAACTGAGCTTCTGAGCCCCACAGGGGTGTTGCAGAAAGAATGTAGTTGATCAAGGGAGCCGTGGACGCCAAAAGGTTGAAAACCTCAGGTCTAGTGTGGCACTGGGACTGGGCCAAGGGTTCAAATCTCCACTTGGATTGTATGACATTGGGCAGGCCATTGCTTCTCAGCCTAACCTACCTCACAGAGTCGTTGTGGGGATTAGATGAGGAGGGGGCAGAACCATGTATACCACCTTGAGCTCCTTAGAGAAAAAGGTGGGATAAACTGTAAATGCAATAAAGGAATCCTCCCAAGTGAGGCTGCCTCTCATCACCTTTTTAACACCCCCAGGCAGTGTGCAAAACTCCCATTGTTCTAGGTGCATTTTGCAACAGGGAATTTCATTAGCGTGAGCAGTTTCTGAGCCCTGGGCGCAGTACTGCACCTAAGATTTCAGATTCAAAATTGCAAAGTGGAAGGAAAGGAGTACCTTTTTCTGCCTCCCCACATCAGCTACTCTCTGAAGACTGGAGAAGAGACCCTCTTAAGAATATGAGGGGGATAGGCAGGGGAAGGACTAGACCAGGGGTTCCAGGGGTCAGCAAACTTTTTCAGCAGGGGGCTGGTCCACTGTCCCTCAGACCTTGGAGGGGGCAGACTATATTTGGAGGGGGAAATGAACAAATTCCTATGCCCCACAAATAACCCAGAGATGCATAAAAGGACACATTCTACTCATGTAAAAACACACCCATTCCCAGACCATCCGTGGGCCAGATTTAGAAGGTGATTGGGCCACATCTGGCCCCCAGGCCTTAGTTTGCCTACCCATGGACTAGACCATGTGAAAAATGAACATCATATTTTAGCTGCTGACGCGGTCGGCGGTTCGAATCCCCGCGACAGGGTGAGCTCCCGTTGCTCGGTCCCTGCTCCTGCCAACCTAGCAGTTCGAAAGCACAAAGCACAAGTAGATAAATAGGTACCGCTCCGGCGGGAAGGTAAATGGCATTTCCATGCGCTTCTCTGGTTCGCCAGAAGCCGCTTAGTCCTGCTGGCCACATGACCCGGAAGCTGTACGCCAGCTCCCTCGGCCAGTAAAGTGAGATGAGCGCCGCAATCCCAGAGTCGGCCACAACTGGACCTAATGGTCCCCCCTTTACATTCATTTTCAGCTTTGTATTCTTGTTATAAAATAGCGCGCCTAGCCATTCCGTTGTGGCGCCCATAACTTAGGTTTAAGGTGCCATTGAGCTCCTAGTTTTCCTATCTCAGTTTCTAACATTGCCCCCAGGGAGCCCATAAGCCTCGCTGAACACAGAGCTCTGAGCCCACCCAAGACGCAGCCGGCCTCTTAATAGCCTCCTGAGGGAGAGGGGTGGGCGGGGCTGACTCCCGGAGCAGGTGCGTCTCCTCCTTCCCGGCATCCACTCCGAACGGAGGGGCGGGAAGAAGGCCTCTTATGGCGGTGCCTGGCTGGTGATGACATCAGGAGGCGACGAGTCGCGAAGTTTGGCTCCGCGCGGTGGGGGCGGCTGGGGGTTGCGCGCGGGTTGCCTTGACGCCGGCCAGGGGCCGCTCCTCGCCTGCCTGCCGGGCCGCCGCGGATGGTAAGCCGAGCACCGGCTGGAGGGGTGCGGGGAAGGCGGAGCTCGAAGCGGCCCCGAGCCGTCCATAATGGGCTTCGGGCCTGCCTGCGCCGCCTGCTTCGGGTGCTGCAGCCTTGAAGCGACGCGGGGCGCCGACTCCCGGAGCCGCTTCCCTTGGTCAGAGCGGCAGCCCTGAGGCACGTGTTTCCCGGGGGTAAACGCCGCTAAGTCCAACGGGACTTGGTGCCGAGTAAGCGTGACCAGCGTCGCCCTTCGAGTTCTTGGTTAATCCGGAACCCGTCGGGCGAGCCCCCTCGGGATGGAGTTAAACCCCGTTGGACTCAGCGCGATTCAAGTCACAGCAAACGCGAGACGTGTGTGAGCACGAGGTTTTGTTCAGGAAAGCAAGTCCCCCTGGATTGAGGGGAGGCCCTGTGCCCTGAATGGCAGCCTTTAGCATAACCGTCCGTTTAAAGCCCACAATGCAGAAGCTGTTGGTGCTGGGCTGGTGACGAGGGCAATTTTTCATTTAGGTCATCAGAGGGACTTCTATATCGCATATGGGGAACTTGTGGATCCGTGGAAGTACCGTGGTACCTCGGGTTACATACGCCTCAGGTTACAGACTCCGCTAACCCAGAAGTAGTACCTCGGGTTAGGAACTTTGCTTCAGGATGAGAACAGAAATTATGCTACGGCAGCAGCAGGAGGCCCCATTAGCTAAAGTGGTGCTTCAGGTTAAGAACAGTTTCAGGTTAAGAACAGACCTCCAGAACAAATTAAGTTCTTAACCCGAGGTACCACTGTAGTAGGACTATGACTGGTCTTGTTCCTGGCTGTTGCATTTGCTGGCTGCTGCTGATGGAACATGAAGCTGCAGGATAACAGGTTTCCCATCCTTACCCTACGGAAAGAAGCATTAGAGGATTCTGCCAGGCAGTATCAGTTAGTTGTTCATCACAGAGACGATCCCTTGAAGCAGGTGTGCTGAAGAAGCTTGGTGATTTGCCCATAGAGTGGCTCAGGTTATACTAGTGTGTGTTCACTCCTGGTTGTGTTTGGATTTGGTTCAACTTCAGTTATTTCGAAGGTGGAATTCTGAAATGGTTTTAGTGAGAATGGTTGAATCAAACTGGGCTGCGATGAGTATCATGCTGGAACAGATTGGATGTTGTGTTTATGATGATAGAAGAAAGTGTTAAGTAGTGAGGGAGGAGATTGAAGTAGCAGAATGGGCAGATTTTACTTACTCTCTGAATGGGATATTGATGACCCACACTCTACATTAGCCTCAGGAGTTTTGAATATCATCATTGGCTTTGTAGAATTCCATTCAAATATGATAAAAACAATTTGTGCATTCAGTACACAGAAGCAAGGAGAAAATTGCATGTTACTTTATACAAACACTGCTGCACAAGCATGGACTTCTGCAAGGATGAACTCTGTTCAGCCTGCCACAAAGCATCTCTGGAATGTCAGGGGAACCCTCCCCCCTCCAGTGTTGAGGATGGTCACCCATATCTCTAATGAGACATTGCAGGGGATGTGGAGAGCTGCACATGGTCCCTCTTCAGTTACTCAGCCCAGTTACAGAGATAAATGGGGCATTGTGGAAGGGCATCAAGCCTTTGTGAGCTGGGAAGGATTGAAGGTGATAAGGTTTTCAGCCTTTACCAGCGATCACAAGATAGACCAAAGCTCTGTTTGCCTGGAAGTAAGCCTCATTGAATTGGAACTTACTTTTGCATAGACAGAATTGTGTTATGAGACTGGAGTTCTGTGATCACTTACTCAGGAATAAAATCCATGGGCTTCGATCGGAGCCATTTTTGGATTGGGCTGTAGGTAAAACTTTTAACAGACAGTAATGGTTTAGCTATTTGCCCTAGCTACATTATAATATAATGTCTAATGCCTTATCTTTACCACTGGTTGGATACAAAATTCCATAATTATGAGCACCCTAGATCAATGCTTTCCTTTTTTAAAAAAGAGACAAATAGAGGATTTTGGGGGAAAATATTTCAGGTTGGATCCAAAGAAGTGTGAGGAGACCCTCACTTGCACAATGGGAATGTCATAGATATTGCTCCCTGCAAGACCAAAAAGCTCCTAAGGGGTTTAAGAACCTTATGAAATGGCAAGAAATGGGCGGGGCTCAGGGTACTCACAGAATTTGGCAGCAACTTCCCTTGTATCAAGAGAAGCATCATTCTGCACATGTAAGGCCCTTTTGGGTCCAAGTTATAGTACTATTTGAAACTGTTCTCTAGAATTCAGGAGTTCTTTTAAAATACTAGAAAATATGTTTTATTCACATGTCCTAATTGCTTGTCTTTAAAGGTTCAGAATTTACTAGGAGAGAGGCTTTAATGTAGATCTATTTTATGGAAAGTTGGATAGTATGTCACAGCATTTGACAACACGAAATGTCGCAAGAATGCTCAGCATTCTTCCTTTAGGAGGTGCTTGCTTCTACTGAGTTCTGTTTTTTCTGTCTTTTGGATTCTACCTAGAAATTGATGTCCTGAGGGCTCCATGGAGCGACATTGGCAGTGCAGTAATGGTAAAATAAATAAAATATACCTGCTGGCCTTCTTGCTGCCAATCAGCATCATGCAGATTCTGTGTTGTGCATCTGAGTAAGTTCAAAGGAACTGCTGTTACATTTGAGAAGGCTTGGGTAAGTTCTTTTATGATGGAAGGCTGCTCATTTTGTGACTGTTTGAGGACATTGTATATTACCATGAGCTTGAGGACAGTAACATGCCATTTTTCCACGCTGGGGCTAGGAAATACGGCTTCAATGAGAGAATGAATAAAGAGTTTTGGAATTACCTGTGATGCAGATATTTCAGAAGTTGAGGCTCTCTCAATGTTAACAATTCCCCATTCTAGACTTAGTGATGAACTTCATGGTCAGTGAAGTGCACAGTGTGAGCAGGAATTCACATTATATTTTATTTGTGTCTTTTCAACAGAAGTCAATTCTGCAATAAAGAGTGTCTGGAACTGACAAAGGGTTACAACTTGAAGAAAGCAAGATGGATAAAAAAGCATTTGAGATGGTGCTTGATGAAATTAGAAAGGTAATTAGTGATTAAACCAATATAACAAACAGCTCAACTGTAAAAAATGTAAAAAATTAGTCTAGGGAACAAACTTAATATTGTGCAAATATGTCTTCTATATTCTGTTAAAGGAGTTCTGTGTCTTTAACATATAACATATAACATTTGAATGGTGTATAATGTGCCTTCTAATAAAACCCAGGATGTTAATAAGAACCCATTGTGCCACCCTTGCTATATGCTCTGATTTCAGATAGTTTTACGCCTTCATTACTATAGTTTTGCAAACTAACCTATGGTTTTTTGTGTTTCATAGGCTGTGTTGATGGAATACAAATTGAAAGCTATTGAATATGTACATGGATACTTTTCTAGCGAACAGGTAATGCTGAAGAACAATTAAGCTGTGCAAAGCTCTGGAAAGTATGACAAGGCAACTGTCATTACAGCAGGGGCTCTTCATGTGTTGTTAGATTGCAACTCCCTTCGTCTTTAGTAGTTGGCCATGCTGGCTAGAGCTCTTGGGCGTTGGGAGTTGAACAACAATTGGAGCTTCCTGGTCTCTGTGCTGCAGCATGAATAATTCTGCTAAAGGTGCTTTGTTTTTCCTATCAGCTTGGGAGAGTGAGATGAGTGTAAATGTTGAGTTTCCCCCTCTAATTTAGGACCCTACCCTGTGAAGCAAGAAAATAGTATATTTATGAAGCCTGATTCTGTGCTCTGCTGGGTATGGGTGAATTTTATGCTCCAGTAGTGGGACCAGATCCTTACACCAGGGGTTCTCAGACTCTGTGCCCACAATGCCCACTTGAGACAGCTGGAAATTACTGAAGTCCACCAGTCACAAAATGGTGGTGCAGGGCAGAGCCAGTCACAAGATGGAGTCAGTTTCTGAGCAGCTGTCAGTTACTGACATTGGTGGTTTCTACAGTTATCTAATCCACCTATGGAAATTGCTAAATTCTTTACCACAGTTTTCTTTTCATCAAGGAGCTCAGATGATCAGCTTTCTTCAAGTCATAGTACTGTGACGTTTTAGGTAGAATCTGCCGATTCAGAGACTCTAAATGGAGAAGTGTTTTTCTTTCATATTTTCCTCCCACAATGCCTCTTAAAATAACTTTACTCATTTTCTGTAATTTCTTCTCCTTTTACTTTTGTACCTTTTTCCCTCCCAGTTGACAATTTCTTTCATTATTCCTAAATGTTCCTGTTAGATTCACTGCTTCCTGCTATTGCAGCTTTCTTCTCTTCTCCCCTTTCTTTCTGTTTTCAGTTTATTATTAATAATAATTAATAAATATCTCACTTTCTGATTTCCTTCCACAATTCCTCTAGCCCCTTTCCCTCAGAGGATGGAGACCTTCCTTTCCTCCTCCTCCTCCTGCCCACCCCCAGCTGCCCAATGTTTGTCTCCCAGCCACCTTGCAGTATGCAAGGAGTCACTGATGCTGGCACTGGTCCAACCAAAAGGCTGTGGGATAGCTAGGGGCCAGGATAGGCAGACAAGTGAAGAGGCATTGGACAGGCTGTAGCATCTGAGGTCCACTGTTTGAGAAGTACTACCTTACAACAAGGTAGATGCTGCCATGAATGTAGCTGCATCTGTATTCATATTTCAATTACAAAAAAATAGCTTATTAAACTGAGGTTCAAGATTTGGATAACTTTGAAATTCTGTTTCTAAAAATGTTTAATTGTTTGGTACTATTTTAGATTTAAATTTTGTCAAACTAGTTCGCATCTATTAAAGAATCAACGAAAACCATTCTACAAAAGTTTCTGAGAAAACCTTTTTACTTCTAGCTACAAGTGATGTCCAGAGGTTGCATTTGTTCAGTTTTTGCATGAGTGATGAACTCTCGGATTTCTTTCGTTGCAGATTGTTGAATTACTGAGGTACTTTTCTTGGGCTGAACCACAGTTAAAAGCAATGAAGGCATTGCAACATGTAAGTTTTTTCACTGAAGCAGTAGATTTTGTTGAATTGCATTTCTCTGGTCTTATAGCCATAGTAGCATTCACTTGGTTTCCAGCAGCAGGTTTGGATTGGACTACTCATTCGTATTATCACCGCAGTCCTTAAAGATGACTTCAAATCCTGATTGTGCATGATTCTGACATGCTCACTTTTGGGGGGCCGCTTAGCCTCGCTGTTCAGCCAGTGCTGCGTATTCCATCCTATTCTCCCTTCTTTGTAAAGACTAGCTCGATCAATATTGAATGTTTCAAATACTGTGGCTTGTATCCAGAGGGTTTTCCCTTCCACACCTCCCCCCTGTGTCTGCCAATTTCTCTGGATTTGAGAGGAGTGAGGGAGTTGCAGGCAAGTGGAAAAATTTGGCAGAGAATGGGATACGCAGTGGGGAGGAAGGGGAAGCCCTCTTGCCAAAGCGATGCAACCTTTGTTGTGATCTCATGTACAGTCTGGTATAGCCTATGTGTGCTGAGGGTCTACAGTTGGAAATAACATTATACTTGTAAATTGTTCTGCTACAGTGTAGTGGTTAGACTTAGGTGACTTTCAGGTTCTCTACTGCCTTTTCATGCTGTCATTATGAACAAAAGCCTTGTTCAACAAGCTGTTGAAGTGTTAGTCTGTACCCAGGTAGCCAGCATTTAGTCCCATCATCTGGAGGCTGCAGTTCCAGTCATCCCTGATCATTGCTTACGCAGGCTGGGAGTGATGGGAGTTGCAGCGCAACATCAGGATGGGCACCACATCAGTTACCTTTGATTAGTCTGTGCACTCTGATCCAATTGTTGGTTGCCAAAAACTCAGTGATCTTTTTTCTTCTTCATACAATTTGTATACCACTTGATTGTAAAAAACAACAACCCTTAATGCGGACATGTGAGCCTGCATCTAATGTACGTGAACAGGGATTGCTGAAACTTTCTTTTCTTTTCTTTCTAGAAAATGGTAGCTGTTTCTGCAGCAAAAGTGGTTAACATCCTGAACTGCTTCACTTTTAGCAAAGACAAGCTTATTGCACTAGAACTGTTGGCTTCGTAAGTATTGGCTGTTGATTAGCATTCCATGCAGACTGTTACCATTAGTACTAGCATATGTCCTCTTGGTGTTTTGGTTTGATGGAGGCTTGAATGGTTCAGATCCTTGACCTCATGGGCTGTGACTGGGGGCGTATTTTCTTGCACTGATAGCTTGTTTGTTTGTGTGTGTATATTTGTATAGTACTGGTCCATCTCATTTCTGTTCAAATTAGTTTTGTTGTTATGACTATGCTGCTGAGGAATATTAAGTAGCACAACAAGCTCTGATAAATACTATGACTGTATGCATGAGAGCCACTAACAGTTTCTAAACATAGTGCTTTGTTTTATAGCAATATTATTGATGCTCAGAATTACCGCCTTATTGAAGATCTCTTCAGAACTAGCATGTCTGAGAAGAAGAGATGCAGGAGAATTCTTGAACAGGTATTGCCTCACGGCTGCATTCATGGAAACTTTGAAGCGCGTAGGGACAAAATGCATGGTTTTGGAGGTTTTCAGGACATTGCATGATATTGTATGTATCTCCTCAATACAGTGGTGCCTCGCAAGACGAAATTAATTCGTTCCGCGAGTTTTTTCGTCTAGCGAATTTTTCGTCTTGCGAAGCACGGTTTCCCATAGGAATGCATTGAAATTCAATTAATGCGTTCCTATGGTCAAAAAAAGTCCAATCAAAGCCAAATTTGGTACAACAATAGTTTATTAACTGCTCTTTAAAGTCACACATACTTTAAAGAGCATATCAAAAATTGAAGGAACAATAAATTAAGTTTCTAAACATGACAGGAAAAACATTTAAAAATCAAAAAAGGGTACATTACATTTTCTAAGACTCTGGGGGACCACTCGAAGAAGGTTCCTCTTCCACTCTTTGCTTCTTGCTGAGGAACCTGTCCATGGTCTGCTGCTTCATCCGCCTTTTCAGCAGCTCCCTGAGAGGCAACATGACCGTCGTATCAAAAGTGTTCGCTTGATCATGTGCCACGTGCTTGTTAGGGTGGTGCCGCTCTGCAAAGCCTGCACCTCCTTCCACTTCTGGCAAATGTCCCTCAGTTCTTTGGAGGACAGCCGTTCCTCAGTTGCTTCCTCCTCTTCCAGCGAGGCCTGCTCCTGCGCAACCTCTGACTGCAGTTCAACCAGCTCCTGGGTGGTCAGCTCGTGGTCGTGCTCCTCCACCAGCTTGCAGACGTCCTCCTCTGTGACCTCCAGGCCCATGGTCCTCCCCAAGGCAACAATGTCCTGCACCACTGTTGACTCTGGTGAATCAGAGTCACTTGGTGCCACACAGTCCGGCCACAGGCTGCGCCAAGCGCAATTCAAATTTCTCTGGCTGATCCCGTTCCAGGCCGTGGTGATCATCTTCAAGCAGGTGACGATGTTGAAGTGGTCCTTCCAGAATTCCCGCAGGGTGATGGTGGTGCAATCAGTCACCTCGAAGCATCGCCTGAAAAGCTCCTTGGTGTAGAGTTTTTGAAATTGGCGATGACCTGCTGATCCATCGGCTGGAGCAGTGGCGTGGTGTTAGGCGGCAGGAACATGATGTTGATGAAGCTGAACTCCTCCAACAAGTCCACCTCAAGGCCTTTAGGATGAGCAGGAGCATTGTCCATCAGAAGCAAAGCCTTCAGCGGCAGGTCGTTGTCCAGCAGGTACTGTTTGACAGCAGGGCCAAAAGCAAGATTGACCCAGTCCACAAACAGCACACGTGTGACCCAAGCCTTGCTGTTGGATCGCCACATGACACTCAGCCGCTCCTTGTCGACCTTGTGTTTCTTGAAGGCCCGTGGGTTCTCCGAGTGGTACACCAGCAGGGGCTTGATCTTCAGGTCGCCGCTTGCGTTGGCACAGAAGAGCAGGGTCAGACGGTCCTTCATGGGCTTGTGGCCAGGCAACTTGGCCTCCTCCTGTGTGAGGAAAGTCCTTTTGGGCATCCTCTTCCAAAACAGCCCGGTCTCGTCGCAGTTGAAGACCTGCTGTGGAACGTAGCCCTCCGTCTTCACAGCCTCCAGGAACTCCAAGGCAAAGTCTTCAGCCGCAGGAACATCAGAACTGGCAGCCTCTCCATGCCTGACCACGCTGTGGATTCCAGATCTTGCCTTGAACCGGTCAAACCAGCCTCTGCTTGCCTTGAAGACTTCTGGCTCGCCTGAGGTTCCTGGCTGTTCCCGGATGAGGTCTGCGTGCAAGGCCTTGGCCTTCTCACAAATGACAGCCTCAGTCACTGTGTCCCCTGCACGCTGCTTCTCTTCTAACCAGATGAGCAGCAACTTCTCGACCTCCTCCAGAACAGCTGGGCGGTTCTTCACGATCCTGGTGACTCCCTTGGCTGCATCAGTCGCAAGGATCTTCTCCCTCATCTTCAGGATGGTCCCGATGGTCGATGGGTTCCTGCCGTACTCCCTGGCGAGGTCCGTCACACGCATTCCACCATCGTGCTTCCGGATGATCTCCTTCTTCTTTTCCAGCGTCACCTTCTCCTTCTTCCTCTCGCCGGCCTCCGCAGCAGCAGCAGTCTTCTTGGGTCCCATGGCAGCACAGCTCTTACCTTCGTAAACTCAGAAGAAAAAAAAATCAGCAATTCAAACCCAGAACCAAGTCCTTGAATTCCAAACACCCAACCCAAAATCCAAAAACCCCCCCAAAAAGTTTTAAAAGTTTAACTTACGAAATGGCTGCAAATCACCAAAGTCTTCAAAATCCTCAAATGGCTGCAAAAGAAGTTTTGGGAAAGCTTTAAAAATCACCAAAGTCTTCAAAAACCTCAACTGTTCCCCCAGCCCCTCCCCAACTGTTGCAAAACCCGCCCCAACTGTTGCAAACCCCACCGCAACAGTTGCCCCCACCACCCAGCACACAGAAATTCAAACCCAGAATTTTTTTCAAAAAAAAAACAACATGGCCCAATGGTCACAGAAAACCATAAAAATTCAAAAAAAAAAACCACACAAGCTCCCAGATTCTTGCAAACCCCTCCCCAGCTGTTTCCCCATCCACCCAGCACACAGAAATTCAAAACCCAGATTTTTTTTTCCAAAAAAAACAACATGGCCCAATGGTCACAGAAAATCATAAAAATGCAGAAAAAACCACACAAGCTCCCAGATTCTTGCAAACCCCTCCTCAACTGTTCCCCCATCCACCCAGCACACAGAAATTCAAACCCAGATTTTTTTTCAAAAAAATAAACATGGCCCAATGGTCACAGAAAATCATAAAAATGCAGAAAAAAACCACACAAGCTCCCAGATTCTTTCAAACCTCTCCCCAACACCAAGTCCTTGAATTCTAAACACCCCAACCCAAAATCCAAAAACCCCCAAAAAACTTTTAAAAGTTTAACTTACCAAACAGCTGCAAAGAAGTTTTGGAAAAGCTTCAAAAATTCAGCAAACTCTTTAAAAAGCTCAAAAAGGCCACCACACCGCGTGCAATGTGTTGCTCCTCGAAGTCAAGTCGCAACTGCACCTCTTCCAGCAATGCACCCTGGGTTTTAACGGTTTTACAAAAAAGGAAACAAACTTGCAAGACGTTTTCGTCTTGCGAAGCAAGCCCATAGGGAAATTCATCTTGCGAAGCAACTCGAAAACGAAAAAACCTTTCGTCTTGCGAGTTTTTCGTCTTGCGAGGCGTTCGTCTTCCGGGGCACCACTGTACAAAGAGATTGAGTCTATGGAGAAATTGAGAATTTCTCTGCAAGTTTTGCATTCTCCCTTGAATGTATAATTTGCCCTTGTATTGTCAGTTTGCTCTGCTGCCACTATGGGGCTGTGGTTCTTTTTTTTATACCTGTCTGTGGATTTTAAAAGATGCACTACTTCAGTTGCACAAACAAGTATGAGGTAGCTCTATGAGGCATTTCATTGACTGGTCCCATGATGAGTAGGAATTGAACCTTTGGACCAAGTTTATGACTTACCCAGTCACAAAAAAAAGAGAGTTTGGATTTGATATCCCGCTTTATCACTACCTGAAGGAGTCTCAAAGTGGCTAACATTCTCCTTTCCCTTCCTCCCCCACAACAAACACTCTGTGAGGTGAGTGGGGCTGAGAGACTTCAGAGAAGTGTGACTAGCCCAAGGTCACCCAGCAGCTGCATGTGGAGGAACGGGGAATCGAACCCGGTTCCCCAGATTACGAGACAACCACTCTTAACCACTACACCACACAGCCTATTATAATTTGGAATGCAATACATTGCTGTAAAAATAGGAAAGTCAAATAATAAATTCTCATGTTTGAGATAATTCAAAGCAAACAGCTGCAAAAAGCTTAAGGCGTCTCCAGAGCGTGGCAGAACATCTCTTCAAAATCCCTAATATGAAACTGCTGCACCACATGACCTTTCCCCCAGGGCGAAGACCCATGCTTAGTGCAGGATTTCCACCTAAGGATTATGCTAATCCGAGTCCCTGGTTCAAAAAGATGTTCCACTGGGATATGTCCACTGGGCCACCATCATCCAGCTCTGCTCTAAGGGTATTATCAGGCCTTAGAGAAGGGGAATGGAGAGGCAGTGGCTTGCAGAACAAGCCGTCTGGGCTGTACTGAAATGTACATGATACCCTTGGAATCTGGTAGCTTGACCTTTACACCCATTCTTGTGTATTCATAAAGCAGGCTATTTTGCCACCACTCAGTATAGTTGTGTTGGAATCTAATGCTGCCCTTTGTTTTGTTTATATTGCAGGCTTCCAAAGCAGGATGCAAAGCACCTCACGCTATGATATCTTCCTGTGGCATGATTCCAGGAAACCCTTACCCAAAAGGAAAGCCCAGCCGCATAAATGGAATTTTCCCAGTATGATCTTACTGAATATACTTGTCATTTTAATTTGGGGGATTGGTGGTGGAATATTAAAGTAGCACTGCTGCAATAAATTGCCTACAAAAATGAAAGAATAACAGCAAGCCTGTCTTCATCAGTATTGGGCAAATAATAAAAAGAACATTTTGTTAAAAAGATAACGTAATTCCTAATTTGTTTCTCTTTAGTTAAAAAACAACAACAACAACAAACAGGCCTCATTATAGGGAAGCATATACTACTTGGAATAATTAAATTCTACTTGGAATAACTGGTTTTGAAGAAGAAAATATCCAGTTCCTGTTAAAAGCAGAAAACCCAAAAATCAGTTCTCTTGAGAAGATTTGCACATGTATTCTCCCACCATGCAAAGGGGGAGCAGTGCCATGCCCTCCGCGTTGGCCAGGACCAGTAGCACCTCCCACTTGTGCCTGCTTTCTTAAAGGGCAAGTGGCTATGGGAAAGGGGCTGTTGCACTTTTGGCTATGTGCATCAAGGCATCCTTGCAACCTGGAACCATGCATGATCCGAGTACCCCAGGTTGCAGCAGTTTATTGCAAAGTTTTGTGGAACCCCTGGGAGATGCTTGTGGAATCTAAGGGTTCCACTGGACCCTGGTTGAAACCACTGCCTTAGAACGTGTGGCCTGAAACTTCACTCTGAGAGCATGTTTACTCAAACTGTTCTACTGTATTCAGCGGGTTTACTTCTAAGTGAATGTATAGAATTCTAGCCTTAGTTGCTTAAATGTCACAGAAAATCTTAATTTATTCTGGTGAAGCTGTCTTTCATGGTTCAATGGGGACGTTTTCCTTATAATGGGTGATAGACAGTTAGAGCTACTCTAAGTATATCCTATCTATCTATCTGTCTCTTACAAATGCCCCTGTGCTTTCTATAACCCGCATTTGCTTTCCACACAGTACAGAGCTTGGTCTTTAATAGTGGGTCCTCCTCTTTTCCAGGGGTCACCTGTCAAAAAGGAGAATGAAGACTACACTAATGAAGGCAAGGGAATAGCAGCTCGTATCCTTGGACCATCCAAACCAGTAGGTTTACAAAATTACATTTTTATAAGCCTCATTATTGGGGTTGCTCCTGTTGTTGAAAACAGAATAGAGTTACTTGGGAGAGAAGTAACAGCAGGGTGAAAATGGTGGAAGAACAAAAAGGGACCGTAATAAAAATAGTTTAAAAGAATGACTTCTGCATGCTTACAATGTAAAGTTTGGTGTTTTTTTAAGAAAGGAGGAAGGAGCAAAGGAGGTGGTAAAGATAAGTTGCCAAATACTGTTTGAATGCAATGAAGGAGAAGAATCAGTGATAGTGCATTGTATCCACAGCTGAATGAATGTCTCAGAGTTGGCATAAGCTGACTACTTCTTCCCTGGTCGCTCCCTGAAAATGCTCCATTGGAGGTTAGGGGACCATCCTGAATTGTGTGGTGGAAGAAGTGGACATTCCAGAAAAAAACGAGCAGAGACTTCTTGGATTACTGGTCCAGCTAGTTCACTTCTGTCTGCAGTGACTGGTACTGGCCCTCAAGAGTTTCAGACAGGAATCTTTCCCAGTCCTACCTGAAGATTGCAAAAAGAGTTGAATCTTAGACCTTTTGCATCCAAAGCCTATGATCTGTTGCTGAGGTGCAGCTCTTCCCTACAGTTGGCAAGATCAGAAATTCATGAGTTCAGTTGTTTTGTTCATAGCACAAAGGTAGTGACTCAAGAAGTCTCAAATGTATCTGAGAGAAGGTTTTCCGCCATAGAGTTTAAAGGCAGATAAGTCATATCAATTACTGGTTACTGGGGCATTTTAAAGGCAAACTGCAGTGTAGGCAGTAGGCTTCCAATGCAGAAGTCGAAACCAAGTAAGAAAACCTGTGAAAATGGTCAGCTGGAATTTTGAGAACTGAGCAAAATGCACTTCCCTTCGAAATATTTCAGTAGTGGGGAAAAAAAATAATTTTTGCTACAAAATGAGGGGGGGATTTACCATTGCCTTTGCAATAGATTAATGTGTAAATGTTCAGTTTTGACAAACTCTTGTCCCTCTTGTTTAGGCCCCAGCAACATACAATCCACACAAGCCTGTTCCTTATCCTATCCCTCCTTGTCGACCACATGCAACCATTGCACCAAGTAAGCCCATCATTCCTGTTTGTTTTCTGTGATCGTTTCCCCTTTACACTGTGGAAGAATGTTCACAATTCTCTATAGGCAATACCCTCAGTTATTTTCTTAAATATATGCTTCAGATCTCTTACTGTTTACACTAATTGCATGATGGAGTAAAATTCAATGACTTTCATAGCTCTCCTCTAAATTTTGTCCAACTTGTTAATGTCCTTCAGTTGTGATGTTTGCAGCTCAAAACAATTCTCCATAGATAATTTTATACCTGCTCTGAGTCTTGGAGCTGATTCTCCTACTCGTTTCTGCTTCCTACCCACCCTAAAACAATCCCTTATGCATACTTTATTGACTCTTGATGAGTAATTAAACTGAAAGAATAGTTCCTGCTTTTTTTTTTTTTTTTGAAAAATCAGGAGCAGTGAAAGAAAAATGAGATTTCTGAAATATTGGGGCGCAGTTGCTTGAGGGGTTTGGACACTTGGGTGGGACAGCAGAAATCCACTTTGCTGCTAGTGTTTGACACCTTATACCTGCCTTTTCATAGTTTCTAATCTTAAATGTGGGGAATTCCAGCTGAATACTTAATGACACTTTAATCTGTTAAAGGAATACTGAAAGCTCAGGGATTTTTTGCAGGGGGTGGGGAGTTGATGTAACCTTTTAAATTAACTAGTTTAGCTTTGAAAGCTCAGGATTCTGTGACTGCTTGAGAATTCAGTGTAAGGTGATATTCTGCATGCAGTTTCAACCGTTCAAACAACTTGCTATATTTATTTCTTCATTTAAAACAGCTGCCTTCTTTCACAAAGCGAATTCAAGGTTTACGTAAGAGCACATCATACCAGAAGTAAAAAAAAAAAAAGAGTATCAACTTAAAATATTATCAGATATATCAGCCATGGAGGCAAACGTTACTAAAATAACATAACAGGGTTAAGAAAGCAATGAACAAGCCTTTCAGAACAGCCGTGTCTCTGCCAGGCATTTACAACAACTAAGTATTGGGATTTGATGAACCTCTCTTGAGAGGATGCTTCCTGAAGATGTGCTTCTGCCTGCTCCAGGTAGCTGCCCACCATAACTCATTGGCCGTGATATCTGGAGCAAGGGTAGGAAAGGACTTATGGAAGAAGGCAGCCCGTAAAGTATTGAGTAACTGATATGCTGTTTGGAGATGACCTGTGAAACTTCATTACACCGTCTTCGTTTGCCTTCTGTTTTCTTTTACTTAGGTGCTTACAACAACGCTGGTCTTGTTCCACTGGCCAATGTTATAGCTCCAGGCTTGCCAGCTCCGCCACCATATGCTTCTAGTCATGTAGGAACAGGTAAAGCAAGAACCCTACAAAAGCCCCGTGTGTCTGGGTTACTCACCAGCGTCACCAATCGGTGGGAGAGTCTGTGCCGACGTCTTGGGCCAGTAGCCTGCTCTTGACAACTAGCAAGTCAATGTCAGGCTCCCTCCCTCCCAGTAATAGTTTCTGCAGGGTGGGAAGTGTGAAGAGGTTTGCTTCAGAATGGGTTTGAGCAAGGGTAGCCATAATACCCTCCAAGTGTTGTTGGACTACAGCTCCCATCATCCATGACCATTGGTCACGCTGGCTGGGGCTGATGGGAGTTGTAGTCTGCTTGTCACAGGTAGGCAGGAGTGAGAGGAGTGGCCTGGGGTGGAGGGGAAGGCCTCCCATCTCTCAAGGCATGATAATTGTTAAAATGAAAACAATGAAAGGGAGTTGTTTTTTTAACAGCTTGGTAGTCTCAAAAGAATTCTGTTTTCACCTCATTAATTATGTTCTTTATGTAGAAAATGAAGAGCTTTCCAATCAGACAAAATCTTCCCAAAGCCAAGGTAAGCTGTCCACTTGCAGAGACAAGCTGTAGCTGTAGAAACTTAAAAATGCATGTGTTTGTGAGGATAATAAACATTTATTAATTCTGCTGAATGCTGCTTTTTAAAAATAAATAAATCCATTTGTATTTGAATAGCAGCAAATGCTAAGGTAAGCAACTTACTATGTTCCTGAGTGTTGGGTTTTTTTAACCAGTTGCTTAGAATTTCTTTTTCTGATGCTATATCTAAACCAGCACTAAATTCATAAGTATATGTCATGCAGAGCTACAGAAAAAATAAGTACATTTCTTAGCCCGAATTGTTAGATACATAAAACTTTGGCATGTGAAAAAATTCACTGCTGTTGTCTATACATGCTAAATTTTGGTGAAATAATATTTAATTAAAAGCTACTATCATTATCTGGTTTTGAGCACTGTTGAATAATTACAACGGAAGCACTTCAGATCCTATGTTTCTATGTATAATTTGGTGGTCCCTGTGAGTGAACTTAGCTTCATTGATAATAGTGAATTCTAAATACATAATGGAACAGACAATAAACATGGACCCTAAAGCAGTATTGTGTTAACATTTTGCAATATTTGAGGGTGGGGGAGGAGGAGGTGGTTTTTGCAGTTCAACCCATAAGTTAAAAGTATTTGTTTATCACAAGGGGACAAAAAAACTAGTACCCAGTTGAATTTCTTGTATTTAATTTAGGTAGGAGCTTCAAGTTTCTTCCCTTCCCAGGAAATGCTAATAGCCTCATTTCAACTTAATCACTTTTGGTTTAACAGGAAATAAACATGGTGGTGGGGAAAACATGCATAAAACATGTACCTTCCTGACAGTAATATAAGCTACTTCCTCTTTCATTTGTAATTCCCAAAGCCCTTTACTGTGGTAGAAGCTCATGTCTTTCATGAGCTTGGGGCACAGTGCTGCTTTGCATGCTATCTCAGAAGTCAGTGGTGACCGTTCAACATACAGTGTAGTGCAAAAAAAGACTCTGGAACATCAGGTTAGTAAGGGCAGAACCTGCTCCCTACGACCTGAACAGCAGCCTGTACTATAGCATTTCACTTACTGCCAAAGAAGCGAATGACTGCTATTGTCATCTGTCATCTTTGGCAGAGAAATAACAAGGTACACAATTGAAATAAGGCCAAATCTACTGAAGTCTCCATTTTTACAGCCCCCACCCCCCAAATGAGTGAGCACATTTGAGTCTCCATGCCTGGAGTAGAGTGAATGTCAGCAGTTTTGATGCTACCAAAGCAAACTTCAACTAATGTAAAACGTTTTTGACAAAGCCTTGCAGGAAAATTGGAAAGCATTGGTGACAGCAATGGCTGTAATTGCTTAGTAAGATTGCTATAAAGAAAGAGAAGTTGCTTGCTTTTTCTCCCTGTTTAGCAGAACTAGTCAAAGGTATGTTTCATCACCTAGTTGCTTATCAACTACTGCAGCACTTTTACCCAGAACTAATGGCCAGCTCCCTAACTTCACCCCCCCACTATGCTTTTTTCATGTAATATTGTTTTTCCTTTCCTGTTAAAACTCCCACATTTCGCAAGTGTTGCGAGTGCAGCATGACCACTTAGGACTTTTGAGTGCCTTCTGCAAGCGATTCTACTTTCAATAGTATTATGTAGAATTTAGTAACTGAAATTAAGTTTGAGCATCTATTTAAAATATTTATAATCTGCCCGTCATCTAATCCCAGAGCACTTCACAGCACACATTTTGTTCTTATTGAAACACAAAACTTGCTTGAAAATGTGTGTTCAGATTAAATTCGCTGCCATTCATCCTCAAGAATTGCTATCCTGACAAATTCTGCTTAACCACAGAAAGTGCAGAGGACACCTATTTCCAGGGAGAGGAGGAGATTCAATGAAGCACAAGTGTCCCTAAGGCATAGCTGTCAAAGTTTCCCTTTTTTAAAGGGAAATTCCCTTATTCCGAATAGGATTCCTTGCAAGAAAAGGGGAAAGTTGACAGCTATGCCCTAAGACTGCCTCCTAATTTCTTAACAATAGTTAATAAGGAGTGGTATTATGTCTGTCCCAGCCTTGTCTTGAAAAACTAGGATTTTGAAGTAAGAGAATGCATATTGTATGCCTACGGCAGGTCTTGGGAACCTTTGACCCTCCAGATGCTACTAGACTACAACTCGCATCATCCCTAACCATTGGCCATGCTGTCTGGGGCTGATGTACAACAACTGGAGCGCCAGAGGTTCACCAGCCCTGGCCCAAAGGAAATCAATAAGTTGTATATGAATGTACTCCTTTGCATTCCTCCTTTTAGTCCTGATATGTAAGCCTAGCTAGACACTGGAAGGTACAGCAACAGGAGATAGACAAATGAGGGACCACTGACAATATATTGCTGGGTGACAGTACCTGGGATAGCAGGAGAAAGATGGGCCAATATATGTTATGGCATGATGACTTCCTAAACATAAGAACTCCTTGCAGACTCTGCCTGTATTTCTGAAAATACTTTTAGAAAAAAGATGGCTAAACATAATTTTAAAACTAAGATAGGCTGAAATCCAGCTATTTCTGATACCAAGAATAAAATGTGTTGTGAATAATTTTGCTCTTCTGATGAAGCTAGTACGAAGGGGCAGGGCTTATTTCTCAGTACTAGTCCTGCTTGTTGTCTGGCAACACATCTGGTAACCTATCCAATATTTATTATATGCATAGGAGAAAAATGGACATTATATTTGGTAAAATGAATGATGGGCATTAATTTTTTAAACAACCATATAGTTAAACTGACAGCAGCAATCATGGAATATGAAAGTGAAACTGGTATTTATATTTGCTTGTCCTGCAGTTATTCTTTAACAATGCAAAGAACGATAAATGAGCTAGTGTTTTGTGTCTCATTTTGCATACCATTTTACTTCTTGCAAGTTACGGTGGTAGCACCTTTTATTTTGCTGTTGTGTAAACTGTGTTACAATGCATTCATGTTGAATACAAACATTTCTGCTAGTTTCCAAGAATTCTTACCGGTTTTGTTTCTTTCCAGCTTTTGCTACACAAACGAATCATCTCTTTACACCTCATGGTTCTAACCCTGCTGCTACTCCAGCCCCAACCCCATCATCTGTTAAGGCAATAAGCCACTCATCGGCACTTGCATCACCAACCATCCCAGGGATAAGCATGTCCACCCCTGTCCTTCCTGCCTTCTCTGGGCAGGTTATCTCTTCGGTCCACCCATCACAGCCATCGACTCCCACCCCTACTGTCATCAAATCCCATTCGCTGCCTGGTGTTCCTGCCACATCTGCTCATTGTGCTACCTCTGCTCCCCTTCCTTCAACTTTTTCTGGGCTGGCTTCCGTGCTGCCTGCCACAGCAGCTCCACAAGGGCTCTCCACGCCATGTGCCACTCCTGTCCCGAGCGAAGCTTTTGCATCCGCTTCTACACCATTTGCCAGCCTGCCCTTTTCTGCCGCATCTGTCACTGCCTCAGCTAATAACCCTAATTCATTGTCATCTGCTTTTGCTGGCCTTCCTTTGTCCTTGACCCCCACTCCTCAAGGGATAGCTAGTCCCCTTCCGTCCGCCATTGCTGGTTCTCCTGCCACTAGCCTGCCTTGCCCACTTAACTTGCCTAACCCACTCCTGTCGGTCTTGAAGGGATTCCTGTCCGTAAACGATAGCTCAATAATGAATTCGGCTGGGCTGCCTTCGGCTGTGACGGCTGAGCTTGCCTCTCTATCTGGCCTTGCCAGCCAGAATTCTGAAGCCCCCTCTTCGTCCGGGAACAAATGTTACACTCCAACTGCTACCTCTGCCCTCCAGCACCCTTCCACTTCAGGGCTATCCATTTTCCCAGGGCTTCCATCTCAGCCTGGGGTTAACAACAGCGCAACGCCCCCAACGCAGTCCCCTTTAACCGCAGGGCCGTCCTCCATTATGCCCATCAGTTGTGTCTCCTCAGCTGCTCACGCCCATTGCCCAAGTCCTGCTAATCCTGAACAGCAGGCCTCATCCGCACCAGCTGCCACAGCAATTCCTGCGCTGGTCAAAACGGAGCCCACCAGCCCTACAATTTCAGGTTTCAAAGGCCCTTCCCATTCTTCCGGACCTTCTCATAGCACTTCAGGCTTGTCAGCACTTGGCCATGTATATACCTCCACTAGTTCCTTGCCAGGCAGTTCCCTGAATCCAGCACTCTCTAGCCTCTCCTCCTTGGGCTCTTCTCTCAACAGCTCTCCTTCCATCGCCCCGCATGGCTCATCCGCTCCTATAGCCCCAGTATATAACGCACTTCCTCCATTCACTTCACTGGCCAGCAGTTTTGCTTTTGCCGGCAACCCAGCACTTACCCCAACGGGGTCTCTCTTGCCCATTCCACCTACGACCACATCAGGCATTCCTGCTCCCCATGTGAGCTCTGCGACCAGTGCCCTCCCGACCCTCATTGCTTCAGCGGCTGCTCCAGCTCCCCCATTCCCCCTTAACTTGTGCAGCGCCGTCCCTTCGCTGTTTTCTGTTCCTCAAGTACCTCTAGGCTCATGCAGCTCATCCTTCCCTCCTTTCCCTGTCTCTAACACTCCCTCTGTCACTCCTGCTCTCCCTTCTTTCCCTGGGCTCCAGGCATCTTCTACAGTAGCAGCAGTTGCACCACTGCCGGCAGCTGCCACAGCCCCATCTCCGGCTCCAGTGCTGCCAGGGTTTGCCTCGGCCTTTAGCTCAAACTTCAACTCTGCACTGGTTGCACAGGCCGGGTACGTTGTTGCTCCAAGAGGTCAGGGGGTCTCTTTGGCAAATTGTTGATTATCTTTAATGGTGGTTGTGAAGTTCTAAACATAAGGATAATGAAGTATTGATAACTTGCTTTGAATACCCCGTTTCTTAGCTCTCTGTGTTGCAGGCTAAATTTTTGAACTCGGGCAGAGACCTGTCTATAAGTTTGTAATTTCCTTTAAACCTACCCTACTAACTTGATAAGTACTGAATGTCTTCCTGCTAGAGGATATATGGCTCTTAAATTTGTACTAGGTTCTTTGAGAGAAGTCCTAAAGTAAGAACCAACAAATGTGGCACTGGGCTGTATTTTACACATATCTGTTGCCTGAGGTAATCAAATTCCAAATATCAGACATTGGCAAAACAATTTCCACATGCAAAATCCCTCTTGGCAAAATGATAACTGGTCTATTCAGTGCTTGGGCGCACAAATTTGTGCATACGGTATTTAAATTGTAAGAATTATATTCCACATAGTGCTATGGCGAACATTCAGTTCGAGCAAGGCTTTCTCTTGCACAATCAGATGTTCTTCCCTACCTCTTCTCCCCCTAAATTGGTTCTGAGGGTTCCCCCAACCCCCCAGAGCAGATTTGGGGAAAGCATGGGATGTGCAGGGAAAGAGAAGGGAACATCCTGTTGTGCTGGTGCCAATCCTTGCACTAATGCAACTATTTAGTTGTATACGACCTTATGATCATAGCATAGAATCTAATCACTATAATACACTTTGGAATTTTGTATATTAAACTGTTGTCGCAGTGTCTGAAGTTGAACATGTTCCACCTCTGATTCTTTTAGCCTGACTTCCGGGCTTCAGGCCCCTGGAAATACAGTTTTCCCTGGACTCCTCTCTCTTCCTGGCATCCCTGGACTTGCCCAGAGTGCTACGCAGTCTTCCCTGCAGGAACTTCAGCACAGTGCAGCTGCACAGTCTGCATTACTGCAGGTAAATACAGAACATAAAAGGAAGATGTTGGCACTTTATACATTGGTAACAAAGGACAAGGAAACTGCAAGAACTCCATGCTAAAGGTTCCAATGCCTGCAATGATAATCAGTTAAGGAGATGTCTGCAAACGTATATGCATGCTTTATTCTGTTTAGACCAGAACTTGGTACTAAATTATAGGAACTAGGGAAGGAAAATCTGGGCTCATTTTATATTAGCAGAGTGGGGTCAGAAGGGCTCTTGCAAGAATCTTAGTCCCCAGCCTCGGATGTGCCATCCAGATGTCTTTTAAGCCTTTGTGATTAACTAGCCACTTCTAACAGGTTTCTTCCATAACCATGAGGATAAAGCATGCTATTAAAATGAAAGTGGCATTCCACACACACACACACACACACACACACACACACACACACCGATTTTGTGACAACTCTGATCATTACAAGCCCTGTAATGCTTGCAGTCATTTATGCCTCAGTATGTATTATCCATCACACGAAACGTTCATTTACTTTCATGGCGTTTATATCCTGCTTCATCCCATGCGCAGGATAGCTAATAGCAAAACTATCAATCCAACTCAATTAAAATTCTGGATAAGAGGCAATGAAATCTATGTTTTCAGGGTTGGGAGAGTCTGAAAATGCAAAATAAATTTATTCAAAGTTGTAGATTGTTTCGTTTGCCAATAAATTAGTTTAAAGCAATCTTCCGTAATCATCCTTAATTAGAAATTCTAAATTTTGCATAAACTAAATAGGTTAAGAACCAAGTATGCAAAAATAAACAAACTAAGAGGAGCAAGGGCCCTGCTTGTGGTCTTCTTTTAAACAGACTGTTTTGTTTTGTTTTGTTTTTCTTTAAAGGCACACACTGCGTCTGCTCTGGAGAACTATGCATCCCAACCAGATGGTTTTACTACATATCCCCCTGCACCAGGAACACCTGGAGCCCCCTTTTCCTTACAGGCAAGTCTTCCCCAGAGTGGATGGCAATAAAGAGCATCTGTTTCACCTGCAGAGAAACCGCCCTTGAAGAAGCAGTGATGGCTTGGCAAAGTCCCTGATGATGCTTCCATTGAAGGCTTTTGGGGGGAGGGCAGGGAGGAAGGGAGACATGGACTTCAGCGTGTAGCACTCAAGAGGAAGAGAAGAGGATTCGACGTAGCTGTTATTTCCAGGCTACAAAAAACTGGACTGTTTTTTAAAAACTTTTAATCAGTAATACAAAGCACTGACAATTTTCTATTCCCTTGTAAGTAGATGAGGTTGAGAGCCTTTGGACCCTCCTAGGATCTTTTAAAAATGCAGATATTATTGATCCTTTTAAACTAATAATTTGCTGTGGTATCCGTGTCACACGTTCTCCTCAGGATTTATTCTCTGCAATGCATGTTGTATGTGTATTTGATAAAAAGGAAATGTAGATCAGGCTCCCTCTTCGCACATGCTCAGACAATACTCTCTTCAAGTATTAGATCTTGTGTGTCTGCGAAACACCATTCATTGTCCTCCTCTGATCCCCTGCCTTTTGTATTATTTTTACTGCCTTTCCCATCCAGATCCGCTCAGATATTTGTCACTGGAAGTAGTAATATTTATCAACTTGAGCTTATTCTTTACACCTGCATGCATCCTACCATCTATCAGTATTTCTTCACTTTTCTAGGATGCCAGGAACACTGCTATAGATCGCTATATTGGTTTTTAAAAAAACTTTATGCAAGACCAGATTTGAGAGTACAGTTCTTTTAGGTCATGTAAGAGATCATGGTTTGCATTCTGTAATTAACTTGTATTTTATGTCCCATTCATGGTAATGGCTCCAATGCATCAATTGTGTATCAAATATTGCCTAAAATGTCGAAGACCTGCTGATTTGTGAACCAGGTTTCCTTTTTCCGGCCGGGGGGTGGGGGTGGGGGTGGGGTGGGGGGAGTAAGAAGAGAACTAGCTTATAATGCTGTACTGTGGATAAGAATGAATTCTGTGGTTAAATTCTGAAAATGTAAATCTATGAAACATATACACAAAATAAGAATTGTACAAATGACTGAAACTGGGTTTTGCTTCCCCCAATTACACTCCAGGTTACAGATACCAATATAAGACAAAAAGTTTAAAGAGTTTCCATCTCTAGCTAGGAATTATGCAACACAAAATAGGCTCTTGCTATATTAATGAAGTGCTCTATACTGTTTAGCATCTATAGCGATGAGTAGAAAAAGCCACAATATTATATCTTTTTAAGAAAGTATTGATCATGTTCTAGAACTACAGTAGAGATGATACTTGATTTTGTGTTTTTAATGTGAACTCTAGGTGAGAATATCTTGCTGTGCATAGCTTAACATCCCTTTTTTCTAAAGATGGGAGTCTACTGGAAGGTAGAGCCTTTCCACAAATGAACAGGCATGAAGAACACTAATGTGTGTGTGTGTATATATATCTGTATTTTTATAAACTTTTTTAAAAATAAAATGTGTAGCAATGGTACACAAGTTTCTAAAGTAGACCTGAATAAAAAGAAATCTTTACAAAACTTACTGTATATAGCTTTTGAGGCAGCAGGGCCCCTGTAAAACACAGAAATTCATTGGAGACAATTAAAAAGAGGAGCTTGAAGAGGTGAGCTTCCGATTACGTTGTGGAGGTAAGTGCTCGGACTGGATTGAATGAAGTGAAATTTTATGGGCTGTGTGGAGCAGCCACAGCTGAGATTTTAACAATCTCCAACAGCTGAAATATTTCAGGGTACAAAATATTACACATTTTGAAGGCGAAAGATACAAATCTCCCAAGCTTTTCTTTTAATTGTAGCATATGTAACAAGCCATTTTCTTGGTGGTGTGGAACTACCCTTACACTCATGACCTCCATTTTAAGAGATGTAAGAAGGTTCATTCTTAAGATCATGGTTACTAGAAGAGTACATTGGACTACACTGTAGAGAGAAATAATGCTGCTTTTAAACAGCAGAGAAAGTTAGAATTGAGGACTACAAAACAACTCTAGATGGGTAATGCATTTCTAGAATGCCCAGGAATCGTGAATTTAGAATGCACAATTTCCCTGGTTCCTTAGCCTCCCAAGACAACATATGGGCAACATTTTGTTGCCCATGTGGACAAATGAGCAGGTTAGAAGCCACATAGCCATCCTCTGAAACTCTACCCCTAGTTCCTTTCTTTGCCTCTCCAAGAAAATAAGGGTTTCTTCCATTAATTCAAAGTCTGTTTGTGGAATTGCTGTTATAACTTCAGCTGGGTCATTAGTGGGAAGGGTGGGTAATACATATAATAATCTTGTATTGGTTTTTTTATTATTATTGTGGGCTTATCTTTTTTTTTTTAATGATATTAAGATTTCCAATAAAAAGAACACATCAATAAAAAATAAAAATACACAATTCAAAAATACACAATACATAATCCAAAAAAAAAGACAAAAAAAGAAAACAGTTAAAAACAATACCACCTTTTCATCACCATTTTTAAATTTACTTATTTTCTGGACCTCCTCATACCTCCCTCTTTTGTATTCCAGTTCAATTTGTTTGTCCAGCAGTTTCTTTCCCTCTTTTTTAATCCCAATCCTTAATCTTAATATAATATAACATTAAATTTTTACCTCTTAAAAACCAAATTTCCATTTCCTTTAACTTTTTAAATCCTAATCCTTAATCTTGATCTATATATAACTTTAAAGCCTGTATAGCTAGAAGCCACTTATTTTCAATCCAACATCATATTGTGGGCTTATCTTGCTAGTTTTATTAGCAGTATTTATCTCCCAATTGGGATGCGGGTGGCGCTGTGGGTTAAACCACAGAGCCTAGGACTTGTCGATCAGAACTTCAGTGCTTCGAATCCCCACAACGGGGTGAGCTCCTGTTGCTTGGTCCTTGCTCCTGCCAACCTAGCAGTTCGAAAGCACGTCAAAGTGCAAGTAGTTAATAGGTACCGCTCTGGCAGGAAGGTAAATGGCGTTTCTGTGCATTGCTCTGGTTTGCCAGAAGCAGCTTAGTCATGCTGGCCACATGACCCGGAAGCTGTACGCCGGCTCCCTGGGCCAAGAAAGTGAGATGAGCACCACAACCCCAGAGTCGGTCACGACTGGACCTAATGGTCAGGGGTCACTTTACCTTTACCTTTTTATCTCCCAATTAAACAAATAAAATCTCAGGTCCATGGTCAATGTTCCATAGCATTTAAATCCCACATGTTGACATGAAAAATAGTGACTGCAAGCTATCACTGCTGTCTTGACATCTGTTGCCTTGAATGTCACTGCTTGACATCTGTTGCCTTGAATGCAAGGTTTCTGTAGAAAAGTTTAAGCATAAATTGTATGCTCATGTTTCTATCAAGTGCATCCTATGCTTGAATAAAGGGAAAGCTCCGTAGTTTATTTTGTCTTTTATTTTGGAGGGGGGCTCAGGGCAGGCCATAAGACCTGCACCAGCAAGTTAGTACTTCCATGAGGCTGGGGAATAGATTGACCATCATTGCTCCCCAACATGTCTCTTCTCTTGCTGCCAGCCTTCTCTGGAGTAAGGCTATGTGAGCCAGGCTGTATGTCATCTAACCTGGCTTCCCTCTGAACTGTATTTAAACCAGGCTCCTTGGAGTGCAGGAAGACCAGAACCAGAAACTTTATTGTCAGTTAACTCTTGTTTTCCTTTGTATTTAAATACTTAGACCTAGGCATATTTTGTTTTAATGTTGAATTTATTCTGTTTGCTAATTTGTTTTTTTAAATTTACTGGTGATGTTTTTGAACGTTTGCTGCAAGGCCCAGCTCTTTGTGGAACGCGGCATACAGTGTAAGTCAACGCGGCCGCTCAATCCCTGCGCAGGCGCCTCTGCCCGCTGAACTCTCGAAGCAGCGGTTTGCGCGTGCGCGCTAGGTCCGCTTCTCGGTCGTCGCGGTTTGCCGCGCATGCGCTTTGCGGGCTCTGGCCAAAGAAGGCTCCCGGAGGTTGAGAGATGGAGTCGGCGGCGGAGGAGTTGATGCCGCGGCTCCTGCCTGTGCAGGACTGCGACCTCTCGGAGGACTTCGACCCCACCGTGCCCCCCAGAACACCCCAGGAATATTTAAAGCGGGTCCAGTAAGTGGGCGGCGGCCTGGCCGGGTGTCTGTGGGCGCCCCCTTGGTAGGTCGGGGTGGGGAGCGGGGCTGCTCCGGGGGGCAGAGGGAGCGGGCTGGGATCGCCTGCCAGCCCCTTCCGGGGAACAGAGAGGCCAATAATGTTTCTCACTGCCAAGTGGACCCTCCTGCACACCTGGGCACGGCTGCTGCTGCTTCCAGCGTGCTTGCAGTTTGCATAGAGCTGATCAGGGCAAGTGCTTCTTTTGATGGCCAGATGTGCGTGCAGTTCTGTCGGGATCGGGTCATTTACTTCCCAGAGGCTGGCTGTAGGCCACTATTTTTATTTTTTAGCACATTTCTTTTTCCTTTTCTTTCTTCCCCATCCGCATCCCATCTTAGGAAACAAAACAGTTTTGTCTTCTTAAATTTTGAAGTACAGGAACACATCGTGACAGCCGCCATAGCCACGTGCACAAAGTCCAAAAATTCAGGCAGATTCTTTGTTTTGATACACACACACACCAAAGAGTATCAGTACATACTTCTATACCCAGTTGGTTAGGATCAGCTGACAGGGGCAGACTATGGAGATGACAACGGGCGATGTTCACATGTTGGAATTTGGGGAGATCAGTGCTCACTTTCCTTATCAGCTGTGTGACATGACTGCAGTGTTGTTACCTGGGAGTAAGCTCTGTTGAAAGCATTGGGCCTTACTTCTGACTGCATAGATTTAACGTAAAACACATTGAGCGTTAACCAAAAAATGTTCAGCCAACAAGAAAAAATTCAAAGAATACTTAGCCAAATATTGTAACATAAGACAAAAACACAACACTTATCTTTTAAATAGTAATACAGTTTTCAGCTGTAGTTTGTGAAGCACATATGGATAACGTTTCTGCTGCCCTTCTATGTTATGTTCTGGATTAATAGTTTTATATCGCAGCCTGTTCTTTTGACTGATCAAAAAAGCCTAAAAATAAAACATTCTCATTGAAAATACATAAAACAGCTCAAAGAGGCAAAATTATATAAAAGAGAAGAAGGCAATCAAGATTCTCAATGAAGCCCAGTTGAGGACAAAGGGTGGGATAGATTGTGACAATTTCCTTAAGTATTTCAGTGTGTCGCATATAGAAAACCTCATTTTACATGGTAAACTTACAGGGAAATCAGAAGGCACTCCAAATTTTAGACCCCATTTTTGTTTTGTAGGATTGAAGCTGCAAAATGCCCTGATGTTGTTGTGGCCCAGATAGACCCCAAGAAATTGAAAAAGAAGCAGACTGCGAATATTTCAGTAAGTTTTGAAGAACTGTATCCATAAACTTCTTGAGATAAAATAGTAAAGTTGGAAGCACTTGAGTCTGATTGTTCTCTTGTTTTAAGAATGTGCCATGCTATTGCAATTTCAGGGTTTGTTTTGCAAAAGTAGACACCATCCACGTAAACTGCCAAGGCTTTTGAGGGTTTTTCAGTCACAAAATTGAACACCTTGCACCAGGCATGTGGCTGGTGTTCTTGCAGAACAGGACTTGAAATTGCAACAACATGGTCCTGCCTTAAAATGTAACTACTGGTATGCTAAATTCTTAACAAAGCCATATTCATTCTTTCCTTTGTTAGCTTTCAGGATGCCAACCTGCCCCTGAAGGGTATTCTCCAACTCTGAAATGGCAACAGCAACAAGTGGCACACTTTTCAGCCATTCGACAGGTGAGTAATGATTACACACACCCAATACAGTGGTACCTCGCAAGATGAATGCCTCGCAAGACAAAAAACTCGCTAGACGAAAGGGTTTTTTGTTTTTTGAGCTGCTTCGCAAGACGATTTTCCCTATGGGCTTGCTTCGCAAGACGGAAACGTCTTGCAAGTTTGTTTCCTTAACACCGTTAATACAGTTGCGACTTGACTTCAAGGAGCAACTCATAGAACGCGGTGTGGTAGCCTTTTTTGAGGTTTTTAAAGACTTTGGTGATTTTTGAAGCTTTTCCAAAACTTTCCCGACACCGTGCTTCGCAAGACGAAAAAAATCGCAAGACGACAAAACTCGCGGAACGAATTAATTTTGTCTTGCGAGGCACCACTGTATGTTGTTTTTCCTGGTATATTCTAACACACTTCCTGAATCTTCTTGTCAGCCTGAGAGAACTCCCAAAGATCTGCATTCTAAAGATTTGGCCTCCCAATATTAAACATGCTCTCAGATCAACTAACTTTCAAGAGTTTTTTTAAAATAGAAAGGATCACATTGTGTTGATTTGTATAATGTTATAGTCCTTATCAAAAACAACAACCAAATTCAGCCTGCCACTCATCTCACTCTTTTTCCTTTTGAAATAAGATTTAATTCTGTTGAGGTCTTTTTAACTGATCAATGCTGTAGTCATTAGGTTTTAATTATAAATCTTTCAGAGTGTGAACAAGCACAGGAATCATTGGAAGTCGCAACATTTGGACAGTAATGTAGCAATCGTAAGTTGAATATAACATATTAACCGTGTTGTCAACCTGTTTGTTCCATAATACTTCAATTCAGCCCCCTATAAATGCCTTTTTAAAAATTTTGTTCTTGGGTCACATTATAAATCCAAGTGTTGTTGTTGAGGTAACTGTGTTACTAAGTGAAAATACAGGATTGACTTTTTTGAGGGTAGAATTTTCTTTAACCTAATGGAAAAAAAACACCCCACAACATTTAAATAAGAAAAGTAATTTGCCTTTTTGCATTCTTCAGCCCAGAGTGGAGGATGAAGAAGGCTGGAAAAGGTTTTGTCTAGGTGAAAAGTCCTATTTAGACACAGCTGTTGAAGTATCCAGAGATGAAGATCAAGGAATTGATTATGTACAAGTGCGTATTAACTTTGGACAAAAGTGTTGAATATCTATTGTACATCCTTGTTCAGAGTTCCTAGGCATGTTTTTATGGGCATTTGACACTCTCATTTAATAAAGATGTTTTTTAAAAAAAAACATTGGGTGATAACCCACTTTGTCCACCACAGAGATACCTTCCACTGATACAATGTGACTTCTCCTTCCTCTCCTCCTTTGTACAGCCTTGCCCTGCACTTACAAAATCTGCTCTGGGGTTTTGGGGACCCTCTGGAACAGATTTGGAGAGGAGGCACAAATGAAGGGGGTGTCTTGTTTGTTATCACCCATTGCCAGCAAAGTGCTGCTGTTTGAGTGCTAAACTAATTCTGATTTCCATCAAATACATCTGTATCCTACAAAAATCCTATCTATTCTAATGGAGTTTTTTTCTCTCTGCTAGATTGGCTTTCCTCCATTGCTGAGTATTGTTAGCAGAATGAATCAGGTAATTCTATTTCTTTCACTCTACAAATATGGCTGAAACCAGTGAATTCTTTAGATTTATACTGTCCACTTACTCATAGACATCCTACCATCATACATATTGCTTGTGGAAAGTTGCATCCAGCTCTGAACTACAGTTTGCTAGTTATGATCTAACAAAAAATTTTATGAAAGTTTGTAGGAATATTTGTCACAGACAGCAACCTGATTTTCAAATTGGATATGCCAGTGAAATATAAATGTTTATGATAAGACTGTTCAGCAGGGATGGGGAATTGGATCTGCACTAGAGGGCTAGATCCAGAAGTGGCTAGCCTTCTGCAGGACACTTTGATAGGTGATGGGGCCACTCACTCACCTGTCAAGTCACTTGATGTCATATGATATCAGGTGGTCAAAAGTTTAAGCCGTGGCTGCAAACAAAGACACTTCCTTTGCAGACCAAACTTGAGTTCTGCCCTTTTTAAATTTGGCACCTTTTTAGTGCCTCTGCAGGGTGATGGGAGAAAGCAGCTTATTTCAAATTCAAGAAGCACCTATTTTGGCTGCAGAAGAAGATTGCCAACCTCTGAAGGCTAGTGGGCCTAATGAGGCCTGTGGGCTAGACACAGGGTTTTCCAAACTTTGGTTTCCAGCTCTTTTTTGGACTACAGTTTCCATCATCCTTGACCACTGGTCCTGCTAGCTAGGGATGATGGGAGTTGTAGTCCAAAAACAGCTGGAGACCCAAGTTTGGGAAACCCTGGGCTAGAGGTTATTTCATAGCAGCAGCAGCAGAATAATAATAATAATAATAATAATAATAAAATTTATTTATACCCCGCCCTCCCCAGCCAAGGCTGTGTTGTCACCGCAGGGTGGCTTTGCATGTGTATTCAAAACAGGTTTATTGTGATCCATTTAGCCATTTGCTTCCTTGATCCTTAGCATTTGTGTAAGTCAGTCAGGAACCTGCAGCCCTCCATGCTAGCTGGCGCTTATGGGAGCTGGAATCCACCCACAACTTGGGAGGACCAGATTCCCTGCACGTGGTATAAAATATCTAATATAGCTGTTACATCTTTTCGAATAATGCAAGGGATGTATGGAAACACTAGCTGCAGAAAACCCTTCTTCATAACTGCTTCTCTTGTTCTTAAAAGGCAACAGTAACCAGTGTCTTGGAGTACCTGACAAACTGGCTTGCAGAGAAGGAATTTACTCCAGAACTGGTAACTTGCACTCTTTCTTTTTTGTTTTGTTTTGGAAGTCAAAGAAGGCAATCTGGGAAGTTAGGCTAAAGAAAAATAATACAGTGGTACCTTGGAAGTCTAACGGAATCCATTCCAGAAGTCCGTTTGACTTCCAAAACGTTCGGAAACCAAAACGCGGCTTCTGATTGGCTGCAGGAAGCTCCTGAAAGCTAAATTTGGCTTGAGAAAACCACATGTCTCTATTTTATGGTGACTGGGTTGCTATGGATCTTTCACAGTGGTAATCCTTAGATCAAGGTGTATTTTGATAAAACAAGGCAATAACTATTTTACTTAAGTGTTAAATTCTTGTTGCAACTTTTGTTGAATTTCTCTAGGGCAGATGGCTTTATGCGCTATTGGCTTGTCTTGAAAAACCATTGTTGCCAGAGGCTCACTCCCTCATTCGGCAGTTGGCCAGACGATGCTCTGAAGTGAGAGTCTTAGAAGTAAGATGAATCAACAAATTATTGTGGCAGAAAAGTAATAGAGGAATTTATAATCTATGCTAATTGCTCATCGTTTCCTTTTCCTGTAACCATCTGGGTTGTATGAAATGTGTGTTTTTTACATTTTGTTTCTTTATATATTCTGAAAATGACAATTCAAAGCATGGCAGAAAAGAGAATTTGGGGTACAGTGAATGTTCAAAATGCTGACAGTTCTTAATTAATTTAGTGAATGCCTGAATTTAGTGAATCACCTGTTTTCAGAAGCATAACAGCAAATGCTGATAACATAAGAAATTACTGTCACATCCAGTGCAGTGTGTTTTGAGTCACAAATATGTTTGGGATTGTTGACATTTGCTGTAACATACTACATTAACTTCATTTTTCTTCTGTTGCAGGAAAACAAGAATGATGAAAAAGTGTCTGCTCTGAACTTGTTAATTTGTTTAGTTGGCAGGTATGGCATAGTTGCATAACTATTAAGAGCAGGTTCAAAGCTGCAAGCCACTGGGCCAGATTTGCAGCCCTAAAGGAGAAAGAGCTGAATTGTAATTCTGTATAAGGCTATTTAAGGATTGTAAGCTTGAGTCACTCAATGGTCTGACAGAAGCTTTGGATTTTTAAGTCCTGTAGTTTTGTGGCTTTCTAGGCTGTTTCAGTTTCTTTATGCAGATTTAGGGGGCAAAGTTCAGCCATCACTCACCCTATAATCCAGCGCGATGAGGCTTCTGGATGGCTTATAATATGCCCTGACCACAAGAACCACATACAGTGGTACCTCGGGTTAAGTACTTAATCCGTTCCGGAGGTCCGTTCTTAACCTGAAGCACCACTTTAGCTTAATGGGGCCTCCTGCTGCTGTTGCGCCGCCGGAGCACAATTTCTGTTCTCATCCTGAAGCAAAGTTCTTAACCTAAGGTAATATTTCTGGGTTAGCGGATTCTGTAACCTGAAGCGTATGTAACCCGAGGTACCACGGTACTGTTTTTCATAAAGGCTATAATTTGTCTGCTCCTCGTTTCCCCCTCCCTCTCGTCACTTCTCCTCAGAATTGCTTGAGGATGCCTCCTTATTCATCCGGGATCAATAGGTTCTGATTCCTTATCAAAAGTGTATTGCAAAGTAGGGGCAGAGGGAATGAATATCACAACAGAATTAAATAACTGTCACCTTTTATAGGATTCTTTCAAGTTGTTTTAGCCTTTATTCACTACCAGTTTATTCACTACCAAGGCAAAACCTGTTTGGAACCTCTTTGTTGTTATAAATCAGAGCTAAGGAACCTTGTTGAGACCCACATTCCCTTGAAGGTAATCTTTTGTGGGGCTGCATGCCAGCAGGGACTACAAATGCACAGGATTATTAACCTTAAGAAAAGCTGAGCCACCTACCACCCCGGCCTGTGTTCTTGAAGAAACAACTGAAATTGGTATAGTTTTTGCATTCATTTAGTACATCAGTGTTCAGTTGAAGGAGTTTGAGATACCCAAGTGTATGTGTTGTGTTTCTTTGACATTTTAAGTTTTTGTGTAGGCTTTCCTTAGCGACTTGTATAACTTTTGTGGATTCTTTCCCCCCAATAGGTATTTTGACCAGCACGATCTGGCTGATGAAGCATCCTGACAAGTCTGGAAAGCATAAAAGCATGGGATGCCATTGTTTCTAGGGCACTATGCAAGCCAGTGTTATTAGCTAGCTCCTCTGTGACAAGTGTGACGAACAGCAGAGATATCCCATCTTCCAGTGTGATCTCCCTGAGTAGGGGGGGAATTCTGTAGAAAATGAATAGTTGGAATGTCTTTTTAGCAAGCGTGGCTGGAAAACTCAGCTTGGGAAAGGTCACCAACACAGTGCCTAAAACACTTTCTGAAGGACCCATTTGCCTGCAGCTAGTGTGTGATTGCAGTTCATATACCAAACTCCTCCTCATTCAAGCTACACCATGGAACAAGACTGATTCTGTCATTGAAAACCCTGCAGGACTGAATCTGGCTAGTGTAAAGTTTTTATAATATTATGTTTTTATAAATAAAGTTATTCAAAAGAGTTTTAATTTGTGAGTGTATTGGTATTGGCTCTTTGCAATGCTTTAGGAGCCAGTGTGGTGTAGTGGTTAAGAGCGGTTGTCTCGTAATCTGGTGAACCGGGTTCACGTCTCCGCTCCTCCACATGCAGCTGCTGGGTGACTTTGGGCCAGTCACACTTCTCTGAAGTCTCTCAGCCTCACTCACCTCACAGAGTGTTTGTTGTGGGGGAGGAAGGGAAAGGAGATTGTTAGCCGCTTTGAGACTCCTTCAGGTAGTGATAAAGCGGGATATCAAATCCAAACTCCTCTTCTTCATCATCTTAAAATAGCCAAATTTAGTTCATAAAATGGATGTAGCAGCTTTAGTAGATGCAAGTTAACTGACATTGATCATTCCCCAACACTGCTTCTCACAAGCAGAATCCCCCTTCTATACTAGGAATAGCAAAAAAAAAAAATTCTATGCAGAGATTTAGCTTAGATATATTCTACTTGTATTTTATTTTTCCAAACTTGATGTGTGCCAGTCACTGCCTATGAAGTCAGAGGCTGAGCAAGATTTTATTTGGTGGAAAGTTCATTAGAAATTTGCCTTCCTCTTCATACCTAGCTGTTGTTATTCATGCCTTTCTATCCTTGAAAGCAATTACTGCAACTCATTCAGAAGTGCTCCAAGACCTTTCCTCACACAGCTAACACATAGATCAGCAGTAACCAACATGGTGCTCTCCAGGTCCTGCCGTGGTGCCACATACTTCTTAGCACCAGACTGAAGTACCGTAATGGGCTCTACCTGGGCATGCCTTTGAAAGCATCTGGAAATTCAGCTTGTGCAAAATGTTGCAGGGAGAGTGCTGAGCAGGGCTGGGCCTTGAGAACATACATTTCCAGGCTGAATTCCAAGTGCTGGTCACTACCTTTAAAGCCATAAGAGGAGTACGGAACCCTTTCAATATAATCCATTCCCACCGGGACAACTTTTGTGGGTCACATGAGGTCATTGGGGGGCGGCTCCCCTTGCATGTTTCAACGCACCTTTAACCCAAGATACACTTGGGGCAACATGAGAGAGGCCGGGATCTGGACTTAAACCCTTTTTGTTTAGGTAGGCATTTAAATTCGCTTAGCTAATTATTCTTGGTTTTGGCCTGTTCACTTACATATTTTGATCATGTTATTTGTTTGGTGAGCCAGCTTGGAAAGGTAGGATCTAGACCTTTCAATACCTTAAATTTATTCCAACCAAGTAGTATAGCATAGATAATATATGTATGTGTTTGCAGGCACACAATGAAGTCAGAACCATAGAATTCTAGAGCTGGCAGGGAGCCTGAAGACCATCTTCTAGTTCAACCCCATTCCATACAGCAATATTTCTTTAGTATCTCAAAAGCTGTGAAGGGGGAAGCCGGTTAAATGAGGGATACAACCTGACTAAGGTATTTCAGTCATTTAATCATGAGTTTTCACCCATTAAGCTATTAATTTAAAATTGCTGATGGGGGGAAAATGCTTTGATCATGCAAAGGGTTGGATTCAGAGTTTCAGACTTAAGGTAGTCATGCTTAGTCTTGATGGGACTTATTAGGCATGGCTAACTTGTCCCAATGAATCTGATGGGACTAAACCATGACTAATTTTGTCTGGTTGCAATTTTTGCTTTTAGTTTAGGCCTGTTTTAACATGTATGTTATCTTAAAGGCAGTCCCTCCTATAAAAATAGAAAAGAATGCCTTTCAAAGATTGGCCTCGTCATCTGCAGTTTTTAGAAGTATTTGCATTAAAAACAAATGTAAAAGTCTGTCATCTAATTAATCATTCTAATTATTCTATTAGACATTATAGCCCCAGTTCAGATAATAGCTGGGTGCCCCATTATATATGCAAAGATCTTGTCAAACCCACCTCTAGATCAATGCTCGGAACAAATTTTGCATTGCTAAATCAAAGTACTGCAAAACTAACCAGACATTAGAGCTTGAAATTTAATCAAGGTTTCCATTCCATCTTTACAAACTTGTAAGCTTCATCTTCCTTGAAACACACAGTAACTTAGCGACTACCAAAAAAGAAAAAAAAGCAAGATATACAGCAGACTCTGGCTATTGGTCATACTTGAAAATTTGTGTTTCAAACTATATTGCATTTTATACAATATAGGACAGCTTCAATAAACTACGGATATAAATAAAATATACATTTTATTTGTCATTTTACAAGGCAGGAAGCTGGTTCTGTACATGTGCTATATCTTCTGTATCATCACCTGAAATTTGCCTGTAAAGAAAGAAAGTTATTGTAACATCCATCTTACCAAGAAGAAACAACTCCGTGTAGTTAAAAGTGGTATGGTTACATGTACTTTATTATATCCTCCAGTAACAATAAGTCAAGGGTGTGGAACCTCTGGTCCACAAGACATATAAAGCATGGGGGGGGGTCACAATTGTGTGCTCCCAATTGTTCTTTGACAAGCGAGGCTTCCTGTCAGCACCAATGCAGCCAATCCCAAAACAGAGCTAGCTGTAAGTGCAGAGCAGCTGAGCAGTACAGCAACACTGTCAAGGAAATACTTCCTTCACCTGTATGGTTTGACTTCAAACCATGCAGGCAAAGCAAAATGCTCCATCTGATGTCATGGTGACATCAGGTGACTGACAGGTGGGTAACCATCTGCCAACCTGCCGAAAGTTAACCGTAGGTTTGCGGCGAAAATCGAGATTCAGCCCACTGGCTGGATCCAGTTCCCTACCCTGTTAGCTAGATTTAACAAAAATCTCTCAAACTTTCTGTATTAGGAGGCAGTTCGGACATATTTTAAAAAACCAATTACCGTTACCAGTGCAATCAGGTTTCTACTCAGATGTCCTATTCAGTTCTGTAAGCCTTACTCTCACTTAAGTAGGTACAGAACTGATATCCATGTTTCACCATGGGCCTCCGGTTGAGTAGCTAGTTACTACCACCATTTATTTCAACATGTTTGAAGATACAACATCCTATGCATGTTTCTTCATAAGTAAATCCCACTGTGTTCAATGGGGTTTGCTCCCCTGTAAGTGGATTTAGAATTACAGTCTTACAGAGAAATCCTACAGAACTGCCACTTCCTAAAGTCTTGCTGGGCTCATGCTGGCCATGGTGGCTTTTTGCCTTTCCTCCATTTTGCTTCTTCAAAAAAATCAATGTGAGGTAAAATACCGTAACTCCACATAATTTGGATAATATTTCTCCCTTGTTGGAAGAATGAGATGGCGTGGGATCTGATGGATCCAAGGCCTCCTCTGGCATGCCTCTCTTCAGCCACTCTTGTATTTCCAGAACTGCAGCCACACTCGGCTTGGCTTGACACACAGAGGAAAAAACCAAGCAATTTAGTGTGACATCTGTGTGTTAGGGCTTGAAAAAGCCCATGAATCTAGAGCGAAGTCTGTATCCAGTTAGGCATGCAGGTCTCTAGCTAGAAATTCATAAGAAATCCACCACCCAACACATTTCCCCCACTTAAGTCCCCTAAAACGGGATGCGGGTGGCGCTGTAGGTTAAACCACAGAGCCTAGGACTTGCCGATCAAAAGGTCAGCAGTTCGAATCCCCGTGACGGGGTGAGCTCCCGTTGCTCAGTCCCTGCTCCTGCCAACCTAGCAGTTCAAAAGCACGTCAAAGTGCAAGTAGATAAATAGGTACTGCTCCGGCGGGAAGGTAAATGGCGTTTCTGTGTGCTGCTCTGGTTCACCAGAAGCGGCTTAGTCATGCTGGCCACATGACCCAGAAGCTGTACGCCGGCTCCCTCGGCCAATAAAGCGAGATGAGCGCCACAACCCTAGTCGGCCACGACTGGACCTAATGGTCAGGAGTCCCTTTACCTTTAAGCCCCCTATATGTTTTTGCAACCTATACCCAAGGCTGGCTTTATCATTAGTCAGATGCTGGTGGGCAGGGGGCAACAGTGAGGTGTGGAAGGCAGGGTTTGTGTTTGCCCTGTGTCCTACCCTCCCTATTCGATACTAGGCTGCTGCTCACAGATGAAGCAGGGGGGAAAACAGTTCCTGGAATGGATTGGGAGCGATGGGAAGTACCATCGTATCCTCCACCTCAGACTGCAAAATTATCATTGGCCAAGCTTAGCTACAACAAGCTATTTTAAGAGCAACCACCTCATAATTGCTAAAATTGGTCATTTGTCTCACCAACTTTATATTAAGTGGGAAAGACAATTTGCACACATACTTTGCAAAGAAGAAGAGTACTTACATGCAGGCATTGTTGAAACCTCGGCTGTCACGATGCTCTTTATTCCCAAGTTTGATAAAGCGCCTCTAATTAATCCACAAGTAAATGCCAAGTACTATGGGGGAAAAGACCCATACATTAAGTCAAACAAAACGACATTCTGATAATTTATATAATTCTCGCATTACACTGTTGAAAGTTCTTTAAACTTGTGCCGAGGAATTTAATATTCAACACTGTTTTCAAAGAGGAGGCCTCATCATGCAACACAATAATCTATTCTGGAAGTTATAATAACTTAATAATAATTTATTATTTATTATTATTTATACCCCGCCCATCTGGCTGGGTTTCCCCAGAACATGGATAACTGTGGCCAGTCTCTTCGTCCAGGAAGGGGTGCAACTGGTGTGCCAGTTGTAACTGGTAGAAAGGGCAAAATGTCATGGAGGCATTTGAAGGCAACCCTGTATCAGGAAATATCTAATGTTTTACAATATTTTTGTGTGCTGTAAGCCGCCCAGAGTGGCTGGGGTATAAATAACAATAATTAATTAATTAATTATTGGCACTTGGCTCTCCCTCCAGGGAAAAAAAAACAGGATCAACCCTCCAACGTATGAATTTCATTATTTAAGGAGAGTGTTAACCCTGTCGAGAGCAGCTTGAAGACACTTCCATGCAGGAAGTGGGGAAAGAGGGCCCACAGTAATATGTGATATCTATCTATCTATCTATCTATCTATCTATCTATCTATCTTGAGGATACTTCTTTAATACTAGCATGCGCACATGTAGATCTGACAGCTAGAATACAATCAACTGACAGAATACTGCTATAAAAGAGTTTGCTTCCCCTCCAACGTTTATCTGTCAAACTTGCAAAAATTCACATTAACACAGAATAAACAGTATAAAGCACAACTGTGAACATCCAGTGCATGGAGACGATAACACCATTGCAAGACCATTCCTGCTGCTCTCCCCTGCCCCATACATGTAAGGAATATACAGTCATACCTCGGGAGAAATATGCTTCAGGATAAATATTTTCGCGTTGCGCTCCGCGGCGATCCGGAAGTAATGGAGCACATTAGTTCCAGGTTTCGCCGCTCGCGCATGCGCAGACGGTCAAAATGATGTCACGTGCATGCGCAGAAGCAGCGAAACATGACCCGCACACGAGCGTCTTACTTTCTATTCAGGATGTGATCGGGGCTCCGGAACGGATCCCGTTCGCATCCCGAGGTACCACTGTATTGCAACTCCATGAAGAAATTTGGTTTTGAAGGTGCTCTTATGAACTACGTAAGATATAGTTAATTATACAAGCCTTAGGAGCATGCTCCAAATACTGTTTTCCAGCAGACATCTGAGTCAGAAGACGGAACTTGTTGTCCTGTAGTACATAGATGCCCTGCAAAAAATAAATAACAGTTATAGTAATATCCTGCCTTTTCCTTGGCTATTCATGCAAGAATCATTTATTAATGTTGTAACCCCGCTAGGTAATATACATGGAAAAATATACAAAGTACGTGCAAACACATGCAGTATACGTTATTTTCCTACCAAATGCAGTCTGGTCAATTAAACTGCAATCATCCCAACCAGTCACTTTGAAAGAAAGGCTAGGTTAATGGCGGACATCTTTCTCCCCAGGAAGTTAACGTCTCTGCAAATATGGTTACTAGCTGGATTGTTTTATTATGTTAATTATTCATTCATCCTTTCAAATCCTGCTTTTCAAGATAAAATCTTCCTAACACAGTGTACAATATTAACAACAAGAAAAACAGCAAAAACCAAATTGAAGGAACACCATAGAATAAATCTGTATTGTTTAGCTACACACGTTACCCTTATGGAATTCTCTTTACAGCACAAGGTGGCTGGCATATGACCCTAACAAAATTATTCTGAAATAAGAACCTAATTAGAATCAGAAAAAAATGTGATGGATCCCTTGCTTATTTTAAACTGCAAGTGGAAAAATACTATTTGAATATTCTCACATATGAAAATACCCTGCAGAAAGAAAACTAGAGTGCCAATAAGGGTTGTTCACCTTTTTACTGCTTTCTACATACGAAGGCCTTATTTATAATCATACAGCCCCAACTGTAGTACAATCCAAGCAAATGCTTCATTGTGCAATTGTGCTGACAGAGCTGATCCCAATTGTTTTAATTTCAGACAGAATCCAAATTTATATTAACGTATTTGAATGTCAATAATGTACAATTATGTATAATTTCTTCTCCGCCCACTTGGCACTGATATGCAACTCTACAAGTTCAGTTTCTTACAATACCTGATGGTTGGTCCTGAGGTTATCAATTTGCTTTTTGAATACAGTAGTCCAAAAATCTTTGCAGATAAACTTCATTATATCCAGTTCATCTTTGAATCTGGCAGTATCTTTTGTAAACCTAAGAGAAAGCAATTAAAAGTAGTGGCATTTAATTAGCTGCATGCACGTGATGTGGTGAGGGGGCATAAGTCATTAGCTGAATAAAAGGTGCCAGTTTCAGTGCCTGGCATCTGAGGTTTAAAGAACAGATTAAGTAAAAAATGATGAGAATGACCCTGAGGCCCCCAAAAGTCACTGCCGGTCTGAGTACACAACACTGGACTAGAAGGACAAGTTATCTGACCTGACATAAGGCAGATTTCTAGTTTCCAATTATGCCAACGATTTATTCAATTTATGAGCTAGCTTCCCACAAAAATTTCAAAGTGACTTCCAAAAATTAAAAACCCAACACCCAATGTAAGTTATAAACAGAAACAATATAGACAAAAAGGTGGTCAATCCATAAAACAAATTCCTCCACCCCACCATGACTTGAAACTACAACTAGAAATAATTATTACAAATCTTGGCACAAGAAAGGTCTTGCACAAGCAGAAAAAACACTTCCACTTAGTACAAGGCAGCGCCACTGAATTCCCTTCATTTTCCCATCACGTTGCAGCCACTAAAGTTTGTGTGGGGCATCTTTAAAAACAACATCCCTTAGGGAATTTCTGCGTCTTATGATATATACTGAATTTACACATGCTATAAGGACATCAGGAAACCTGCTGGAATATTTGCAACTCTGAAGGAAAATAATGGGTCAAGAGAGAAGCTAAACATGTCACTCACCTTTCTATTAATCCCTGTCCTACTCGAAAACCCATATTTTCCAGTTTTGAGATGCATCGTCCATTTTCCTGTAACATATAATAAAGGCAATCTTGTGTACAAATTGTGTACAATCTTGTGGGGTGTACAAAGAACACCCCACAAACCGCAATAACTTATGTAAATCTATTTCAAAGTTATATTTTAAGTTTTCTTATTCCACATTTTTCTCTTGCCTGTAATCAAAAGGCAGTTGGTTGTGACACTCAACATAGAATTGTGAATTTGCAGCAACAGGCAGAAACATGTTTGTTTTTCTCTTTTCAACTCCTGATAAACAGTTTGGCAGTCCTGAGATCTGCCCACTCCTGTTTTAACATCACAGAAGAAAGGTCTTTCCAAAGCACTGGAATACCAAAGCACTGGAATACCAAAGCACTGGAATACCATATATTAAAGAGTCACATTAATGTTTACCCCTGGGGACAGAAATGGAATTACAGGCAACCCCGTATTTATGCGCATTCAATGTGCGCGCAACCACACATGTGTGCATCATGCTGAACCAGGAAGTGACCCGAAAACATCACAAAAAGTCACATAAAGGGGTAGGGTGTTTGCAGGCTTCTTCAATGGCGTTTCAAATATACACAATTTCACTGATGCACGCTCGGAACATAACCCCTGCGTAAATGCGCGGGGGTGTGTGTGTCTGTGTTCAAAAACCCAACCCCCAAATTTTGATTATTATTGGTAGTCTGCCACTAGAAGGGAAGAGAGTCAATATATTTATTATAGCATGAAAACTTAGAAAACAATGAATTGTTTGGTAAAACAAATACACAAGGCTATGTGACTGTAAGAATGTACACCAAATGCAAATGGAGGATCCTAATTGAACAAAACCAAAAGCTAATTTGTTTAGTTAGGCTGCAATCAGAAGGCCCCAGTGAAACCAGTAGGCCTGGTTTCTGGGCTTTTTAGATATTGTTTTATATACGGTGTGTATATATATATATGTAGTAAGTTCCTTGCATTGCAGTAGGACCAATTTCTGACCGATGTCTGAAGCAACAGAGGCTGTCAGGAGCTCAGCCTACACTCGAGTAGGACTCTGGCAGAGACACATGCCCGACTGGCATCTTCCCTCCCTCCTGGTCCATCGTTCGGGAGCTTCATAAGCTTTTTTCAGCCCAAACATCACAGCGACCGATGCCAACCGACACCAGCACACTTAGGGATCTGTAGAGTTCGTGCACCTTGCGCGACAGACCACAGCAACTCAGCATTTTGGCTAATCTACTTTATTTACATATAAACACACATGGAGCACTGCAACATGGCTCCCTCTCTCTCTAGCATCAGACAGCAAAGAGAAAAAGAACAAAGGACAATAGTCCAACTTCAAAGAACACAGTAACACAAACATCCTGTTTCCTTCACTTCCCACTCTGTGGAGTCAAAACATATACCGTCATGTCATAGACAACAACACCATGTCTGCAATCATAGAGCAGGAATTCTTACAGAAACCCCTAGTCAGTCATTCATCTATTTCCCACCCTTCACTCTAAGGTCTCGGGGCAGGTTACAGCATTAAAACACAATATGAAAAACACTTTAAAACAACTTACAACCATAAAAATAAGCTGGGTCCTACAAACATACACTTTGAGACACTCTTTGTAATTTTATAATCTGAAGTACTTGAAGTGGAATAAAAAAAGACAGTAGTCAGGGTTTCATCCCACTACAAGTACTGCTGAATTCAGACTCCAGGTGTGCTTAATAAACACACTAATTTAATTGCAAACAGTCTGTCCTAACTGAATTATGGATAATGTTGTGTCGTCCTAATCCTGCCCATTTTAAAACGCCTATGCTGTTTCTAAATTTAAGGACACGTTACACTAAAGATGACAGGAATTTCTGAAGCATTTTAAAAAGTTATATGCAAACACAAAGCATGCTGTTGCAGGGGGGGAAACCCATTGTATTAGTGCATGGGTCTAAGGCCCAGGGGCCGGATCCGGCCCAATCGCCTTCTAAATCCAGCCCGTGGATGATCCGGGAATCAGCGTGTTTTTACATGAATAGAATGCGTTCTTTTATTAAAATGCATCTCTGGGTTATTTGTGGGGCATAGGAATTCGTTCATTTTTTTCTTTCAAAATATAGTCCAGCCCCCCACAAGGTCTGAGGGACAGTGGACCGGCCCCCTGCTGAAAAAGTTTGCTGACCCCTGTATTAGTGGGTCAGAGGGAATGTAATAAACATTTTTAATTTAGATCATCCCTAGTTTACTTGGTACATACTGTATGTGATGCTTATCACATTTCTCTCGGGCAGTCTGTTCATGTTCATCACTGGACTCGCCCATAACCAGCCCCAAACCTGGATACTGAACACGGATTAATCTGTTCAGACGCCAGAAGCCCTTGGCCAGGCCCTCAAACCACCACAGCGCTTTAAGGAGAAGAGATTTCGAAACCAGAGACTCCATTATGAGGCTTTGGGTAGGAGAAGGCATTCCAGATTTAGGAAAGCTTCGTTTAAAAAAAGGAATATAAAAAAGGGACCCTCCTCGGGCCACAGCGCCGGCTGCGCCGTCCCCCGGGCTCCGCCTCTCTCCCTTCCCTTCGACGGGGAAGCGCCGGGATGCCTCCCCGGAGCCGCCAGAGCAACCCCCGCTCACCCCATCGCCCTGCTCGGCGGCGCGGTACAGCCCGGACACCATCTCGTTGTGCAGCAGCAGGAAGAGCGCCTCGTCCGCCATCTCCGACTTGTTCATGCCGGGAAGATCCCGGGCAGAAGGGAATGAGGACCAGGCCCACCCGAGTCCCTCCTTCAATCCAGAGGCGGAGCTGCCCAGGCAACAACCGGCAGCTGCTTCTGGGGCGGAGCTCCGGGGAGTCCCCGCCTCGACGCTCGGTGGTTTGCGGGCGCCTGTGGGAGCGAGCTCGGGCATTGGGATGCCGCTCTCCCTTGTCCGTTTGGAAGCGAAGGTCCGGCGGGCTCACGGCTACGTTGAAGATGTCATGGAGTTCTACTCAGTATTGATCCAGATTCCAACGTACAGTTAGCAGAGTAAAAACTTACAACACGTGGCAGGATTCCCAAAAAATAGACCAGAGGCAATTGTGTTTCATTCAGCAGAGCTTTACTGCTACCGAAGGCAAATGAGCATAATGGTCACAACTCCCATACGTTCAGGATGGGCACTGGCCATAAGAAAACTAGTTGCAGCAGACTTGAAAATTCCAGTAACTTAAAATACAGTAGGTCTAAAAACACTAAGAGTGGACACCAGAAGGAAAAGAGAAAGGGAAACTCTTCTTCTGGCCTCTTAACAGAACACCCCTAGGATTACTGTGACTTTAGGGATGCCTAAATCAGTGGGTGTAGAGAGCATAGTGGGTCAAAGTGGGACCGCTGGGAATTAATCCCAGCTGTACATTAACTTAGCTCAAATTCAGCCTTTTCACCTTCAACCTACTTCAGCAGGTTGTTGTAAGAATTATAAATAAATTGCTATTGGCTTGCAATAGGGTGTTCCAAGGGTCTTGGATAAATGTGAAGTAAATAAATTGTATATATATCCTGTTTGTTTGATTTATATCTTACCTTTTCCTCAAAGCAGCTCATCCCATAAGATTGAGCTACTTTTCATTTCTCAATCTCACCATTACCCTAGAAGGTTGCTTGCACTGAAAACAACATCAATAGAAAATAATGGCAACATAGAATTGCTTGCAAGATCAAATTCTAAGCGTAATTGTAAATAGTAGCTTCTTTTATCATTCTGTTCCCAGGATGTTGTTGTTGTTGTTTTTATAAAAAAGACTTTTTTCCAAAACTGTAATTGCTTTTCTTATGATAGTTTAATTTGCTTTATTTTAAAATGATGCAATGCTGTAAGTGGTTGGGAAAGTGGAGTGAAAAATGTTGAGGCTATTGTTCGTGCATGATGCCACGGTTGGTGGATATCTGCACAATACATCCCAGGCATGCGCCCCAGGGAGGTTACTTAGGTGCTGCTAACACAGCGATTTGACTTCACCCCAGAGGCACACTTCATTGTCTCTCAAACTAGAAAGATGTCAGCAATAATATGTTACGGACTTCGTGGAAATAGATGTTACTGTTCCTGAATTATTGGTCTCTCCCCCCCATATTGTGTGTGTCTTGCTTTATTGCTGTAACATAAGGATGTTAGGCTTTCCACAGTGGTGCAGCCTTGAACTGTAGTGACATGACTGCAGGTCAGTTTGTCTTGATGCCAGTCATAACCATGGGTAGGCAAACTAAGGGCCGGGGGCCGGATCCGGCCCAATCGCCTTCTAAATCTAGCCCGCGGACCGTCCAGGAATCATTGTGTTTTTACATGAGTAGAATGTGTCCTTTTATTTAAAATGCATATCTGGATTATTTGTGAGGCCTGGCCTGCCTGGTGTTTTTGCATGAATGGAATGTGTGCTTTTATTTAAAATGCATCTCTGTGTTATTTGTGGGGCATAGGAATTTGTTTCCCCAAAAATATAGTCCGGCCCCCCACAAGGCCTGAGGGACAGTGGACTAGCCCCCTGCTGAAAAAATTTGCTGACCCCTGGTCATAACTATAAAAAAAAAAGATGAAGAACACTATTCTGTGATATGATCTGGAATTGTTGTGATATGATACACTATCAGTCTGTGATGTTCAGAATTTTAGACAGATTTTCACAGTAAGAGACCTCCCTTTAAGAGGGCTTATCCATACTGTTGTTTAACATGGATAGTAAGCATCCTGTACCTCCCTTAATTCTGTTGTGCATGACATTATCCTCCAAATCACTGCCTTCCCACACGTTCCCCTCAGTCCCAGGGATGCTCCAAAAAGGAAAGGGTATGAGAAAGTCTGAAATGTGGGAGTGGAAAGTGTGGGAAGGCACCAATTTAGATACTGTCATATGCACAATGGCAAATTAAGGAAGGTACAGGAATCTTCTATCCATATTAAACGACTGTATGGATGAGCACTGAATCACAGGACATAAGAGCTTATATAGCTAATTACAGTATATCCAGGTACAGTTGCTTGGAAGTTTACCCATGGACCAATGAATAATGTAATGTTTGGTCAAAGAGCTGCATAGGAATAATGGACTCTGTGCAGTTTCTTTATTTACTCAGATCTTGTCTGGTCATAGGTCTTGGAGGCCCACAACCTCAGTCTGTGAGCGTGAGGAACTCTTCAAAGTGGTCCCTGGAGATCTGGGCATCTTTGTGGACTCTAGGAGTTTTGCTAGTTTTGCCAGTAGCCTTGTTGATCACGAGATCAGCCAATTCAGGGCCCTTGGCAGTTTCACTCCCTAGAATCCTTCTGCCCTTGTTGAGCTGGGCTTTCCTGTCATTTAATGGAAAGCTTTGTGTGATGAAAAAGCAGGGAAGGCAGAAATTCAAAATTAATTTGACCAAACACCTTAGAGACCCATTGAAGGTCTAATATTTGGCTGTGATAGCAGCAAACATTAATGCTGCTGCTACCTCACCTTGGTGACCATTTAGCCCTCTGTGCCCCAATAAATAAATAAATAAGATGGCTTGCCTTAAAGTGCAGGGAAGGCAATTACAGCAATGATAGTGGGAGCGTTTGCTAATAGTTACAGCCCATCTCACATATTTTGGTTATGCTGTTACTTCAGCTTTTCACTTGCGCATCTGAGTCTGTGTTTTTTTTACTCAAAAGTTAGTTCCATTAACTTCAGTGGGGCTTGCTTCCAAGTACGTAATAGTGAACAGGACTTATAAGCAAATTTCAGAATCAGAGAAGCCAAGTGTCCGTGGAAATTGAGTTTAGTCCCGCCCCCTGCACTTCAAGGCACCTCATGACCCGAGGAGCGCGCGAAAATTAGTAGGGCTGGTCTTACGGCGGATAGGGAAGCATAAGCCGACCCGCCTCCCATCACTGATTGGTTACTCGATGCCACCCTGCTCTGGCATTCCGCGATTGGCAGGAGAAACAGAGCAACGCGGTCGTCGAGTGGTTCTCCCAACGTCGCTCTAAGCACTATGGATTCCCGATTGGCTAAGAAGGAAGCTGATGACTGGAGCACCCAAATGCCACTCAACCTGTCAGGGCGGCGATTCGCTAGGGACGAGGCGCGGCTGTTGGCGAGGAACGTTGTCGATCCAACCCTCGCGCGCCGATTGGCGGGTTTGCTCGGAGGAGCCGCGCTACGTGAGGGGCTGGGCCGCGGCGCCCCGCCCCTTTCCCGCCGAGCCACGCTCTCGGCCGGCCCCTGACTGGCTAGGCCGCGCCTGTGGGTGGCTAGGATGGCGGTGGCGGTGCGAGCTCTGCAGGAGCAGCTCGAGAAGGCCAAGGAGAGCCTCAAGCACGTCGACGAGAACATCCGCAAGCTCACGGGGCGGGACCCCAACGATGTGCGGTGAGGCGGGAGGAAGAGCGGGGCGGCCGGCGGGGGGGTTTCGGCTCAGAGGGGGCCGCCGCGCTCGCCCCCTGAGAGACTTCTCTGCGGTTGCCCCTTCGTGCCCGCGCCCTTTCCCTTCCCTCTCCCTGGGACTTCAGGGGCCCGAGAGGTGCAGCCGTTAGCCCCGTCCCTCTTCTAAAGGGTTCTGGGAAGGGACGGAGCGGGAGCGCAGAGGGAGGCCTACGAGCAGAAGCCGTTAGTGGCGTCCACGTGAGTTGCCAGGCGCGACTGCGCCCTGCGAACGCGGCTTCCCCGCTTGGCTTCAATGGGGCTCGCTAGTTCCCAGTAAGGGCGCTTAGGGACGCAGCCTGCACCGGCGGCCTAAATTAACCCAGGTTAAGGGTGCGCTCATGCCCCAGCCTAAATCTGTAAAAGTTTCCGTAGCACAAAAGGTAGGCAGAACCCACTGCCGTCCCCCTGCATTTTCTGCTACTTCCTTCCACGTGGGAAGCCAAGGTATTTTAATGAAATAGGCCATCAGGATCCTGCACACGGTAGAAGCAGTCACTTCCCGTCCCCAATCACTAATAAAGCTGACTAATAAAGTGGGGAGTGGGGGATACATTTGCAGCAGGTCTCCAGTGGTGTTCCTTTGAGGGATGTTTTCTGTACCACTTTGCACCTTCCTGATGATTATGCCCTTGGCTTTTCCCCCCAGGCCCGCTCAAGGGAGATTATTGACCATCACAGGCCCTGGTGGAGGTAGGGGGCGTGGAAGTATATTACTTAGGTGAGTATCTGTGGATGATTAATGGAAACCAATTCTGTACCTTTCTGAGGGCAGCTTCTATGCTGTATGGAATGTTATGCTTGTATTTGAAGGCTAGAAATGAAAAGAAGGTTAAATGTTGTTTTAATATGTTGATATAAGGTAGCTAGAGTCTGAACTCAGCTGCCATACTTGTACAGTGAGGGGGAAGAGAGGGTTCTGCTCATGGTCCAAAGCATATTCACAGGCAAACAAGCAAATAACTGATGGGGTTCTTGACCATTGCTTGTGTCTGTCATTGCAACTGCTGTCCTAAGGTTGCATGCAACTTCTCTTCTAACCTTAAAAAAAAAACTTCAGCAATTTCAAGCTGGACTTGTACAGTTGCTGTAATGCTAGTTTATGGCAGTGCTGAGGAGCCCACAAGATTGCTGTCTTCAAATATTTCAGTAGAAGGCATGTATAACTTGCCACTTGGCTCATATACCATTGTTATTACCAAAGGGTGGGCAGCCAACCATGCTATTCTAAGGGTTACAGATCCTCTGCTGTTGTAGCCTAACACTGGCATGGTATGGTACAGTGGTATCTCGGGTTAAGAACTTAATTCATTTTGGAGGTCTGTTCTTAACCTGAGACTGTTCTTAACCTGAGGTACCACTTTAGCTAATGGGGCCTCCTGCTGCTGGCACTGCGCAATTTCTGTTCTCATCCTGAAGCAAAGTTCTTAACCCAAGGTACTATTTCTGGTTTAGCGGAGTCTGTAAACTGAAGCGTCTGTAACCTGAGGAACCACTGTACTTGAAGACTATTGCAACAGAGCTCTGGCTGGTTTTTATTGGATGTAGTTTTAGGCTCTGCTTGCACAGCAGTCTTTGCAGTCCTACAGATATTTGGCCTACTTGGTATTTAGTTTTGGTACTGGAAAGTTTAAAATTGATAGATATATTCACATTTCTAGAGTTTCTTTAAAATGCTCTTAAAAGGAAGGAATAAGCTTTTGAATTTGTGGCATTGTGTAACTTAGGGATTAGTTACTTTTGTGGGTGGTTTATTTTTTAAAAGTCACATCCTCCACCCTTGGAGGGGCTTTTCTGAATTGGAAGGGATACTTAGTTTGTTCTGTGTATGAGAGTTGGATATATATACATGGGCAGAGAGAGAGGGAGATATTTATGTGAGGTGGGGGAATAGAGGGTAGGTATGTGTTTGAGGGGACGCGGGTGGCGCTGTGGGGTAAAACTTCAGCACCTAGGACTTGCCGATCGCATGGTCGGCGGTTCGAATCCCCGCGGCGGGGTGAGCTCCCGTCATTCGGTCCCAACTCCTGCCCACCTAGCAGTTCGAAAGCACCCTTAAGTGCAAGTAGATAGGTACCGCTTTATAGCGGGAAGGTAAACGGCGTTTCCGTGTGCTGCTCTGGTGCCGGTTCGCCAGAGCAGCTTCGTCACGCTGGCCACGTGACCCGGAAGTGTCTGCGGACAGCGCTGGCTCCCAGCCTCTAGAGTGAGATGAGCGCACAACCCTAGAGTCTGTCAAGACTGGCCCATACGGGCAGGGGTACCTTTACCTTTACCTATGTGTTTGAGAGGGAGAGATGTACTTGCAGCAGTGTATATGTGAAGTACAGTATATGGGTGTGTGAGAGCTGCATGTGTGTACTGAGAGGCTTTCTCTTGCATCTCACCCAAATACAGTCATACCTTGGAAGTCAAACAGAATCCATTCTGGAAGTCCGTTTGACTTCCAAAACATTTGGAAACCAAAGTGCGGCTTCTGATTTCCTGCAGGAGGCTCCTGCACCAATCAGAAACCGCACTGGATGTTCAGGTTCCGATAATCATTCGAAAACTGAAACACTCATTTCCGGGTTTTGATCATTCGGGAACGTCCCCTGTAGTGAACGTCCCCTGACAATGGAAACAGAGAAGAGCACTCTCTAGCAATCTTGAGGCATAAGCAAGCTGGTTTAGGGAGATGTTCTCCTTCAATTATTTGGGCCCCAAACCATTTAGCGGCTTAATAAAGGAGTACTAGCATTTGGAATTGGGCCTTGCAGCAAATAGGCTGCCATGGTAGTTCTTTCAGAATTGATGTGATATGATTCCATCAGGATAAAGCAACAGCCTTGTTAGTGGGTAGCCAGGGGGCCCGTGTGTCTGGGTCTTTGATGCAGGATACTGGTCATCTTTCCTCTTTAAACTTAACTTTTTTTACAGGGCAACTGGTAACACTTCAAAGTACAGCACTGGTGAGACCCTAGACACCTCCCATTCAAATTTCCCAGCGTGCACTTGTCTATTTTTAAATACGTACATAATATGTACATAAACAGCAGCTCTAGACTGTGGGTGGGGTGGAGGGCCCAATCCACATATAGTATACTGGCCCAGGAAATCCCTGTTGCCACCCTGTAGCTCTGAGATCTCCCTGACAGCCAGTTTGTTTCTCCCCTTCAAATGACAGCTGAAATTGGCACCTATACATAAAAATAAGCATATGCAAATATTTAATGTAGGCCTCTGCTCTGAGTCTTTTCAGTACCCAACAATGCTCCTCTGCTGAACTGTATTCTGCACTAGTTTTCAAGGGCAGCTCCTTGTACAACACATTACAGTGTTCCATTTGAGAGATAAGCAGAATGTGCATCATGGTGGCAAGACTGTCTGTTCAGGAATGTTCCTACCTGGTGATAAGGTCAAACCTGGGAAGGGCAGTTTGTGAAACTGGGGCTACCTTGGCTTCTAGTGACAACTCTGGATGTAAGTGTGTCCCCAAGCTGCAAACCTGCTTCTTCATGGAAGGTGCACCCCCATCTGAAACAAGCCAAGTACCTAATTTATCAACATAAGAACCACTTTCTCACAATTCTTTATTGTCAGCTTTCAGTCTGTTAGCCCATTACGGAGCCCAAGCACTGGTTCAGCACCTGAGCAGCCTCACCTAACTCAGATTTTTAAAAAAGAAAAGAAATAGAGCTGATTTTATTTGTTAGACTGATTACATCTTACTTTTACCCTCTGATCTCACCTAGTGGCTTCATATAAATGTTAGAGAGCATGGTGTGACTTCTGTAAAACTTGCTGCACACAAAGCAAGACATTGAACTTTAGTTTTATGGGGTCTTGGCATTATAAACTTGCTTGGAGCATACTGATCTGATACACTGATGTGCTCTTTTGTTTCAGGCGTGGATTCTCGGATAGCGGAGGAGGACCCCCAGCCAAACAGAGGGATCTAGAAGGGGCGACCAATAGGTGAGCAGAGAATGAAATCGGACTGAATTCAACAGGATTGAATGAAGTTAGAGACAAGAACAGCATGCCATCTTAGCTGACTCAGTATATTTCTGTAGTGCATTTCTACATGGTTTTTATATAGCACTCAAGGCTGTGTATAATTTAATATGATTGTTTGCAATTTCAGACATACAAAAGGAACTGGGAGGGAAGAAAGGAAAAACCATTCATGTATCAGTTCTTTAATTAAGTTGCATATAATTCCTCTTGGAATTCTACACTAGCAAATAATTTATACTGGTGTATCTTGATTCTGTGTGATATTTTAAATAGGATTTCAGTAGAACACCTTTTTTGTCTTGAGTACCCGTAAATTGTGTAGGAGTTGCTACCCTACAATATGTTCTGTAGAAAGAAAAGTAAGCGGACTTTAAAAGTGAGGTCTCCATCTTTAAAAAGATGCTGTAATAAAGCAACAGATTTAGCAAGCAGCTAATCTGCATTCACCGGAGAGTTCATTGGATCCCAGCAACAACATGGACAGAGAGGTTGGATCACAGCAGTCTGAAGCACAGTATCTTGATTTTAGTGTAGTTATTTTGCTTTTATTAACATCATTTTCTAAGCCAATTGAAACATTTTCCTTGGTTCTAGTATAAAATGGATGCCTTTGATACTCTCTTAAATTTAGGCTAGCTGGGGAACGTCGGACAAGGAGAGAATCACGCCATGAAAGCGACGCAGAGGATGATGATGTTAAAAAAGTAAGGGATACCTAAAAGTTGGTGGGTAGAGAGGCGAAAGAAATGTAGAAAAGCTTCCATTAACCTGGATTTGACCTATCCTTACAGCCAGCGTTGCAGTCTTCTGTTGTTGCTACCTCCAAAGAACGAACACGCCGAGATCTTATTCAAGATCAAAACATGGATGAAAAGGGAAAACAAAGGTATCTTACAATGTTGTTTACTGTAACCACAATGTTTTCAAACTCCAAGAGCATAATACAAATTATGAAAGAAATGTTCTTTCTTGCACAGAAAACTTTGTCCAATATTTTATGCTGTCCTGGTCTGTTTCTTAAGAAGTGTGTGTACAGGTACTGACTGCACCAGACAACTCAACCCAGCTTCCATGTTTATTTAAGTTGCCTTGCACAATTTGCTTTGCCTGTTGATTTGTAAGTCAAAATAAGTTGCTTATGTACTTATTTCAGACTGTTGTTTTGATTATTCCAGGAATGTAAAAGCTCTGGGTAGAGATTTATCATGTTGTGTTTTTCAAAGATAGGCATCCTGCCAGATAATTTTTTTCTAAAATGTTCCCTTCTTGGTTTTTTTTTAGTTTGATATGAACCAGTCTAATTCAGAAGTAAGTCCCATTGATGTTGGTGGGATTTCAGCCTTGGTCTTTAAAGAATACTGCAAATTAGCAGCTATTGTACTTTTTTATGCTTTTCTGTGCAAAATCCTGGGAAAATTTGTTAAAATTTGTTTGTCATTAAAATTTGTTTATGAGGTTTGGGTGATGAAACTGGATTTTACAGTCTGCTAGAGAAATCAAAACATATTTATTAATTGTATAGATTTGTATCCCACTTTTCAGGGAAGAAATCATATAAAACAGCTGACAAAATATCTAAAAACATGAATAAGTTCAGATTTGAGCTGTGGGAGCTCTGTTGCCCCTGCCCAACAACATTCTGTGCTGGCTTCTTTTATGAGGAAGGCTATTTAAAGGTCTCACTTTTAGACAGTGCATTGTGTTGAGCCGCTTGTATATAAACTTCAGATATGTAGTTTGTGGGAAAGTATCCAAATAATTTTTTGGGGAAATTATTTCTTAATTCAAGCACCATCTCATATGTATTAGTTGGGGTGGGGCTGGAATGCTGGGCTGGAATTTATTTTCAGGCTGTGACCATTGTGCTTGGGGTTCTGACAGTAAGAGATGTTCTACAGTGGAGTGGACTCCCTCGAAAGGTTGTAGACTCTCCATCCTTGGAAGTTCTTAAGCAGAGATTGCCTGGCAATCTGTCAGGGTTGTTTTAGTTGAATTTCCTGCATTGCAAGGGAATGGACTAGATGACCCTTGGGGGGGATTCCCTCCCAACTTAACAGTTCTATGATTCTCCGTATGGGCCAAAGTTCTTGCTCAAACAGCTAGCCCTCAACAAAAAAGTACGTCAAAAGAAGATGACTATATTTTCAGTACAATGTTGCTTACAAAATGGCAAATCATTTCTTGAGGTTCCTTATGAAAAGTCACAACAATGTTGTTCCTTTTATTAAAAATCAGTCTGTTTAATGTATTTTATTGTTGTCTTCAATCTTAGATAAAACTTTTGGATGTCTTTGGGTCATATATTAAGAACTTGATTTAATTTAATACGTTTGGAAATTATATGCTATTGTTGATAAAGCTATCCACTGGAATTATCTTGTTATCTTCTCATGTTGGTTGTTGAAATTTGTAATGTCCACTAGTTATGTTTCTTTTTAAATAGCTTTTGCACCCTGTATTATTATTGTAGCCTTTTTATAATTCATGTGCCATTAACTAACAACCTTGGAAGATTTGGAAAACTGTTTCAATAGGTATGCATAATGGACACATATGAAAGTCGATCATATAATCATATCTTTTTACTCCTTTTCTTTTCTAGGAATCGGCGCATATTTGGCCTGTTGATGGGTACTCTTCAGAAGTTCAAACAAGAATCAACAGTTGCTACTGAAAGGGTATTAACTCAATACCTTGTAATGTTCATTAGAGGAGAGAGAGAGTACTACTTCTTTTGAATGAGAGAATTGTATACTGTCTTGTGCGAAGAAACTTACTGCTAGTAGCCCAGTAGCTCAGATTTTTCATTGTGGAAACATGAAGACTTTAAAGTCATTTTTCAAGTGTAAAGGGAAACAGTGAGCATTCCTAAAACTTTCCTTAAGCCTATTAAGTTCAATAGAACATGGCTCCTACTACAAATACAGTTCTGTATGGCGACCCTAAACTGGGTTCTGGCAACCAGCTGGGAAAACCCCTAGTAACTGCCAGCAGCCTAGAGAGGTCATGCTTAGGTTTCATATGCCCTGCCTTTAGTTGGCTATATAGTTGAATTTTTATTATTATTTACTTGTCTCTGGTTCCATAACAATTTGAAAACAGATTAGAAAGGGGGGGGGCACAGAGCTCCTATTGGTTACCAGGCTTAAGGTCATAAGTTGGAGATATGTAATTGCATTGCCTGGCACTGCTTCATTGTAAATGTGAATTCCTCGATACACAAGGCGTGCTCCATACCTTAGGGGAGCAGAAATGAAAAAAACAACCACTATAAGCAGTGACTTGACTACTAAGTCCAGCCAAAAGTTGCAATAATTAGATAAAGCTTTTTCTGTATCAGACTTCTGTATTGATCTGATTCCAGAACAGGGGTCGACCAGCTATTAAGTGGTATATAAATTAATAATAAAATTTCTGAGTTCACCTTAAGCAAATCTGAAACGGTTTCTCCACTTCAGCAAAAAAGACGGCAAGAAATTGAACAGAAACTTGAAGTGCAGGCAGAGGAAGAGAGAAAGCAGGTTGAAAATGAGAGGCGAGAGCTCTTTGAGGAAAGACGTGCTAAACAAACAGAGCTGCGGCTATTGGAACAGAAAGTTGAACTTGCTCAGCTGGTGAGTCAAAATTCAAGCAGCTGCTATGTGGTGTTTGTGTTGTGGACAATACTAAAAAAATAAAAATCTTTCTTTTACCAGCAAGAAGAATGGAATGATCATAATGCCAAAATAATTAAATATATAAGAACAAAGACAAAGCCTCATCTGTTCTACATACCTGGCAGAATGTGTCCTGCTACCCAGAAGCTGTTTGATGATTCCCAAAAAAAATTAAATGGTATGTTACTGGTGGTAGGGTAGATACATTTTCTTTGATATAAGCTCTTCTGGCATTTCAGTAGAAAAAGTTAAACTGATATTGATAAGGCAGTAAAGCGAACTTGCATCTTAGTCAAAGGGTCCATTCTGGGAGTCTCCACGTTTATACAAAAACACATAAAGCCAGAACTGGCCCACCCACAAGGTGGAGGATTGCCTACCCAGCTTTGGGAAGTTGGTGCAAAGGCACTAGAAGGGTCCTAGAGTCCTGGTTCTGGGGTTTAGGAAAATCCTCAGAACAGCACATAGTTGCAAATGGGGGTTTTCCATCTTGCAAGATGATGTGCTTGCACAAACAGAACATTTGTAATGGTGTGACATTGGAATTCCAGTCCAAGTGATTGACAGATACAACTTGTCTCTAGGGGGTTGGGGAGATAAGAATCTTGCCCATCTGTTGGATCCAGTTATAAATTATTTCTTAATGTGAAGCTTTACTGCTCATAACTGCCAGTAGCCTGTAATTCAAAAATATGTGGCAAATGCCCCAATTCACAAGTGCACATTCTGATCTCTTAACATGGATGATCGCTTGTCTGTATGAAATTTTCCTTGTGTGAAGTGGTTCAAGTGATCTATCAGTAAGATGGAACCATGCTAAGTACCCACAATAAGCTTAGTGTGTCTTCTTTCGTTCTGCAGCACTGTTTGAAAATAGGCGCATTGAGTTTGCTGAGCAAATTAACAAAATGGAAGCCAGGCCCAGGCGACAATCTCTGAAGGAAAAAGAACACCAGGAGGTGCAGAAGGAAGAAAAGAAGGAAGACCAGAACAAGGAGCAAGAAGAGGGTAAGGCGGTTCAGCAGGTGGAAGAGATGGAGACAGGTAATCGGAGCAATGATGTAGAAATGGAAGAGGTAGGGGAAGAAAAGGAGGTAGGTGCTAGTCACAGTGATGGAGAGATAGAACAGGAGGAGGAGGAGCAGAAAGAGGAAATGGAGGTTAAGGTAGATGAGGGACCAGAGATTAAGGAGAATGATAGGCAGCAGGATAATCAGGAGGAGGATGTTGTGTTAGGGAAAGAGGAAGGTGAAAACACGCTGCCAGTAGATGGCGAGCAGGATGTCATGGAAACCAATGAGGCAGATCATGCAGAGCCACTAGAAAATGAGAATAGCAAAGAAGTGGAACCAGAAATGGAGAGTAATGCTCAACCAGAGCAGGAGGGGCCTGTTGCTCCCTTGGAGAAAGAGGAAGGCAACAAGCCAGAAGTGGAAGCTGAACCAGAGGAGGCAGAAGAGAAGGAGCCAGAATCCATTGCAGTGTCCGAGGCTGAGGTCCAGCCTCGACTAGAGGCTGTGCTTCAGCCACAGCCTTCACCACAGTTGGAATCCACTCAAGATCAAGAGCCTCAGGTAGACAAAGAAGAAACGGTAGTGCCTGAGAATCTGCCTGAAACTCAGGCAGACCAAATCCAGGCAGTAACCGTAGAAGTCAAGAACAAGGTTAGGAGCAGGAGCAGAGGTAGAGCAAGGAACAAAGGCAGCAAGAGTCGAAGTCGCAGTACTAGCAGCAGCACGAGTAGTACTAGTTCTACAAGCAGTAGTAGCGGCAGCAGTTCTAGCAGCGGCACCAGCAGTAGTCGGAGTAGTTCCTCCAGCAGCAGCAGCACTAGCGGAAGTAGCAGTCGAGAGAGTAGCAGTAGTTCCTCCAGCAGCGAGAGCAGAAGTCGAAGCAGAGGGCGTGGGCACAATAGGGATAGGAAGCGTAGGAGGAGCCTGGATCGAAAGCGAAGGGATAATGCAGGAGTAGACAGGAGTCACAAGTCTTCAAAAGGTAGCAGCAGAGATGCGAAAGGATCAAAGGATAAAAGTTCAAGGTCGGACAGAAAGAGGTCTATATCAGAAAGTAGTCGGTCAGGCAAAAGAACTTCGCGGAGTGAAAGAGACCGTAAATCAGACAGGAAAGACAAAAGGCGTTGACAGAAGAGACCAGGCTCCCTAGCCTAATCTTTGCAGCAGAAGATTACTTGATGAGTGAAAGGATTCCATGTGGGGAAGAAAAGGCTGCCTTAATTGCATGCTGTATAAAATCTTTTGGAGAAATGCAGACTCTTTACCAGGCAATTCTTGTGCTTTTTACATGATTTTGTAAAAGGTTACTTATCAAATTATGTGACGATGCAAAAGTGTACAAATAAAAGGATTGACAACCCCTTCATCTTTTTAAATCTCCTCTACTTAAGAGTTTCTGTATATTTTAATAGGTACATAGTTACATTTGTGTGAATCATTTCTGTATCAGATCTTTTTTTTTTTGTAGAAATAAATGTGTATTTTACAGAGGTGTGAGAGCCTGTTGCCGCTTCATCTCGCATAGATATCTTTCTCCCTTTGCCATACTTCATACAGAGTGTTTAAATATTCTGCCTATTAACACTTCCCCTCTTAATTGCTAAAAGTGAATTCTCAAGTTCTGTGAAGGAGCACACACCTGTGCATAATCCAGGTTTTCTTTTCTGTGCTTTCGTTATACAAATTGATGCCAGCTTTTACTAACGTTCCTTGGTGAACTAACTGCCCATATACAGAAGCCAAGTGAGTGTATCAAGCCAATTCTAATTACTTGGCCACCTAAAATCTGTTTAGAAACTTCATGTAGTTATTTCAACAAGCCTTGCCTCTCCCCTAGTTTTAGAGTAATGCTTAGATTTTTTAAAAAAAAAAAAAACTTGCATCTCATTTATTTCTGTGCTTTGCAGTATGTTGCAGGAGGCCTATGGGTAACTTCAAAACTAGATTATTGTTGGCCACAGGCTAAACTTTCAAATGCCAATAAAAATGCAGTATACCATTAAATTAATCGGGGGTTAAGATGTTGTATTTATGAATACCTGTTGATGGAGGAAAGTGGATTCAAAACTTGGAATTTCTGTAACATCTAAAGCAAGTCGATGGCAATATAGTTGGTGTAAAAAGGTGACATACTGTTTTTAAACTTCCTACAAGTGTATTCATTGGCTTGTTCTGTAAAAGTCTAAATAAAGGTAGCTTTATATACTATTTTCTGTATTCTGCATTTACTGTTTGTTTAATGAGAAGTTTTTTTATACTTGTCGTTCACCTACCAAAACCAAATGGTTTGACACAAATTAGAATTCCCATTCCCAGCCATAAACATACATCGGAAAGACCAGAAATCTCAACTTGTACTTAGGTACCCCTTAAAAACATTTAAAGTAGTCTCTCATACCTAACAATGTGGATTTGTGTATGGAATGTAATGCTGAACTGGGCTGGCGAAGGATTTGTGTGAAGTGCCCTTTTGAGTTTGTTTCCACCAGCCACCCAGCAAAAATTCCTTTTTAAAAGTCCTGGCTACAGATGTCTCTGTGGATGGGCTGGTGGAATCCAAGAGCACCTGAGTCATTTTGTTCTACGTCTTTAATTTGCAGTGGGGAAAGGGTAGATAGGAAAAGACACTATTGGCCTCAATAGGTATCCACCCAACTGTGGTCTAAACCATTGAGCTTCTTGGGCTTGCCGATCAGAAGGTTGGCGGTTCAAATCCCTGCGACGTGGTGAGCTCCCGTTGCTCTGTCGCAGCTCCTGCCAACCTAGCAGTTCGAAAGCATGTCAGTGCAAGTAGATAAATACCGTATTTTTTGCACCATAACACTCACTTTTTTCCTTCTAGAAAGTAAGGGGAAATGTCTGTGCGTGTTATGGAGGGAATGCCTATGGGTGGCGGGGGGAATCTGCTGCAGTCGTGAGCAGAGGATCCATGGTTCCCCTTCCTTCCCTCCTCTGTGGCTCGCTTTGAAACAGCAAAGCGGGAGAAGAGCCGCTGAGTGGGGAAGAGAGAGGGACAGAGAGCCTGCTTCTTTAAAGGAGCAAAGCGGGAGAGGAGAGGAGCTGCTTACACGAGTCCTGTCCGGTTGGTTCCTCCCCTTATACCCCTCTTCATTATTAGCAGCATCCTTCTCCACCCACCCCACGTGTGCTCCTTGTCCCTTGAGTGCTTTTCCTTCCCTCCCCACTTAAAACGTGGTTACAAAGCACGGATCCACATGGATCCTCAGGATTTTTGCACTGGGTCACCCCAAATTCATGATCAGATCACATAGCATGTCCATGGCTACATCTTGCACCAAAAAAATCACGCACCCACTGTTGCCTGGGGCCGCAGTGGTGCAAAAACGTGACAAACATGGATCCACATGGCTCCTCAGGATTTTTGCATTGGGCTACTCCAAACTCACTGTCAGATCACATGTCTGTGGCCACAGCATGAACCACAAAAATCATACATCCACTGTTTCGTTTAGAATATTTTTTTTCTTGTTTTCCTCCTCTAAAAACTATGTGCGTGTTATGGTCGGGTGCGTGTTATAGAGCGAAAAATACGGTAGGTACCGCTCCAGCGGGAAGGTAAACAGCATTTTCATGCGCTCTGGTTTCTGTCACGGCGTTTGGTTGCACCAGAAGCGGTTTAGTCATGCTGGCCACATGACCTGGAAAACTAGCTGTGGACAAACACCGGCTCCCTCGTCCTGAAAGCGAGATGAGCACTGCAACCCCATAGTCACCTTTGACTGGACTTAACCATCCAGGGGTCCTTTACCTTACCTTTACCTACCAGTATTAAGTTGACAAACTGCTTAGTGTTCTTAAAACAGGCCACCATGGTAGGTTAGTGTTAGCTTGGGATAAATAAAATTTAAATAATAGTTCGCAGTTAAATTACACATTATAAAATTACATATTAAAATGCATGTCAGCTTTACATACCTGGATAGGGTTAGCCCACACAAAGCTTTTAGCAAGTTTCAAAAATGATGAAGAGTGAAAGCACCTGCCTGATGTCAATAGGCAAGAAGTTCCAGAGTGTTAGTGCCGCAGTGCTGGAAGATGGATTCCTTACAAGTAGGGAAAAGATTATGTGGCACTTGTAAAAGCAGTCCCACAGATCAAGGTGGATGCATGGCCATATATGGACTAAGCTGATCCTTCAAGTAAACTGGTCCTAAGCTGTTGAGCAGGGGTCAGCAAACTTAACGTGCCTTGGGCTGGTGTCTCCAGCGCCGATCGCAGGGCAGGGGAGCGAGTGCCCATATGTGTGTGCACACGCTATTTCCGGCACACTTCTGGGTCGGAGGAGCGCCGGAAATAGCTTGCTCGCATGTGCACTGGCCTCCAACCCGGATGTGCACCGGAAATAACACTTGTGCATGCGCACAAGCTATTTCCGGCGCTCCTCCGACCCGGAAGTGGGCAGCCGTGCAGCGCAGCACTGGTAGGAGTGGGCAGTGGGCGGCAGGGGTCGCCACCGGCGGGATAAACTAGTCCCTTGGGCCTTATCCGGCCCGCGGGCCTCAGTTTGGGGACCCCTGCTGTTGAGTGTTTATGTACTAATGGTAACACATTGAAGTTGGCCTTGTAACAAATTGGTAGCCAGGGAAGATATCTGAGAAGATACCGTATTGGCTTGAATATAAGCTGCACTTTCCCCCCAAATTCCGACCGTGAAAAGTTAAAAGTGCAGCTTATATTCACGACCTTACAGTATGCAGCCAGGGGTTCGGGGCAAACAGCGCCAGGTGTGTCCTTTCTCCCAAGGCCAGGAAGGGAGAGAGTGAGGAAGGGGAAAGGCCGCTGGCAATGCAGCGTGTGCCCCCTGCCCAGTATTCAGCCAGGAGCAGCTAGGAGAGGAGCGGCTTATATTAGGGTATTTTTTCTTCTCCCCCCTCCAATTTTAAAGGTGCAACTTATTTTCAGGTGCGGCTTATATTTGGGCCAAAATGGTATGTCATAAGCTGACTGTGCTAATATTGTAATAATAGTAATCTTGATGTTGAGGGTAACAGCCATGAAAGCATTAAGATGAGGCAGCCAGCTTCCAGTGAGAGTTGGAGATACTGAGAGGAGCAACAATTTGAGAAGGAACCAAAAGGGAACCACACTACTAAAGGAGATGTGATTTATTTATTAAATTCTATACTGCCGTATAAAATATCAATACGGTTTACAGTTAAAAGATGCCATTCTAAAGAATATAAAAAAATAATTGATAATCATTAATTTGACTGGTTAATGAAGATAAAAATTGAACAGCTGCCAATATCTGTTAGATTAAAAAGATCTTCAAGAGCTACCTAAAAGTCAAAGGATGCTTGTGGAATCTTTCTGCAGCACGGGACTGGTGACAAATTCAAATATGATTCAAAGATGGAAGCCACTAAAGGAGATGTGATTCCAATAGAATGGGAGTAAAATGCAACAAACAAGCATTAGAAGGCTAAGAAGAACATTTCACAAAAGATAGTCTTGTTTCTGCTTTAAACATTGGTATTACACTTCATATTCCCAAGAGGATAAAGCAATTTAACAAACACCCTCCCAGTAAAATCACATTAAAGTTTAATCCTGGTTCAGATATCTTTATGTCCAAGGAGACATTATCAGTTTATAGGTTTGGAAAGGCAGTTGTTTGGGTTGTGCGATGCTCTTTTTCGGAGCTAAAAATCTATCTCATGTCCCATGGACTAGGTGCTCATTTTGTTGATAGTATCCAACCCTTATAAAATTTCCCTTTCTTTTAGAAGATGCTTGGATTATAATTAGTCTCCAGCAGAAGGAAGGAGCTCTGAAGATGCCCCTAAGAAGCATCTCTATGTTCCACTATGTACCATGTGTACCACAGTGCCTTTACAAATTTTAGGTTTTAAATAATCAAGGTAAACAAATAGGAACAAGATGCAATTCAACAAGTGCCAATGTGAAACTTTGCATTGACAATTAAACAAATGGCCATGTATAAGAGGGCAAACTAGATTTTTTTTTGGGGGGGGGGGAGGTTAAGTCCAGAAGAAAAAGAGAAGGATAGCAGCAACAAAAATGCCCAAAAATAAAGAAAGAGGAGATATGAACCTCAAGTTCAGGTTAAAATTTTTTAAAAAGATTATCAGTTTGGTTTTATGCATACCTACTCAAAAGTCCCATTGGAACTTGCTCCAAGCTGAGTGTGTGGCAACCTACCGTAAATTGCCCAACATGTTTCATCAAAAAGAAGGGATGCAGTTCAGTGGCAGAGCATCTCTGCATGCAGAAGGCCCCAGCAACTTTAAGTGGGACTGGGAGAGATCCCTTGTCTGAATCCTTGGGTAGTCGATAGCAAATGATGTAGACAATGCTGAGCTAAATGGGTCCATGGGCTGGTTAAATGTACAGCAGCTTCCTATGTTATTTGCTGAGGTGATTCAACAGTAACTGAGTAGACAGCATCAGCACTTTTGAGAGATAAGCAGCCTCATACAGTGGTACCTCGCAAGACGAAAAACGCGCAAGACGAAATAGTTTTTCGTTTTTTGAGTTGCTTCGCAAGACGAATTTCCCTATGGGCTTGCTTTGCAAGACGAAAAACGAAAAAAACGAAAACGTCTTGCAAGTTTGTTTCCTTTTTCTTAAAACCGTTAATACCCAGGGTGACTTCGAGGAGCAACTCATAGCACGCGGTGTGGTAGCCTTTTTTGAGGTTTTTGAAGACTTTGGTGATTTTGAAGACTTTGAGAAACCGTGCTTCGCAAGACAAAAAAAATCGCAAGACAAAAAAAATCTCAGAACGAATTAATTTTGTCTTGCGAGGCACCACTGTATAGTCAATATATTTAAGTCAAATTAATGCATGAAGGGGTTAAGACCATAGAGTAAGCTGACCTGCCAGGCTTAGCTATGTCCACTTCCCCTCACCTTGGGAGGAACTAGGTAATAAAGTTTTTGTTCTCCCGCAGTCTCCCTAAGAAGCTCTCTGTGTGAAGTGGTTTGAACTGGTTGTTCCAGCTCAACCGCATATCTCTTATCAGCCATTCTTGAGCTCCTATGCAAATCATCTAGAAACTTTCACCACTTTGTAAGGATGCCAAGTTTTACTGCCTCTGCAACTTTTCTGAAGCACATGAATCTGACCTTTGAAGAGTTTGTAAGTAAACCATTTTTTAACTTACCCAATACGAGGCCTTTTTCCTATGCTTGGAAAACTTTTTAAGAGGACATATTTTAAAGCCTTTATTTCCATGCTGCATATTTTGTGAATTTAAATCTGCTGGGGTTCTCTCACCAAAAAGTAATTGCTCTAAACTTGGATTTTGGAATCCAGGAATTCTCTTTTGTATACAGTGGTACCTCGGGTTAAGTACTTAATTCGTTCCGGAGGTCCATTCTTAACCTGAAACTGTTCTTAACCTGAAGCACCACTTTCCCTAATGGGGCCTCCTGCTGCCGCTGGAGCACGATTTCTGTTCTCATCCTGAAGCAAAGTTCTTAATCCGAGGTACTATTTCTGGGTTAACGGAGTCTGTAACCTGAAGCGTATGTAATCCGATGTACCACTGTACTATAGTATTTTTTCCCCTTGGCACCAACAATATCATTATTACATTATATGGGATAATAAAGGGAGCCTGAAATTACAATGTGGTGCTCACAGCAAGCAACACTACTTTTTCTGGATCTACTAGTGTAATGCCTGTATGCTGGATGGGCAGTCTGTAATAGAACATTTGGGTTGACCAATGAGAGGGAAGATATAAATGGGAGGGAAAAAGAACCTTGGATGAAAAGGAGTTGGAAAAAGGCAGTTGAAGTGAGAAGACAAGACAGGCAACAGATGAGAGCGAAGATTAAGAAGCAGAGCTGGCTGGGAAATGGGAAAGTGAGCTGATATACACCACATTAAAGTGGCAATCCTTACTGATTGCCTATGTTCTGATTGAACATAGGCTACCTTCCAAATGAAGGCTGTAAGACACAAAAGAAAATATCAGTTGGATAAGCTGATGGACTTGGGTCAAGGATATTTGGTTTCAAATCACTATTCAGTTGTTGAGCTCACTGGGTAACTATAGCCAAGTTACCTAATTAACCTCACTGGATTATGGTGATTATAAAATTAGATAACTGTGCACACCATCATCAGCTCATTGAAACAAAAGTGTGATACAAATGGAAGAATTTTGTATCATATAAGGCACTTTTCCATGTCCAGTATCCCACAAGCCTGCTGCAACCCTTGTAGAATATATACAGTGGTACCTCGGGTTAAGTACTTAATTCGTTCCAGAGGTCCATACTTAACCTGAAACTGTTCTTAACCTGAAACACCACTTTCGCTAATGGGGCCTCCTGCTGCCGCTGCGCCACCGGAGCACAATTTCTGTTCTCATCCTGAAGCAAAGTTCTTAACCTGAAGCACTATTTCTGGGTTAGCGGAGTCTGTAACCTGAAGCGTATGTAACCTGAGGTACCACTGTAATGTATTAGTATAAGGAACCTGTGGCCCTCCTGATATTTATAGGCCAAGCTGCCAATGACCAGCGATGGTGGGAGGTAAGGAGGGCCATAGGTGCTCCATCTCTGATTTATAAGGTGAAATAAAATGTAGACCTGCAATTGTTTATTTGTTTGTTAAATGTATTGGCTGATCTTCATCAGAGTGATCCCAGGGTAATGTACAATACCAAATGCTGTGGCCACATACAAATTACAATCAGCAAGAATAATAAAAACACAAAATCGTGTTATTAAAATCACTAAAAAATATACTCTGAGCAAAATTTAAAGCAGCAGTAACAGTACATCAGGGTTTTGGAATATTCTGTAGTATTTCCTGTTAATTCATATTACATCTTTCTGTACATCGCATCTAAAGTTCCACAAAGCGCTCCAATAACTTGCTGATGCAAATGAGGCTATTGGTACATCTATAGTCTGTAGTTTGACTGAAAGCGCCTTTTTCATTTCAAATTCCAAGTCCATATTGTCACACACAGTTAATCATTAAGCCACTTAATCAGGACAGTTCACTGAGCAGCTTGTTGAAAGGGCATTTATGCAAGTGGACTTTGGAGGTAGAAGGAAAATGGAACCAAAAAGATTTAAAATATATATATATTAACTAAATGGAGGGGGGTGAATGATGTTTCAGACTTCTATTGCCAAGACACAATCCGTTTTTTCTTTTTTATTCTGTCAGGGATCAGCTTTTTTTAACCATTTAGGATGCTGCCGATTTGGGAAATCAGAATTTTGTTTTTGATCTTTTCATTGCTAACTATCACCAAGAGCACAAAGTTGTTGTCAAGCCACAAAAAGTGTGGCGATCCAGAATGCGAAAGTAAGTATAAGGGCTTTTGCTTTAAGTAAGCTTCTTTGAAACTAATTTAAGTGTCGTCAAAATCTGTAAAACAAAACAAAGCAAGAAAAAGTTTTGAAAATGCAATATATACTTCAAGAAACGTTTGCAAAATATTAGCTTTATGCATGATTAACCTGTATATTTTCAACAATAGACAAATGCTTTCTGGGAAGCCATTTGGTGGAACCGTGTTGTAGCATATGTAAAAGGGCAAAGTTCAGTAGAAAAGCTTGTTATCAAAACAAGGGCCTAGTTTTCGTCAGAATTGTCCCTGTGCTTATTCAAAATCTCTTACTTTCCAAAAGGGCCTGATTAATATTTACAGTATTTCTATTTTAGTTATGTATAGAAATTACTAGTGTTTTGTCTACCAAATCTATACCATATATTTGGGTCGATTCAGTTTTCTTTCTATTTTTCTTAGCACCTTGTGAAATCTTATTGCTTTTGTACCTTGCCTTAAAACTGCACTGTTTGTAGCACTATCTTTTGTATGTTTCCTCAGAAGGAAGTGCCACTGGGTGAGTTCAGTGAGTTTTACTCCCAACCCAAGTTAAGAATGCTTCGGATTGTAGCTAAGGCTGCAGTTGTATATACTAGAAGCAAGACTCATTGAATACAATGGCCTTGTTTCTGAGAGATCATGCATAGGACTGTGCTGCCTGTTAATGTTATATACTAGTGAAATGCTCATCAGTAGGACTGTGGGGTGGAGTGTTTGTGCAGATGTGTAGGACTTGTCTATTACGGTGTTCCTGGGCACCGTCTTTAGCATATGCTCTGCCGGGTTGCAAACATCTGCCCAGCGCCCCCAAATTCAGTTTAGCACTCTTGTTAAAATCTATTTTGGAATGTATTTCTAATTACTCCAAAATGTGTTTCTCACTTAGCATTCTTCATAAAATGAAGAAAAAATGCAGCTCGCAGAATTCATAGTGTGTGCTCTAGGTGCGTTTTTGTGGAAATGGAAAACTAAAACCGCATTCTGAAACGCATGTGTAGTAGAAAAAAATACAAGAAGAATGTGTATTCATATACAAACATTAAACTTATTTAGGATACCATTAGAGGAAATTCTAACCAAACACTACTCAGCACAAACAAGTAATTTAAGTTTGTTCATTTATTTTAAGAATTGCATAGTGAAACCACTTCTGAAAAAATGTGTCCAGGATTTTGTTGTTTCTGTAGTAAGTGGTAAAACATTTCATTTAAAGTGAGGTGAAATTCCCCCCATCTTCTAGGACAAGAGGATATCTAATGTACACAAATAATGTAAACACAATGCCAGTGTGTCTCGGACATGTACTGTGATTTTTGCATGTGGCAACATATTATTCGGGAGGAGAGTAGTTTTGTTTTTTTTAAAATAAAATTTATTAGTATTTTCCACACAACAACACGAAAAATATCGAAAAATAACAATACACAACACACAAAAACCAACATACGAAAACTAAGGAAAGCAACAACAACAAAACAAAACAAAAAAACCCCAACAAATCCATATATTACAAGTTAATACTATAAATGACTAATACAACAACAAGACATTGATTTCCACCAATCCCACAGCACCTCCTTTATCTCTCATTGTGTCTTTCTGTTTTCCTGTTTTCCTGATCATCTGTATCCTAACATCTAGATATAAATCCCTCTTTCTTATCCTTTCACTTCACAAGGTTATTCCAGACTCTGCCAGATTTCTGTCCTTGAACCTTGACTTTTGAGGTATTCATTTAGGCACTCCCATTCTTTTTTTACTTCACTTTTTGGTTTTTGTCTTATTATGTCTGTCAATTTGGCTAATTCTAAGTATTCTGAAAGTTTACATAACCACTCTCCCATAGTGGGTAACTGATTCCCTTTCCAGTACTTAGCCACCAGGATTCTTGCTGCAGACATTGCGTATAATAAAAAATTGTCTTTTGGAATATCGTCATTTAAAATTCCTAAAAGTAATGCCTCTGGCCTTTTACTATATGATATTCTTAATATTTTATTTATTTCTTCGTGGAGGAGAGTAGATTTTAAACTTTAGGACAGCTGAGATAGGTCAGCTGGTTGATCATGAGGCTCTTAATTTCAAGGTCATGTGTGTTCAAGGCCCACTTTGGGTCAAAGATTCCTGCATTGAAGGGATTTAACTACAGTGGTACCTTGGTTTGCAACCATTTTGGATTGCAACCACGTCAAACCCTGAAGTGTATGTCCCTTTTTTTTGGATTACAACCCATTTTTTTTTTTTGGATTACAACCCTTTTTTTTTTGGAGGCCCCATTGGCAAAAGCACACCTGTTTCGGTTTACAACCGGACCACTGGAACGGATTATGGTTGTAAACCAAGGTATCACTGTACAGTACATGATCCTCGTGTTCCCAACTCTACAATTCTATGATTCTATGACTGTCTAAAGCAACATGTATAAGATCAAATCCAGACTTCATTTGATTAACTTTGCTTAAGTTTCCTCTGTTTTTTACATACATGCAGCTTTCATGAGCAGAGTGCTAGCCATTAAAGACTACATAGGACCTGACTGCCGCTATTTGAACTTCAAAACTGGGGAAGAGATAATCGTATACTCCAAACTCTCCAGGAAAAGGGAGGACTTGTGGGCAGGAAGTGTAAGTATTTCAAAAGGCAACTATTTCTCTTATGAGCAATCAGAATTCACTTATATCAGCAGATTGGTTATTCAGAGTGTTTTTTCTTCGGGGGGTACTCAAGAGTACACAATAACAGCACCTTTTTGTCCAGAAGAAAAGCACCGGTTAAAAGTGTGGCACTCACTGTAACGACTTCATGGTGAGTACCGGCACCTTTTTTATAGAAAATAAGCAGTGGTTATTCATAAGTGTTTTTTCAGTGGGCTAGACACTTTTCCATGAATATGTTGAGACACTTAAAAATGCTAGCCAGGTAAGTTTCACAAATGTTTCAGAAGTAAGTTATGATACCACTTTCACAGGTAGAAAATTCAGCATGCATTTAGCTGCAGGGAAGATTATACTTTTCTTCAATAATTTTATTCTGAAATGGTGTCGATCCAAAGGGGACACCCCCCGCTGCCCTGCAGTGCATGAAAAATATTGCTCTGTAGATTTGGCTGCTGCAACCCTGAGAGCAAACTTATCAAGATCTATGCGAGCCATAAGCCCCACCCCCTTTTTGCAGCAAAGGAAGTTTCTGAGTAAGAAAGGTTCCTAGAATTTAGACAAAATATTTGTCTAAAACTGTACAGTGGTACCTCGGGTTACATACGCTTCAGGTTACATACGCTTCAGGTTACATACACTTCAGGTTACACACTCCGCTAACCCAGAAATAGTGCTTCAGGTTAAGAACTTTGCTTCAGGATAAGAACAGAAATCGGGCTCCGGCGGCACGGCAGCAGCAGGAAGCCCCATTAGCTAAAGTGGTGCTTCAGGTTAAGAACAGTTTCAGGTTAAGAACGGACCTCTGGAACGAATTACTTAACCCGAGGTACCACTGTATGTGGAATATGCCATACAGCATCGCCTGCTAATTTCATGGTATATATGTTTTATGAAATTAATACTAACAAAGTGATGCTGGTAAGAGTGCCAGGACTACATTAGGGTGTTTCCACACCTCACAGTTTACGGGTGGTCAGCACTCTGAATCAGGCCATGTTGTCTTTACAAATCAGTGGTAGTTCTCATGAACTAGCAGGAACAGCATGTGAAGAATACAAGTCGCTCAAGTCTGTGGTCCACTTTGCCACTGTAGTGAGTGGTTCATCACATAGTGCCATTAACAAATGTTACAGGTATTCATAATCTTTTGGCATTAATATAATGCAATATATGACTGCGTGTGTGGTTTATAACTCTCCCTTGGTGGGGCGGGGGGGGGGCAATATGGTACTTATTTTGGTTCCTACTGTTAATAAATTGTGCCCTAGGTAAGATTTCAAAGTGATGTTAATACAGTGGTACCTCGGGTTACATATGCTTCAGGTTACATGCGCTTCAGGTTACAGACTCCGTTAACCCAGAAATAGTGCTTCAGGTTAAGAACTTTGCTTCAAGATGAGAACAGAAATCGTGCTCTGGCGACGTGGCGACAGCAGGAGGCCCCATTAGCTAAAGTGGTGCTTCAGGTTAAGAACAGTTTCAGGTTAAGGACGGACCTCCGGAACAAATTAAGTACTTAACCTGAGGTACCACTGTACTTAACCCGAGGTACCACTGTATTGTGGCATGCAGTGTCATCCTTTTAAATCCTCTTGGCATAAACCATAATAGTTTCTTTGAACATTCCCTTCTAGAGGTGTAATTTCACATTAAGTGTAGCACTCACTATTACATTACTTCGGTCTATGTAAACAAGAACATTTCTGTGCTTTTTTATTAGCCAAGCAACTAGGTCATATCCCTGTTTCCAAATAAATTAACTGGGAATATTTGCTAGAGACATTGTGGAACAATATAAGGCCATTATTGTACCCAGGAGGACCCAAACAGCAATTAATGACTGATTATTGTAATGTACAAGAGTACTTTTAATAATGTGCAAAATAATAACATTAAAAGTTCTATTACTTTGTGTATTTTTATGAAGCGGGAGAGAAAATTTTCTGAGGGTTAATAAGAGTTTGGTTTTTTTATCCCGACTTAATTGAAATAAGTGCAGAGATTCTTCTCACAATTGTATTTGTTGTTTATCAATTTTAAGTACAAAACCCCATTTCTTTTATAATAAAAAGCTACATGTTTAATTTTATAGAAAGGTGCAGAATTTGGATATTTCCCAGTGGATGCAGTCCGGATTGAAGAAACTTTTATTACAAAAGAAGTAGAACTGCCAACTAAGGTAAATTAAAGTAATATCAAAATGGACACATTTGGTTGTGGAAATGTATATATGAATGTATGTATTAAACTTGTTATAGAATCATAGAATCTTAGAGTTGGAAGAGACCCTGAGGGTCATCTAGTCCAGCCTCCTACAATGTATCTCAGCTAAAGGATCCATGACAGATGCCCATCTAACCTCTGCTTTAAAAACTCCAAGAACAGAAACTTGGGAGAAACCAAAATTGAAAGACTTGCCCATCTCTACTCAAAGGCCTGTGCATCAGAGTCTTTTAAGTATCTATCACCGCTCCTTCCAACAAATATGTATAAGATTATACATTTGCATGTGTGTAAAACATGTTCTCTTTCAACTGCATGAACTACTCAACTTTGTCTCATAAAAATGATTAATAAAGTTGCTGTTTTAAATATTCCTTGTGTTAATTTTTAAAGAGAATGTACATTTCACAATTATTTAACAACTTAATTATTTTATAACTTCCCAGTTGGGGCATTTGCATGCTTTTAAAAAATATTCATAATGATATAATGTTAAGAAATAGTAGAGTTGTATTAAATGGGTAGTAGCGTATTAACTTCAGACACTTGCTTATTTTTAGGAAACTGATTTCCTATGTATTGATGAAGGGGAATACGTTTTTGAAAATGAAGACAGCATACTTAATCATTATGACAAAGAAAATGAATATATACCTCCGTACTCAGAAGAAAAAGACACCAAATTTGAAATGCCTGAAGATGAAGTCTTGAAACTTGGAGGTATTTCTTACCCAAATGAATATAAAGAACAATTTCCTGACAGTCATGAATCTGACAGTAAATACAAAGACCTGCATACACTGGAAACTACAAGCCGCGGTGATACAGAACTCAGAGACAGGGAGACTAGACAAGATGAGACTACTCCGGAAGAAGACCAAATTAGTCAGACTCCGCAAACTGTCCCAACTCAGTCGGCCTGGACTGTGTCTGGTTTTGTTGGCTGGCTTGGCTTGGGAAGTAATGAAAATGAGGAGGCGGTCAGAAAAATATCACAGAAAACAGAAGAAGTTACATTCAGGCGCAGGAAAATCGCAATCACTGATGATAGTGGCTTTAAAAAATTAAATGAAGAGGGTGAAACAGCACCACAAGGCTCCAGCTGGTTTAAAAGTACTTTCACAGATTTGATGCATCTTGGAAGTGACAAATCAGAACTTGATCTGCTGTACAAAGAAAATGATCCAGAAATCCATGACAGCTCCACCATTGCTGGCAATGCCGGCCACCATGGCAGTTCTACCGCATCAGAAGGAAGAAAAGAACATAGCAATTCCCAACAATCTGAATCAAGCTGGTTTGATCTGGAATTCAGTGATATTTTGCCTTTTCGTTACGCTGAAGAAAACACAGACAAAGAAAAGCTTGCAGCTGGAGGAGAAGCAGATCAAGATGAAGAACAGCGTCCAAGTGAACAATCAAGCTTAATGGACGATGGCTTGAGAAAGCAAACAGGCAGACTGATGCCCTATGAAGAACAAGACAAAGGGAAAATTGTTCAAGAAACCCCAGAGCAAGCAGCTGAACCAACTCTTTACGAAGGACAAGTGAAAGAAAAATATGACCAAGAAGCCCCAGGCATGCATGTTAGAAAAACAGATTCTGATGTGGAGTTAGCAGATGAGCATGCAGACGTAAAGGATGCAGCAAGTCCATCACCTTTGCTTGGTGATAAACGACTTAAGTCTCCCTATGCAGAACAGGATTCAATACCAGACAACCAAGTTATGGAAAACAATAAAATTAAAGCTGTAACAAAGGAGTCAGAAAGAACAAATGACCAGTCAGGTTGGTATGAAAGTATGTATAACGGTTTGACTGATTATAATAGGGTTACATCAGATACTCAACCAGGGCATGAGTATGTAACTGTTGGGAGTCCACAGGAATCAGCTGTAGATCAGTTATCATATAGTATAGGTCAAGGTACTGCAAAGGAAGAAAATCATGAGGGTCCTAAAAACCAGAAATCTTTCTTTTCTGTTAGTTATTTTACAAGGGTACTGAATTTTCAGAGTTTTATATCTGAAGGAACCAATAATGCTCAGCATGCACACAATAATCTAAAGTCTAGTGAGGAAAGCACCCAATTTAAAAAGAGTGAGGAAGTATTACATATAGGCAAAGAAGAATTACTAGAAAATCAGAATATTACTGAAAAGGTGCCAGAAAACAGAGATGCTGATACTACCCAGGGAAACGTTTTGCTGTCTTCTTTAGCAGTAAAATGTAGTGAAGAAAGTAGAGAAAAAAGACAGGGTGAACAACTAGCGAAAGATAATACACCACATCCTCTGTCAGTAAAATCTATAGAGTTAGAACACCAGGTTTCCTATGGTCAATGTACAGGAAAAAAATTGTATGGAAGACCTTTGGACACACAGGGCCATTCCAATATAGAAGATAAAAACAATGTTCGTAACTTAGAGGCCAAACAACAGTCTTCTTTAGAGCTACAAAAGCTAGCTGATTTGGCAGAGCGAAAGGATTATATTATTAGTGAAACATATTCCTATGAAAAATCTATCCTAGGAGAAGATGAGCCACATGATGGGAAAGCAATCAGACCAGATAATGTTGAACAAGCACTATTTTCTGAGGAGCTGAATGAACATTCAGATAGTTTTTCCAAATCAAAGAACATTCCAGGCGAAGATAAGATACCTCTTGATGAAGATAAGCCAGTTATCCAAGGGAGCAGAGAATTTAATACAAAAGATCAGAATCCATTTTTAACAGAACAACATGAAGCACCAGAATTAACATACAGTGTAAGAAGACTACCACAACAACAGTATAAGGCTATTAACAAAGATTCCAAATCTAGCAAATGCAATGTTAATAAAAATAATTGTTTAGTCTCAAAAGTTTTGAATGGGAGTAGTCGTACTCCTGTCATAGGTTATACAGATGTTATGAAAGGAATACAAGTTTCAGATCCAGTGCCACATTTACATTCAAAAAAACGTATAAACAACAATATAAGGGCAGATAATGTTGTAGATTCTCACGATGAAAAGAAACTTCCTGATGTTAAAAATATAGAAAGTGTCCCCTCTCATGCCATCCAAGATTATTTTCATATCAATCCCAGTGCTGAAGATGAGATGAACCAAAGTGTAGTTACTAAAGTAGGCAAGAATTTGTTTTCTCAAGAAAGTGCAAAAGAACAAAATCATTTTTCACAGCATATCTCAGAACTTAGTGAAGGCAAACAAGGACACAATGAGCAAAATACATCAAGTAATCAAGGACCATCTCCACTGTCTGGGGAAGTGTTTCAAAGTGAAAAGGAGATTTCCGGGGACAGCAGCCGCATACTGAATTATGATTCTGTCGCCTACGGTGTGCAGAAGAAAGGCTTTCAGGGCCCACAAGTGCAGATAGGTGAAAAAGGTGTTGAAGAGGAACAAAACTCAAAAGCAATAGAAGAACATTTAGATAGTGCTCAAGTTAGTGATGCTTCATTAATAGATCAGCAAGAGCAAAGTGTATTTCCTTATCCTAGCTCCTCGGGCACTTTTTCCAAGAAAAGTATTTACTCACCTCAAATGTGTGCAAGTCTGACACATCAGAAGGAAGATAAAGATGAGTTAAAAGGTGAAGAAGTATCTTCCTACATTGACTGTCAGAGTACCAATATTATGAGCTTAGTACCTGACAAAAAGTGTATAAGTCAGAAGGGACATGATAGAAAACAACATTTAACTGCGGATTTAGAAGTGAAGAAGCTTAGAATCTCAGCTCAGCATAAAAAAATAGATAGCATTCCAAATACTGAAGAAACTAAACCTGAGTATCAGAAACAAATAGCATACACAACTTCAGAGATAACTGACATAAAACCTGAAGACAGTTTAGCGACAACTGACTTTAATAGTTTACCTCAGAAACAATATACTGTAGTTGGAACAAGTCCTGCCCGTGAAAATCCAGTCCAGCACTTAGAAGTGCAAAGTGATACATCTAATCTAGATATTATTATTAATCCTAGCAAACATTTATCACATCATCTTCAGCCTGCGGATGATTATATGTACCCTATCCCTCCACATGCTAAAGATGGCATGGACACACAGCATTTAGCTAAAGATCATCATGATGAAACATTTGCACATGACTTAATTTCTCCTTTTCCTAAAAATCTAAACCATGCAGAGAAAGTAGCTTATTCTGGGCATGCAAGAGATAGTCAAGAAAAAGGCAAAACAGGTAAAGATAGTGAGAAAAAACTAAGATGCAAGAATATTGATTGCACAAGTGACAAGACAGAGAAAGGAGGTGTCGGGAGTAACATTTTTGGTAAAATATCACGGCTTCTTGGAGAGCCATTTAAAAATAAGGACGATGAAGACTCTAAAAAATATGAAGATAGTAGAAATATTATTGGAACACAGATTAAGACACAGAGGCAGGAGGCTGATGTAGTGAGAAGTGACTTTGAACAAGACAAAGGTGAAGTTCAGAGCACAAAAGCTATCAGGTATTTAGATAATTTTAAAATTAAGGATGAAGGATCTCAGGGCCCAGGGGAAAGAGACAGCAACATCCAGGGAAAATCTGTTGCTTCAGACTCAAAAAATTACAACCAAAAGTATGACAGATCTGCAAATCAGGAGACAATAGTTCAAAATGGTCAATTAACAGCTGATACAGAGTTGGACCTGAAAGAAGCCACTTCCTTCAGTGGATTACAGGAACTTTATTTCAAGTTTGTTGAGGAATCTAAAAGGATACTTGAAGCAAATATGTGTGAAAGGCATGAACTGCAGCTACTAGAGCAAGAGTTTGAAAAACTTCGCCGTGATATCACCACTTTTCCATGTGAAGATATTCGCAGGGAAATGAAAGATGTGACCACTTTGCTGGAACATGAAAATAAATTAAACAGTGGACATGAAAAGTGTTTGAAGGATAAAGTGAATTTACTTCCAGAACTGCACAGTCTTGTGCTGGACATCAGAAACAAATGTGAAATCCAAAAGGCAGAATCAGGTACCAGACCACTGTTTTGATAATAAAAGTTAACAAAGCAAGAACAATATCGCACTTTGCTTTTTTATTTAAAAAAAGCAAAATGTCTGACCGATGGGATGATGTGATTTTTTTTCAGTATAAAATGAACTATAGAAGCTGATGCCCATTATAAGCTTACACAACAGCTGGATAATACCAAGTTGCATTGTGCTTTGTCAGGAAATATAATATAGAACCGAAAATACAAAAAGAGAATCATTCGTTTTCTATCAGAAGAATAAATAGCTGGGTGCTGGAAGGATGCAACAGTCCCACAGCAACAACAGTATCTCAGAAGATACATGTTTGGTAGGGCTAGTAACAAAAGGCTTTTTTGTTGTTGCTTACCTATCTGGATTTTAGTCCATTACAGTTTACTAAATATGATTATTATATAAGGAAAAGTCATATTTAAATTTTCATCTTCAGTATAAGAATGGAAAATGTAACATATTTCTTGTCACATTAATAAATTGATATAAAAAGGCTTCCAGAAGTGATCAGGTTCAAATTCCATCAGTCATGCTTGTATACATCTCCACGCTAGCCAGTTTCCTGCTTCTAACACATTTAAATGCAGTAATTTTAAATTGTCAGTCTTAATAATTTCAGGGATGTCATCCAATGCTTTTTTCTTCCTTCTTTTCTGCTTGCATTTCTTTTGCCAAAATTTGTGTTTCCTTCCCCCCTCCTTATTCAGACAATACTTCAGGTTTATGAAGGAACCTTTCTCGCCTCCAAGAGCTTCCTTGACTCATTTCATTAGCCATGCTTTGCCGTGGCGGTATATTCCCTGATTTTAATAGTAACACCTAGCCTTTCCTTGTTTAAAAAATTATTGCTAATTATAAGTTGGGAGATTGTAGTACTGGAGAACTTTAATGATTGAAATGACAATGATATATGAATAGGGATCCTGGGAATTGACATGCAGGGAAAAAATGGATAATCAGGTGGAAGTAAACATGATACCACTTCTATAATTATTTGTAGGTATGACCAATAATGGAAAACTACCTGACGATCATCCTAAAGAAAAACATCACTTGAATTTGGATAAAGAATCTAACAGTGGCCAGCATATAGAAGCAAATAATGTGCCTTCAATAAATACAGAGAAGAAAATACATCCTTCAGCCAAAAATAGTCAACATCAGCCAAATTCAAAAAGAAAATTATCAGAGAACAATCTAGTGACTCATAACTATACTATCAGTAACGGTAAGGAATATGATTAATCTAAAAACTATAATTACATATAGTATTCTGTAAAGAAGATATATTGTAATACTCATTCTCTCTTCCTCTACTTTTTCATGAAACAGAAAGAGAATGGCTATTTCAGATAATCCTGCATTTGAATGACTTCTGTGCCATTATAACATCTGTATTTTCAGTGATGGCATCTACCAGTAAAAAGGTATGTTTATTTACTTTGGATTTCTACAATAATCATAAAAATGCACTAGTTACAGCTTTGAAAACTTTTTATTTGACATTTAAGCACAAAATTCCTCCTAAGTTTGCATTTGCTAGTACACTCCCCTGTCACTTCCCTGTAGTTTTCAAATAGCACTGAACCTGATCTAAAGTAGGAATGGACGAAGGTTATGAATGTTTGCAAGTTGAGATGGGGGAGAAATTTGATTCAGTTTGCATTTAAAGGAGCATCTATCAAAGTCACACTTTCTGAAACAATATGAGAACTGAAATGCAGCCATCCTTCCAAATTCGCACTTATCTGGATTTTGCAATGCAGTTGTCTGGGCAAGTAAGGTGTGCAAAAATGCATATATTGGGGTAAAAGTGTGCTTAAAACTGGATGCATTATAAACAAAATACATTATATTAGGAGAAAATGCTTGCAGAAATGAATATTATTAGTCAAAGCTACATACAATAATATGTGTGTTAGGAGAGATTTGCACTGAAATGCTGAAGTGTTTTTATGAGGTTTGTTTTTAAAGAATTGCAAATCACTGCAGAAATGTGTAGAACTAAATTTAATACTGGAAAAATTAGAAACTGAGAGAACTGAAATGGACAGGTCCTTCCATCTCTACTGACTCCTGTGATATCACTAAGAACTGCTCCTTATCTCCCTGTTAAATTTGGCCTGCAGTGGGTGGAAGGGATAAGGATCTAATTGTAAAGAACTACAGTGCCCTGAATTCTTTGAGTGGAAAATGTGCTTTTAAGGTCGGCAATAGTGTCGTATTAAGCCTCTTGAATTCTCATATCAATGCGTACAAGAGTGCACAGTGCCTCCTAGGGAGGCATTTCATTTTTGCATACATGTGCTTTTTGCATGGTTGCCATCACATTTTAAATTTGTTCCGAGCCTTGTAACACATGCAGATTCTTTGTGTAGGTCTCCTGACTAAAACACTAGGAATACCTTGCAGTAGATGACATGAGGAAGCAGTAGAAGACATGTCTTCCTTGGCTCATCACTTTATTTTCTAGGTAGAATGGAATTAATTATCTTGTGTGAAGCCTAAAAGCTTCCTGAGAGCCCACAGAGAGTTATCACTCTTTTGTAAAAGGCAAGAGTGATGAGTTTTGATGGGAGAGGTTTGGCTGAAATCTGTGCTAAACTCTGAAGCTAATCAGAGTGACCTTGCACGCAGGGCCGTCTTAAGTATATCTGGTGCCGTGGTGCAAAGATCCCTCTGGTGCCCCTCCCTTTCCCAGAATTTAGAACTCGTGGACCACCTCGTAGCTCCGGGAACCACCACCCACAGAAAACGCCGCTGATGTGGTGGGCACGGTGTGGCTGGCCAGACCGCCAGAACCCCGCGCTCGCTTGTGAGGCTCCAGGGCATCTCCTCCTCCTCCACTTCCTAACAACGACAGCCCGCTGTTGGTGCTCTTGCTGCTGTCCAGCGGCCCAAGGAACAGGAGGCGGTTGCCACGCCGCTGCCTGTGCCCCGGGGAGTGGTGGTGGTAGGGCGGCGGGCACCAGTGATGCAGAGGAGGCCCCTTGGGAGCCACTCTCACCACTGCCGCTCCCTCAGAAGATGACGACAGTGGCTCGGCGGGCGGCGGCTGAGGGGAGTCCCGCGGTCGAGGGAGAGGAGGCGGAAGAGGCAGCGGCCTGTCCTCGGCCACTGCCTCAGAGTCGAGGATTGGCTCCTCATCCACTGCAGCCCATGCCGCCGCCACCGAGCACTTTGGGGAGCAGCACAAGCAGCAACAGCGCCAATGCTCCTGCCTGTAGAGGGGGGCAGGCCGAGGAGGGTAGGAAGGAAAGATGGTTGGTGGGGCGCAGCTGGCAGCGTGCAGGAAAGGCGAGGCCACCGGCAAAGCCGTGCAGCTCCCCCACTCGCTGGGGCGCCCCTAAAAAGCAACGAGCCACTAAGCTCTATGGGAAAGACGGCTGTGCTTATACATTGGTATCCCTCAGCCTCACCTGTATCACAGAGCTATTAATGTATAGGTCAAATGAAAGAAGAATATATTGTAGCTGTCCTGAGTCATTTTGATAGGATGGAAATTTATGCAAATACAAATAAAAATGTGGTAATTCAGACAAAGTTAGTGAAAATGCACAAGCTTTAACTGCCTGACAGAAATAAGAGGACTCTAAAATTTCAGAATCTTTCTAGCTGCAGCAGTTTCATCATACAATAATGGAATAAAGAGGGGCGCAGGTGGTGCTGTGGTCTAAACCATGGAGCCTCTTGGGCTTGCTATTGGAAGGTCGGTGGTTCGAATCCCCACAACGGGGTGAGCTCCCATTGCTCTGTCCCAGCTCCTGCCAACCTAGCAGTTCAAAAGCACGCCAGTGCAAGTAGATAAATAGACACCGTTGCGACAGGAAGGTAAACATCATTTCTGTGCGCTCTGGCACTCATCACGGTCCTCTGTGCACCAGAATCGGTTTAGTAATGCTGCCCACATGACCCGGAAAACTGTCTATGGACAAATGCCGGCTCCCTCGGCCTTAAAGCGAGATGAGCGCCGCAACCCCATAGCTGCCTTTGACTGGACTTAACCGTCCAGGGGTCCTTTACCTTTACCTAATGGAATAAATAACTCTTATCCGGGGTTCCTTAAAATTTAACCTTAAGAGATTAAAAGTGTATGTTCTGAAGAATGAATTGACAGCCTGAACTGAAACATGCTTACTTGGACATAAGACCCACCAAGTTCAATTCAACTTGTGTCTTATGTATGCTGCATCTTGCAAATTTATCCATATTTAGATAAGTGAAGTTGCCTTAGTATTAAATACAAGTATAAGACAATTACATGAGAAAATAGATATTAATAAGAAACCAGCGTTGCCATACAGGTAGCATATATGTATTTCAAGTCCAGCTTTCAGGCCTTGTTATTTGTGAGTCTGATAAGATAATATTTTCAGCTGAGTCATATACTTGTAAAAAAAGAAAAGAAAAAGTGTTACCTAAGCATCTGTTTAGCAATACCTTTTAAATACTTGCTGCAACTAATCTTATATTTCACAACAACCTGACTACTGTAATACTATACTGGAAGAAAGTTGCTTGTCATTAACCTCCCTTTTGCACCCCTTCCTTAAACGCATACATGTCAAAGCAGGATCTCTTTTCCATTTGGAAACATAAGCTACGGGAGCTCTTGTTATCTGGATAAACAACTAGGAAACTAGAGCTAATTTAATTATTCTTACAGATTTTTTAAACATAACTTTTATGTGATTACTATACTTGGTTCGTAAATGGAAAGAGCAGAGGAAGAGGTAAGTTTTTAAAGGTAGTTAAACTTTTAACGATAGTGAAAGGTGGGGAATGTTGTATCTTTAGAGTGCCAGACTTTTTAGTGCCACATAGACACTCCAGTCTGGTAGATCTTTTACTGCTGCCTTTTTATTTCTTTTTTGCTTTGTAGTTTTGTCTTTTGACATTTTGAACACTATGACTTGTGAGAGTTGGCAGCTGAGCTTCTTAACTTATTCATCATGTTTTAGGAATAGTTCCTAGGTCATGACATTCGCCGTGGTCCCAGGGAATGACACCCAGGTATCAAGCTAATTTTCATGTTGAAGTAAAGGGCCAGCTGTTTATACACTGAGGTGCAAATAGCCTATACCAATTTAATGTAAGAATCTACAGAAGAAATTGTTATTAGAGTTAATCAAAATGTCTCCTATTTCATACTCCTAGACATAAATACAATTTTCCAGAGTAGGAGATTTTCCTTTTCTTCCTTGGCCCCCACCCACACGCTATTAGCTTGATTTATTTCCCCTGCAATCTTTGCAGTTTTCTCCCGCTTCGGTGTTTCTACTAAGAACTGCAAGTACTACAAGGAATATTATCCCAAGTATTCTAGGATTCTTAACAACAAACTGTGCATTCTTATCTGTTTGAAGAGAAAAAGCACATGCTTGAACACAGTGTTACTTAAAATGCTCCCAGATTGAAACACAATGCTATAATTGTTATTGGAGTTACGTAATTGTCACCTCTATGCTAATGCTGTTTAAAGTTCCCATAAATATAATTTCCCCTCAAGTTTACAAAAAAGGGTAATCTGTATTAAGGTTCTGTAGCTTCAGCCTTTGTGGGGTGACCTACTTTCAGAATGGCTTCAAGATCAAGGTTGAGGAACCTGTGGCTCTCCAGATGTTGCTCCCATAACTTCCTGACCATTGGCCATGCTACGTGGGGCACATGAGAGTCCGCCTCATCTGGAGGGCTGCAGGTTCCCCTTCCCTCTTTAGATGGGCTATGGACACATAGAAACGCATGCAGAGAACAAGCAGCACAAGTTGCTTGGGCATTGTTTTCCTTCTGCATTACAGTGTTAGAAGCTCCTCCTCTGAATATAGGTCCCTATCATCTTACTAGGAAAACAAGAAAATATTTATCTCAAAAGTAGTAGTCAACCAAAATTTATTTTCATTTATGTAAGATTGAGCATCATAGTCACTTATATTTTTATGAAAGAAGGCCCCAAAGACTAAACCCTATTTTAAACACAGTACTTGGAGATGGATTCCTTAATTATAATAAACCTAAAGGCAGTTCAATCCTGTTCTTCTCCCCACACCCATAGCTGTTGTGGTGCAAAGGCTTGTGCAATACAAATACAGTGGCAATACCATTTTTGCTAAATGGACAAGGGAATCTGTTTGTTTGCCACACTCTCAGCTGATAGAACTCGGTTTTTGAAACATGAAACCACAAAGGAAAGAGCTTGCCTGACAGCAGCTGTCCCCCACTTTTTAGCTTTTCCGGGGTGGGGGAGGGGACACCCTCTTTGTACAATACTCCTGTGTAGCAAATAGTTTTTCTTTAGCACCACACAGCAGCAGAGCCGAAGGCTGCCTCAGTAATGGGGAAAAAGAACAAGGGTCAACTTGCTCAATGCTGGATCCTATGCTTTGCGCTTCATCTGCTCAACACATGAGCATAGTGTCAAATTCTTACTGCCCAGTATAACAATGTATTCAAGACATATGTCATTACGCCACTGAATTCAGTGTGATGTTGGACTGTGGCCTCAATGTGTTTAGAATGGAGCAGTTGGTGAAGTAAAAAGATCTCGAATATAATTTCCTACTGGGACGCAATACTTAAAGCAGGGACTTGTTACACTGGTTGCATGCACTGTCATAAACCTGTATCAGAACGTGGTTCTGCTTGGCTGCTGCTAATTCATGCTTGCTCAATCTGCATTTAAATAAGGCAATGATTTATAATTTATCAGTAGTCTGAGAAGCAGAGATACAAGTCTCAAACTAGTTATATTGACTTTGTAAAAATAAAAGTGTACTATTGAAAGAAGATACGTTTCAGCATAAACTAGTTCCCTACATGACTCTACTTAAAAATATCAGTGTTCTTTACTCCAGGGCCAGAATGTTCTATTGGGGAGCTTATTATTCCACCCCATATATTATCCCATAGGGAGCAGCTACATGATTGGTCCCTGCTTGTGGTTTGGCCTGCTTGTGAAGATTTTTACCCCATGAGACCTAAGACACGTAGCACAATTCTGTACAGTATATGCTTGGAAGCACTGAGTTTGTTGGAAGGTTTAAGACAGATAAAACTATACAGAGCATAGTCAGACTATGGACCTGTTCCTTCACTTCATTCGCAGATGGAGGCAGAAATGCTTGCGAATACCAGAGAGGAAAGTGCTCTTGTGCTCATGTTCTGCTCCTGATTTCCCACAGGCATTTAGCTGGCCATTGTGAGAACAGGAAGGTGGACCTAGGTGGCCAATGATCTGATCCAGCAGGCTCTTCTTGTGTTCTTACTCCTTACCTGTTTAGGGCTGCAGATTAGTTTATACCAATAGTCCATCTCCTTCAGTCTTCCACAGATTAAAATAGGGATATGCTTGTAGCATGCCTCATCTCGTCCAAGGATCCTGTTGCAAGCCCTTAACCCCCTCAACTATCGCATATTGTTGAAAGCTCTCCAGTGCCCTTTGCATATGTTGCAGTATACTCTGCAATAACGTGCACCGGTTTAAAAGCCAAATGACTGATTTGACTTTGGCCGGAGAGAAAATTGCAACTGTCTTCTTTGGCATTTTTTTGTCTCAACAAATTAACTAACTTGCACCACCGCCCTTTCCTAGAGCAACATGAGCAGACACGGAAGATGGCTGCGTAGGAATTGCTTGCTCTGTGTCATTCAGGTCGCTGCTTGGAGTTGGTTTGTAGCCTCCTCGGGGCTGGATGGTTTATTTTGCCCCTTGCGAACATGCAGAAAAATACAGGGGAGTGGGTGCTTCCTGCTGCCGTGCAGTGGGGGCGACTGAAATGCCTATGCGGCCTCCTGCCCCAACACCGAAACAGCCTCTCCTTCCCCGGCAGCGCCGCCGTCTCTCCTCCTTCCCCCCTCTTTTTTTCCTTTTTAAAGAAAACCCTTTCGCGACGGCGGTGTCCTTCTTTCGCGGCGCCCGACTCTCCCTCCCCTCCGGCCATGGTTTCTCCCGGCTCCCCCCTCCGAGGCTGCCGGTGGTGCGTCCCGTTGGCCGGGCGGGCGCCCAGGACAGGAAGAGGCGGTGTGGGCGGCGCCGCCGGTTGCCGCTGGGCCGCCCTGAGCCGAGCCGCAGTTGCTGCAGTAAAGATGGCTGCTGCCAGCGACGCCGCCGTTGCGGGGGGCAGCCCGGAGGACGCCGTGGAGGCCGTGGCCGGAGGCCTCGGGCTGGGTTGGCGGGACGGCGCTCGGCGCTACTGCGGGCTGGCCTTGGAGAGCGTGAGTGCGGGGAAGGGCAGGGCGCTGGGGGGGCGTGGAGTCGTCGGCCTTTGCCGGGGCTCTGCGGCTCTGCCTTGCCCCCGGCTGGGATGCCGCCTTTGCTTGCCTTGTGACGAGAGAGGGGCCCAAAGCCTACTCCCCCCCCCCACGTTGCGCCCATCTCACTGGCACGCCCGTCAAGGCTGCGGTACTCAAGAGGCGGGGGCACTGCGCCGTGCACATGCTCAGAGGCACTGCCGTGTTGCTTCAAGCGTTCCTGGTTATTAAAAGCCCTTTCTAGGACAAAGTCCAGGTTCAGATGATGCCCTTTAATGACAAAATGCCTCCAGGCTGGCATAACGTCTCCCAGGTGGCTGTGTACCGTGGGTAGATGGTGGTGGTACTAGGAATGCAACCATTGACTTAAGCCAAGTAGGTTGCCACCTTTTTTCTCAAAGGGTTCCTGTGCTGTTAAGAGCTGTGAGAGGCTGACATTCAGGTGGAGCTTTCTCATTGCCTCAGTTTAGTTCCAAAGGTGTATTTTGTCTGTCACCTGTTTGTTAAAGGGATAGGCGGATCTCTGTCTGGAAGAAGGAAAGAGGTGTCTGCTGTAAAACTCAAAGTGGCTCTCTAATGTAGTCTGTTCCTCTCTCTTGTATCCTATTTGCTTCTGTAAGAATACTATAGGTTGAATTCACATGTGCATATTTGTCCGTCTTTGATTTGCCTCTGTGTAGCAACCATTATATGGGATGCGTGTGGCGCTGTGGGTTAAACCACAGAGCCTAGGACTTGCCGATCAGAAGGTCGGCGGTTTGAATCCCAGCACCCGTTGCTCAGTCCCTGCTCCTGCCAACCTACCAGTTCGAAAGCACATCAAAGTGCAGGTAGATAAATAGGTACCGCTCCGGCGGGAAGGTAAACGGCGTTTCCGTGCGCTGCTCTGGTTCGCCAGAAGCGGCTTAGTCATGCTGGCCACATGACCCGGAAGCTCCCTTGGCCAATAAAGCGAGATGAACGCTGCAACCCCAGAGTCGGCCAGGACTGGACCTAATGGTCCCCTTTATCCTTTACCTTTAGCAACCATTATAAATCAGGTACCTTGGATCAAACCAGCCTCAAATACTATGTTTTTTGGTAGAAGCAATTCATGCCAGCTATTGTGTGATGAGACATGCATGTGTGGATCAGTTCATAGTGTTGTGTCTGAGAGATGGTGAGGCCCAAGTTCAAGAGCTGGGTTCCACTTGACCATAGAACAGAGTGATGTTAGACAGTGCACTAACCTATCTCATACAGTAAGTTTGTCATCAGAATGAAATAATTGAGGCAGGGATGGGGAAACTGTGGCCCTCCAGATGCTGTTGGAATCCAGCTATCATTAGCCCAGCTGTTGTGTTCAGTGATTACCCAAGTTGTAGTCCAGCAACATCTGGAAGGCCACATCTTTGCTATACCTGAGATAAGGATTGTAACGCACTTGCGCACAAAAGAATGCTTAGTATTACTTGCAGTAATAACAAACTGATTTGATATATTGGTAAAACTGGGTTTGTATGTTGTGTACGTAACAGTCATTCAGACAACCATGGTTTTTCACTTTATAATTTCACCACAAGTTGTTTTCTCTCTATGTATTTTCTCTTTTTATATTTTGATGTGTTGTTCAGTCTTGTGCATGTTTCTTCAGAAGCCTTGATGCCAACTGGATGCATGATTGCCTGGGAGCTACATGATGGAAGAAAGGCAGATGAAGATAAATAAACTCCTTGTGTCTTAACTCAGTCTGTTTTTCAAAAGTTTTCCAGGACATGATGAATTCAAGGAACTTTAGGCAACATTCACAAGACTGGATCCCACACCAAAATCATGGGGCGGGGTGGAGGAGGAGGAATATATTCATATGAAAAATGGTTGTGTAAATCATCGCTACGTTTTCTCAGAGTGTTAATGTGGCAAGTCATAGTTTTGAACATCTATGCTTTTACTGGTTTAGGCTGTGAAATAAAAAGTTGAGAAAGGAAACTGATAAATTGCTTCTCATGTGGGAGAAATGAATAGGCTACCATGTCAATACAAGAACAGCCAATTCTAAACCAAGGATTGCTCAAGAGCCCAGTTTGGTTTAGAAGCCCTCATCTTGTGTTGAAGATGGAAGAATGCTCTGCATTATGTAATGTGGTGGTGAAGTTTCTGATACAGATTAGTCAAGCTGGTGTGAGGCCATAAAATGTTCATGAACAGTCCAGTGTTTGAGGGATCAAAACGAGAGTGGGGGAAATTGCCTGTTTGGCTGGGTTTAAAATGCAGGTGCACAGTTTTGCAGGGCAGCTGTAGATGTGGCGATAGTAAAGCTAAGATTCAAGGATCCCAGAAATAACGTGGCTGAGTGATAGAGTTACGATAAAGAGTCTTGTGACATTTCTGCCCTTTTCCTTTACTGGGCATAACCTTTCATGGGTCATAGTGCACTTCATGAGATGTGAAAGTTTATGCCATACTTTGTTGTTTTTGCTATAACTCTAATTCCAAAAAGTCACTGGCTATATAAATACCTTAGAATTTAGATCAGGGATGAGGAACCTGGGGCCCTCCGGATGTTGATCAGGCTAGCATGGTCAGTAGTCAAGGATGATAAAGTTGGGAGTCCATGAAAATGGAGGGCCACAGGTTCTCTATTCCTAGTCTATAGAGCCTGACAGGGCTGTTATTCCTTTTAAGAATTTTATGTAAAGGGAACTCTGCAAGTTGTAGCTCCTGCTGTCACTGCAACATTGTGATTTGGCAATTCTAGAAGGACAGTGAGATGGAACCAAGAAGCAGTGTGCGGAAGCAAGGTCTTTGTTTCATATATTGATTTCATCTAGTCAACCAAATCTTTGACACTGCCTTATATTATAAGTCTGTTTTCTGTCATTTGCTGTTTAGCAGTTTTGTCCTATATGGAGAGAGGCACTGTAAGCTAGTTCTCTTGCTAACAAATGTTCATAGTTCTATTAATAATTTTTCCCTCCTTTATGAGCATCAACTTTTGGGGTTTCCTAAAAAAAGCAATCCTATGTAAGCAAACATTGGATAGCACACTATCTGTCTTATTTAGAAGTGTGCATACAATACTATCAAGAACATAACTCTTGTCTTCTATTGAACAATGCTATTAAATAAATGAAATCTCCAGATTAAATACAGGGCTTCTGATAAGTGTCTATATCAGTTCTAAAAAAGTAAGCATAAAAGACTGAAGCACTAAACTGCAGAGTTTGCTTATCATGAGACATTCAGCTCTTTCCCCCTTTCAACTTTTCTCTTTTATTGATTTCTGTCTTGCAAAAATGTTTTATCAATTGTGTTTTGAAATAATGCTGAATTAGCCTGATCAAATATACACAATTTATGTTAACACCTTGCTCTTAATTGTTGGGGGAAAAGCTTGTTTTGTTCGTTCTTGTTTTAAGGTTCTTGCAGCATTGCCTGAAAATATGAAACCTGGTCCAGATCTTTATGGCTTTCCATGGGAAATGGTGATTTGTGGTGCAGTTGTTGCCGTTTTTACTATCTTACTTCTGATGTGTAGGAGTTATCAGTCAGTAAGTATTCAGTATGAGTTATACAGAGTTTTATCAAACTTGTTGGATTGCTTTTAAAATATTCATTTGTATTTTGAGAATCCTGTGTAACATTCTTCGACTTCCCCTGTGATGTGGCTTTGGATTTTAGCTGTAGAATTAAATACTTGTCTGTATTTTGGCAACTTCATTTTTCAGCTTGGTGTCGGAAAAACAAATTAAACAAAATCCATCTCTATGTTCAGTTACATTTATTTTCATAGTCAGTTTATATTTATTTCAGTTTTAATAAACTGGCTTTCTTTGAAATATTCAAGACTATATAGGTTACAGTTTCAGAATAAATTTTGAAGAATTACTAAATTATACTCAGTAGTGCAAACTGCTGTCCCTGATGTTGTAACTATCTAATTTTCTCCTTGAACTAGTATTCTTTATTTTTGTCCACTCGGCCTCTCCCTGACTCCCACCACATCTTTTTAAAGATGTTAGTATATTGCTCTGATGTTTCCTTGTAGCTTGAAGAAACTATGGAAACTTTAATTTGCATGAGATTTTGTGTGTATTTTTCATCAGCAAGATGATGAAACAACATTTGAATCTATTAAATTAGGAATACCTTTATTTTGTGACTACATTATTGTGTTCTGAAGTTCCACATCCATTCAATCTAGATTGATTTTTAAAAAGCTTTTAGATCTAAGACAATAGTCTTCCTGTACTATTTCACAGACAGTGACTGATTACCACAGTACAGTGGTACCTTGGGTTACAAACTTAATTCGTTCCGGAGGTCTGTTCTTAACCCGAAACTGTTCTTAACCTGAGGCGTGCTTTCGCTAATGGGGCCTCCTGCTGCCGGCGCACCACCAGCATGCAATTTTCGTTCTCATCCTGGGGCAAAGTTCTTAACCCGAGGTACTATTTCTGGGTTAGCGGAGTCTGTAACCCGAAGTGTTTGTAACCTGAAGCGTATGTAACCCATGCAAAATAAGTAGTACAGTGGTACCTCGGGTTACAAACGCTTCAGGTTACAAACGCTTCGGGTTACAAATTCCACTAACCCGAAAATAGTACCTCAGGTTGAGAACTTTGCTTCAGGATCAGAACAGTGGCGGCGCAGCGGCAGCAGGAGGCCCCATTAGCTAAAGTGGTGCTTCAGATTAAGAACAGTTTAGGTTAAGAGCGGACCTCCAGAACGAATTAAGTTCTTAACCTGAGGTACCACTGTAGTAGGAAGCACTTGCATGTCAAAGTTGTGCAAAGGGTCCACTCCATTCACAAGCTGTTACTTTGAGTCATTGGCAGACATAATGATGGGAAATGGATTGTGGCAGAGGTTTTCAACCTTTTTGAGTCCACGGCTCCCTTGACCAACTACATTCTTTCTGTGGTAATGAAAGGTGGAGAATGTTGCATCCGTAGAGTGCTAAACTGATTAAGTGCCACATAAACACTCAAGTCTAGTAGGTCCTTTACTTTTGCAATTTTGTTATTTTTTGCTTTGTAGTTTTGCCTTTTGGCATTTTTAATGCTATTGCTTGTGAGAGTTGGCAGGTGAGCTAACTTTCATGTTGAGAAAAGGGCCAGCTGTGTATACACTGAGATACAAATAGCCTATGTGATTGCATGCTCCTTCCTGAGAGCAGTCTTGTTTATCCCCAGTTAAGATATATGACTGCAGTAACATTAGCAGTCTGTTAAGGCTAATTAAGTTCCCCATGCAGAATTATGAACTAGCTGCATATTCTGAGAATGCTGTTTATGTGGCGAATGAGGTTAGCTTTAACCGTTGTTAATATCGTGATGTATCATTTAACTGTGATTAAAGGGGAAGTGTGGGGAGGAAGTGTGTGATTCTGCAAGTTGCTTGCCTATTTTTGATCTTTTAATTGATTTTAAGAGAGCCCTGATGTTACGTTTGCTCTGGCACTGGGAATCTACTTTGTTGACTATGCTACTCTAAATTTCCCTTAATATTCCCTTAATATTGAAAACTGAGCCTCAATCCCATCTATGCTGTAAACAAACTGCAATATTTGCTCTTCTTTTGCAGATTAGAAGTAGACTTTATGTAGGTAAGTTCAAATTTTTGTCTGTGAGTTGAGTTTAGCTGCAGTTGAAACCGTTTTCTCTCCGTTAAAGGTTACCACATATAGCTCTTCCTCTTTTTAGGAAGAGAGAAACAGCTTGCCAGTAAAGTTGCTGAACTAGTTGAAGACAAATGTAAAGTACTGGAAAAACTCAGTCTCTGCAAAAAAGAGGTAATGGTTACTGTTTCCCTTCAAAGCTTAAATGCTTAGAGTTATTGCTTCTGCCCAAATTTTTTAAATACTAGAATATAGACTTCCATATTTTATTTTATTTTATTTAGTATCAATTTGGCTTAATGAATGTGTGTGTACCTGGAAGTTTTTTCCCTTCATTTCCCTTCAATTACCATTTCTTATTTCAATGCACTTGCACAACCTCATTACATAGGAGCTGCATTCAGATGATGAACGAGTATTTTGGCTACACATACACCTGCTTTGCGCCTTCCTTTGTATGAGTGAGAAAACCAACCAACCAACCAGAAAGCTTTCTTTTAACCAAGTTTCCTGTTTAGTCTGAACCAGGAAAATATGGCTAACGGCTATGGAACAAGCCAAGATAGTGAGCCATAGTGGAAACTGACTTAATATCCAGGCTTGTTCTGAAACCGTTAACCATGCAATATGCCTGCAATAGAAATGCTATAATGTGCAAAGATGCCTAGATCACCCACAGCAAAAGGGTGATAACTATGCTAAGAGGAAAGAGTTCATTGGTACCAGGTCATAGAGCAGTCCTCCCCAAACTCCCCCCCCCCAGGGACCACTTAAAAATTGCAGAGGGTCTTGGCAGGCTACTTAATCATTTTTCTGTCTGTGGTAGCAATGGTAATGCACTGTGATAGGTGCTGTAGGATTTTAAATTGATTTTTTATAGACATGTCACAGACCACCTGAATGAAGCTCATGGACCACGGATGGTCCATGCCCTGCTGCTTGGGAACCCCTGGCTTACAGAACCTTGTTTTCCTGAAAATTCTGCTAGGAATTGTCCCTCTCTGGGCTCCCATACTACTATTTTGAACACCCTGTTTAGCCTAGTTCTTGACAAGTCTGATAATTATAAAGCTGAAATGTGTGGAGCTTTTGCTAGCAGAGGAGTTTGAGGAGCACAGCCATAGGTTGTCTGATTTCCTTTATTTTAATTATAATACGGAATTTTCATTTTAGTATGAAGAGTTAGAAAACTGCCTAAAAGATGCCAGTCTTCTGCAAGGGTCAGCCAGTACATCAAGCATGAAGGTAAAAGTTGAACTGGGAAAAGTACTTGTATAATATTCTTTCTATTTATATACCACTTCATATTTTACTATAAACCTCTGTTTGGTTTAAAAACAACCAAAAGGAATCAGTGTAAGAAAAAGAATAAAGATTAAATGTTCAAAAATAATACAGTTTCTAATCTTGCTAATCATCTTCATCACAATTCCACATTTTAAGGAACATAAATGAATGAACATCTGTAAAATATATTTTATAAACTAGAATATTCTTTACCACCTGATCCTGCGCATGTTTGTTCAGAATTCCAACTGTGTAAGTAAGTGGGGCTCACTTTCAAATAAGTAAGCATTGAACTGCAACACTAGGTAGGTTTCTGTTGTTGTTTATGACGTGTATGTATACTAACTCACTGCTTTTTGTTGGCTATTGTGTCCAGTCACAAGGCATTAAGTTAGGATTTTACTGTACAAGAGCGGAATCTGGAATTTTGGTAATCTCACATTTCATTTTTAAAGGCTTTTAACCCTATCTGTGCAGATAAGCTCAACAAAATGTAGGAAATAGGCTCTTTTATCCATGCAAGGCTGGCAGAAGTAGAATCAAGTATGTAAAATGAAGTAGATTGTGCTAACTTTAATTTGCATGATTTATGCAGGTTGAATAATTTGATTTTGTACATCCTTGACCTAGGCATTTAATTTTTAGTGCATTAAACTTAAGTATAATGAATACATCCAATGTAGCCTGGTCTGTGGAGCTGCTCTTATTGTTTCTACAATACATAATTAAAGTTAAAAGTGCTCAGTAGCTACTACTTAATTCTCGATTAATCTTATTACAAATGTCTTCATGTTATCTTTCAAAACTTGATTATTTTAGGCAGCATATGAAGAACTGAGCAACTCGAACTCTGCACTCAAGAGTGACATAGAATGTTTAGAAAAAGAACTTAAAGAAGAGAAGTCCAAACGATCAGAGCAGGATGACTTGGTATGTCTTTTGTTCAAAGCAGTCTTTCTCAGGCAGAAAGTTTGGCCTTCAAAGAGAAATCAGATAGTGTAATTCATCTGATTAAAATTAGAATATCCTGTCCTCATCTACTCTCTATTTGCTTTTTGCCTTTTTTTTTTAAGAATAACATTAAGCCATTGAAGGTCAACTGCTCCTGTGGCTTTTGATCAAAAACACTTTGTACTTCATATTCCAAATATGTTAAATGTATTGTTTCTTTATCAGACTGATCCACATTTTTTCAGTGTGTCCTGGAGGCAGCACTGTTTGAATTTAATTATGTACAGCAAGGGTTGCCAACATTTTTGGTTCCAAGGACACATTTGTAAACCAGAGAAACTGCAGTGGGCATCACATTGCAAACAAGTGCACACAGCAGCCTATTCTTTTGGCTGCAATAGAACACTTCTTTCAAGCCTAATTTCAGCAGTGGGGTGGGAGTCCTGTGGGTTCCAAGGAAGACTGTAGAGGGCACGGCACATGTACCACCACATTTGCAACCCCTGAACCCAGTGTTGGTTTTTGAAATGCGGCTATCTCTATGTCTGCATCTTACTCTCTCTGTGTGTTTTGCTCATCCAAGGGTGATTTATTGCCATTTTAATGAACTGTAGCTAATTTCTGAACAGGGACGCGGGTGGCGCTGTGGGTTAAACCACAGAGCCTAGGACTTGCCAATCAGAAGGTCGGTGGTTTGAATCCCCGCGACGGGGTGAGCTCCCGTTGCTCGGTCCCTGCTCCTGCCAACCTAGCAGTTCTAAAGCACATCAAAGTGCAAGTAGATAAATAGGTACCGCTCTGGCGGGAAGGTAAACGGCGTTTCCATGCGCTGCGCTGGTTCGCCAGAAGCGGCTTAGTCATGCTGGCCACATGACCCGGAAGCTGTACGCCGGCTCCCTCGGCCAGTAAAGTGAGATGAGCGCCGCAACCCCAGAGTCGGTCACAACTGGACCTAATGGTCAGGGGTCCCTTTACCTTTACCTAATTCCTGAACGTCGGAAAAAGTCCAGTTGAATTCAGTGGGACTTTTCTCCCATGTATTCAGCATTCTGTGAGAATCATACGCAGACTACAGTTAATTGGACTTCCTGTTTCCATGTGCCAGTGTTGTTTGTTTAGATGAATGTATAAGGGTAGAAGATCTTTCAGTATGAAAACATTATCACAAAGCTAATAGATTGAATGTTTTCTTGACAAATGTGCATAGAATACCTTCATAGAGAATGAGACATTTGCCTTTGGGGCACAGTAGATAGAGCCAGTTGACTTTTGGAAGTTATTTGATCAACTTTCTAAAGCATCTTTTATAACAGGGGTGGGGAACAGGGGTGGAGAAATGCCCCAATAGCCACATGGGCACTTTGACAAATGGGAGGGGCTGTGCACTTGTCAATTTCAAAGAAAGAATTGTGACAACGCTTAGAATGCACTCCCAACTCTTTCTTTGCAGCCTGGCTGGATTAAGTCAAAGAGTGTCACTTCTATTTTATTGCAATCTATATAGTTTCCTATCAATGAGAGCTGAAAATAAAATGGTCGCAGGTGATCCCTTGATAAATACAGTATTTAAATCTAATTCAACACAGTGTTTGTTCACAGTTGTTTTGACAAGGCAGTATCAACCAGAGTGTTTTATATAAATTTATTTTACTGTCTTTGTAGTTGATTGAAATACGGAGAAGAATGGAATCCTTAGAAAATGAAGCAAAGTCTATTCAAATGCAAGTAGCTGAAGTAAGCCAATCTTTAGATATTAATGTAAATGTTTCATCATGCACCACAGCAAAATCTTGGACCTCACTGTCAATATTTTTCATTAGTCTTGAACACAAGTTCTTTATGTCTGCTCTGTTTAGACATTTCTTTCTTGTAAACAAATTGAATTCCTCTTGGTTTGCCATTAAAGGTGGTTTGCCTATTTCTGCAGTAATTTGGCATTCTAGGAGGAGAATTCAGGACTTTTTATTTATTGCAACATTGCAAATAATTTAAGCCAAAGTTATCTTTTGCCTTGTACGTTCTCCAGAGCAGTTATGCAGCAATGATGTCAATTGGGGGGGGGGGGGACCTCCACAAGCTGTTGCTGTGCCATTGGCAACCAGGTTTCATTGTTGTCACTTAGAACACAGGGTGTACACACAGCGTCACTAGTGCTGTTTGACAGGTGGAACTGTGTATTGTCATATTAGTCAGTGGAGAAAGCCCTGCTTGCTTATTTTATTTTCCATTCAAATATCTTTCAAAAATCAGCATGCAGTTAAATGAATGACTCACAGCTTTAGGACCCCAGACCATTGAGAGGTTTTTGGTGCACAGATCACATGCCTATGATATATATAATTTACTGCTGCTGAAGGTGGGATGCTGGGATTGCATGCATCTATGCCCCAGATTCACAGGATTGCAAGATGAGCAGACAGGTTCGTACCTGTTGTTTATTTTGGAGAACATCATGTGTTTGGCAGGGGAAAGGTGGGTTCTGTGGAAATAGTTATATATCTCTGTGCCCTCATTCACAGTATATCTTAGTGAGTATCACTCAGTGGAACATAATTTTATGATATGGTATTAGGATTGGATTGTAACCAGGCTAATGCCTAAAGGAATTGGTAGAAATAACAAAAAATGTAAATGCGATTCTATGTATTTTTGTATATACTTATATTAGCAGCTTCACTGTGCTTTATTTCACTTAGGCCAAGTCCACATTAAAAGTATATGAGATCAACAGAGAGAGACTGAAAACATCTGTCCAAGATGCAATAGCTGAAAACAACCAACTTCATGAAAGTGAAAAACAGGTATATTATTTACACTGTGTAGTTTTATAGAGTGCCTTTTAGGAACACTGTATCCTCACTTTAGAATAATTTATGATTTTAAATATTGTTAAGGCTCCGGTTTAAATTATTATGTAGTTTAATGAAAGTTGGAGGGAAAGTGTATAGTCCACAGACTGCTATAATTTTTGTGACTTTGCCTTCCATGGGGTAAATCAGTTGCCACTTCTATGAGTGGTTTGATGTTCTGAGCTGCTTGGCATTTCAGTGCATTTATTAAGACACAGGCCTTTTGGTGGGGTGTGTGTGTGGTTCAATTGCTTCCTTGCCATCAGAGTGGTTGGATGTTCTTTGGTCTTGGAGGGTGTGTTTCCTTCAGAACTCTCTCTTTGTCTTCCCTATAGAGGCTTTTCTAGATTGATGTGCCTGGGACAATGTCAGGACAGTATTTCTGAGCTACTATCTCAGTCAGCTTTTAATAACTTGTCTTGCCGCAGATTGGATCCACCTCATATTTCCAGCTTGGGGATGATTAATCATAGGCTTGGGTGGCATTCTGGTAACATGAAAGCTGGACTTGTTCCACGTAGTCAGGTTTTATACTTTAAATCTCTAGCTCTTTATTGGCCAGAACTTTCTGGGTTATATCATGTTGTGTCTCAAGCTGATGGGAATTTCTTTGCTCCAGTACAGCCTTCCATCAGCAGAATGGGAAGGAAGGCAGTTTTGTTGATTTCCCTTCCTCCCTGCAGACCCCTTCTGCCCTCTTACACTATTCTAAGGGCTTCCCGCCACCCAACCATTCTGAAGCAGATTTCACAGGGCAGGTTTGAAAAATTGCCTCCCTTCCTGTTCCACTGATGGAAGGTCCTGTCAGATCAAAAAGTATTTTATTAGTGTGCAAGACACAGTTGGATGCAACCTTATATATTCCCATGCTTTTTTAAAACACAAAAAGTTCAATAAAAATGATTTTAAATTTCATGTATAGCAAAAGAACAGCTGTCAAAAATTAGAACATATGAAATGTCAGTTAAAATACAAAATATTCAGCTCAATGAATTTTGCTGTATGTAATGTTAAGAATTTAGGCCAGACCTTTTAGAATTAAATATTATGAAATTCTAATAACTGGTTGGTAGAAATTAAATACTGAACTTTCTAACTTTTGTTTCCAGCTCTTAAAAGAAGCTGAAGGACAGAGTGAACAATTAAGTGAGTTAAATGAACAAGCAAAAATGTTAGAAACCTCAAAAGCAGGTATGGAGGAGACTCTTAAAAACAAAGAAAGTCAAGTCAAGGTAAAATTAAAGATTTATTTATTATGTTTATATCCCAACTTTTTTCTCAAAGGATGGTTCTCCTACAACAACCCTGTGAAGTAGATTAGGCTGAAAGACAGGGACCGGCCCAAGGTCACTCAGTGACTTTCCTGACCGAATGGGAATTTGAAACCTGGTTTCCCAGGTGTTAGTCTAACACTTGAACCACTATACGCTGGCTGCAGCTCTTGCTTTACTTTAATCATATGGACATGTGTGAATTATGTGCATGCCTAATGTCACCTGGCACACAGGAGGAAATTTGTTATTTATTTTGGGGCTCTTATCGTGGGAAGACTGCATCACATTTTAAAACAGCAGGAAGGGTTATTGAATTCTAGGGGAGAGGGAGAGAGAAAGAAAGGGGAAATTCCAGGAGTTGCAAGAGAACCAATTTTATTATGTATATAATTCCCTCCCTCCACCCCACCCCCAAAGTATTGCTTGGTGTGCTTCAAAATCCTGCCACTCAACAACAGCTTGCACTCCTCCCTTTGGGAATATTTGGAGAGATACAGATGCTTCCCTCAGGCATTGATAACACTGCTTGGAGCTGTGGTTGCCTTGTAGCTTCATTGATTCCTATGGGAGTCACTGGTGCAAAGCTCTAGGAGGGAGCATGGTAGACTCGTATGTTTGGCAAGTTGCTAAGCCCTTTTTAATTGGCTGAGCTGTAGGGTTATCTGCTTAAACTTCTTGGAGTCTTCCCTCCTCTCATATCAAGCATTCCATTTGTGTAAGTGAATGGGAGAAAAGTCCTGGGCAGAAAACTAGGGCCATAATATTTCACTGATTTCTTTAGGCATCTATCCACATCCCTCCAAATTCCTCAAAGGGCAATTTCCAAATAGCTTCAGTGGAGGTTCAGGTGGCTTTTTCAGAGACCAAGGAAGCTAGTGGTCAGATACAGATTTGCAGTGCTGGATAGAGAGAAAAACCTGCCTGCAACTTTACTTGGGGTTCTGGAATTCTACTTGTATTGAGTTTGCAGGAGGTCTAGCTACCACAGTAATGCATGCTGTTGTAAAAGTTTTTCTCTTAGAAGTAGTCCACACGGAACAGGAACTATTCCTGTAAAACACTTGATATGAAAATACCGTTAAACGTTCAATAGGTTTATTGAATATATATGAAATGAATAAAATCATGAATTTGCTTTGTGAAGAGCCAAGGACTCATTTGTGCATCTTGTTTTATAAATATGGTATAGTCACTGACAGAGTGCTTGTTGAAGATGAAAGACTGGAGCTGTACATTAGATGAACATGCTGCTGCTGAAGACAACCATTGGGATAATGATATAAAGACTGAAACAGAAAATGGGGAGCACTTGGGTAAATCATTATTCATTTCCTACGGAAAGGGAAAGAAAAGAGAAATGATTTCATTTTCAAATTCTAGAATTGTCACCTGTTCTCCTCCTTAATATGTGGGAATCAACTACATACAAGGAATTAAACAAAATCTATGGCATAGGTATTAATAGGCAATAGCCTGTTGCATTCAGTGCTTAAAGTGGATTTTCACCAAAGCTTTATGTTGACATATGCTAGATTTCTCTGTGCTGCAGCCGACTGCTCAATGTAACCCCTGAAGTTAAAAAACAAAAAACTTAGAAAAAGACAGTCCAAGTTGTTGAGACTCTAACCCTAGGATAACTTGGCAAAGCACAAACTGGTCTGACAACCACTGCTCGTTCTTGTCCTTAGCCTGAGGATAAGTAGCCCACATGAAAAGGTCAAGGAACTTAATTAAGCCTGAGGAGTGTAATTCTTGCATTGGATTGATTACACATTTCAAACGCATTTCAGAAAAACTGCTTCTGTAAAGCATTGTTAGATGAATAATGTCCCTATCCCCTCCCTCTTGAACTCACTGCTTCTTACAAACAGTACAACTGTTTTTAAAACTTGGGCAAAAGAAATCTTTCCCACTTAAAAAGCAATACTGTGTTTTATAAATAAATAACAAAAGAAAAAGTTTTCAGTGATTTGTTGGTTTTTTTCACCTTCTCTTCATTTCCCTTAAACCAGATGATCAGGAAAAACGAACTGTAAAGAAGTTGATTTATGCTGCAAAGGTAATACACTAATATTGTGATCATTTTCTTTACTGGTTTATAAAAACTTTTTTTGGGGGGGGAAATTAAAGCAATTTTTTAAAAAAGTTCAGTAGAAAATATATGCAAGCTTTTTTGGAATGATAGGATCCAGAGTTGCCCTTTTGTGAATGGAAGAGTTTCTTCCATGCATGAAGTGGGCTGAGTTTCAACTAACTGGACAAAGGAAAAGAAACTGTAAGTTTTCAATTTCTGCTGTCCACTGCACCACCTCCAGCACTGTCCCAGAGGGGCTGCTGGGAGAAGGAGGAATCGCTGAAAATTGCCTCCACCAGCAGATGCAGCCTGTGAGCGGAGTCCTGCTCATAAGAACTCTGGATTCAAGCCAAAGAATTATTTTAATGGTGTGCCTCTTTAGTATATGTGATGCAGTGGGGTGCTGCTATTGCTTAACTATTGCCAGGGATTGGCAGGGCTCTGATGAGTGTGTGATGGAGGCAAGGGGGTTAGAGACTGAGACAGCAGGGCCCCCCCCCCCCAGTGATTTATGGTGTTTGGTGCCATCTGTGAGGCAGGAGCCAGGGCAGGGGGAAGAGGAGAGGAAGGGTTGGAGAAGTCAGAGACAGAAGTGGGGCGCAGGACACGTTGGAAGCGGAGAAAGAGGCTGTTCAGGCGAGGGGCAGGCCGGTCCAATCCCTGCCATCCCCTGCTCTGCTGTTTTTTAGAACCAGGAGATGCTTGAAGAGGGAAGGGCAGCAACAACATTTGTGCAGGAAAAGTCTCTGGTTGCGTGTGTGCACTCCCATCAGATGAGGCCACATAATTTTGGGAGGGGGGGCCTGGCCCCACTGTTGCTTTAACTCATTAAAGAAGTAAGCATCAACCAATTGCCTTCTTTGGCTAGGTGGGTGCAGGAGAAGTAAAGAATGCTTCCTGGCTTTGCCTTGGCACATGATTTTGATTTACAATGGGTGCACAAACTCCCTTTAGGTACCTACTGTTTTTGCTGTGATATATTCTTGGAGTAGTGTAGTGATGTTATCGTTCTGTTTATTTTAAATGGCTGTTTTAATGATATACTATGTGAAACCAGTTTCTGTTGCGGTTTGGAGGAATGATGGGGTGGGGGTGGGGAATCAAATACATAAGTAAGCATTGCAGCCAGAAAGTGATCCAGAACTAGATAAAGGTTTGTTTTAGAAGTGCAAATGTACATCAGTAGCTTCTTTTGCAATTATGATTTGAAATAATTTATCCTTTTTCTTTGATATAGCTAAATGCTTGTCTAAAATCTATGGAATCAGAAGTAAATCAAATCTGTTCAAAGCTAACAGATGAAAACAAAGCAAAAGAGGAACTTGCAGGTAATGATGAATTCTTGATTTTTAATTATTATTTCTTTTAAAAGAAGAAGAAAGCTGTTTTCTATTACGGTTTTAGGAAAATCTTTACTTTTAACTGAACGAAGCTGTAAAGGTAATTAGAAATCTCTTAAATGATCAGGGTTCACTGAAGTATAAGGTATCTTGGAAAAAAAACATTAAAACAAAGAATTCAATTTTTACAAGATACCTTGTTGAATTTATGATGCCGTATCCTTCATGGAGTGCCTCAGGAAGGTGTTTTTTATGGCTTGGTGAATGGGTAAATCATGGTTGTAGGAATTGTTCCACTTTCAGAGACTGCCACACTGTAGAGGTGAGAGATTTGTAAATATTGAAGAAGGCTGCATACTGTATAGAAGCAAAAGCAGCCATTTAAATTTGCTGTCTCTTCTATTTTTTTTCCACACACACCCCCCGCTCCACTTCAGAAAGCAGAAACCATCCCAGAGACAATGAAATGGGTTGAATCTTGCTGAGGGGAGTTTGTGACGGGGGCAGCCCTACCATTAGGCAGAGTGTGGTGCAGGTCCAGGGTTAGACTTTGCTGCTGCCACTCACTTATTATACACACACAAACACACACTCACACACACACACACGCGGACACCAGAAGTGTGTTAGTAGTGTTCCTGGTGCTGCTGTAGCATGGGAACCAAACTTAGCTCTTAACTGCAGTTGCCATCTTCCATGTTTGATTACCCAAAATGGAATTCTCAACCCAACATTGTGTCAGACGTTGCATTTTGGGTAATTTAACTTGGCTGGTGGCTACTGCAGATGGGAGCCAAATACTAACTTGTCTTCCATTCAAAAAGCACTGCTGCTTCCCATGATTTAAACACGCCAGGTGGCCTGGTTGGGAAAGCCATAGGAAGCTGCCTTATACAGTGGTACCTCGGGTTACATACGCTTCAGGTTACAGACTCTGCTTAAGAACTTTGCTTCAGGATGAGAACAGAAATCGTGCTCCGGCGGCGCGGCGGCAGCAGGAGGTCCCATTAGCTAAAGTGGTGCTTCAGGTTAAGAACAGTTTCAGGTTAAGAATGGACCTCCGGAACGAATTAAGTACTTAACCTGAGGTACCACTGTACTGAGTCAGATCATTGGTCATACGGAGTCAGGCCATTGGTCCATCTAGCTGAGCATTGTCTACATTGACTGGCAGAAGCTCTCCTGGAGGATTGAGGTATGAGGTGAGTGACGGGTAGTGACTGAGGAAATGTGTGGCAGTGAGGAAACACTAAGCAGGGACAACCCACAGAAATTTGAGGCAACTGCCTCAGACAATTAATTTTGGGTGTCATGAAATGGCAACAGCCTGTTAGTTATTTCACGTATCATTATTGCATTTTTAATGTCAGGGAGCTGGGGGAGGTGTTTCCGGGGGTTTTCCAGAATAACTTGCCCAGCTGTGCATACTATACACTTTGACTGGGTAGTGGGTTGGGTTGGGGGACAACACAGCTGTTCTGTCTCAGGCAGCAAACTTGGGCCAACCCGGATCCTGATTAGGAAGTAGAAGATACCAAAAACAAAACCCAAAACCTGGATTTCTATGTATTACATGGCCATTATCTTAGTAGATTGAGATGCGGGGCTTATTAGCTGGGAAACTGTTGGTGCTGACGTGTGGTATTAGTATTAAAAAGGATTTATTTAGCTATGGTAAAGCTGTCCTGTGCCTTATTTCCCTCCTGTCTGTACCTCAGCCCATTTGGTTCAAACATATTTGTCCTGTGAAGGAAATCAAAACAAAATTTGGTCAACAAATCCATGTGAAAGGGGGGGAAATGTATCCTTTTAGTGGGATTTCAAAGCATTTTTCAAAGTGCCTGGAGTTATTGTACAGGGACATAATGAGGTTTTACGTCTCTTCCAAACTCCTTCAGAAATCATTTTTCTTTTCAGCATTAGAATACTGTATTCAGTCTTCAATCTTTGTTTCCTTTATCGTATGGGTTTAACATAGCAGTTAATTGTAATTAACTCTTAATTGTGACAGAACGCATTGAAAATCTACAAAAGGAACATGTCACGTTGCATTCTGAAAATACACGCTTTGAAAGCGAAGTTCAGAAGCTTCAGCAAAAGCTTAAAGTCATGACTGAGCTGTATCAAGAAAATGAAATGAACCTTCACAGGTATTGGTAGCAGTCGATTTGTTGCTTGATACATGAATCTTTGTTTAGATAACAGAAAAAGGATGTTATATGTAACTTGAGCCTGCCATGTTTCTTCGACAATTATACCCTTGTCCTGACACTGGGACCTTGCTGCCACTTCTTGGTCTATTTGCTTACTACTTCATATGGTTTATAATACTGCGTTTTTAAACAACTCCCAAGCATTTTGGATTGTTGTGACCCTCTTGACCTTTTCTTTCAACTTCCTTTTTACCAATCCCCTCATTTTGGGGGTGTTTCCTCTTTCATAGCCAAATGTGACTGTGCTTGATTTTCTTGGCAATTGGCCATTTTCATGTATGTGCATGAATAGCACTATGGCTACTTCACTTAACTGGCTTGCAACACTTACACCTTGTACCAAGTTCTGTGCACCACTCAAGATAAAAGTCCAGGCTTGCCGTCCCTCTGGTTGGTTCCATGACATAGTCATTTAGGATATCTAGGTAATTTACCGCTTTGTCATGGCTGGAACACATATGTAGCCAGTCTGTATGATGCGAGTTGAAGTCACCCATAACTGCAGCATTCCCTCTTTTGGATTCTTCCCTGATTTCATTCTTTTATCTTAAGATCCCCTGATCATTTTGATCATGGGGGTGCTAGCACTTCATCAGTACTAAATTTCTCTTGGGGACCAGTTACTATTGTTAGCAGATGTTTACCGGCAAGTTCTTCACAAATCATTTTTCAGAGCTGCTGCTGCAACCTTCAAGGAATAAATTTGGCAAGTTCTGCTATATCCCAGTCGTATTCATGTTTGCTCTGAACCCTCAGTGAGGGTGGTGCTGTGTTGAACATTCTGTCTGCTCATGTGTTGCAGCTTGCCAGATGGAATGATCTCTCCCCTCCTACCCACATGCAATGTTGTCTCCATCCCTTGCCAATTTGCATGGGGGGGTGGGCAGAAGCCCCATTTGCACAGGGCTTCTACTGACAGGGATTGTTAGCTGATTCACACCTTGAGAAGCCCTCTAAGTATGCACAGGGTGGCACAACCTTTAATGTATTGAGGATTTTAACACCATTTTTATTGTTGCTTATGCTGCTTATAATTAAGGATCAGGCTACTAGGGCAAATGGAAATTACTGTACATGTCAGTGTTTGTTTTTTTGAAATGAGCTTCAGCCTTTTGTGGATGTTTTCTTAAGATGACTAGAAAACAGTTGAGTTGTGGCTAATGAAAGGCTTTGTTTCTTTTATTTTTCAAAGGAAATTAACTGTAGAAGAAAAAGATCGTTTGCAGAAAGAAGAAAAGCTTTCCAAAGTTGATGAGACAATCAGTCATGCTGCTGAAGAAGTGAACCGTTATCGGTAACTATGGATTTCATTTGGTATTTTCCTCTGTTGAATGAACAAAATTCAGTGGAGAATTAGACCTAGCATCTTGAAACTTCTGAAAAATCAGAGGAGTCGTATGGAGTAGTACCTCAAGTCAGTGAAGCCCCATTACAGTAATCACAACTGACTCAAGCCCCTTCTCATAGTGTTTTGGGTGGAGAGAGTGGTTATCATAGGCTTGGATTTGAATGTATCTTCCTTGAGTAGAAGGGCAATTCACCAGATTTTGCTGCTTTCCTCCATCCTGCTGGAGCCCACTGTGTCCCATCCCACCTGAATTCTAGATGATCCCTTCATCCTAAGGAGCCAGGAAAGCCCTGTTATACGTACCTGGAAGCTCATCCTTCTCCCAGCCAGAACTTCCTCTAAGGGGCAGGCAGCTTTAAGGTAGCTTTGCAGAGCTTGTGGGTCTTGACAGTCACCAGATTGACTGGATAGGTTATCCCTTTTTTAAGGTGCTAGATATTCTAGTGTCCCTTCTAAATCAGTGGAGGAGGTCCTTCTGCATCAGTGTTCTTAACAAGGGCTTGTGGGAGTGGTTGGGTGCAGAGATGCCAAAGAAGGATGTCAAAACCGTCAGAATGGTCATTTCTAGTGCTTTATTAAAAGAAAGGTTCAGACTTACAGCAAATCAGCCTGCTAGGTCTCCCAGCCTTTATGGGATTGACATTGAAGTAAGGAGATGGCTGTCTGCACCCACACAAACATTCATACATTCTTTATAGACAAAGCAGCATACGTTTCTCAGCCAGGACTTCCCATCACTCCACCTGACCAGATGGGGGCATAGGGGGCAAATGCCCAAGTCTTACAGATAGTTGCCCTTTCTGGGCCCAGAGCCCAGCACTCCAAGCCCACAGATAAGGATAGCATCACAGCAAGCAAATTAGCTTATAGCAAAACAAGTGAATATAAACATATATGAACTCATTGCTACAGCTGCCAGTTAATTGTGGGGTTATCTTGACTACCAAGATGACATTTGCAGAGCTTCTGGAACAATTTGCCTTTGGTTTGACACAGCCAGGTTAATACCCTCCCCCAACCTTACAGGGCCTTGTAAATCAATGTAGGCTACTAAGCTTCAGTTGGAAGAGACCCCATTCTATTCCAGTTTTGTCTCTTTCACAGCAACAGAATTTTGCAGCCAGCTTGACAAAAGGGAATAGTTCTGCAGGCAGGTTCCAATCTGCTTCCAAGGCTATCTTGTTCTTGCCTAACTGGTGCTCTGCCTTCTGCTTCAGTAGGGCTCCCAGTTAGATTAGGTTTGGGGTTGTTGCTTTTTTTTAATGACATACTTTTCAATGTTTCTTAAGGTGTTGTGATAATATCTGGTGTGCAAAATTATCCTTGTATAATTCCATTACAGACAACGAGCAGAAGAACTAGAAGAAGAACTGAAAAAAACAGTTCACTCTTATGAGAATCTGGTATTTATATATATATTGTTTTCTAAATTAAGTACATGTGCTATGTTTACTATGACTGATTTCAGTTGCGTTTACTTCAAAGTATGCTTGCTTACGATTTCAGCATTATAGCGTGATCCTAAGCATGTTTACTCAGAAGCAATCCTTTTTTTCTTAAAAAATGTTTAGGGGTACTCTCATTTTGACTCAAGAAAATCACTGTTTTGTAATTCAAATTGGGGGAAATAAATACAGTAAATGGACAAAAGTACAAAGATTCACAAAATGTTTAGGGGTACGCATATCCCTGCGTCCCCCCAGAAAAAAAGCACTGCTCAGAAGTAAAGTTCAGTTCAATTAAATTTGCTCCCAGACAAGTGTATAGCAGACTGAGGCCTTGTTGTTATTATTTTTATTAATAACATATATCTTAAATGCAGCATCTCTCACCTTTAAAAGTTTATTGACTTTGACCACAGGTGAGGAATGTATCCAGTGGACTAGATCCAAAACTTCCCCACCTCTGTGGGCCATTTTGATAAGTGGATGGGGTTGCCCATATGTCAGTCCATGATGGCCCATGACATCAAGTGATGCAACACAAAAGCACATCAAGTGAACTCCCATTTCTTCCTTAGCGGGTACGGCTTTTCAACTGAAGCAGTGGCTGCGAAGGAACATTCTACCTTTGCAGACATGGCTCATCTTTGAGTCATGGCAGCAAAGGAAAATTTCTGTTTGTGATTTGCTCCTTTTTGCATTTGGCATCATTTTCTTTCTACAGGAGGAGTACCTCTGCTGAGTTTAGGAGTAGCTTAGCGTTACATACGAACCACATATCCTGGTTTAAAACAAGCTGTTTTAGTTTCTAAATAGGCCAACTTCAAACCATGTGTGAACCCAGCCAGTGCTATGTATTTAAGTACTCAAGATGTTACTTTATATTTGATCAAAAGCATGCCAGATCATTTGCCAGCCCTCTCTCAACTCCTTGTGGAGTCATCTAAGGCCCACCTAAGCTCAGCATGAATAGGAGTGGGATGGGGGAATTCTTGTGTCAATTCATGCACTTTCCTCTTCCTCCTCTTTGGTTTCTGAGGCACGCAGCTGAGAAACGGAGGCATGCTAGTATCTGTCCAGAGGGCATTCCTCTCTTGTGCCTGAGACACTTTCATTGGAGTAAAATGCTGGGAACGTAAAAAACAACAACCTTGTTTGCTGTTGTTGATGAACTTGGCAAGAAAGAAGTGGAGATAAGAGAAGAAACAGCAGGAAAAAATGTGGTGGGAAATGAGAGGAGGAGTGAGCAAGCAAGAGCACTGCAGGGCAATGTGAGAGTAAAACAGTATTGAGGAAGGCAGAGAGACCTGTGGAGTGGAGGCACAACAGAGATAAACATTATGGAGTGGGGAAAGGAGAGAGATTAATAGAAGGTGGGTGTGGAGAGAAAGTGAATTGCCATATACAGTGGTACCTCTGGATGCGAACAGGATCCGTTCTGGAGCCCTGTTCACATCCTGAAGCGAACGCAACCTGCATCTGCACGGGTTGCGATTTGCCGCTTCCGCACATGCATGTGATGTCATTTTGAGCATCTGCACATGCGCAAGCGGTGAAACCCGGAAGTAACGCGCGCCGTTACTTCCGGGTTGCCGTGGAGCAGAATCCGAAAATATTCATCCCGAAGTTACTTCAACCCGAGGTATGACTGTACTTTCCCACAAGTCATGTGCTAGCGTGGCTCTTTGGAATTAAAAAAATGCATCTTGCCTTTCAGACTGTGATTTGAGTTCTGCACCTCTGAACTAATGTGGAATTCTCTTTTAACAGGTTAAGTCCCATGAGCAGAAAGCTCATGATAACTGGGTAAGTTGCAAATGCTAAAAACCTGCCAGCCTTTCTGAAAAGTGTGATGCTTTCAAAAGGGGCAAAGGCATTTTTATTATTTTATTTTAAAATATTTGTATGCTGCCTTTGAGAGATTCACCTGGATCTTTCTAATACACTCATTTGCCCCTTGCTCTGCAGCTGTCCCAAAACAACTGTTAGACTGCTCCTTTGAACTCCCCAAGTTTAGCCATTATGCTGGGTAAATTGACAAAAGTTGTTTTGAAGGTTTTCTGTGAGCTGCTATAAATCCAGATGTGCACCTGGATGCTGCTACCCCACCCCGTTTGTTATCTTACTCATTTACTGACCACCAGCTCCCCAATAGGATTTTTAAATTATATTTTATAGGGCCTTTTAAACTTTCTCTCTTTAAATAAGTATATTCTATCTCCTGATAAAGTCTGGTGCTATTGCTCCGTTGTAGGATCAGCTGCAGGGCTCTGCGTGCTGTTCAGTGGCAGAATTTGTGGCAGTTCAAGTTGTGTTTGGAGAAAAGCCACTCTGCAATGCATTTCAGAAGGAACTCTTTCAGGGCAGAGGAAGAATGGAGAAGGGGGGGGGGAAGCTTCCTATGCCCCTTGGTTCAGAATTGTAGGACCATAAAAATACTCCTTTTCATTAGTACTAGTAAAAAATAGGTGGGGTAAATCCAGTGCTTTTTTCCTTTAAAAAATGTTTAGGGGTACTCTCATTTTGACTCAAGAAAATCTCCATTTTATAGTTCAAATCGGGGGAAATAAATACAGTAAATGGACAAAATTACAAAGATTCACAAAATGTTTAGGGGTATGTGTACCCCTGCATCCTCCCTGAAAAAAATCACTGGATAAATCTAATTGACCTCAAAAGGTACAAGCTTATGGCAGGAAAAGACTATATCAATATGAGCCCATGGATGCTGTGACCAGTTTCCTCAGTGTCTTATGGAATCTTTTTTTATAGTAACAGTAAATCCCTTCTTGTAAAAATAAATCCTTCCAAACCCAATGCCAATTTTAAAATGTTTGATTTTGCAACACTCTCCTGGCCTTGTTTCAATGCCATTTTAATAAATACTTTGGCTGTTTTTGCGGCTCTTATCTAAGAATAAAACAGTCTGTCCTCTGATAACATTGCAGTAATGGAGAACAAAATGTGATTGCAAAACCCATCTTTCACACAAGACAAAAAATAAACCCCACCCCTCTCGTTCCGTTTATAAGGCACTCCAGTTTTATTAAGAGATTCACACAAACGGAATCCAAGGCTTATCCATATGAAAGCTTCCTCCAGAGCTTGAATTGGCATGGACCGCTAAAACAGATGGGAAGGGAAAATGTCCCAGCTAGGATTGAGGGCTTGCTCAACAACCGTTGGGTGGGATTCAGTTAGTGAGGCCCCTGCACAGAGACTCCGCACCCCTTCAAACTGGCTTGGGTGGCAGGTGGGAGAACTGGAATGGTTCCTGGGGATCGTTCCATCTGGCAAGCCAAACTGCTTTCCCTGATGGAACGATCAGAAGAGCGCAACCTTGAATTCCTGCCATTAGTTTGATCTGTACTAATCCTGCTAGACTTGGAGTAGCTAACATCATGCTTCTAGATGTTCTAGTTACAGGTAGGTAGCCGTGTTGGTCTGCTGTAGTCGAAACAAAATAAAAAAAATCCTTCCAGTAGCACCTTAGAGACCAACTAAGTTTGTCATTGGTATGAGCTTTCGTGTGCATGCACAGCTGTTGGTATCTGAAGAAGTGTGCATGCACACGAAAGCTCATACCAATAACAAACTTAGTTGGTCTCTAAGGTGCTACTGGAAGGAATTTTCCTATTTTACTTCTAGATGTTAGACTACACAGAGAGCCAGTGTGGTGTAATGGTTAAGAGCGGTAGACTCGTAATCTGGTGAACCGAGTTCGCGTCTCCGCTCCTCCACATGCAGCTGCTGGGTGACCTTGGGCCAGTCACACTTCTTTGAAGTCTCTCAGCCCCACTCACCTCACAGAGTGTTTGTTGTGGGGGAGGAAGGGAAAGGAGAATGTTAGCCGCTTTGAGACTCCTTCGGGTAGTGATAAAGCGGGATATAAAATCCAAACTCTTCTTCTACACTGCCCATCATCCCAGCCCTGTTGGCCATACTAATGGGCTGATGGATATTGTAGACTTTCACATGGAGGGCAGTTGGCTACTCATAGTTTGTTTTCACCAGCTCAACAGCGCCATCTCTGTGTAAGTTGTGGGTGTCAGAGATGGTGACATTTTAGTAGCTACTCCATCTAAGGAGCATGCTAATTAATCTCCAACTTTTATGGGCAAGAGAACGCCATCAGTATTCCATAGCTTCTTTGTCTGTTAGTACCCATTGGGTCAAATTGCTAGTGAATAAGAAAGATCAGGATATTTAAAAGCAGGTTTACACCCAGACCCTTGATGGAGTCACAGTGGTCCAGCAGCTGCAAATTGCATTGAAATCACCAGTCTTGCATTGTGGTCATTGCTGAACATGGAGGAGGGGTACTTCACTTTTAGTGTCATTTAAGCTGTTTCATGGGACGCGGGTGGCACTGTGGGTAAAACCTCAGCGCCTAGAACTTGCCGATCGTATGGTCGGCGGTTCGAATCCCCGCGGTGGGGTGTGCTCCTGTCGTTCGGTCCCAGCGCCTGCCAACCTAGCAGTTCGAAAGCACCCCCGGGTGCAAGTAGATAAATAGGGACCGCTTACCAGCGGGAAGGTAAACAGCGTTCCATGTGCTGTGCTGGCTCGCCAGATGCAGCTTGTCACGCTGGCCACTTGACCCAGAAGTGTCTGCGGACAGCGCTGGCTCCTGGCCTATAGTGTGAGATGAGCGCACAACCCTAGAGTCTGGCAAGACTGGCCCGTATGGGCAGGGGTACCTTTACCTTTACCTTAAGCTGTTTCATAGGCTTCCTAATAGACTGCTGTTCTACGACAGGAGATAACAGTGTTCGAACTTTCAACTGGAAATATTTCTTGTGCTTTAAGGAATAGCAGTATTTAACAAGAACTTTTATTTTTAAAGCTGGCAGCACGGGCAGCTGAAAGGCACCTCAGTGATATAAGAGAAGAAAATGCATACAGTAGACAAAAGTAAGCATTAAAATGTACATACTGAAGAACTTGATTTTGTTGACGTACTGTTGTCACTGAATAATGTGCCGTCGTTCAGTTACTATGTGACACCAGTGATCAGTTATGTGGGTTTTCTGGAAAAATAAAAAACGATACATATGCGCAGGCTGATGTGTGTCATCAGCGTATTACAATGGACGCTCAGGTTGTGAATGTGATCTGTACGGGAGGCACTTTCGCAACCCGCAGCACCGCGTCTGCGCATGCACAGGTCGCGATTTGTCGCTTACGCGCAATGTGTGATTTAGTGTTTCTGCGCATGCGCAAGCGCTGCAACCCAGAAGTAACCGGTACTTCCAGATTTGGTGCGGTGCGCAACCCACAAATGCGCAGCCAGAAGCATCTGTAACCCGAGGTATGACTGTACTGACAATGTACTCCAAAACTCTGGATTTAACTTTCTGATTTAACAATTAATGCCTGTAATCTATTTCATTAACTGATTTTTACCTTTTTCATCAGTTGAAAAGTTGAGTTCTAGAAAAAAATAGGGAAGAAGTTAGTTTATTAACATGTTCTTCTTTCCTTTAGATTAACAGAAGCAGAATTTAAATTTGATCGTTTGGAAAAGGATCCTTATGCTCTTGATATGCCAGTTAGGGCATTTGGCAGAGGTACAGTACTTTTTAAAATGTGCATCTTGTTGAAGTGTAAAGAGATCATGACTCCATTTATGTATGAAAGCATAGCTGGTCTTTATTCATGCAGGGATCATTTTTATTTCTTTGACCTTTAGCAGCAACAGCATATAGTATTTTGATTCCCATTGTAATTTTTGTTCCTATTAACAATCTGTAGAGCATTTGAAAATTATTTCAAATGACTTTTTTTTTTTAAATTCCATGACTGATAATGAAGTCAGGAGGTTGACTTTTCTTTTGTCCCAAATTAGTTTTAAACCTAGGTGAGAAATGAACTATATGTCAGCCCATTAACTCTAACCTGTGAATTTTAGTATTTTGTTTTAACTGTTCCAGAGCACTCCCCATATGGACCCTCACCAATGGGCAGACCTTCATCTGAAACAAGAGCTTTTCTTTCCCCTCCAACCTTATTGGAGGGCCCCTTAAGATTTTCACCTGTGCTTCCAGGTGGTGGAGGAGGAAGAGGTACAATTCTTAAATTTGAAAACTTAACTTTCATGGATTCTCTCTCCTCTTAGTCTATCCCTCCTTTCTTGGTAATGGATCTATCTGTAAAAGTATACTAAAAAGAACCCGGTTAAGAGTAAGCTTAAATTATCCATATAAATGCACTCTAGCATATAGGTCAGGAAGCAGAAGTATACAGTACCATTATGACTCTATGTTCCAAAAACCAGTGTGTTGGATCTAAAAATGCTCTTTTACATGTGAAAGATGTATTCTGCTCATGGAAGGATTCTTAACAGCACCTACTAGTGCTTTTTGTGAATATCATGAAACTATCTATGCGTCCACTAGTGCTGTCCATCCATTTGTGGAACAGTCTATTTCCCCTAGTTTCTGCAGCTCATTACAGTAGATGGGTGCCCAACGCAAAACAAAAACAGAATAAAAGCTTTAAAAAAACACCTACTTTACTCTTAATTTTTTAAACCAACACTGCTCATCCATCTAGCTACTAAAAGTGAAGCCAGTGCCATCTTTCAGATTCAAGAAAGGGAGTTTGAAAGAGTAGGCCTTTTATATCATTGTAGCAAGAATATTTGAGTCTATTTGTATTTTAGGCTGTTGATCTCAACAGAAAAAAACAAAAGAATTTTGTTTTTAACTGATATGTATTGACAGCATGTGGTGAATAATCTCAGGAGCTGTTTCTTTTTGTTCTGGCTTTTGTTGGAGAGGATGGAGGAAATATGTCAATTTGCTGACTTGAAAGTGCAACTATACTCAGATAAATTCAGAGCCAGTACAAGTATAACAAAATAGGTGATAGACCAACATAAATCAGTACTTATGAGCCACAGAGTGAGTCAGACCTTAAAAGCTTCTCAACAGCTTGAATAATTAGAAATGAAAACGCTTTAATGTACAGTAGTTCAAAATATTGCCCTACTGGTTTAAAGCGTGTTTTCTCATTTATTCTTCTAAATGGGGGGAAAATTCTCTAATCTTTTCCAGCTGTCTTCTTACTTTAAATATTAGAGATTTAAGAGAGGGGAGAATGTTGCATTTGATGGGTTTGATCAAATTGCTTGGGGAAGAGGAAGCAGAATTGGGCTCTGAGGGAGGAGGAATCTCTGCCAAGATGTTGCCAACACTGATGAGGTTGATGAAAAGACTTCTAACGTTCTTTTTCCTCCCTTTGCCCAGTGAGAGGAATCAGAATATAATGTAGACTTTGTTTCAGGGTTCCTTCCACCCTCTTTCAAAGCAGCTGTCTCTTAGTATTTACTGTACTTTTGACTGACTGAACAGTTGCACCCCTCCTGGAAAAAGAGCACAAGACTGAAATTCACCAAGGGAGCCATGTGTGTTATTCTACCACCTTTCAATGTGTTGGGATCTCGTGGTTTGGTACTCGTTGAAAACTGCAATGACGGATGTCTCAAGTGACTGAATCCATTGTAACTTGTTCAATTAGGATCAAGAGGACCGGGGAATGCTGGCATGTATGAAGTTAGTAATGAAAGAGGAGAGTTGCATTCTGACAGGTTATCTGATCCCCACAGACCACCTTCTGACACTGGATCTTTGTCACCTCCATGGGATAGAGATCACAGGATAATGCCCCCGCCTCCAGGTAACTAAACACAGCCCATCATTCTTGGACATTTTCTATTTTAATGGCAATTACAAAATGAAATACTGCTGAGCTCCCTTTTGTTTTGAACCGTGCTGTGACCTCTGGAGGGATCATTGCCAGGGCTTTTTAGGTTCAAGTGTTTGATGTTGTACCTAAGGGATAGCAGCATACGTATGATATATATGAGTCTGATAACTGCTTAAAGATTCCAAGACCATATTGTATAGTTGATCGACCTTGATAAATGGGATAGATGTGAGATTTCCATCAGCTACTAGGTTTAGCTAGCTATCGCCCCATGTCCTTTAGTTTGCATATTCCATAACACAAGGAATAGAAGATATAAGTTGTTGATAAGCCATCTAATAAAATCTACTGAATAAATTGCACTTTTTTATTGAATGGTAGGTCAGCTGTATAATGAGCAATCTCTTCCTCGAAGACCAGAAAGATTTTATCCCAGTCATCCCAACTCAGGAAGACTTTCGGGACCAGCAGAACTAAGAAGTTATAGCATGCCTTCATTTGATAAAGCAGGTAGGAACTGCTTTCTTTTAGTGCCCAAATAAAGGAGTTCATTACCAAATTTGGCTGCAGCAGTAAATAATCCTTTTCTGCTCAGAACTAAACCCCAAAGAGCTTGAAATCCAAAACACTCAGAGCACTTTCTGTTCTCTTGTTCGTAGCATATCAAAGAATGCCAGTAATGACTTTGGTATTTTGAAATTAATGTTCTTTGCTGTTTGTAATACCAAGCAGTAATCCATGTTTGTGATACAAAAAAAAAAAAAAAGAGGCAGCAATAAAGTTTAAGAAACTTCTGCACTTTCTCTGTGTTAACTGGACTGCTATGCTTTGCTTACCATAAGTCACATCATTCCTTTATCTCCATTCAGCATCTGTGGTCACATGTGGGAAGGAATAACCTGAATTCATGCTGAAAGCAAAAAGCCTTTCATCTAAGACATTTGACCCAAGATCAGTAAAACATTGATTTAGACTTTGAAACAGACCTTGTTCTCTACAACCAGCACAGCGTTTAAACAATGCCTTTGGTGTTTACACACTGGTTGTTTTGAAAAGATAAATTTTCTTCCCTGAAATGATCGTCTAGTAAATCTATACAGCAGCCTTGTCATTTATTTAACTTCAGTAGGAAAAACAATAGTTCAAACTGGTTGTGAGCGGGAATGGCACTATTTGTTTTGTTTTTTGAAGGGCACAAAAGTATCAATACAGTCAACACCTCTGTTTAGTAAATGTGCAAAAACATACATTTCCACACCCATCTGTTCTTTGGAGGAAAGCTGTTTTGGGACTACTTAATGCTAAAGTGCTTGTTGGCTATTTCCCCCCACTTCCAGATGGACAAGCATCTGAGAATAACTCAGGAACAGACTTAAGTGGAAATGGAATAAGAGATCATCCCAATGACAGTGTAAGTAACAGACAAAAGACTGAGAAGATCAATTTCATTTGGTGCGAAAAAGGTTTGCCAAGTTTCTGCTGAATTTGACAGTTCTTTAAATTGATTTTACACAGTATGTATTTTGCTACAGCATTATTTATTACCTTGTGGGCATTTTCAATTACTGAAGACATGTTAGCTAAAATAATAGTTTCACGACTGAATTTATTTACAACCTGCAAGAGCAAGAAAGATGAAAGGACCGAAAAGAAAGGTAGTTGGAAATGAGTGGACTAGCTTTTCAGCACAGGGGTGATGTTATGTCTTGCTTTAATGAACTTCCTACTTGTAGCCTTTGAGTTTGGCTCCATCTCAGTCCTGTTAGCCCACATTCCTGATTTGGATTGGGCTTCTGCTTTGATCTGCCCTCTTTGGAGCTTGTAAATCATAGCTTCTTTTCGGGCTTACGTGCTTTGACAAGTTTCTCAGTGGCTTGAAAAAGTGGCACGAGCTTCTTTCTAAATCTTAACTTGCCCACTTCCCTTTCCTCACAGAATACACTCAATGCCTCGGATCAGTCTCATGCACCTGACAATGGAGGCTTTGGGCCTGGAATTGTGCCGCCCCCACTGCCCTTACTGCGAGCTCCTCTAATGCCAATGGACCCAAGAGGGCCTTTCATGAGAAGAGGCCCTCCCTTTCCACCAGTGCCTCCTAGTGGATATGGACCTCGAGAATATTTCCCAAGGGATTTTGCTGGTCTGCCACGTCCTCTTCTGCCAAGTATGTTCTTGCTGCTCTTACATTATTTTCCCCCTAAAATAAATAATGAAATGCATTTCACGGGGAAACGTTTGGAAACCGCAATAACTTGAGGCACAACCCAGGAAACATGAATTGCACCCAAGTTCCACTGAAATGAATGGGCTTAAGTTAGTCGATAGAGCAAACCTGCTCCCAGTGTCTCTGTTCCCATCAGCTTCATGGAGTGGGAAGGTAGGAAGGAGGACTCTTCACATAGACTCCTCCATGTGGACGGGAATCTCCTGCAATCAGCTGAGTACATGAAGATTCCCCCTCCAGACCTTCTCACTCAGTGTGTAAGTTCTGCAGCTAGTAGTGGGAGAAGAGGCTAGCATGTGCAGCTCTGGTCCTCTATATACCTGGAAGGCATCAGGTCCAGGAAATCTCTTCTTTATGTTGGAGATGAATGCCTGAACGGGTCTTGCTAACTTGCTGATGGTGCTCAATAACTTTTAATGGACATTTTCCCAAGTTCAAAGCTGTGTTAAGGGAATTAATAACTACTTTTAGTGGAAGATATGATTAAACTTTACCTCGTAAGCTATTGTTAGAAAACCTAACAAGCCTTTCTCAGCGGCTGCACCCAGGTTTTAAAATACCTTACCCGGTGAGGCCCGTTTGGGCCCTCTTAACTGCTTTGTGATGATTGATTAAAACATTGTGTTGAAACAACAACCAGTTTTATTATATGGTTGCTGCTGGACAAATTATTTCTATAAGGTAGACTTTCATTTTAGAATGCTCTTAGCATCTGAGTCGGTTTTCATTCCCGGTTAATTGTAAACCACTCTGAATGATGCAGATGTGTTAGAAGGGCAGGATAAATAAATTTGGAAATTCTCTGCTCCAAGTGCTACTCTACATCTCTTGTCAGATGAAGAGACCAGTGCTAGCGTAATCTTCCACAGCAAAGGGGCCCGTGAGTTAGGCAGTCTAGATGCCATAGCTTCCCTTATGAAGTTGGCCATGGCAAGATAGTCGTTGAACCTCACATCACATAGCAGCATTTCCTTTATACAACAGGACTTCCCCCTCTTTTTCTCCTCCTGCAGCTCCCTTCCCTGAGTTCCCTCAGTGCTCCAAAGCAGGTGTTGGGCACATGTGGGGCCTGCAGAGGTGAGGAGAATCCTGTTGTACAAGGAAAATTTCTGTCCCACTTGCACATGGACGCTCCTGGATACCTCAATGGGCATTATTGAAGTATTACCGGTAACTATTAACATTTGCTGCCCCTTCACCATGGAAGGCAAACATCTTCCATGGTTATATAGGCATCTTGAACTTGTATTGTTGAGAAGCTTTCTAATGTCTTCCTTTATTCTTGCTTATGGGTTACAGCTACTGTTGATTTTAATGTGTGTGCTTGTGAGTATTCAGTGTCAAATCTGTAAGAAAGTAGCTCCATTCTGAGTACTAATCCAAACGGGCTTTGATCATTCTCTTTCAACAGTGAGAGGTCCATTTCCTGTGAGGCCTTATTCTCAATACCCGCCTCCAAGGGCTGGGTTTTTTCCACCACTGCCACCTGAGAGCAGAAATGAAATGCCTGCTGAGTTAACACATCCGTCAACTGCATCTTCTGCAACTCCTCAAGAATCACAACAAGAGACTTGACTCTATTTTGAACTAGCGCTATTCTTTTCCTCTCAACTCGGTAATTTGCTGTTAAGTAGCTATTGTTACTTAACTGACTGTATTATTGCTCAAATTGAAGCTTAATAGAATAATTCTCAGGAGAGTGCCCTGTAAATAATGGTCTAACTGTGAATAAATGGATTTTCATTGTACAGCAGTAACTAAATTATTTTTAATTTGCATATCTAGGAGATGTAAAAATTTGTACCATGTAAGAACTCTCCTGTTGTTTTGGTCTCATAGAAAATAATTGCATGTGAAGAGAATACTTGTAACAAAAGACAATGTGAAAAAAATTAAATGGATTTAATAATTTTTGGTATTTTGACTCTTCAATGAAACAAGTATCTCTGCTTTTTTGTTTTCTAAGGGTAGAGCACATGGGTTTAGAACAGGGTTTCCCAAACTTGGGTCTCCAGCTGTTTTTGGACTAGAGTTCCCATCATCCCGGACTACTAGTCCTGCTAGCTAGGGATGATGGGAGTTGTAGGCCAAAAACAGCTGGAGACCAAAGTTTGGGAGACCCTGCTTTAGAAGTTATACCTCTTACAATAGCCACTGCTATTGGTCTGAATTCAGTGTTATTAGTTAGGGAGGTGGCCTGTTATAGATGGGGTTGCACTCACCTGGGAAAAGCAGGTCTGTCCTTTGAGCAGGGGTGGCAGTGCTCCTGGATCCAGCACTGTCACTGAAGATTCAGATAGATTTGGTGGTTAAGAGGAGTGCCTTTTTCCAGCTTCAGCTGGTTTGCCAGTTAAGACCCTTTGAGAGAGATTACTTGGCCACTACTCCATCCTCTGGTCTCTTCCAGATCAGATTATTGCAACATGATGCTATGTTCTACAAAAGCTGCCCTGGTTGCTAGCTTCTAGGCCCAATTCAAGGTGCCCACATTAGTGCAGAGGGAAGTGAGGGGCAGATAGGGCTCATCAACCTGCGAGGGTAAACACTGACCCTAATCTTCTTCTGCCTTGTGTGACATCTTTGGGTGAAGAAAAGGCTAAGAAGTAAACCCTACACAAATCCAGATGGTTGGATGGCGTCTTGTATGCCTCCTTCCATCAACTTGTGCAGCCATGTTAGGGCCCAACCTATTTCTGTTTTTTTGGACCACATCAGCAAAGCCAAAGGGGGGGTCTTGTCGCTTGTCGCTGCTAATGCTGTGATTTGACTTCACCCCTTGGAACTGCACTCATTGTTGAGAGACGGATGGATGCCAATATCATTAGTGTTTAAAGTCTTAAACTATTTGGGTCCCAAATACCTGAAAGACTGCCCTACAGACCCCTTGCATGAGGGGGTCCTCCTGGTAGCATTGTTTGGCAGGTGGCAGCCCGTTTCCTGTGGAATTCCCTCCCCAGAGAGGTGCATGTAGTACCTTCATTTCCTATATGCTGAAGATGCACCTGGGTATGTTGATCTTTTGACACCCAAGATATGTATGTAATGATCCATCCTATTCTGATTATAAATTGTTTCAATATTGAATCTATCCTGGAACCTTTGGGTCATTTCATACTTTTAGAGTTCTCTTCAGTATGAGGTTCAAGTGGCTCTGTCTGTCTTGCCTTTTAAATGGACACTGAAGACATTGTGTTTTGTTGAAAGGCTGGTGTATACTGAAGTCTTAATTGCTGTTTTTCGTTTTTCGTCCACTATTTGAAAGATTAGATAGTACTCAACACTAGTTCTACTCTCACTGAAGTTAATGGACATGCTTAACTTAATTAATGAACTCAAGTAGGATTTGACTGAATACAACTCTTTGCGAGGTGCCTTGCATTCAATATGATCTCACAATTTGACTTTCCCTCCCCTCATCCACATGTTACAAGTGCACCTGCCTCAGACACCACAGCTTGTTAACAGCTTTAGTGGGGTTTTTCCTGTGTTGCACCAAAAGCAGGCTATTAGAACATCTTTGTTTCAACTTGTGCATTTCCATACTTTTCTGCAAGTTATGTAGGCTTAGGGACCATTCATTAACCATTAAGAATGAAAAACTTCAAGGGAAGCTGGTTCTGCCAGTTGCCAATACAGGTAAGTGCTAATTTACTTGTAACATCATGATCTACCTATGCCATGTGGCCCACAAGTCAAACTTTTTGAAGGGTTAGCTACACATTACACATGCATAGCTGAGGTCACAAAGCAAAGAAAAGCTGCTTTAGAAGGCAGGGGAATTTAAGTGTGCAGAAGCAGCTGGAAGTGGCTGATTGCCCATTCCTAGTCACTCCAAGTAGGTTTTCCTTCTCAGAGTTCAAAGAAAGGATCCAGGTTTCAGATCCATGTGTTTGCTTGTAACTGTTAGCCCCATAGTTAAATTGATCTCACAAGAGCAGTTAATTGTGTGGTTTACTCTTGTACTGTTAATCAAGGGTATGTACAAACACTTAGCTTTTGCTGGATTGTATCCTAGGTGCAGGGGTTGCAAACCTGTGGCTCATCAGTTATTGAACTACAACTCCCATCAGTCCCACCCAGGATGCCTGCACCATGTTCAGGGTTGATGGCAGTTGTTATGGGAAGATACCACATTAGCCACCCCTGTATGTGTGTTGTGTTGAACTGTATAACATGAAGGAACTAGTAAATTTCAAGGGGGGAAATGTAATTTTATCACACAGAACAAGCTGCTGTTTGTCCATCTACCATATAGTCACCCAGAAAGTACAGCGATAAGAATAAATAGATAACATGTAAAGCCAAAGGCATGGTAAGTGTTCACAGTCTATTTAATAGTGGGACATGGATATAAGTACTACACAGTTGTTGCTGTTTTAGAACACATTCAATTTTGATATAAGCATTTGCTACGGGAGGGATTTGGGCTTTCCATATTCTACACTTTTAAAGATTTATTCTGCCAGTTTAAGCAAACAATATCAAATTATGATATTCTACTTAGCTTGGTTTCCTAAAAAAAAATGTTCATAAAGCATTAGCCAAATAAATGTCTGACTTACTTCAGAACTCAAGGCTTTCTGGATTTAAACAGTGGAAACAAGCAAGATAGTTTTCAACGAAAAGTGTGATTTGTTCAGTGCTAAAACTACCATGCTGATATAATAAAATATTTTTCCATGATCAATTTTAATGCTTTATTCATTGATTAAAAGAATATACATTTAACATAAACCATACAACATCAGTCATCAAGTCAAACACTCAGCTGGTTTCCTTACAATTTCTGTCAGGAGTTACTTTAGTCTGATCACATTTATAAGATAAAATCTCACCACATCTGGCATTCACACACACTGTGCCAGTGGATTCACTCTACTGATGTACATATAAAATCCGCATGGTATGTGCTCACTGGAGACAAAACAGCGCACACCTGTCAAAAGGTCATTTTAATATAAGATGGTAAAACCATTTGTAAAACACATATAAACTTTTCCATAAATAGAATCATATCTGGACATCTGTTGCATAAATTGTGTTTTCCAAAGCTTACAATATGGCAGCCAGGTCTCAGCACTGCTGGGCACCCACGTTGGCCACTTAACTTTATTATTGCAGACTGTCCTTTAACATTAAATGCACAACATTCGTACCACTTAAAACTTGGGTCAGGTGGAAGTCTCACAGAGACCACGTCTGTACCGCGGTTGCCCTGAAACAGTTTAAATCGGCTTTTAAAGCCTCTCAGATATAACAAGATTTTAAAACATACTTCATGGAATGTTCTTCATGCATCATAGCAGCTCATACCTGTGATAGAACAAGGTTTGTATTATCTGTTTTCCTTTCTTTCCTTTACATTCACTATTCACAGTGAAACAGGTGCATGTTTAAGAGTTCTGAGGTTGCTGACTGAGCCACAGCACAGCTGTGTACCACAGGTCGAAATTCGACCTTATATATTACAATCTAGCAGTATCTGGCTGGCCAAAAATTGGCCTGCCCCTGCCAGCATGTGGGCACTTCTTCGTTTTAAATCTATTCTTTGGCAGCTGACACAGGCGCTGACAGAGAAAATCCAGTGACTTAGTTGCTAGGGATTTCACGACTAATGTTTGTTTGCAAGCAAAGTAGACTTAAATTTCTATCTTTAAATCATTATGGTTTTACCCCATCGGAGTGTAGAGACTTGACGTTTCTTTTTAAATCTGGGCCCAAAGCTAACTTGTACGGAGAAGCTGACAGACCACAAGAAAAAGAAGCTACAATTAATTTACAATGAAACTACGATTGATAGCTTTCAGAGTCAGGTAAGCATCTGAAGAAGCTATACTGTGCAAGAGACAACTGCTTCATATTTAAGGAGGAGATTGCAGAGTGGCAATATTTCATGCTCCAGATATTGTACATGAAATCAAAGCAAAGGTTTACAGTAAATGGTATTGGATAGTCCTGATTTTTCTCTCTTTAAAAAAAAAAAAAAGCTTTAAGTAGCATGCTACTAGTTTACATGACAATGACTGCATTCAAAACCACTGGGCTATGGATAGTAAAAAGATTTTTGGCTCCTGAGCACAAAAACTCCGACAATAGTAAAATCAGTGAAGTTGCAGAGTTACTCAGTACAAAAAGAAAGTTAGCCGGCAACCTCAGACAACCTTCAGCCACATCTGAGTTTTGCTTTTTTTTTTTTTTGTAGACAAGTCCATTAACCGTGAAAGCCCTAAACGTTGCCACTTTCAGCTTCTAAACCAATACCCGACTACGTTCTTTGATCAAGAAGTAGAATATACATATATAATTCTATATAGCTAATACTGATTAAACACAGCACAAGAGGGGTTAATTCACACTACTGAAAAACATAATAGGACCCTACTTGCATATGTAACCACAGGAACTGTAAATAAAGAGAACTAAATGCCTTCACTGAAGCTTTGCATTTCTCTGTAAAAATGACGAGTTGGCTCAGTAAAGACACTGAGTAATTCTATGTCCATGACTGCGTGCCAAGGTCGGCCCAATCCAAGGGATACCTGCTCAATGAGATTGTGCACCGGATCCACATCCTGATCGGCCAATTCACCTTGGTCAAAATCAATGCTTTCTTCTGTGACTTCAAGAACTTTCAAATCAGAGCCACGAAGACGAGCAATGGCAATCAGGTTGTGAGCCCAAACAGTATAACCTGAAACACAAAAAAGCAATTACTAATTTTTAGGACTTTGTCTTTCTTCCCTCTCCCTCCCCACCCTACCCCAAAGGTAATTTAATATTTTACAGTCTCAAAGCTAACGTCTCCCTATTTAGCAATTTTCCTAATGAGGTTCTTTTCAAGAAATCACCCCAGTAATTGGTCAGTTTACTTACTCGTTAATTAAAAAAGTGAATATTGCTGCTGCTTCTTTTTGTATTTAATTTTTGCGGAGCTGCCTGTTTTTCCCTTCCCCAATAATTCCGGGCAGATGAGTAAGGAAATGTCTCATGGGATTTCTTGGTAGTTTTGCAGCATGATATGTATGTAGCATAAAGGCTCGTGTTAAAGGAGCCAATAATCGTAAAATATGTTGGGTGAAGCCGTCTAAAGTAAGGACAATCCAACAGTGCAGGAAGTTATTTTCCTATCAATTAAGGGTTGTTGGGTTGTTGTTTTTTGGCAACTGTGAGTCTTGTGTTCTGAAGGCAGTAACAGTTTCCCACCATATAATCATGTTGATATGCACAGCGTATCCTAGCCTGAAGCCAGAGCACAATTTATTCCCTGCCCCAACACCCAATACTTTGGGAATTCTCCCAAAACCTGGAGAAAAATACTTAAGTGGGAAATCTCAAGGGCATACCCATACCCATATGAATGTGTAGGTTTCTAAACTAGCAGTGTTTTGCCCCTCTGTAATTGCCTACCATGCACTGCCAGAAGAGAGAGCCTTGTGCACCTCCAGGCCAATAAAACCAATGGGTCTTCGGTTCGGTTGTCGCTGAGATCTGGGAAGCCAGACATATCGATCACATCATTCATTAGTATGAAATGAGTGAGAAACTTATCATACTGCCTAGATATGAGATCAACAACAGCTCCTGAAACGCAAGTGATGTAGCTGTCGAAGTGAATCCTCTCCAGTGGGATACTGGGTTTAAGAATCCTTAGCATGTCATCGCTCTTGATATCAAAAGCCATTATATAGACCCGAAGATTAGTGCTGTTGCGTGTCAGTGCCTTCCAATCTTCGTCTTCTGGCATATTTTCCAGGGACTTGTGCATTACGGAAATATTGTGGACCAGAAGAGACAGTCGATGCAAAGGCACATGGTTACTATCAGCCAGGACTCTTGCCATTTCTGCTGTAAAATCACAGAAATCCAAGGCGAGTGAGCGAAGACTGACAAAACGCTCCAATTCAACCGCAGTGATAAGAGTGGTATTACCAGGGATGTGGTTGTCCAGTAAACTCAGGTGTTCCATAGTGTTGGCAATAGGATTTGAGAGAGATGACAACGATGTGGGTGTTACGATTTGTAGCATAAACCCGCATGACAGCCATTTCAGTTGTCTGCTGTTACCCAATATTTCTTCAAACAGCTGCTGTATTCTGCAAGAAGAAACAGACGCAACCGTCTTAATCTTTTATAGTTTAATTTTTTAATTCTGAGCCAAGTTCAATAGACAAAGAAGCAACAAAGCTTTACACCTTTAATGCAAACGGTGTTGCATTAGAAACACACTGGCTGTAGCAGGGGTGGGTGGGGTGGTAGTGAAGGAAAGAAAGAACACACCATTTAAAAATAAGTCTAAAGTTCCAGCAGCAGAATTGCACTTGCTTTTTAAAGTTCTGTTGTCTTCCTTTTTGTTTTAAACAAATATAAAAGAAAATTCATTTTGCCCTTTTGGAACTGTGCATGCTAACTTGTTTTGATTCTCTTCCTCACATTTTGTAACTAGCATATGTGTAGGGTAGCTACCAATTGCTAGAAGTCCTAGAGAGCACAGCGTGGTGGGTTCAATAGTGCTTGTATCTACTCACTGCATCAGCACTTTGCGTATCTCATTCAAATGATACTCCAAAGGGAAAATCAGGACTGATTAATGCTGTATATGCTTGTACATCATTCAGCTTGACACTTGATTTGAAGCCAAATGGCGGAAGTGATATTTGATTATATGAAAGCTCTATCCGTGATGCTTGTTCCACGATAACCATTTCTCACATGCGAGTCATGACTTGGTACCACATTCAGAGTGATGGACATCTGTATGTAACCTATTTATACCGGCTGATGAAAATAATGGGGGGTAGGAAGTAACTTGCATCTTACGCTTATTTTACTTATGCAATTGCAACTTTGGTCGGCGGGGGAAATAAATATCTAACTGGAGAGTGGAGGAAACCCATTCTCCATTCATTTATTTCCCCCCACCCACCTGTGCAAAGCTGTGATCGCTGGTTTTGGAACAGCAGCTCTGGCAGAATCCAAACAACCCTCCATTTTGCCGGGGTGTGTGTGTGTTCCAAAGGGTTCCTGGCTTTATGCATTTTTGCGTAAATGTGTGGACCCCTCACGTAAGATGTGAGTTAACTGTACCAGAAACCTTTCTTCTAATTAGCAAGTACAACTCTGATAACGATGAACATTCTAATCCCACCCTTCCACCAAGGAACTGAGGCCAGTGTACACAGTCCCCACACGTCTCATATTTTACTCCTGAAGTTAATTGTGAGAATAGTCAGGTTAATTGTGTCTGAAGCAGTATGAAAGTTGCTCAGTTTTTTGCAGAATGCACCTGCTTTTAGCAATGTGACATGGATAGCATAAAGTTTATACTGAGAATTGCTAGATGAAAATACTGCTATAGCAGTCCCTGGCACCCCTTCCTGCTTTGCTTAAAATGATTTATCCTAGAATGTGAATTTTGTAGGAGAAAATCTCCCAACTACTGCAAATGGCTTGTTTTTAGAGTAATCATGTTCTGAGAAAAGATGTCCAATTTGCAAAGGAAATTGCAGCAACAAAGAACGATAGACACTGTGAAACCATGAGCCATTATTTTCAGTACTAAATCATCAGAGAAGACAATGGATTATATTCTAAAACAATGCATTTACAACACACACACATCCCATTTCTTTAAACTGCAATACTGTAACAATATATTTTGGACAACTTACTGCTTAATCTTTTTTCCATCTGGATCCACTTTGCTGAGGTGCGTATTTGATATACTTCCATGTTGTTGCAGAATGCTTATATCACCAAAGAGACTTAATTTCTGGAGATTCCTATTTGGAAGGGAAAAGTGTCAAGTCAGAGGCTTTGCATTAGAGGAGCATTTGAAAATAGCTCAAGTTTTTGTGTTATATGAACCGCAATCCACACAGTAACACTATAGCCTTCCAGTACATGAAATCTAGAAACTAGTTGCCCCTTCTAACCAAGGTACATTTGAATGACCAAGCTAAATAGCTTTACAATACATTTAAATTTGTTCAAAACTAGAAAAGAACCCAACATAATTCCGTCACAATATAGTGAATCTTTTTTCTGAATCACAGGATACTAGAAATAATCCTCATGAATATAGACAGCGGTAAGGAAATGGTTATATGTGGACATAACATTGCAGAGGGGCTTGCAAAATATACACCAGAATGAAATCTCCTGTACCTAGGGTCACTCGGTGCAGCTATTTGGGACTTGCCATGCTAGTGACAGAGACTGTATAGAACCTATGATGTAGATGTGCTTTCTTTGCAAGAACCTGCTTATTTTCTTGGCTTTTTTCCACCCAAGAATAAAATGCTTGAATATAAAGGATGGAATGGAAAAGCCATCTAACCAGATTTCCTTCTAGCCCGCCTTCACAGACTGCATCACTCTCCAGGTTATGTGGTTATGTTTTTAGCAGAGTTGCGACATTTTTGGTAAATTCTATATTGCGTGGCTCAGGCATAAACACGATGCCCTGCCTAATATTTACTTAGAAGCTCTTGGATTCTCCCAGGTACAGATTAGATAACTTGCCAGATCTTCACAGAGGACAAAGTAAAAGGCAGCAAACAGCAGCCATTCCCTAGATTATTTTCAGTGAAGCTGACTAATAACAGCTGTTTCCAAGGCCATCATACTTAAAGGTACATACACAACTTATCTGGAGACGAGTTTATAGTTCCATACATAGCCTTTCATTTATTACCTATACTAATGCTTCACTGAAAATCATGTTTAAATATTTCAGGGTGTACACTTTTGCCCCCCATATTATTCTAAATTCTCAATTCTGCTCCAGCCTCCTCTACTTTGGTGTTCTGTAGGCAGCCAAGTAAAACAATTTGCTCACTTTTGCTTCCATAGATGTACAGTATTAAAAAGAAAACTGTTGTATAAACAAGTCTGAAGAAGCATTCACCAACTTGGCACCCTCCTGATGTTTTGCACTACGACATTTGGAGGACATCAGGTTGGTGAAGGCTGGTCTATTAAAAACCATCTACTGCAAGTAGCGCCTGCTACCCACTCAATAGTGGTCTAAAAAACAGTAAAGGAGAGCCAGGTTTCTTCCAATTAACAAAAGCTTGCTTGTCTGGTTGTAGCAACTCATATTCCCATTAAGTGACTACTAGATGAGTGGTTAGCTACAGCCCTGAATTTAAATATTGACTTTTGATCATAAATTCAACCTGAAGCATAAGCACTCTCTGTAGAAAATTAACTATGTTTATGTCAGTTCAAACCTAAGTTTGGCAGGGTGCCACTCAGTTGGTAGCTACTCAGAGTTGTCATAACGTATTGTGCAGAGATCCGAAGACTAGTCACATACAGCAAAGTTCATGCCTCAAATACGTCAATATTTTGAGCGCATCATTTATTGCCAATATGCAAAACACAGAGATTGCTTTCCAAAGGATTTTCTAAAGGGTCAGCTTTCATACCTGATCTATATGCTCCACAATAATGTGAACATTTTAATTAGAAGCAGCAGTGAGCACCCAAGAACATCAAGCAGTATTGCTATTTTTAGCTCTGCAGCCAAAGACTTCTTGCCTCAGGTACCGTAAATTCTAAAAGAACAGCATTGTCATTTGAAAGTTGTGTGTAGTTGCATAAGCTGTACATGCTGCACAGCTGAAAGCCAGGCTAAACCTTATAAGAGGGCTACAGCTGCCACTGCTGTCACTCTCTCTTGTAGCATCATCCAACACATAAAATGCATCACACAAAAAATCACTATGCTAACCCATCTGCCAATGCTGTGAGGCAAAGACCGGGAGATGAGCAACGCAATAGGATGCCATGTGTTGTGTTGGATGCTATAAGGAGGAGTGGTGGTTGCTGCAGGGACAAAGATAGTAAGCCCTCACATACCAATTCACGTGAATAACTAATCAAAATATCTGGGGTCAGTTGCTTACTTTAACAATCTGGCACTATCTATTCTACACACACCTTTAGCACAGTGGGCACTGCTTGCACATCATGACTTGAAGTGTATGTGAACGCATCTGCCCGTGTATGTGAGAAAGAGGGAGACAGAGAGATTAGGTATCACAGCACACACTTCAATCCTATATACATTTACTTGGAAGCAAGTCTCACTTTTAGGGGGGCTTACTCCCAGGAAACTATGCACAGAGGGATCTGAGCCATACTCTGCAGACATGCTATTACATTTCCATTCATTTCATGCACAAGGCTTCCACCAGCCCATCAGCAGCCAGAGCCCAGTCGATCCCACAGCAGCAGCAGCAGCAGCAGCAGCAGCAGCAGCAGCAGTGACAGCTCCTGGCGCCAGGCTAACTTGATGAACTCTGGATCTCCTTCAGTCATGTGTTATCATGAACTGTAATGTCCTAAAAATACACAAGCAATTTAGTAATACCCATTAAACCACTGTGTAAAACACAGCATTTTTCTAATGTATGACATTAGCTCTAGGGTTTATGCACAATTGTTTCCAACCTGCATTAAGATTGCATTTGAGCTTTAGAGCAATTTATGGAATTGCTTGGAGAACCTTGTGTTCCATATTATGTCCCAGATCCTTCAGAAACTATTAATTCTTCCCAGCCTTATTTTATATGCTGCACTCAAGCAAAGCCATTAATTCTCTGTTCAGCAACTAATTTTCAGAAGCCATATTTTCAGTTGAGCAATGGCCGAAAGGCCTGCAGTGTGGGCTCTGCTTGGACCTACATGAGCAAAATTAAAGCGAATGCGCTCTTCAGCATCCTCTTCTCCAGCACAATCTGCGTCAGAAACTTTGGCACTCTATGCACCTTCTATGCACCTTCACTGCTCACTGCTATTTCTTTGTGCTTTGGCTTGTACACAGGAGTTTAGGTGCACAATGAGATAAAGAGGTCTGCCCAAGTTTATTCTGTTTGTAGTGTAGAAGACAAGTGCCTCACCCAGGAAGAAAATGGCTGACTACACCATAAGAGCACATGGTCCTGTCTGAGACATCCTGGTGATCAGGGGCTGTGCAAGGAGCCAGGCAGAAAACCTTTAGAAACTAGATTTATTCACTAGGCCACCATTTGTCTAGCCACACGCTTAACTTTTAAAGTATAGTCCATGCTATACTTCTTAGTCAAACAGAATATAATTTGCTAGATTTATATCACTGCCACCTAGTCCACAACAGAAACACATCTAATGTTATAAAGTGATCTAGTATGTTCAAACTCTGACATTCTGCATTGTGATTTATTTTACTTTTGTGGTTGGAAGAGCCAGATGCAACAACTTGCCTGTGTAGTGTTAGTGCATTGGCAGAGACTAAAAGTAGTCAATGCAACCATTTCAGCTACACATTCATGTGCACTGCGGTTTCTGTGAAATACAGTTTCGGAATACAATACCAAGCTATGAAGCAGAGAGAAAACTAACACCTACTAGCTATCAGAAAGCAGGTACATAGAAGAATATAAAAAGTAAACAAGAGTCTTGCCACAACAGATACTGCTGTGGCAAGACTTTCCACAAAGGCGGGATTGGAAAGATGCCCCAAACCTTTATTAGCGAAACTAACATTTTACTGACATCCAAAATATCTACCAATTAGAGGAATACGTACATGTGTAAAATGTTGCCTAAAAATATTAGCAACCACATCACAGTTCCCTCATGTTCGTAGGTGGAAATCTGTCAAATTTCACTAGTATTATATCAGACAGTGAAGAGGTTTCTCAATAATTTCCCACATACTTAAAAAATTATAACAGTAGAATGATTACTCTTTTTTAACCAGTGTTTTCTTGGGAAGAAAGTTTTTAAAAAGTTTAGGGATCTACTACAAATTATTTAATGGCTTAGGTAATGCCTTAGATAGGAACATTGGGGCGTATCGTTCACCACTCTATCTGCCATAATTGCTGCATTTTCCACCTCCTCAATTATGAACTGTCTTCCACTGAACACGTAGAAGACAAGGAGGAAACTAAGACAGGCTGCTTCCTCCAGCCGGGTGCTGCATTTTCACATCACAGTCCTGACACAGTAGCTGCTCAGAGAGGGCGATGTCCAGGCTCCTAAGTATTGACCAGTTTCAAAATAGGCCTGTACTCTAGAGGCTGTACACTCACGTCAAAAGCATATTTTATAACTGCAATTTCTGAGAATCCCTGGGGATCTCGTTGCAGTTTAATAAAGGCGAAATTAAAAGATTGGCCTCTTTTGCTCTATCGTTATTCAAGCTGTCAAGCAAACATCAATGACAGGGTGCATTTTGCTCTTTTTTTCTGAATTTAAGCTTTCATTTAAAAAAAACAAAGCACCTACCTCTCAAATGCATTAAGTCATTTATGGTAGGGGGAATAGAGTTACTCAGACGTAGCAAACAGGACAGTTGCACTTTATCTGCCCACACTATGCCATGGAGAATTGCACTGTATCATATGAATTTCCAGCTAAGTACAGTATACTGTGCTTTTTGATGTAGCACTGTCCATTTTTAGCAGTGAGCCTTGCTCACGCTGTATGTCATGATGCCACTGCATTATGTGGGTGGCATTGCAGCCAAGAAAGTTATCATGGTGTGAACTGCAAACAGGGATGTTCTCTGAAGGGCTTTGAACAAGATAGTTATAAAAACATTATGAGAAGTCAGAACCATTAGTAAATGTAAATCATGAGTTTGTATTCCCAAACCTGAGAACCACTACATTGTTCTCTCCTACGGAGAATATAGGTTCTTCACTTGAACAGAAGAATTTAGCTTCCTCCCCATGCCACTCCAAAATTCTAATCAGAACACAAACGTTTCAAAGCATGGGACTATATTTCCTTAGTTTCCAGGCTGTTATGTTCTTGATTAGTTACAATAGTCACTTAAAGTTGACTTTTTAGGCTCTGCACTTCAGGCCATTTGTGTTTGACAAAGACATACTGTAGGTTTTGAAGAGATTGTAAATTTTATCACTGCCTGTTATGTAACTGAAGAATAAATGAGACAGTCAGAAGCAACATCAGCCTCGGCCACTGGATCTTCAACCTAAGCATATCTCCTTCATTTCTATTTTTTTCTCTCCAACTGCTTGATGAAGAATATTTTGCTTGCAAACCATTTTGAATAACTAGCTGGTGCAATAAAATATGCCATTTTAAATCATGCTGTGTGAAAAACAAAGCCACCAACTCTCTGATCTCATACAGCGATGACATGGAAATTTCCCACTATTCTGTAAAATACTGAAAATCTCTCCAGAACAAGCAATCTTGCTATGCTGATCAGTAAATGTGCCTCCGGTGTGCCCTTTTTCTTTCAAGAGTTCAATGACAGAAATAAACGCCTTATCTTTCAGAAGCCTATTTGCTGCATAATGCTGAACATGCTAATATGCCGCTTTCTTTCCTAGCTTATTCACCTCCTTTTCAAGCCTATTCATTTTTATTACACAGATGCTCTAACAAGTTAACATTACTACATAATTTATCTCGTACAGGTCAAGAGCAGGCGTATTTCCCCAGAAACCAAATGTGACAAAAGAAGATAACCAACCAGCAGGCATTGCAGATGGAGGAAGAGAAAGTAAAGCAACAGGAAGAACTAGTTTAGTATCTGTATTTCAGACCTTGAAAATATTTGAAACAATTCAAAACAGCACCTTTTCTAGGTGCTATGAAGAAACTAATTATGGAGAACAAATAAAAAAAAATCAGTTTAATACCACTGCACCTGCAACCAAGGAGAAGGAAGAGAAGGCCTCAAAGGATATTATTATTTCAGGGCCTCAAAAGATAAGGCTATTTCATCCTTTGATTTCCTACCCCCCACCCAGTCTTAAGTATGTTTACATGGAAGAAGTTAAGACATACAAGAGCAAGGTCTGATTGCCCACTCTCCAAATCACACACACAATCACTTAGTTATTTCATAGTTTGTGGCAAAGGTTTCACAGGATATAGGGGTGTGCATCAGTTTCAGAAAAATGGTGAAGCCAAGTGGGATGTCTGGGAGGAGGTGTCCAGTACAAAAGCCCCTGGATGTGCTTAGTTTACTATGGATGAGTTGCTATGACTGCAAATTTCACCTACTTCTATCAAAAGGGGGACAAATTAGAGCCATTTGAATTCCCAATCTTGGAAGGGTGGGGGGCAAATGGAACTGATTCACTCTCCTGAGCCAAACTGAGTTGTTTTATAAAGTGCCAAGCTTTGGGATTCAAACCAAATATTATGGTTGGTGCACACTCCTAACAGGAACTAAAAAAGAAGATTCCATGGGGTCTCTAATTATCTGTGGCCTTTTAGAAGTGGGTGGAATATTTAAAATTTTAATCATCCGCTTGCTTTTTATGTATCTATTGGGAGAGTTGGGCTATAAATCGGTTTGAGTTGCCTTGGGCAAGATAAAGTGACTAACAAATTCAATAAATAATAACAACGTATGAGCTTGAGGCTCCATCTCCAACACCAAACAATGGTTTGTTTGTTATATGTGAACTGACCCCACTGTTATAACAGAATTTACTTCAGTAAGACTATTTAAAATTGCAATCTACTAAGGAGAGCCACACATAGAAGCAGGCTTTCCAGAGCAGATTTCTTTGCTGGATGAGGATTGTGCATGCAACAAGGAACTGGATGTTCAGATATTCTTGCTGAATGCCCACATCCATTAATGAAGGCTATGCATTATGGAATGTGAATTGTGTACACAGTGCCCAACTCATATGCAGCACAGATGGAATGTGGATAGGCACCAAACACATGCTATCAGCACTGCAGAGTGGGAAAGATCCTGAGATTTTCCATTCATCCAGGGATGAAATCAAGGCAGCACATCCCCATCCATTACCTGAGACAACAGTACATGATCATTACTCAACATGATCATTACTCAACACTAAACAGAGAATAGTCTTAAAACTCATGATGCCGCTGAAACTAAGCAAGCCTGGCCCTGTAAACTGGGAGGCTGCCCAGGAACCACATGCAATTTGCTCTTTGAGGAGTAGAGCATAAGCGAAATAAAGACAACTTCTTGGGTGCGACACCTTACTTACAGCACAATCCTCCGTATTAATTCCAAAGTGAATTCTACGGTTTTTCCACAGGGCTTATTCAGGGGAACATGTGGTTAGACTTGCAGCTTTAAAGGTTTATTCAGAAGGTGTTGTTGCAGAACAAAGCTGCTGCAACAATTAAGTATTTTCCTCAATAAATTCTGAAAGTTAACCGCGGGGGTAGGGAGAGTTCTGCTTCACTAGGAGAAGGAAAGAGTCAAACGTATTTGCTGGATTTAGTTAATGAACTCTCAGAATGGTTCTGCCAAATGAAACACATTTCCTTCTACTTCTCAAATAAGCGTGCATGTCAGAATTCTGGCAATATTTGAGTCGTGTGCGTTCAACAGCACAGGACCAAAACATACAGTTCAGACACTACTTTTTGCTCACACCCTCGTCTAGCAATCCTTTCTAAAGGATCATGCTCTGGCTTATTACCATAGGAACGAAGTAATATGAAAATGCACATAATGAATCCTGATGCTCTTTTTGTGTAAGGAAAAGCAACTTCAGATGGAGAAAGTCTTGTGCAGAGATGCATTATCAACTATTTTTCATTATCAACTATTTTTTTCTTTCTAACTCACCGCTTGAGCTGCTTTCCCCCTCTGTGGGGTTCCAGGAATAAATTTGTGGTGGTAAATATGCTTCTAGAACATTTATATGCAACACATAGTCTATTCTTTAAGCTACCTGATCATTGACATACTAAGACAGCCTTGTAACTAAGTCCACTGGAGTTAATAGCCTGTAAAGTAAAACCACTAGCCTGCTAAAAAGCTAGTAGGCTGTGTTGTTATGCTGCTCAGAGGAATAAAAGCCTCTTCCCCAGTGGTGAGAACAGAAATGAAGTGGGTTGGTGGTGCCTGGACACAGCAATCCATCCCTCCTTAGCCAGACAACTAATTAGCCGCATGGAATTCCTTGTTGCCTATGGTCACAAGGCAGGTTGTTAAGATACAAGGCTGACATAGAAGCTTTGCATGTTTGCTGGTCCTTTCAATGGGGTTGTTTACATAAACACTTTAAGGAAACAGGAGTGCCTCTGCAATCTCAACCAGCTGCAGTTAGAATTACTGGGGTCAACTTCTATAGAATTATTATTTTGCCTAGCTGGTAAAGAAATAAGGCTACATAAATAGAACTGGAGAAATGTTTTATGCAAGCATGGCCTCAACTGGTAAGCAACAGGGATGTTCAAAAGGAAAACCAGCAGACAGTATGCAGGATCAGCCACAAGATACAAATAGCCCTTGCAATGCCATCATCTTTACACTCTTCAGATTCTGCAGGATTGAATAAGAAAGCCCATGAAGTCATCTATGTACCATGATTAGCTAACAGAGTGAAAGGGAGGGTAAGTCCTATAAGAAACTGCTGAGGCCCAAATTCCCTACAGCTTTAATAGGCTGCTAGCTTGAGAGGGGCTCATCGAGCCTGCCACACCCTTGTTGCAGACCTAGCACTTCATCAGTCTAATGGTTTCCTATTAATTTGTCCAGGCCTGCTGATAGTGATGCTGGTTAGAGTTGGGCCTTAGTGTTGCTGTTTTTATAATAGGTGCATGATTTTATTTTGTTTTGTTTTTTATATAACCATATATCCTGCAGTGTGTGCTGTATTGTAAGCCTCTCTTCTAGATGACGGACAGGGTATCAGCTCAAAGAAAGGACTTTGCTGCTCTCTCTTTCTGGTTCTTGGCTTGTTACTTTTCATGCAGATTACCTCCTTCCCTGAAGCAAGCAGCTGCCTTTTCCACAGGTGAGTGTAAGAGTGTCAATCATTGTCTCCAAGTCTAACCTACATCACATGGGTGCTGTGAGGATAAAATAGGGAGAGGAAGAACCATGTGTGTTACACTGAGCTCCTTGGGAGCAAGGTGGGATTTAAATAAATGTAATAAATATGCAAAAATAAAAAGTGACAGAAAGGCCCCACAGCGGGTCACCTAGTGAGCTCACAGATGAGGTGAAATATGAACTGCAATTTCCTGGCTGCCATGAAAGTGAACTGCAATTTCCTGGCTCACAGCACACATACTTGAGTGTTTCAGTATCCACATGACAAAAGCTGGTCACTGTAGCACCCAACAGAGTGAGACGGAATTTGGAAATCTCTGAAAAAAATGGCCACAAATCTGATCTTGGCTGCTTCAGATCTTATCACATCTTTTCATTGACATATGGTTGCTGTACCAGTTGCAGCAGTTTAATTTTCTGAGATGTGTGATGTGAACAGGATTTTCTTACTGCAAATCACTTAAGATGTGCAAACTATAGTCTATTCTATTGTGCAGAACTGGCTGTAGGAAAGAGTGATGAGCACAGCATGGACAACTGCACAATCTTTTCTTGAAAAGGACATTTCATTCTGTATTGGAGCAGAGAGAAACAAGAGTAACACAAAAGGAAACAAAAGGAAACAAACAGCTCTGGAAGATTACTGATCAACTTAGATTTCTTCATTATATGACCTTGACAGAATGGGAATTTTGGAAATCTTGAGGAAGAATGCAGAGCTAAAGGCTTACAAATGCAAAATATGTTTATGCTATTTTTGTGATATACAAATGACATGAAAAACTTGGTATACTTATTTGTAAAACATTCTTGTTTATAAAACCCAATTAAAAATGCAAAATATGTAACTAACTGTGACACCTTTGTTGTATGACAACAAACACTAGAGTCACTGGAAAGGAAAAGATATCACTTTGGATCAGCTGGTATTGCTGTATTGCTCCCTTTAAAAAAGAAGAAAATGTTCTTTAACTGGTTTCCCAATTATGTAACAGCCTATAGCAGAGCAAATTATTAATGTGCCCTGCTGCTGGCTTCAGAATAGTACACTAACAGTAGGTGTTCTAGAATGGACACCACAAAGCCACTGTCTCCCATTTTGAAGGATTTAGGCACTAAAGAAGTGACATGTTAGCTGACGAATGGTTAGTGTTTCTATCAGTCAAGAAACCAAAAGCAACTGTCAGGTTTTCCTAGCAGCTTATGACAAAAAGTATTATGAGCCCATCAAAACAGGGGGCACAGGGCAAATAACAACTGTCTCAACAGCTCCCTGTTTTTGGTGACAGCCCAGGGAAGGTACTTGACGTGCGGAAGGTAGCAAAGCTACCTATCCAGAAACACTCCTCTCCACAAGGATCCCCCCCCCAACCGCAGCACTTTTGGGTGGCGACGTGCAGACGTGTGTTCCTTCATGTGATGTTCCCTTAGAGTTGCTCCAGAATGGCTCCTTCCTCGCCGCTCACACATCCCTCCCCCCGCCCTCCCGGCGCGCACAGCAGGAGTAAGGTATCTTTAAGGGGATGCGTGACAATCGGGAATTCAACAGGTGCAGCTTCCCCCACCCAGTAATAACTCAATCGACTGAACTTCAGGCAGATGTTAGAAAGCACATGAACCTTTGAAAGAGAGAGAGCGCTCCTGCTTCCCAGCTACCTAGCTGGGAAGCAGAAGGCTTTGCAACTCTCCCTCCCGCTTGGCGTGTGTTTGCATTGGTGTTAGTACGTGTGCGTGTGCGTGTGTGTGTGTGTGTGAATGTTAGTTAACGCTGGCTGGCCTCCCACCACGCCGTCCTACCTGTTGTTGCGGACGCTGCTCAGCACGCAGAGTACGAGCTCCAGGTAGGTCCTCAGCAGCTCCAGCCAGCGAGGGCAGAGCTGCGCTTCTCCCTCCGCCGCGGCCGCCGCGGCTGCCGCTTCCTCGCACACCCCGCTGGCGCCTCCTCCTCCTCCTCCTCCTCCTCCGGCTCCTGCTCCGCCGCCGCCTCCGGCTCCTCCGCTGGGGTAGTTGTCGGCGGCGAACTGGACGCGGAGCTCGCGCACGAACCAGCCGCACTTGCGCATGAGGAAGTCGAGGCGCGGGCGCTCGGCCGGGCAGACGCGCAGGCTGAGGCGCAGCCGGGGCCACAGGGCCGGGTAGAAGAGGCACTCTCGCCAGTGCGAGCAGGCGGCCGAGGCCCGGAGCCGGTCCGGGGCGGCCAGGAACGAGAAGATGTGGACCACCAGCTCGCTGGGCAGGGAGCCGGCGCCCACCGGCCCCCCACACACCGACGACATGGCCGGCCCAGCCGCCGGCGGCCGCAGCCCCGAGCCCGGCCTCGGCCTCCCCTCCGGCTCCTGCGACAGAAACAACAACATCAATGACAAGGCGGAGGGAGGCGGGGCGGGACCGGACGGGACTCTGCTGCTGCTGCTGCTGCCGCCGCTGCCGCCGCCGCCGGAGCCAACCACTGCTCGCAGCCGCAGGGGGAGGGCGAGATGTACCATTGGGCTCCCGGGTTGGGTTGTCGGGGCGGGATGGAACGCACCAACGCGCCGAGAGGGAGGGAGAGGCGGAGGCGGAGCGTACCAAAGTGCGCTCAGCCGGCGGGGGTGGCGGGGAACTGTTGCTCTCATGACTCAGCGCGCGGAGAAGGGCTGGCGTGGCTGATGGATGCCACCTAACGAAAGTTTCGCGGAGGAGGGGGAGCGCGGCGCGATAGCCGACCTGGATTTTTCCTTTGCAAGGCCGCGGGGACGCTTAGAAGAACAACGGGAGGCGCTGCCGCCTAGGCGCGCCTGCACAAAGTCCTCCGCTCGGCGTGGAAGACGCCCGGTGTTTCTGCATCTTTCCAAAATTCGAACATCGCTGTACTGTTAAAATGAAGCAGTTTATTCCAGGATAATTTTAAGGGCTGGAATAGGCAAGCACCGGCGCCTGATGAACGAACCTGCCATTATTACCACCTAAGTGGAGTTTATTTTTATTTTTTTCCTTGGCAGATAAGAGCAGAGGGGAAATATTCTCCCTGTCCTCTTTCATTTGTATCAGAGGCATGAGCATGACTAGTGTGCAAAATAACAATTTTGTTTACAGTTCTGGTACTGACCTTCAAAGCCCTAAATGGCCTTACCTTGTATATACAAAGGAGTGTCTCCATCTGGACACTGAGGTCCAGCTCCGAGGGCCGCCTGATGGTTCCCTCACTGTGAGAAGTTACAGGGAATCAGGCAGGGGGTGTTTTCGGTAGTGGTGCCCTCCCATCAGATGTCAAGGAAATAAAGAACTATTTGACTTTTAGATGACATCTGAAGGCAGCCCTGTTTAGGGAAGTTTTAATGTTGATGTTTTGTTGTGTTTTTGGATCTGCCCACAGTGGCTGGGGCAACCTAGTCAGATGGGCAGCATGTAATTCTACCGCTTTGTGGTCAGAAAGGTGAACAGAGTGCTCTTAGAGATGGAAGGAACCAAAGGCCACTTTGGCAGCCATTAGCTGATGAGCAGGACCATTTCCTGGCCATCTTCCCACAGAATATAAATCACGCATCCTCTCACACAATCTGTGACTCTCCAATGTTATTGGACTTTCAACTCCCATCATCTCCAGTCAGCATGACAAATGGTCAGGCATGATGAGGGTTACAACCCAGGAATGTCTGTGTCTCGGGTTCTTCCACTCCTACTCTTACATAACACCATGATCTTGGGCAGAAAACCCTAGCACACCACTAGCAGTATCATTTGTCAGCTGCCAGTTCCCAAAATCCTGTCACTTTCTTTTGTGACCAAGAAATAAACCAGGCTGCCAACGTGCAATTGAAAGAACACAGCGATGCAGGGGGTCACCAGGAGCATGGAAGAGAGGAAGGGATTTCAGCTCAGTGGTATTCCCAAGTGACTCCTTAACTTTCTCCCATATAAATGAATAGTTGCCATTCATTCCCTGTGTAGAAAAAGGAACTGTTGAATTTAGGAATACTGCTGCACTGAAGGTAAAGCCAGCCATCCACAAGTGACATGTGGTGAATGGCTTTTAGTGACATGGGTTTGGCAGGAATTTATAGTATGTTTCTTGGATATGGAAGCCTACCCTTTGCAGCACTTGCCATAATGATAGGCAGTTTTGTGATGGTAGTAATGATTACAGTATTGATGATGGTGGTGCTTTTTTATTTTCTTTTGCAATTATGAAGGCATACTACCTAAACACACTTTCATAAACAAGCGTTCACATAACATCCATTTACCTTTAATGGCTGCAGTCCTAAACGTACCTGCTTAGGAGTAAACCCCATTTCACTAATAAGGACCTACTTCTAAGCTAGCATGTACAGGATCAGGCTTATGCATGGCCACTTTAGATACAACATTGTTTCCAAATATAGAGTGTTATTTGCTCAGTGCTGATGTCACTGCTCAGGCATAACTGAACTGTGAGTTCAATAATTCACAAGTACACACAGTCAAAATATGCTGAGTTGATGTCATGATGCAATGTCTGCACCATATGCAAGAGCACAGGCACTTTTCTAAGGTCTCTGGCAACACAGCTTATAGATACAATGCTTTAATACGGGCTTTTGTGCTGTTACAAAGTATGTGTCTGAAACCACACGTGTGCCCAGCACTTGTGTATTCATACACTACCAAGAGGTTTAGGATCTTTTGCTAGAGTTACGACATGCGTCTATCAAGAATATGTGTTTACTCTTAACCTTATGCCCACAAGAAGTTCTTACACAAACGGAATAAAGGTTGGTGCATTATATGAAATGAAAGTGGGAGAATATATTAATGCCAATTAAGAAAGCAAAATTTATGCAAGCAGCACAGTGCTTTTTTTTCTAAAAAAAATGTTCAGGGGTACTCTCATTTTTCTACTCATATTGTAATACTGCCCATCAATAAGGCCAAACTTAGATTCACAAAATGTTTAGGGGTATGCGTACCTCTGCGTCCCCCCAGAAAAAAGCACCTTGATCTAAAGAGTTAAATAATTCCTTACTATTCTCAAAATTCTACAGAAAGTGAATGTGACAATTGTGCCCCAGAGCCCACATCAAGAGCAAGTCAAGAAAAGGATAGGCATACCTATCTCTAAGGTAGAGTGTGTATTGGTTCATTGAGAACATTGAGTTAGCTTTTTCCAAGCTCTAACAAACTAATCATTTAAAATCTAGGGTTTTTGTACTAATTTTAGCCAATGCATTGTATTGGAGAAGGGAGGGGGCTTCATAATTCCAATATTGTGCTATTGAATTTATCCTAGTTTTCTGCCTATTTCCTACTTCGCCCATCTTGCTTAATTACCTTAACAGTTGAAATAACATGATCCTAGTGAACTGATGACTGAACCAGCCATCCTTGTCTGCCTCCTGTTTCAAAGTTCATCCCACTATTACCTTTATGGCATCCATTCATGTGTTAATTTTAATGGTAGTTAGATTTACATATGCTAATCTTTATATAAGGTGTGAGGAAATTAGGATGTCTCCTGAATGCTTCCAGGACATGTTTTGAGATCAGACTGGTACCAGAGTCAAGAAAGTTCATAATGGAGGGTCGGTCTCCTGTCATATTACCATATACCCACCTTTTTATTCATGCCAGGGTCTACAGTAATAAACCACAGAAAAGGTTTAGATCAACACACATCTATCCACAGTTTAATCTGTGATTGTTCGTCTTTTGTAGCACTCTCCCCTTTAAGACCCATTTTGAGTATAGTATTATTAATACTATTTATGTTTATCTGAAACTTAGTTCAGCTGAATTCAGTGGAAGTACAGCCCAGTCTTTTAAACCTGTTAAGCATGCCTGCCTGTGCTTAGAACAAGACTCTGAAGCATTAACCAGCACTCGTAACCCACTTCTTAGGGCAGAGGTTTCCAATCTTTTTGGGTCCCTTGACCAACTACATTCTTTCTGTGGCACCCCTGTGGGGCTCATGAGCCCAGTGCTGTCACCCCTTGCCTGTAGAGCTGGCAAACACCCTCCCTTGTGGAGTGTTCCCTCAGTCTCTTCTCTCCCCTTTCTTTGGGAGTTCTCTGGGCAGCTACAGCTGCCGCCTTGGTCTCTGAGCTGTCCCTGCCCCCGCCCCAAAGAGAGGTGTCTCCTCCCACTGCCCTACAGGGGCTTAGGAAGCACCCTCTGGCTAGTTCTAGAGGCACCATTCGCCCAGGAAGCTTGTAGCCAAGGCTGCTGCAACAAACAGCTATGCAAGCCTTTGGGAGGCAGAAACGCAAGAGGGCACCAGAGAAGGGAGGGAAGGAAAGAATGGCAGAGGCCTGTGTTGCCAGCAGCACCCCTGACCATCATTCAAGACACTCCAGGGTGCCACGGCACACTGGTTGAAAACCACTGTATTAGGGGGTTGAGAGTAAAGGATTACTCTGCATGAATCTAACAGAATGCCTAGTCTGTCATTGATTCAGTTTGTATGTCTGGCTCTTTTGCAGCTCTGCTCTGTAAGAGCCATATCCAATATAGCTAGGTATCACTAGTTTCAAGTGACATCATTTGCTTTCTCATCATTTTGCTGGCTACTGCCGTGTTCTAGAGAGGCAGCCATATTAGTTTTCTGCAGCAAAAAACAACAACAAAACCACACTTTAGCATAAAGTAGGCTCAGCCAGATGTATCATTAGATGCATAAAATGGCATCCTCAGCTTGCAGATATGTACATGGCATATACATGTGTAGTGGTGACAAAACAAGGGTGAGTGAGGAATGCGAGGTCAGAAAGCCCCAAAACAAACAAGGTGTGTGTTTCATTAGTAAGTGGAACACAAATGCAAACAAGCAAAGGGTAAAAGATCAGACTCCCAACCGATAACAGATCTGCAAAGCAAGCTAAATACCACGCATAAGCACATAAGGTGAAATTCTTTTCTACTTTAAATAAATTCCCATTTTGCATTTAGCTCATGTCTTGTTTAGTGTGAAACTTGCATATGAATTCCAGCTTAACAACGTCCCTTTTTTTTGCTGAAGTGTGGCAAAGTCGTATGTTCAATATCCAGAGAGACCGAAATATGTACACCCCGACTCAACCCACGGATACTAAGCATTACCATTTTTTAATATTAGATTTGTGGCCATTAATTAGCTGGATCAGTGACAGTCTGGTTTAGAGAACGAGCAGGAGGTTTCAGGCTAGGCACCCAAAAATATCCGTCAAATATACTGGGACTTGATCAAACCGCTGCATAGTAAATAGATTCCAGAGAACATCCGTAAGAACACGCAGCAAGCACCCCACGCTACTAGAACATGACGTCAGAAGAGGGGGCGGTGCTTGCTATGCGAGCCGGAAGCTACCCGTGATTCGGGCGTCCTGGTCGGCGTCTTTCTTCATGCAGCATAGAGTCACAGGCTCAGTGGGATTTTACACTTCCGGTTCTCAATCGAGCATGGGGGGTAACCAATGCAACGAAATAGAATAGGGCACTGTACAACCCACTCTCCCATTTTGCACTATGAAATGGGGGCCGGGGAGCTGCGTTAGTCCGCTGCAACAAAAACAGCAACAAAAACCCACACATGCCACACAAACAAAAAAAACCCCGCCCTGCTTTTTAAGGTGCAACGGACGGACTCTAGTTCTCTATTCTGGACCAGCTCCATATATGGCGGTATTCCAACGGAAACCGGAAGTGGGGAACGCATTCCGAGGCGAATCTTCTACCTCTACGCAGTCGTGGGTTGTTGTGGTTTTTTTTGTTAAGGGCCGGCCGAGCAGCAAAGGTGCGACGCGCTCGTCTCTCCCTCCCTCTCTCTATGGTCTGTTCTAGATGGGAGCGAGGCATTTTCGATGGCTGTGCGCGTCATATCCGGACGATTCTGAGATGCCGGTAAGAAACGCTCGTCTCGGGGAAGGAAGGAGCTGAGGGGGGGGGGCAGAGGAGGGGCGCGAGAATACGTCGTTTACGCGCCCTCCGCCCGCGCGCTCCCTTCCCTCACTCGGGGTGGTCTCGCCACTGTGTGGCCCCCGACGCCTACCTGCTCCCCTTTCCCTCAGTTCTTGGGTCCAGCCCGGTCCGTGAGAGAAGCCCTTCCCTCTCCGCCCTCGGTGCCGGGGGAGCGGCCTGGGTCCGCCTCGGCCTTGTCGCCGATATGGGACGGGTCTTTGCTTCTTCCCCTCTCAGCGCCCGCCCGGACCCAGGGGCTGGCGGGAGACTCCGGGTGACTCCGTCCAGAAGGTGACCTGCTTGTTGCTTAGGCCCCGGAAAGTTCTTCGGTGTTTCACGAGGGGTCGTGTTGTTGGATGAACCTCCTTGCCGTCCCCCGACCCTCCCGGGTCTTCACGACCCGCCGCCTCCTTGGGTGGTTGGAAGGCTCCGCGGTCCTTAATGTTCAAAGTAAGGAAAAGTTTAGGATTATTGGTATAGCGATGGTTCCCACACCCCGCTTTTCATCAGCGCACGTGGGGTTTCATAGGGTTAGGTCAACACCACAAATTCAGGCTCCTGCCCTGAAGAGCTTTGCATGATAATATAGCCGGGATCTTTATTATTTTTGTTGTTTGTCGAATTTATGCCCCTCCAATAAGCAGCCCTGGGCGGCAATCGAGGATAGGCAGCAGAGGAAGATGACGAGGGAGAGATGGAAGAGGCAGTGAAAACCGAGGACACGTGTGAGCAAATTGGTTTTAAGACAGACACAGAGCCTAGGACTTGCTGATCAGAAGGTCGGTGGTTCGAATCCCTGCGACGGGGTGAGCTCCCGTTGCTCAGTCCCTGCTCCTGCCAACCTAGCAGTTCCAAAGCACGTCAAAGTGCAAGTAGATAAATAGGTATCACTCCGGCGGGAAGGTAAACGGTGTTTCCATGCGCTACTCTGGTTCGCCAGAAGTGGCTTAGTCATGCTGGCCACATGACCCAGAAGCTCCCTCGGCCAATAAAGCGAGATGAGCGCCGCAACCCCAGAGTCGGCCACGACTGGACCTAATGGTCAGGGGTCCCTTTACCTTTAAAGACATACTGCTTGGGAATAAGGATTAAGAGGTCTTGAACACATCCAGCCCTGACATCAGCACCTGGCACACACAGGCAGCTGCCAGGGCCCATGCAGTCAATGGGGCGGACTGGCAACAACTCCTACTGTCTTTGAGTGTGTTTTCCCTCCCACACTGGGCATTGTTAAGTAGCCCTTCTCTAGTAGTGTTACCACTAGTTAGATTCCCACCTCCATGTTGCTATTCAGCTTCTGACTTGTGGCCTTACCCAGGCATCCCTGTTGCGCTTTCTAATGGATGTAGTAGCTCCCATTTTTTAACATACTGCTGTGTGTGCAAATGCTGTGTAGTGTATAATGTAGTGATATCCCATTGGGTGCTCTGTAGCATGAAGGATTGTGGCCACTCACTTCTTGTAGGAATTGCACTTCCTCTGAGTAAGCTCATGGGGGGTTATAATCATTGTAGTACAGCCAGGTAAAATGGGAGGTACCAGTATATGGTGGTTGTAGCACCAATGGCACTGTCATGAAGGCCAGGGGAGCCTTTTGGTTTCACTATGCTGCTGTGGTGAGGACTTGCTGAAGCTTGGAGCTGGCCTTGAAAGTATCTGGAATGGGTTTGAAGGAAGAGAGAAAGAAGCGAATTCTAGGCATATGTGAAAGCAGGAGAGAATGGACAGCTGCTTAAGAGCTGGTATTTATGTATTAAAATGTTTATTTTTGCACCCAAATTTTGGTCCTGACCTCCACATAAGCTTGTTGCGGTTATGTAGGAGGGAATTAATGATATTCTGTAATGGTCAAATAAAAGTTTTTCATTGATAGAACTGTAAATGTTTCTTGAGGCTGATCTCTGGCAAAGTCTGGGCCTCTGGCAGTGGAATTTAACAGCTGCAGTTTAATAGGCATGGAGTGGAGGTAGAAAGCAAAGAGAATCAACACTATGTTACTGCTGTTTTGTGTGTGAGAAAGAATTATGTTGTAAAATATGGCAGCATGACTGGCAATATGTTGGTCATATTTTTAATATTTGGTTCTTTTACAGGTTAAACTGAATAGCTCTCTACTACGGCTTCTCCTAAGAAGATCCTCACAAAGCTGTGAGGCTGGAATATATTTATAAACACAGAACGTTGTTCACTTTGAACTCTTAAGCTTTGTGCCTTATCCAGATCGACTTTGGGAATCGGAAACTTGAATCAATGTTATCGGATGAGTTAGAGTCTAAACCAGAGGTCAGCAACTGCTAGATTTGTTTTGTGGCTCAATGGCGTATTCTGGAATTATTATTATGGCAAATGATAATTTCCCTAGTGATTTGTGTAGTTTGTATATGGTTATCATGCATAGAAGCAGGGCAATCTTTTTTGCTTGATTAATGGCTCCAAAATCACTCATCTGATTTGCACCCACAAGGTCTCACTTGAAAACCTATAACACTTAAGCAGGAATTCTGTGCAAACTTACATGGGAATGAGCCTCACAATGTGACTTACTTCTGAGTAAGCCCATGTAGCATTGCAATGCACAGAGGTCACAATTTAAAAATGTTTAACAGTCTACATGGCTCTTAATGCAAAAGCTCTGAGGTACCAATAACACCCAATTGCTTGACATAAAGACTTCCAGCTCAGAGCAGTTATGCTTATGGCCTTCATGGTAAAAAGCTGCCAGGAGGGCTAGTCAAAATGAAAGGAAGGGGTGTACTAATGCTTTACTCCTTCTCCACTGTCCTGACCCCCCTTCTCCAATTGCTATTTGGCATGGGAAAGAAGCTGCCATTGATGTAATTTAGTATAGAAGAAAGCTATCATTATCAGCTTCGGAGAATTGTTTCCATTGGAATCAGATGTGCAAGAGAAAAGAAGGCTGCTTATTATGGTTTTGATTCCCCACAAAATATACTACATATTGTGTATAAAACATACATGTGACATTAAGTTATATATTTAACAGCACGTGTGATATAGCCTGCACTCTGTGACTAGTGCAAAAGTGTTTTGGGGTGGTTCATGTAGATTACAGGTACGTTGCCTGTTGCTTCTTTTCAGCTCAAAATCAAGCTGGGGAAGGGCCATAGCTCAGTGGTAGATTTTCTGCTTTGCATGCAGAAAGTGCCAGGCTTAGCCCCAGCATGTCCAGGTAGGGCTGGGAGAGGCCCCAGTCTAAAACTCTGAAGAGTTGTGCTGCCATTATTGTGGAAAATACAGACCAATGAAGTGACTACTGTGCAAAGGCAGTAGTAGTTGTGAATTTAGTCAAAGAACAGGGCTTGTAACGTTTATCCTTGTTACCCTAAGAATTAACATTTGCACAGGGAAATAAGAGTTCAGAGTAAGTAGTGAGTAATTATTTCACATTGGTGATTTCTTATTGTTTCTTGGTTGAGCTCAAAATGACAGAATATTTACTTTTAGTATATTCGCTGCAGTGTAGTTTATGAACCATTTCTCTGTGTTACTGCCTTTTGTAGCTGACGTTGTAGAATGGGAACCGGGGGGAATTGACAGAAAGCATTCAGCTTCAGATCTAAGCATTTGCTGCTGCTTTAATATCTTTGCTTCCCCCCGCAGCTGCTGGTTCAATTTGTTCAGAACACGTCTATTCCACTAGGACAGGAGCTTGTGGAATCAGAACCTAAAGATATAACCTGTTTGTCTCTCCTTCCTGTTACTGAACCCCAAGAATGCAACAGACTGATGTTGCCAGGTAAAACCTGAAGCCTAATTATGCTAAAAATGCTGTTTGCATTTTTGAGATATTAACAACACAGTTCTGTGCATGTCTACCTGGAAGTCAGTCCCACTGAGTTCAGTTTGGCTTGCTTCCAGGTAAGTGTGCATAGGAGTGCATGCTGTGTTTAGATGTGGGATACTCCTGTAATGTACAGTTATTAAAATTCAGTTCTTTTTCAAGGAATGGTGAGATAAAATTGTAATAGAGTGGATTCTGGCAATGCTGCTAGCAATGCTCTAATTAATATTAAACGTTCAATAAGTTGCTTAATGTTAATTAGAGCATTGCTAGCAGCTTTGCCAGAATCCACTCTCTTACTTATGGAATATGCAGAAATGGCGAAATTTACCGGAAGAATAGGAAATCAATATAACAAACTTTTTATAAAAGAATGGAAATGGTTTATTGAATATTTACAGATAAATTGCAAACAGATAAAAACATTGATAGGGTTATTGTAATAACCTGCAGTTTCATAAGAGTATATATTTAAAGTAGATAATTAAATGAGCAAATTAAATTAATTTGGATATGCAGAAGATATTAGAAAATACATTTAAGGAACCGCAGAAAGAGGGGGAAGGAAGTCAAACTTTGAAATGTTAAATTGATTGTACAACTAATGAAATGTATAAACTTGAAAAGTATAAATAAAAAACTTTTAAAAACATAACATTAAATGTACTGCTAAGGTTACTGGTTTTATAATGGTTTTCTATCACGTTTGTGCTGAAAGCGTGATTGTCTTGAATGAAATGCATAATCTCACAAATGCTTTCTAAAATTTCTTCATTAGATGACTCTCCAGGTCATACTAGCTCCTCAAAGGATGTCTCCTCTTCTGCTGTTTTGCGAAGCCTCCAGGTGAACGTTGGCCCTGATGGTGAGGAGACAAGGGCACAAACAGTACAGAAACCACCTGAGCTTCTGCCAAGCCCTGATACTTCTAGCTTATTGCAAGACCTCCAACCCACTGATAGCACTTCTTTTATCCTTCTCAATTTAACACGAACAGGTAACTCCTTCAAGCACGTCAAAGCACAGAAAGAGATTTGGGCAATGCTGCATTTAACAGGAGTCATCACCTCCTTCCAGTAAAGCGGCTGGAGAGCAGGGAAGCTAATCTGTGGCACCTCCTGATGATGTTGAACTAAAACTCTCATCTGCCCTGGCCATTGGCCATGTTGACTGGGGCAGAAGGGACTTGCTGTGCAATGACATATTGAGGGCTACAGGTTAGCCATCCCTGCTGTAGAGGTTGATTGTGATATTGTGGGAAGCAAGAGAGTTTACTCCCCTTCTTATTGTCTCATGAAAACTGCCTCCCTTCTAGGCCTAGGTTCTCCCTCAGAGCACTTGGTGTTTGTCCAAGATGAAGCAGAAGATTCTGGGAATGATTTCTTCTCGAATGATAGCACCGACAGCAGTACCCCATGGTTTTTGCGAGTGCAGGAACTGGCTCATGACAGTTTGATTGCTGCCACTCGAGCACAGCTCGCAAAGAATGCCAAAGCAAGCAATAATGGTAAGAGGGCTTTTATTTCTGTTGGGTTTTTTCCCCCCATTTTCAAGGTATAATGTTACTTTCACCCATAAAATGAGTTTAGGAAATCTTGTAAAGCTCTTATATGTTGTTGAGAACTTCAGTCATTTACTTCCTGCCTTTTAAGGTAAAAAACTTTCAATGTCCCTAATAAGGCTAGGCAATATTTGGTTTTCAATATCATGGTACATCACCAGCTAAACATCGCAATATACCACTATATCATGATATCTGAAATAAGACACAGCTATGTAAAAGCAAGGGACGCGGGTGGCGCTGTGGGTTAAACCACAGAGCCTAGGGCTTCCCGATCAGAAGGTCGGTGGTTCGAATCCCACGAAGGGGTGAGCTCCCGTTGCTCGGTCCCTGCTCCTGCTAACCTAGCAGTTCAAAAGCATGTCAATGTGCAATTAGATAAATAGGTACTGCTCCGGCAGGAAGGTAAACGGCGTTTCTGTGTGCTGCTCTGGTTCGCCAGAAGCGACTTAGTCACGCTGGCCACATAACCCAGAAGCTGTACGCCGGCTCCCTCAGCCAATAAAGCAAGATAAGTACCGCAGCCCGAGTCGGTCACGACTGGACCTGATGGTCAGGGGTCCCTTTACCTTTACCTTATGTAAAAGCAAACATGGTAATGTCCTGGCAACTGCTACTCAGTTATGGGTCTAGATCACCACTGATGAAATCATTACTTTCATCAGCAGTTTCATCAGCCAAAATGCATTCAAACAGGACTTTGGTTTAGGGCTTGGATACCAAACGGTGGTATTCAGGGCCAGGACAATCCAAAATACAGTGAGGAGTCATAGTGAATAATGAATAATCTGGGAAAATATTGAACAACAACAAAAATATAAATTTGATGCTTATAATTATATTAGATTTAACTCAGATTCATCCCCCAGCATTTCCAGGGAGGGCTGGGAGAGACCACCTCTGAAATTGTGGAGAGGAGCTGCTGCTCAGCGTAGACAATAGTGTTGTAGATTGACCAATGGTGTGCCATACTTCCTATTTCCTATCATATAATTTCCATTTGTCTTTGGAGCAGGACCAGAGGCTGCTCTGATCTCCCACCAGCAGAGGCAATGGTTCCAATAAGTTAGGCACTAGTTGATAAGGGTGCTGTTGTGCAGTCACAACAGCACCGGCCATGCCTGTGCATGGCTGTGAGGGTAAACGGAGTTCTGGGGTTTAGTAGCTCCTGGCTCTGAGCTGTTTTCACCAGTTGTTGCTGCATGACTGCTGGGCCATGCAATCTGCTGAATGCCAGGTATACCTGGGAGTAGCTGATGCTTGGCAAACGCAGCTGCATTGCTGAGGTAACCAGCCTGAAGTTCCCTTCGTTAATCCAATTGTGTGCCGTCAATTTCTTGCTGATGAGATTGGGACGCACATTCCATTGGAAGTAACACATTCAAATATAAATGATTTGCATTCCGTCACAACTTCATCTGTCTGTACGGCACTGCTTATAATGGGATGCACATCTCCATGCCTGTTCTGTCCATTAGGCATGCCTAACTATGTGCAATGGGAGCTCAGTCAGGAGAAAAATATGTTGCATAATGATAGTAAGATAGTGAAACTGCCAGCAGGACATGGTATGAGTCCTCTCAGTTGTCTCTTTCCCCCCTAAGTGTGAGAGCAATTGAACGGCATTGTTTGCCCTTGCTGTTGTCACACAACTACAGCTGGCCACATGGTGCCAGTTTTACTATGAGATCTGTGAGTTGGCTGGGATCACATAGTGAAGAAGCCCTTTCAAGTTTTGTTTTTAAGAAAGTGACCAAGCAGCAACAGCAAGTCAGGGAAACAGTGAATGTGAACAGGTATGCAAAAATGTGGAAGGTAGTGCTTTATTATTTTAACGTGCCTTCTCTACCCTCCCCCTACCTTTGGGAAAGGATTATAGCTCAGTTGTCAGAGCACTAGCTTTGGATGAAGAAGGCTCAATCTCTCCAGGTAGGACTGGGAACGCTTCCAGTCTGAAATCCTGGGAAACTTACTAGTCAGAGTGGTCAGTGCTAAGCCAGATGGACCAGTGGTGACTGGTTATAAAGCAGCTTTCTATGCTAGCGTTTCATCACCCCCACTGCTCCTGCCCTTAGAAATGGTAAATTTTGCAGAAGAAAATGGAACCTCCTGAAAATTTGGGAGAGTACAGATTTGAAGTATGAAGAAAATCATCCACATCAGAGGGCTGACTAAACAAAATGAGCAGAAATGTTTCTCTTTTTAAATGTATTTAGGTGAGTTTTCCCCCCCTCCTATGTATCACTGTCATCTTACCATTCTTTTTTTTTTTTCCCCTTCCAGGTGAAAATGTTCATGTTTGCTCAGGAGACCCTCAACCGAAGGAACCCAGCCCTATCCCTCACTTGCCTCGGGTGGAGAAAAAGTTGAAATGTACAGTTGAGGGCTGTGACAGGACATTTGTGTGGCCGGCCCACTTCAAATACCACTTAAAGACTCACAGGTGCATAGAGTCACTATAGTTATGACTTTGCTGAGCACTGCAAACTGTATGCAGCTATATGAGTGGTCCTGCTATGGAACGATCAAATTCAGAAAGTCAACCAAAGTACAGAAATCTGAAACAGAAAAAGCTCATCTCTATTTTGCAAATACACTCAATGTGGTTTTTAAAACACTGTTTATGTGTTTTAACTGCCTGGGAGTGGCTTGTGATTTGCAACTGGCCCAAACAAAACTGCTTTGTTTTGTGTACGATATATGTAACCTAAACTTTTAAATGAGAATATCTGGTTTATTAAAATTATTTATACAGTGTAAGGCAAGGAAAATGCAACCTCTTCATTTTACTTTAACTGTTACTTCAGGTGGGGCCAGTAACTGGTCATGTCACTTTTCAGCCTCTTCATTTTGAACTGAAACAAAAATGCATACAACACCACATTAAGGAAAGCCAGAGCACCAGCAGAGGACTACTTGATTACAGCAGCATGTATAATAGTGCCATGAAAGTGATGTTGTTTTCCAGGAATGACCGTTCCTTCATTTGTCCAGCAAAAGATTGCGGGAAAAGCTTCTATGTCCTGCAGAGGCTGAAGGTGCACATGAGAACGCACAATGGTGAGAAACCATTCATCTGCACTGAGCTAGGTTGTGGGAAGCAGTTCACGACAGCTGGGAACCTGAAGAATCACCTGCGGATTCATACTGGTGTGTACCATTCCCCTTTTTTCAAATTCTTCTTTTGTTCCAGTATTCAAGTGTTAAAGAAGTTTCTCTGCATTTCTGTCAGATTATGAGCATGGCACTGACTAGGCAGCTGCTGCCTCTCTGCCTGTTATGAAGTATTTATTTTGGGTTGCCAAAGTTGTTGAGCTTTGAGGTATTTTTAATGAAATTAGGCAAAATCTACACTTCCGACATGGGTTGCCATATGTCCAGATTTTCCTGAACACTTCAGCGATTTCCACCCAGACGCTGTTTACGAGGGCCAAATGCCGGCTGTGTTACAGCTAGGGAGGAGAAAGCTGATTCAGATGACGTGCTAAGCCAAACCTGGCTTGACACAGTAGCAAAGAGGACCAGGGAGGAGCAACGTGGATATGAGCTTCTCTGTGTATGGTGTCAGTAAGTCAAGGTTTGGCTTAGTGGGTCATGTGAACCAGGCCAAAGTTTTCCCGCACCTCCTTTAGTTGATCAAAAGGTTATATAATAGCAAACCATGTTGGTGGTTAGTATATTAAATTTCTGAGACTTCCAGTCTTGGAGAAATTGTGTTTTCACTCTCCAAGTAGAAAGCTTCCACGCTAATATTTGATAGCCAATGAAGAACTCATGTAAACAATGAAAGGTGTGTGACTGAATTTGAGAAACTGCAACTTAATAGAAAGAAGTGGATCCTTGCATATGAGGGCATATGCAATTCAAGTGACTTTTTGAATTAACTGAAGCAAATGCTTCAATGCAGGGGAAAAGCCCTTCTTGTGTGAGGCTCAGGGCTGTGGTCGCTCCTTTGCTGAATACTCCAGCCTTCGGAAACACCTAGTTGTCCATTCAGGTAAGGGGACTTCATTCCTTGAGATACCCAGGTCTTGCTGAACATTTACTAATGTCCTTCCCCCTTTGCTTTTTATGCTGTCTTTCCCTTTTCTCTTCTTGAGCCTCATAACTTCCAAGGTGTAGGCTAAAAACTGCATCTTGCCTAGTATATACAATTATGGGCATGACAAAGTGAGATCTTACAATCTCTAGGTCAAAGGCTTCTTGTACATACAGGCCTGAGACTCTAAATCGCTCAAATTTCCTGACAAAATTTGACTATGAACTTGATAGCCCCTTTCTAAAGCTAAGCCTTTGGTGTCTGAATTCAAGAGAAATGAAAACTATTTAAGCATAGAAAATGGATATTTCATTCTCTGCTCTAGCAATTATTGTATATTGTTTACAGGAGTAAAGCCCCACCAGTGTCAGATCTGTGGGAAGACATTTTCTCAGAGTGGTAGTAGGAATGTACACATGAAGAAACATCATTCCAGAGTTGGAACAGATAGCAACAGACAGCATGAACAAACAGGTAGGAATCGAGTAGAATGGGAATGTATGACTGGATCTTTCAAATAGTGATGAGAAGGGTCGAGTTAAGAAAGAGAATCTGTTCTGCCATAGGAGTGTTAGCATGAGATGGTGACAGAAATGCGGCTGTTTCTGAGGATGGTAAATATATCACATGAAGAGACTGTAGGAACAGAGAGTCTAAGAGTGTTTGACCACAAAGCATTAACTATTTCCCAGCTTTGAAAAACAGTTATAAAATTGATCTGTGTAAGTAAAGTTGTGCTTTTCAGATGTGTATGCCCACATCTCAAAATATACTCTACAAAGTCAAACTCTCTTCCTGAAAATACAGGTCATGAAGAAGAAATCTTGGATAAGGAAGAGTGAGAAAACAATTCTCTACATTCTTCAGATTTGTGAAGCAGAAATCCCTCTCTGTGCGATAGTGGACACTGATGCTGTTGTTCCTCAACTTGGTGTTTTGTTTTTGCAACAGAATCGTTGATGGGCAGTAGTTTGTTGGAAGAATCTGAAGAGCACAGTAAGAATCTGGTGTCCATGAGCTCACCTCCCAGCCTTGGTGTAGAATCTTTGCAGTTGCCAGACACAGAATCAATTATTGGTGTAAAGGAAGGTGAGAAAAATATTTCTATTAGCAATGAAATGTTTACAGGAGCTGAGTTGGGAGGGGATATCTTTCTATCAGGATAGTCTTAAATGGGATAATTTATTGGAGTTCCAACACATAGTTTCAGTAGGAAGGGTGGAATGCAATAATAATACTTTTATATTGGTTTCTGATACTGTATTTGTTTTCCTGAGTGCTGATTTAGCCACTGTTTCTAATATTTGCCCTAGTCTAATACATTCACACAATGCACACTTCATTTTTTGTCTGAAGATCAGGTTGCTTGAGAAAATAATCCCCAATGTACATTTTATAAAGCACAACTTAGTCTCCTGTTTGATTTGCAGAGGTTCTTGCTGAAGCAACAACAAACTCTCTCCATGCTGCATCTGATGTGGTTTTGCCATCTCATCACCTGATGCCCATGTCAACATCAAGACACTCCTATGGGGTGTCATCTTTACTACAGTAAATCTACAGGTCAGCCTAGAAGACTTCTATTTCTTTTTGAACAACATAATTCTAGTCTTTTGAAAGTGCAGGAAAACATCACCTTTTCTACTATCTGAGAATTTGATAGCAGTGAGGCTTTTGGTTATTATTTAATCTTATAAATATTTGTTTGAAATTTTGATGGAAGATTATAGTAATAATAGGTTTAAAAGAAAATTCCCATTCAATCTTAAATTGAAGGTAATAATAATTAATAATAATAATAATTTACTTGATCTGGAAGCTATATAACTATAGTGGCATACAGCTTGGTCTGACACAAAAATCACAATCTCTGCTGGTGCCTGTTGGTTTCAATTAAAGCTTACTACAGTCTCCTAACTGTGATGAGTGTAGGCAAGGCTCTTTGTTACAACCTTACTATATCCATTTGTTCACTGAACATTGATTGGGTGTGGTACCACAAAGTTGCACGGCAATTCTTGCAAAATAACACTGTCCTCTGTTGTCACGCTGTTCCCAACCCACAATGCCATCTTTCATAATATGACACAGGCAAAGTGTGTACTCCTGTGATGTTTTGCTGGCACAAAATCTTGAATCCTAAGATGCCTTCTGCTCCAGAATACACTTGTATTAGAGTGAGAAAAGTGAAGCAGTCTAAAGATGTTCTGTTCAGCTTTTTGTGCGAGCATGGGCCTGCCCCTGCCCAACTTCTACCTTGATCGGAGTGAGCCAGTTCCTCCCACTGCCTTAGCACTGATCAGCCAGGCCCTTCATTTAAAACAAATACGTTAGAAGGTGTTACAAGTAAAGGTACTTCTCCCATACATCTGTGTTGGTAATTTGTCATATAGAGAGGGCTTGAAAGAAAGAAAAAAAGATGCTGTGAAATATAATAGAGCAGTGTGTTGCTTGAATCATTCTATTATTCGTTCCTTTCTTATAAACAAGTCTGAACTAGTATTGATAGAAGTAAAATGTGTTGATTTGCAGTTACAAAAAGAAGAGCAAATGAATGAAGTATTCAACACAAGATACGAAGCTAAAGAAGAAGCTTGTGTGATGATGGGCTCAAGAAACCATGTGGTACTTGAATCCCCAGAGTTTATGCTGTGCCTCTAGTGTACTTATTGTGACCTGTCAGAACAGAGTCCTGGAATATGGTTTGCTTCAATCACTGGAACCTCCGAAGAAGGGCTTCAGGAGCTTTTACTAATGTCTGAACAGGGTACTGTTCCTGTTGAACCTGGCACCCCAAAGGTGAGGAGGTAATGCTCTTGGAACTAGTTCCTAGCCACTTTTTTCTCTCCTGAAGCTGATCATAAGCTCAGCATTATACTGACTCGTTCTTCTTGGAGGAGTATCTTTAGATGGTAGTGAATTCTGCAACAAGGCACTGCAGTTCTGTTCTTGCTTCTGAATTATCAGGTGGTTTGTGGTTTCTCTTTGAGCTAGATCTTCCACATCTCCTTGCTTGGTGCAGATATACTCTCTAATACGGTTTCTGCTCCAAACCGAAGACATGATGTTGTTCAGATGATTGCCTCAGACACCCTTGCTTCTTGCTGTGATTTTAGTTTCTAATTATTAGGGCTTAATTTAAAAAAAAAAAATCAGAGGTAGAATCTATTCAGTATTCTTCAGTTGTAAATAAACTATCTACTTCAAACTCCTGATATTTGTGTATTTTGTGTTTTTCTTTGCCTATTCAAAGATGCTCATGGGTACCTTAAAGCCAAGTACCAAGCAATTATATGTAATACAAAATCCTATTACTATATATGTAAAACAATTAAACAGAAAAAATAGAACAAAAATGAGCAAGAATGTTCTCATTGGCCACTCTGTACCAAAAGTACTGTTGCTGAAGCTTCCCCTATAGCTTCCCCTTTATTTTATTTTATTTTATTTTATTTTATTTTTTTGGCGGGGGGGGAGGGGAGATCACGTTTCTACATTATATTTTAAAGACCATATATTTTTGTGAACATATAAAAAGGTGAAAACAATTAATCTTGTAATGCCTTTAAGGTCAAGCACATTTATTATAGCATAAGCTTTCATTTACTTCAGACAGTTCTACTTGTAAAATAGGAAAATGCATAAATCTTTTAATCAGCCTCTGAGCTCAGAATTAACATGGTTTGATATGGACCAGACAGAGCATAATAAATACAGTATTTGTGCCACTCACAAAGTTTTCTGAGCAGCTTAAATATTTAAAAACAATTATAGACCATTAGAACAAGAATACAGCACAGCACAAAAAATATTAACTGAGCAGGGATTAAAAGTTCTGTGCAAAAGCACTTTTTGAAGCAGCTCACGTGTACTTGCAAGCTGTTTCAAAGTAGCTTTTGCAAAGGGTTTAAATGCAGCTCCTGTGCTCTCATTTGCTCAAAAGGGAGTGCAGAGGCTGTTTTAAATCTTTTTGCAAGTCTCCCCACCCACTTTACATCCCCAGCCCTCTGGGAATTGGAAAAGGCTTTGCAAATCTCCTGCCACTTCTTTTTTGTGCCTCTGAGATCAGTGAGCAAGGGTTTTTGAGAAGTGGGTGGCCCCACTCACGTCAATTTTGGCCTGCAAGGCAGATCTTGGTAAGAATCTGGCCCATGGAGTCAGAAAGGTCCCCCCCCCAACCTGTCCTCAATGAATAAAGTAACTTTAAATGTTACTTTAAATTCTATGAATCTTGGGTTTAATGATTTTTATTCATGTTTTTGAAAATAGAGTTAATTTTTACTAAACGTTCAGATGGAATAACAACTCATCATGCTTTTCAATAGTTGCTACTAGACTAATATACCACTGCTTTTGGAGCATAGGCACTTCAGTTTACTCCCTAAGCACATTTATCTGTAAGCAAGCCCATTTATCCTCAATCGGACTTACTTCCAAGTAAGCCAGCATAGAATCATAATGGCATCTTGGACTGTAAATCTCAGTGAACTTGTAACAATAAGAAATCTAGGTTGCTAGGGAAAATATAATTTTATTAGCCTTGCATGGCCAAGGGATGGCCATATATTTAGCATATATCCTCTGGCCATCTTTTGTTTTAAAAAATAGTGCAAATGAGTTACTGAAGGGAAATCTAAAAACTCCTTGTTGCCAACCTGTCTGTAGAAACAAAACTGGCTAAAAACATCTACTGTAGCAATTCCATTGTACAGCTTTCTGAACCTGAGAGGCATAAACGTTTAAAACATTAGTATGGTACTTTTCAATTTAAGTTAGTGCAGAATCTGTATGGGTACCATTAGCATGAAACGTCCAAACAGGATGATGCTTCCAGGATCTGTGTCAGCACAGCAGGCTGCATATGCACATACCTCCCTACTTCCACCCACCCAAGTACAGTGGTACCTCTGGTTACGTACTTAATTCGTTCCGGAGGTCTGTTCTTAACCTGAAACTGTTCTTAACCTGAAACACCACTTTAGCTAATGGGGCCTCCCGCTGCTGCTGCGCCGCCGCCACTCGATTTCTGTTCTCATCCTGAAGTGAAGTTCTTAACCCGAGGTACTATTTCTGGGTTAGCGGAGTCTGTAACCTGAAGCGTATGTAACCTGAGAGGAATGGTGCCAAATCTTTTGAGGTTGCCTAAAGAAGTGCAATACATTTGTTATCTATAATCTAGTATATATCATGATTACAATTTTTTATATAAAAGCTTGTTAGCTTCAGTTCTTCGTGCTGAAGAAGTTGCCTAACCCTGATCTAATGACATTTGATTAAAGCGGGGAAATGAGCTTTAGGCACCTGAAGACTTCCACTGGGTTCCTACTTTGTTTGTAGTATCCTCTGCCCCTCTTCAGCTAGTTCTTGTATAATGCCAGCTTTGGTATTCCTCTGCGACTTATGAGTCCTGTTGATTAAAAATTGTGATTTCAAAATTTCACGCTATAAAATCACTGGAAGTGGTGGTCATAGTTGCAAAGTTCACATCTGAATCCTACTCTACTTCTAAGGAGTTCCGAACATCCTATATACTGTTTTCCATATTTCATCCTCACAAGAACTGAGAGATACTTTAGACAGTGTGACGAGCCTAAATCCAATCTGTGAGCAGGGACTTTTACTATTATGTCAGTTTATTTCTGAGTCCAGGGTGGCTAAACACATCAATAATGAACCAGTTTTAATATTCTAAAAACATTCTTTCAACAATTGATCTCAGGGTTTCCAGGAACAGATTTTTTTTTCCAGCCATCAAATGTCTGAGTAAACAGGAATGTGTTAAAAATCCTGAAAGTCAATAATGAGGGGAGACACACCACACAACAGGGACACCAACTCCAGGGCCCTGGGGGTCCGGCCTCTGCCAGCTGGTGCCTTACCTCTGCCGGCGACTGGGCCAGGGCCTGCGCCTCTGCCGTGAGGCCTCTGTTGGGGCGCATTGCAGCCATGGGCGTGCTTCTGGGTTGCAGTGCGCCCCTCGCCACCATGACTTTATGACAGTGTGGCGCCCAAGTCAGCACTGCTGCCTCATCAGGAAGGACCTATGAATAGGGAACTCCTGCTGAAGAGGCCCTGTCACATAGAATTGCAAGCTGGGGAGCCCCCAGCAGCACCATCACCAACAAGGCATCACCTGCCAAACAGGTAGTTTCCTATTTGGGAAGATTCTCTTTCAAGTAATTTGGTCCCAAGCCAGTTCATTTTGAATTGGGTCTGGTAGCTCACTGACAACACCATGGCTTGTTAAGTGCAAGTTTCTTTCCTTCTCAGCATAAATGTATGCCCCTATATCTAATAGGTGAATGTAGAAGACTATTTTTTACGAAGCTACAGGTGATTTTCTGTTATTTAAATACCTTTGTGATTCAGACTGCTCCTTCCCTACTAGGTCAGTGGTGTCTCCTCCTTTGCTTTTCACAAATTCTTCATTCAACCCAAACTGCTGCAAGGTGTCTCGAAAAAGCCTCTCTGCCCCCTGACGGGCACCTTGCTGTGGAATGAGAAGACAAGCAGTTTAGTAGGCCCTCTTCCCTTCATGAATACTTACAATTATTCCAGGCGATCGCTCTAAACTAGAAAAGTAATTGGATATTTCTCTCAATATGGAAGAAGCAGTTATATTTTAAAATGTTTGCGAATTCTTTGAAGACCATTATATTCAAACATATACCTCAGTTTATTTTGAAAACAGTATTTTCCTATTTAGTGTACAGTATTTTCTCTATCATTACAGCTGGTCAACAACTAAATTTTGTTCCCTACCAAACTCTTTTTCCCATGAAGTTTTTTTTACCCTTCAGACTTCCAGAATGTCAAAGCAGTTACTTGAATATTGACTCCCTGCTACAGCCTGCTGGTATTTACTGTTTGATCCTCTAAACCATGACAATTTCCCCATACCAAAATAGTTACCTTTGTGACCTGTTCAAACATATATGGTCTGTTTTTCACTCGCAACTTCATCTCTTCTAGTTCCTTTTTATACTCTTGTGTTCTTTTTCGGTCATTTTGCCTGAAACAAAAGGTTTCCGTACTATGCATCATCTTCAGTTACTCTGTGCTGCATTTTTAATTATCAGGTAGGAGGGCACATTTTGATACAGGAATCTCTCCACAGAAATGGGCTGCATATAGATCTGCTATGTGGGTGCAGAAGAACATCTGGGCACCTATGCTCCCTGGCAATTCATTTATAACATATTTATACTGCTTAACAAAACATTTATAAGCAATTTACATAAAAATAAAAAAGCAATAACATTTCTTTAAAATAAGGTAGGACAAGGTAGGTTGGTGCACCAACCAAAGTTGGTAATGGGTGCTCAGAGCCAACTGGGCCTCTAGCATCTGTGATTGATCTAGCAGCACCCTCAAATGATGCTCTACCTCCAGAACGGGTACAAATTCAAATTCCCAAAACTGAAAAACTCCCACCCACAGGATCTCTGTCTTGTCAGGATTCAGTTACAATTTATTAGTGCTCATCCAGTCCATGATAGCATCCAGGAAATAAATAAATAAATAATACTTTTATTTTTAAAAACCCAGTCAGGCAGAGAAGAGAAGCACAATAATGAGATGTTGCTTGTTTGGGAAAGCCTTTTAGATCCAAATCGGAATGCCTTTTTCAAATTCTGGGGCTCTGTTACCAATTATATCTAAGGATAGTGGTGAGATAAGCATGAAGTGTAAATAAATAATATGACTGCTGTCTGTTGGCTATGAACACTTGAAGCCCAAACCCATTTCTCATACCGAACTATCAGTAATTCCAACTGAAATGATTTTGCTTCAATAGTACACTACCAAAGCCAATTAGCATACTGACCAGTTTTGCTTCAGCTTTTCTCTCTGTGTTTCCTCCAAGCTCTTATGGGGATCCAAAGCTTTTGCTCGGCAATTCAGAGACTTATGCATAGCTTGACCTCTCTTTCTCTGCAACTCTGCCCAACGAGCTCCTTCATTTTCCTTGTATTTTTTATCCTCCTGAAGGCGTCTAAATATATATGCAGATAATGGGATATGATCTTATTTCAAAATAAAATCACTAAGTTTTCCAAAACAAAACTTATACAAAGCCAGTTCATATATCCAAGTTAAAACATATTGTTCAAAGTATATGTGGTACTCTCTTAACTCTGAATTTTAGCGGGCTTTTAGGAATTTTGTTCAGGGGGGTATCCAAAAGCATAGGTGGCCTCCACCTGCCATGTGGGACAGGCAGGGTTATATTGCAAGGTTTTGAAGGCATTGTCTGGATTAGGATGTTCCACCTTCGCACTTATTCATACTTTAATTAAATGAGTAAGTTACTCACTTAATAGCAGACTGTCTCTTTCTCACTGCATCTGTGATATATATTGGAAGTGTGTTGGAGGAGAGGGATGAAAGGTAATTCAAAGACCGACTCCTTTGTATTGGTGCCCTGGAAGGTTGTTGAAAATCCTGAAAGTAAGAATATTTAATATTTATTTTTTTTAAACACACCTTTTTGTACAGTGCTTAGTTGCAGCTGTGCTCTCTTCGTATGTATGTATGCATGCACATATATATAGTGTTTGCTATTTGTTATTATCAACCTGCAAATGCTTGTCTCTTATGAGGTTCACATTTTTACATTTGGAAAACATTATGCTGAAAGGTAAGTGGGGCGAAGAGCTGCCGATGTGGAAAGTGACACATCCTGTACACAACAGGATGTTATCCTGCTACATACATAACCATTTCCTGATTTACAAGAAAATCTCTCTTTTTACTCCATGACTGCTAAGATTACACAAGAGTCTTGGGTGAGGTACTTTGCTGAAAGCTTTTTTTGAAAGTCTGAATACACTGTGTCAACCTCTATCTACAGTGGTGCCTCGCAAGACGAAATTAATTCGTTCCGCGAGTTTTGTCGTCTTGCGATTTTTTTCGTCTTGCGAAGCACGGTGTCGGGAAAGTTTTGGAAAAGCTTCAAAAATCACCAAAGTCTTTAAAAACCTCAAAAAAGGCTACCACACCGCGTTCTCGAAGTCAAGTCGCAACTGTATTAATGGTGTTAAGAAAAAGGAAACAAACTTGCAAGACGTTTCTGTCTTGCGAAGCAAGCCCATAGGGAAAATGGTCTTGCGAAGCAGCTCAAAAAAACAAAAAACCCTTTCGTCTAGCGAGTTTTTTGTCTTGCGAGGCATTCGTCTTGCGAGGTACCACTGTATAAGGTTGCTGACACTCTCAAAGGATTCTAATTGGTGAGACAGGACTTGCCTTTGCAGAAGTAATGCTCTTTAACAATACTTTCCACCAGTTTTGCTGGGACAGATCAGATGTTAAACTAAACAGCATTTAATTTCCAGGATTCCTTTAAAAACAATTAGGGTTACACTGGCCACTTTCCAGTCCTCGGGTATGGAGGCTGATCTGAGAGACAATTTACATATTTTTGTTCAGCAATTTTATATTTACGTGCTTTAAGAATTCTTGGGTGGATGTTGTCTGGGCTTGGTGATTTGTCAGTTTTGATTTTGTCTACTGGGCCTAAAACTTCATCTCTCTCTGTTTTTCAGACTACCTTCCTTCAAAATTTAGTTCAGACACTGTGATTTGCTATTTAATATTAATAGTAATAAAGTTGTTATTTACTTTTCGAAATACACTTCAATAGAAGTACTACTACAGTTAAGACTTCAAGCATAAGTTGGTGCCATTGAGACTCTTCTTGTTTTATTCCGTAACATTTGTTCCAAAGAAAACCGACCTTGATCTAAAACTATCTCAACACTGAGCTAAATGGATGGTAAAGTATATTTGGTGTTTTGCACTCATGAGTGATTTGTATGTAAAGGAATACAAAGTAGTACAAATATAAAAGCAATCCCTTTTACCATCATCCCCGGATTAGGCACTTGATGTTTGCAACAGAGATTAGATGTTCTAAGTCTGAATGGTTTATTATGAGTTGTTTCTTTGATTTCTCGTTTGCTTAAAGCTTCTCTCTGGAATGCCCAGTAAAGTCCTTCAAAGTCAGGCACAGATGTATTGATTCTTGGTTTAAAACTGAAGTTATCCTGCAGAAAGCTCAGTTTTTTCTCCCTGTTTATAGAGGTAATTTGGGATCCTTTTTTTCTCTTGCCAAGCTCAATAGGAGCCCAGGAACTTTCCAATAAATCCTTGGCTCTCATCTGAATACGGATTTTTCGTAAGAGTTCAGCTTCTGGGGAGTAAAAGCAACAGTGATGAACAGTAATGAACAGGCTGGGAGAAGGTATATTCTGGCTAATGCAACAGAAGAAAAGTGTTAATGACACTAATAACAAGAGAGGCTAATGGTTGAGCCAAGCGTTAAAGCAAAAGCAATAACTGAAAATCCAGAACAGTTGAAACCGCATTAACACATATATTTTCCAAATAAAAAACTAGTTACGGGATATATCATGCAGCACAACTTAATAATGCTCATTCTTTTTATATTTCTATTTTCTATTTCTATTCTTTTTCAAAAACTTGTGTATTCTAGAAAGGAAAATGATCAACATGAAGTCTCCCAGACCTTTGGCTAATTAAACAATCCATGGCCTTTTAAACAGTGGGGGGCATAGTTTTTGAATGTTACTGTGTTTTGTGTTTTTATATTGTAAACTGCCCAGTGATCCTCAGATCAAGGAGTGTATAGAAATTTAATAAATAATAATAAAAAAATGAAATTTGCATAGCCCTGCTTCAGGAACAAGCCAAGAGGAGCAATTCATTTCTGGATACATTTTACTATTAAGAAGAATTTCCCAAAGGGATGGTACAGGTTGGCATCCTTAAAGAGAAGGATAAAGTTCCTAGCCATCACTGTTTTTCAGGCTAATCAGCTCCAGAGGTTAGTGAGGTGGGGCAGAGGCCAAGGCCCTGAAGATGCCCAATTCATCAACCAGTGCAAATCTGTAGCATCAGAGAAGTTTCCTCCTAATTTTTATGTGATTGTTGATCACCTTCCCTGAGTCCTGTTTTTACTAATTCCACTGATTGGTCCTACTCACTCTGAGATGAGAAATGTGTTTTGTGATATGGCAGGATAAAAGGCCTATTTTCTTTTATTTCTTTTGTACTGGTATGACAGACAATGAATCTACTAACTGGAATGTCTCCTATAGCAGATGAAGAAGATACCTTCATACCATTAGGTATTGTTGACAGTGCATTAAAAGCTGTTTTACCTTTGAGTTTATCCCCAAACATTGGTTCATAGGTGGACTTGGGGATCTTCTTCCTGACTTTTGGCACTGATTTCTCAAGTGGAGTCAATACTTCTAGCATCTTCTGTCTGATGACCTCCTTTCGTTTTTCTTCTTTTTCCTGAAAACTGAAGGGTTTTTGCATTGAAAGGAGTAGTTCTCTTCTCTTTTGTGTTTCCACTTGTCTGCGAATTTCATTCTTTTCCATTATTTCTTGGTAGAGTGGCAGATAGATGTGAGCAGGCACAGGTTGTGCTCTGAACTGTTTCTGGCATTCAGCTTCTTCTAGGCTTTGTCTTTTGTACTCAGCTGATTCAATTTCAAACAATGCATGGGACTTTAATTTTCTGCGAGCTTCTCGAAGTGTCATATTGAAGGGTTGAGGGACAGTGATAGGGGAGATCCATGTAGCTGAAGCACTCTTTGATCTTGAAAAGGACTGAAGAAACGAATGCTGATTTTGCTCATTTTTTGGGTTATCAGCAGTGATGTTAGTCAATGAATTGAACCTTCTTAGGTTGCCAGATCTGAGGATATGGTAAAAAATAATGTTATCAATGGCAAATAAATCAGAAGAAAGGTTATATTTGAGAACTTTGAATAAATGAAAGGAGATAGTTTAGTAGTAATGATACACTAAGATCTGTTTCATTATTTTATTAGATCTGTTGTCCAACAGGAGCATTCAAGACTACAGTAAAAACTTTATGCCTGTGTAGGAGAATCATGGTATGGATTTCATTAGATTCTTTTGCATCTCACCTCAAAGCTTCATGGAACTTTGATGGCAATGTCAACCTTCCATTTTCCTGGAAAAAATCTTCCAGCTCCTTGTTCTCCTCTAGTGGTTCCTGGTGGTTTTCCAACTGTACCTGGTACATCAGACCTAGTTCTAACAAACATTGTCTGTTTTTCCTTTGGAGGGCCTGAAGCGAGTTGTAAAAATCCTCTCCTGAACTTGAGGCACCTACTATTTGTTCCTCTGACTGGAGGAAATCTAGCAGGTCACCGCCATCGGGCAGAGAAATATTACTACCCAGTTGCAAGTCTGGAGACTGTGCTTTAATTGGAAACACCTAGGCAAATCAGAACAACAAAACAAAGGTTTCAAACACAGAAGAAAAAACTATTTTGAAAATGCATTTCCATTCAAAATACTGTATACCACTTTGCACTTTATATACCTGAAGGAGCGTCTTCACCCCCATCGTTCTGCCTGGACGCTGAGCTCCAGCGCCAAGGGCCTTCTGGTGGTTCCCTCATTGCGAGAAGCAAAGCTACAGGGAACCAGGCAGAGGGCCTTCTTGGTAGTGGCGCCCACCCTGTGGAAGGCCTTCCTGTCAGATGTCAAAGAGATAAACAACTACCTGACATTCAGAAGACATCTGAAGGTTCAGGGAAGTTTTTAATGTGTGACATTTTAGTGTATTTTTGGTCTTGTTGGAAGCCGCCCAGAGTGGCTAGGGAACAAATAATAAATTATTATTATTATTGCCCGTTATTATTATTAAACCAGCCTTTCCCCCCCCCAACAAGCCTGTGCTCAGTTAACCGGGGAGTAAAGAAGACCCCTTGAACTTTGGGTTCACATGCAATGGGATCCCGCCGTTGCACGAGAGAGGTTATTCCTTGTAAAAAAAAAATTTTTTTTTTTAAATTGTTATTTGCTATTTGTGGTGACTGTTGCTGTTACAGGTCTGGCCCGCTCCCCTCTGCCGCCGATCGGTTTCCTCCAGGGATGCCCTCGCACTTCCATCCCCATCATACCCGACCCCCATTTCCCGCACAGGTGAAGCCGCCGAGGAGCGGCCATGGCAACAAACAACCGCCACCTGTTGCCATGGTAACAGAACGCTTACAACCGCCCCGCATACCCGTCGAATCTCTTCCTTCGGGCGCACCGCTTCGGCCCCGCCCGCGGCCCCCTGAGGTTCCGACACTGTCATCGCCCTCGCACCTGCTGCGCCGCCCGCAGCGCTCCGCCGCTACCAGCTCGCCGTGCCCGCTTGTAGCTTTAGCCAATAGGCACCCTCCTTTTTTGTGTCGCCCCTCGCACATTGGCCAATGACCGCGGTCTGTTTTCCGTAGCTCCTGCCCAACCCGGTAGAATTCTCGGCTCTCATTGGTCCGGTTCTGTTGGCCGCTCTCGGTTGCCAAGGTGCTGCTGAGGTGAATGCGAGGTGCGAGAGAGTGACGTGAGCGTCACTTCCCCCCACAAAATGGCGGCCGTGGTGGGTCTGTCACCGTGCCGGGGCGTTGGGCCCCTTTTCGGGAAGGGCCTCTGTCTCCGGAGCGGCCTTGCCCGTTCCCTCGTGCGGCGGGGCTTGGTGAGACCCAGTGGCTCGACGGCGGTGTACGACGTGGTGGTATCGGGTGGCGGCATGGTCGGGACCGCCATGGCTGCTGCACTGGGTAGGAGGCAGATCACCAGGCTAGAGACCCTCCTTGCACAGGTCATATTCGTAATTTTAATCCCTGCAAGCTCCTGTCCTCGGGCTCGTTGGTGGTATATAGGGAACCATTGGCCCTCCCGACGTAATTTAGGCAATAAATGCGTTGTGGGCTACAGTGTTTACAGCTGTGCTGATGTATATACATTGTTACTGTTTTCTTCAAATACACCATTTAAGCGGCGAATCTTCGCGATATGGACTGAAATCTCATGTCGGTCGTGTTGAGGAGTTTCATACCAATCATGTATTTCGCCAACATTCAGTGCATGCCAGTGGCAGCACCTGAATAGACTGGAGGAACAGCTCTCTAAAGGGCTTTAACTGTAACAATATTCCAAGGTTATTGGTGCATGGAATATTCTGGCTGCGTCCAAATATTGAAGAATGCATTAACATGTATTCTTCTGATCAGGTGGAGTTTGTTGTTAACAGTGTTAGCTTATTCAGTAAAAACAACAAGGAGTTTTGTGGCACTCTGAAAACTAACACTTTGATTGAAAGAACTAGTGTCCATTTCACCAGAGTCCATTTCAAGTGCTGCCCTGAGTTGTTTTTGTGAATATTTATTCACATGTACACTGACATATTTCTGCATTTAATTTTATTTTGACTTCACTGCTTACAACCCCCTCCCCCCTCTGCTGCAACCATGTGTTTAGATATCAGAAACTCGGGATAACACATCATGTATTGGATGAAATGGACTGTAGTCCACAGTTTATTTGGCTCTAAAGAGAAAAGCTAGAACTGTTAGCTTTCACTTTTTGGAGTTAAAGAGTGCTAAACAATTCTGCATGTTCAGGGGAAGATGTAAAATAGATCTCTTGTAAACTCCTGTTGCAGAACGTTAAATTATTGATTAATCTTGGTTAAAATGTTATTAAACATCTGGCTTTTTCTTTTAATAAGGGCATGATGTTCATCTGTCTGATAAGAAAATTCTGCTACTTGAAGCCCGTCCAAAGAAAGTGTCTAACCAGTTGCCCAAGACTTACAGTAATAGAGTCAGTGCTATCACCCCTGGTTCAGCCACACTTCTCAGTAGTAAGTATAGCATTCGCCCGTTATCTGGTTGCCAGCTATGCATGCATGGGGTTTTGATGTTGGGATATGAAATTACAGGTGTGAGTCTATAAAAGCCTGTGTGCCGCATAGGATACTGGCTTGGGATAGATGGTGAGAATAAACCCCATACATTGTAGAACTGGCTTGAGTCACCTAGAGTAGAATGCACCTATAATGGTCACTTGTTGAAATTAATTTTCAGGTTCACACGTGAGCTCTTTGTTTGGAGGTCAAAAATAGTTACCAGCCTGTCATATTTCTGGCCTCAGTAATCCTCTAGTGTTGTAGCTAGCATCTAATAAAATAGTCTGTTGATGTGAAATTCTGGAGTTTCTTACTACAATATGTAGTGATAGCTGCTTTAAAAGGGCAGCTTAAAAGCTGGGCAACTCTAAAAGGGAATTAGACAAATTCATGGAAGTTAAGGCTATCAAGATCTGTTTGACTGGACCTAACTGTCCAGGGATCCTTTACCTTTATCTTAGTCATGTATTCCCATCAATATCAGGCTATACGAGTCTGAATACCAGTTGCTGAAAAAACATAAACAAGAGGGTACTATTATGCACATGTCCTTGTGGCCACTTTGTGAACAAAATTCTGGACAAAATGAGCATTTGGTCTGATTCAGCAGGATTTTCTTTGTGTTATGCTTTCCTAGTTAGTTGCTTATTGGGACATGTCCAGATTACGTCACTGTTTCTGTTCATAATTGCTTGGCTCTGTGCATTGGGGGTATTTTCTTAGAAATTGTCAAGTATAATTAAATGGTGCACCATTCCTTTAGTCAGCTTCTGACAAACATCTTAGAACTTTCCTCTTCATAACTGCAAATCTGCTCATCTGTGAAACGACAGGTGCTTTTTCTTATTTATCTCCCTAAAATAGTTTATACAACTAAGCATTTGGAGGAATTCAGGTTACTCATTGCTACTCCAAGGTTTGCCCTGAAGCTTCCATAACAGTGTCCTTGCTTTCACCATCCTTGGGGACTTCACTGCTTTTGTTTCTTACAACCCTCCACATCCCAACTAGACAGTTGGGCCACAGTCAAACCACAAGCAAATAAGGGAGAGTAGAAAGAAACCAGATGGAAATAGTGAGGGAATTTGAATTGGTCCTGAGGGTTCCCCATTAAAAGTTTGCAGAGTGTCAGAACAATCCTTTAACGTTCTCTTTCTTTTCTAGGTTTTGGTGCTTGGGATCATATTTGCAGTATGAGAATCAAGCCATTTCGGCGGATGCAGGTGCCTGGTACTGCAATATATATACTGTGTCTGTGGGTGGTAATGTAATTCTTAAGTCCTTGCAAGCAAGGACATTCTATTTTGTTTCTGGGGTCTTGTGCAAAGGGTTCATATATATTCTTTGCAGGGAGATGCGTAAACTAAACTCTCAACAGGAACATTAGTATTTCCTGGTGGGTTCCCCCTTTGCACAGGCCTCAAAAGTGTGAAAAGAGGATAACTCAGTCATGCACCCTCTGCGGCTGCTTCCATGTGCATGTTAAGTTGATTAAGGTTAACTAGTTACGTGTTAATTACCTGAACTTAGCCTCCAGGAAGTGTACCATAGCCTTGCCACTTGCTCAGTGTCCTCAGAAACCATTAGGTGGGAGGTGTACGTATAACTGAACTCATGTTTTGGGGCATCTACTTTTGGAACTCTCTGCTTATTGACACCAGGCAGGTGCCTTTAATGTTTTTTGGTGCCTGCTTAAAACATTTTTGTTTACGTGAGCCTATCCAGACATGTAGATGTTGACATCTTTTAATCTCTTTTCCTCTTAATTTTTATTATTTTTGAATGTTTTGGTTTTTAACTGTATTTGTTGATAATTTTAATGTTTCTCGTACGCTTTTAAGAGGTTTCACAAGCGGTATAAAAATATTGTTAAATAAAAATATAAGTGAAGTGCTTTGAGTTCTTAAGAATGGCATATAAATAATAAGTAGTGGACCACTTGGAGAAGAAGTTTATCATTTTTGTATTTCCTTTCTTTTTCATACTAATGTCATTGTATGTCTTGATTCTCCATTTATCAGAGGTTACCTTGCATTTTGTACATCACAATAAAGGAGAAAATGTCTGTTCTTGGGTCTTGTATCCTCTTTGCTGTTGTTAATACTGTTCCTCTTCTCTACAGGTGTGGGATGCTTGTTCTGAGGCTATGATAATCTTTGATAAAGATAACTTGGAAGACATGGGTTATATAGTGGAGAATGATGTTATCATGTCTGCTCTAACCAAACAACTGGATGCAGTTTCAGGTAGCAGCTACTTTCTCCAATCTTGGTTTACATGAAACTCTCGGTGATTTGGGTTGAGTGGAGGCATGTGAGAATGGGATACATTTATGTCCATCATATAACTTGGGGTTATAGCAATCAATTTTAGAAGTATAGAAATTAAATAAATAATGTGATGCTTTCTTGAAATTGGGTCCTTTTCAATATGGTACAGTGTCTCTGCCCCTGGCTTAGAAATTGGGAGGTGCCTAACCAACAGTCAAAAAAGTACTTCAAGATAGGAATTCGGCAACTTAGTGAGCTGTTCTGCCTGAGTAGTTTAGGATTTTTTTGCTTCTTTGCTTCACTCATTTGGTGACATCAATATATTGTGCCCCCATCAGACCGCGTTGAAGTTCTTTACAGGAGCCGAGCAGTTGGCTACTCCTTGCCCCTTCCTTATGAAACCTCTGACTCAAGCCCTTGGATCCAAATTGATTTAGCAAATGGACACAGGCTACAGACCAAACTGTTGGTAAGTAAGCCTTCATCTTCTGTTTGGTCAGGCACTATCTCTTCCTAGGTTCTTCTGTTGGATTTGGTTGTAATCTCGTGTGGTGCTACTTAATCAGCACGAAGGGTTATAATGGTTAGTAGTAAAACATGTTCAGTGTGGTTATACTTGGATTAACATTGTGGTTCTAAACAGTCTTACTAGGAAGTAATTAAACATGATGGCATTCTGGGTATAGGGAAAAGCCATTTTTATACATAAATAAGCTATATATTGAAATGCAGAGGGAATATTTGGGTTTCTATAACTAGTTACTGGCTGATTATTCATAATGAGACTTGAAGGAATTAATTTTTATTAAAACTGTTAATGGGTTCTTTTAATCTCTCTTGTCCACAGATTGGTGCAGATGGGCAGAACTCTATAGTCCGGAAGGCAGCTGGTATTCAAAATATTCAGTATCAATATGGACAGTCAGCTGTAGTTGCTACCCTTCACTTATCTGAGGTCAGATCCTAGAAAATTGGTCATTTGGGCTGTATCTTCTGAACAGTCAAAACAGGTGATGGAAACTTGATAATATGAATCTGTCTTCTGGTTTTCATGTGCCGCAGGCAACAGATAACAACGTAGCATGGCAGAGATTCCTTCCATCAGGACCAATTGCTCTCCTCCCGGTAAATAACTTAGTAACACTTGACTTGCCCGTTTTTTATATTTGTCTTTTGCCTTTCTTTGTTTAAGCGCTAGTTTGATATTAAAAAAATCAGTTACTGTATGTTGTTTTATCTTCATTAATCCTCCTCTTAAAGTTATGAACTCCTTGCACTTGTTTAGGGTGGGGGAAGTTATTTTTTAGAGACGTAATGGTTGGATATTTTGTGTTTTTAATTCCTGGTGCTGGGTCAGCTCTCTGACACTGTCAGCTCTTTGGTTTGGTCCACGTCACATGAGCATGCATCCCAACTTCAGAGAATGGATGAGGAAAGTTTTGTGGATTCTATCAATTCTGCTTTTGTGAGTACCTTCCTCTTTTTATTTATGTTCTCCTAGCAAGAGGCATGAGAATCAAGAAGTTAGGGTGGTATTCAAAAAAAAAAAGTTTGGGTGGTATTCAGTTAAGTTTTGCTTAGAGTAGACCAATGGAAATCGACTTAATTTAGTTATGTTCATTAATTTTAGTGGGTGTGTTCTGAGTATTTGAATGTCACCCTTTATTTCTAATAAGTTGTGTGTTTATGGTAATTCCTGTGTAGAGGGAATATATTTCTAGCATCAGTTGGAGATGGAACAGATCTTTCTTTCTTTCTCTCTCTGTGAGCAAGTAGTTGGTTTTTTCCCCTTAAGAACCAGACCTTGTGAAAACAATATTTATTTTGTGTAACAGTTCAGCTCACATCTTTTGGCACACTGCCAAATGTAGTCATTTATACAGTGTGAGGGGACACTGAAAATAGTAACTAAATTAATTCTCCTTTAGATATATCCCATACATAAGTTCAAGTTTTTGGCTACTGAAATTGAAAGTGAAGTGCTGAACTGGTATTTGAAACTCTGTCACAGTCTTCAGTAATACAGTGGTGCCTCGCAAGACGAAATTAATTCGTTCCGCGAGTTTTGTCGTCTTGCGATTTTTTTCGTCTTGCGAAGCACGGTGTCGGGAAAGTTTTGGAAAAGCTTCAAAAATCACCAAAGTCTTTAAAAACCTCAAAAAGGCTACCACACCGCGTTCTATGAGTTGCTCCTCGAAGTCAAGTCGCAACTGTATTAACGGTGTTAAGAAAAAGGAAACAAACTTGCAAGACGTTTCCGTCTTGTGAAGCAAGCCCATAGCGAAAATCGTCTTGCGAAGCAGCACAAAAAACAAAAAACCCTTTCGTCTAGCGAGTTTTTTGTCTTGCGAGGCATTCGTCTTGCGAGGTACCACTGTACAGATGTCAATCTTTATATTGCACCATATGTGGTGATTGTTTACATATTTTATACTTTAGCTTTGAAATATTGTGCATGGTCATTGGTAATCTTGTACTGTATTACACTGGCAATATAGAAGCTACCATAGCAGAGTGGTAATATGAGAAGCTATGGCCTACACGAGGGTATCCTTTGCTGGAATACCTCCTCATGCCACCATCTCCCTCTTTGAAGGTTAGATAGATAGTGGAATGCTCCTCCCATCTGAAATGCAAATTCTGTGTAGTCTTGCTTTTATTTCGTGCACAAAACACGTGGAGTTAATTTGCAAAAACCGAGGCCCTGGTGGTTGTGGACCCCACCATAGGTTTCTTGCGAGTCCTGTATGCAAGATATTTTGCGGGCAGATGATTAGGAGAGAAACTGTTTTATTCTAAGATAAGGATTTCTTAAAACTTAGTAGAGCTTTAGTTCTGACTCTCATACTCTTGTAATCTATTGGTAATATTAGGGTGTTGTATAAATAAATCTATCGTTATTCAGTGGAGCAACGCAAATCACTCTGACTTCATTGATACTGCTGGATCCATGTTCCGATCTGCTGTCTCTCTCTTGATGCCATCGGGGACTGCAGCCCGTCAGCTGCCCCCAAGCGTTGCAAAAGTGGATCCAAAGAGCCGAGCTGTGTTCCCTCTTGGACTGGGGCATGCAACAGAATATGTCCAACACCGTGTGGCCCTTATTGGGTAATTGCACATTGAGGAACTTTAATGCTGTGATAAGGGTAGATTTGGTCTGGGAAGAGGAGTTCTTAACTGATGGGAGTATGCTGTTTTTAGTGCCAGAGGTTGAGAATCTTGAGGGTATAACATTAATTTTGGAGGGATTGGTGGATTGTGTCTGGAGAAAACACAAGTCTAGCTAATTTAACCCATGTCCCTAGACACTAGAATGTTAACAGGGATGAATACAAATTGTGGGAGAAGTCAGCAGGTATCAAGTGGGGTGTTCATTTAAGGTTCTAGTGAGGGACAAAAAAGAGCTTTTGAGTCCCATATAGTGAAACTCAGGCAATACTAATTGGCAGGGTTCTTGTGGAGTACCAGACTTTGTAACTGGCATAAGCTGACATTATCCTTTCCTTTTAGGGATGCAGCTCACAGAGTACATCCTCTTGCAGGTCAGGGTGTAAATATGGGCTTTGGTGACATAGCCTGCTTGAGGCAACTTCTCAGCGCTGCAGCATTTAATGGGAAGGACCTGGGTAAGAATTTAAAACTGAAGGAATTGATAGCACAGGCGACTTTCAGCTTAAGCGGGGGTTACGTTCCAGGGATAGTCAAAACACACTGGGTGCAGTGGTGGGTGGGATTGCCAAAGTTTATTTTCCCGGATGCCCGCTCCCCCTTTTAATTTTTTTGCCATGCAGGTAAAGCTGAAGGCACACAGGTTAAATGTGCCTAAGTTGCGAGTTACCTGTAATACGAAATGTCACTTCTAGGGTCTCTGCCATTCAACTTCTTGATGTATGATGTGTTTAAAGTTCTGGCTACTAGCTTTAGGAATAACACTACCCATTTTGGGGTATTTGTGGCAGGAACATTTTGTGCCCCACATTTTGTTCTCCTATAGACTAGGAGAAGCATTTCTCTGAAAATAAGAAACTGATGCCACCAGATTGGAGTTAATAAGGAAAGGACAAAGCTGCAACATGCCACCTATTCTCATTTACAAAAAGTTGTTTTAGAAAATGCTAAGATGTGCTAGTAGAAATCCAGGGTGTTAACACGCTCTTATGTATTATTTGGGTCATGAATATATTACTGTTTTCCTGCTGTGATTTACATGGAATTCCAGAATGCCAGACTATAGAGGCAACATAATTCACCATCTGGGATGCAATAGTACCACTGTTGTGCTGCTGCCCATTCAACATATGACACAATATGACAAAAAAAATCCTTGCCCAGGATGAACTTCTTTACATACTATGAGTCAGCCCTGATTGAATAACTTTGTAGATGGAATCTAGCTCATAGGTACCTGTGGTGCAGCTGAATCACCAGTTAATTTACTCTGGAATAATCTTTCTGTTCTAGGCTCTTTAAAGCATCTACTACAGTATGAAAGAGAGCGGCAAAAGCACAACCTATCTCTCTTGGCTACAACAGACTTATTAAAGAGGCTGTACTCTACAAATATAGCTCCTTTTGTACTGCTAAGGACATGGGGATTGCAAGCAACTAATGCTGTTCCTCCAATTAAAGTAAGATTTTTTTTTTTGAAGTTGCTTATTAAATTAAGATTAAGAAATTTGCTTAATCCCAAATAAGAGTGTTGCAACTAGAGTGTAGCTTCCCTAAGTATGTGTCTCCTTCCTATGGCAAGGTTGCGTAGTCACTAGCATTTAGACTAGGGCACTAAATCTAGAGCCTAAATATTTGATTATTATTTATATCTTGCCTTTCTCCATTTGGTAGACCCAAGGTGGGTACCAATTCAGATGAATTTCTGGAATTAAACAATTTGCTCTTCTTATGGTTCAAGAGGGAGGAATGGTTCCTTCTTTATAGGAACTATCCAATTCCCCAGCTCTCACCTTGAGCCCCACCAGGTATTTGTAGAGACGAATGTATGAACGCGCTGTAATTTCCAAGTGCAATGGGATGTGTCCAAAATGGCACAGACCTATGGGAAACATTTACAGTACAGTGATATTTGAATTAAAACCAAACCAATAGCCTGTAGTTTGCACTTCGGTAATTAGGTTTGGCCCAATTTATTCTTTCCTATGCCAGGTGGTAAGGTAACACACAAATGCAGGAAATGGGATCATCTTATTTCCTACTAGGACAGCTTAGAAAAGGTATCATAATTGCTGTCTTTGGTCCAGCCATGCTAGTTCCCCCATTAAGTGTGCTTGGTGAACAGTACTAGCGTGTCTGGAGCAACACAAATGCCACAAGCTGACACTATCCACGCAGACCCACAGTGCAGCATCTGTGGCAGTCTTTCATATCCTGAAGGGAGGTGTGAACTGGTTAAGTAAGAAGCATTGCCGTTTGGTGCTTATGAGAGATTACCCTAAAGGCTTCTGGTGTAGCCTCTCATTTTCAGCTGGGAAGGTATCTGCAGAGCTGAGTAGATATTTATAGGATTGCACTGTTAGTTTATTATGTACTTAAGAAGTGTAAAGCAAACAAAAGCTAGCTTGTGCATGTCATAGCTGATGACATTGGAGTAGAGCTCTCTTATATCTTAGTAATCTTGCTTTAGATCCCCTCTGTGCCCTGTCCGGCAGCAAAGGGTGGCAGAGCTTCATCAGAAATAGAAATAACGTTCTTTCTTCTTTCTTTAGGAGCAGATCATGGCTTTTGCTAGCAAGTGACATCCTTGTGACTAGGATGATAGTTCCTGCGTGGTTGCTGTATACTCATTAATTACAAAGACTGTGTTTGAAATGGTATTAAAACAAAACGGGGAGCACAGTATTGCCTTACGTTTGCCGATTGTGGCTGGAGTTCTTTCCTCCAAGAGAACCAGCAGATTGTTTTCTTCTAGAATGTCAAGGTCTATCTCTAATCTGACACAGTACTGGATCTGGAACTCTAAATATTGGCCTTGAAAACAGTATTGTTGGAATGAATTTACTTGTATCCAGTTTGAAGATCGCATGCAGGATTTTTTTTTTACTGCTTCGGACAAAAGATTCTGAGCTGCAAGCTTAGTCGGCATCTCTTTCAGCCTTCTTGGCTGCGAAACAGAGGAGCAGAATGTTGCTCCCTCTTCAAGACTGCACTGATTCTCTTCTGCCTCCAAGGACTGCAAGACTGAGACTCAAGTTACAGAATGGAGTCTGAGAACATTTTGTTAAAAATATTGTTTAATTACTAAAATAGACATTCAAAGAGCCCTGTCATAGTCATGTGCCAAACAACCAGGCCAGACATTATCAGTTTAATGGCATTACAGCACCAAGTAATGTGAACACAACTAATAAGTAAGGATATTTACGCTATCGTCTGACAATTTACTACTTTCAGAACTTGTCTGAAAAGATATTCTAAGGCTTATCAGCACTCAACCTGCACTTGCAATGCTACATCTGTGGAAATTTATTTAAGAGGGGCTCAGTCTGCTTAACAGTTTAGCTTAACTTTTTAAAATAGGTTTAAGCTAAACCAAAATAAGTGTCCTTTCAACCTACAAGATTATGTAAAACTTAATCTGCTTTCACTTCTGACTTCTTAAAAACTCTTAATTTAGTACACTGTTAAATATGTGTTTCTTTCCTCCTCCGCCAATTACATAGCTGCTTTTCAACAAGGCCACCGTACAGATCATTATACTGCGAATAATCTCATTGCACTAGGAAAGGTATGGGCATTTGTGGAAGCGAGATAGAATTCTGTACCACCACCACTGGGATCATAAGAGGAAGAAACTACTTGTCTGTCTTGCGCCCTACCCGACAAACTCAACTGGTGCCCAGTTTTGGTTGACTATAGAAATGGTCTCTTAATTAGCAGCAGAAGTTACTCATCAATCAAAACACGTAGTACCTGAAGAAATAAAGACCCTGAATTTTTCAAACATAGGTTAACTTTGGTAGAGGAAGAGCAATGCAAAGAAAAAAGAATCTTGTGCCTGAGTTTACAAATGAGGTTTCAGAGGAAAAGTTTATAATGAGTTTTAACAAACTATGTTGCTCTGGTCCAGTACCAAACATTTTGCTTCCAGTTTGCCATCTTCTTTACTACTTGCCTCATGGGACAAGAAAGCAAGGTGCAGAGAAGCTGGGCTTTGATTTAGGGTTATAGGGATAAGTTGAGAAGAATTAATGAGTTCAGACACTTAAAAAGAGGGTAGTGCAGAATAGTTCCTGCCAAACTAAGGCTTCCATCATAATTTTCTAATGTATACTGAAATAGGTAGAAATAAAGGCTTATACAGGGCAATAGGATACACAGTCAAGAGGCTAATCCTATGCACTTACTTGTGAGTAAGTCCCAATGAGCTAATAGGAATTACTTCAGAGCAAACATGCCTAAGATGCACTGTAAGTGTCCCAACTTTGTATTCTGCAGATATTGCCATAATACCTTTTCATATCCAGTAAGAGGGCAGTGGGCCGAAAGTGTTGTCAAATGAGATATTGGGTTGGCATGTCTTAACCTAATTTGGTCAAGGTTTCTTTAGCAAGCGTTTACACTGTACTGGTATATCTGGACAACACAGAGATGAAACACTTTGTGCAGTGGCTACCATGTTAAGTCTCATATTTATGCAGTCTGAAATGTCCTGCTCAAACACAATGTTTAAGGTATGACAGCATGTAGTGCATCAGCTTCAGTGGTAGTCCCATGCTGGGGTCCAGTTAACCATACCATTTTCCAAGGAAGTTTATTTCAGAGGCCTTCATTTGCAACTGGAAGGAGGCACCAGGATGCCTTGCATTAAAAGTTTCTTTAAGGCTAGACTGAGAAGCAAATTATTTATGTCAGTTCATCCCCAGCACTCCTCGTGGTCCTCTAAAGTAGCCAGAAAATGCTTATATACAAGCCTTTGCTTGCTCTCAGCTTTAGAGATGTAAAGAGGAGAGAAGTTTTTGGGATGTTCCTAAAGTCTTTACCGCTATGTTTAGCCAGCTACTTATATGTGAGGGTTGACAAACAAGTTTTTCCACTGACTGTCACAACTAAAGCTCCACCAGTTTCAGCAGCCCTCTTCAGGAGTCAACTAATCTTAAAAATCTTAACTTGTTAAATGTCAAAGGGTTGGTAAATGGCACACTCCGGCTTTGTTTAAAAACAACTCATTACGTAAGCATCTATTTGAGATTTGAATCTTAAGTTTCATGCACAAGAAGGCCTGCAAAATATTATTATGGAGGAAGATCAATATTGGGATGCATTGGTACCAAATGTGTACAAATGCCTTTGCTAAAGATGTGCTTCACCTCTGCACAAGATCAGCTCCAAAGCTATAAACCCAGAATTCAGGCCCTTTGGCATCAGTTAAGCAATTGTACAACGAAGCACATCTTACTACCCTAGAAGGACCCATCTTATTACAGCTTGGAACCACTCAGTCTTAAAGGTAACCAGTTCTACTTTGGTCTGTGTTTGGCTGTATGCTCATCAGAATTGCCTTTTCTTCTTTCAAGAAAATATAATATTCTATAGATGATGTTTTCTCAATGGGAGAGTCCAAGAGATTGCAGGAGGTGAAAGGTAGCACCTAGAGCCCAGCTTGTCTCTATGTTGTTCACTTTCTTTGCCAGCTGTAAAAGAAGAAAAGTAAAAGATCAATTACCCTTGTTCCAATACAGACATTTTAGGCAGAGTACATTTTTAGTGTATAGGCTGAGTATATTTTCCAGTATAACTCCAGATGGATATGATAGAAAGTACAGTTGCAGTAAAAATAACTGCAAGTTAGATCTCAAACAAGGATATCTGACTACTGGACACTAAGCAGCATTCAAGTCAATTTAAACTGGGAGTTAACTACTGCAACTACTTATTAATGAACAGTGACTTCCTGCTGTTATGAGTTTAAATAATAAAAGTCTTCGTTAAAATCCCATACTGTTAAGTTTGAGCTGCATTTGACTAGAAGAAAAAAACAGGAGCTGCAAAGACTTTTAACAGGTGCTGTGGGTTAAACCACAGAGCCTAGGACTTGCCGATCAGAAGGTCGGCGGTTCGAATCCCTGCGACGGGGTGAGCTCCCGTTGCTCAGTCCCAGCTTCTGCCAAAAGCACGTCAAAGTGCAAGTAGATAAATAGGTACCACTCTGGCGGGAAGGTAAACGGCATTTCTGTGTGCTGCTCTGGTTTGCCAGAAGCGACTTAGTCATGCTGGCCACATGACCTGGAAGCTGTACGCCGGCTCCCTCGGCCAATAAAGCGAGATGAGCGCCGCAACCCCAGAGTCAGTCACGACTGAACCTAATGGTCAGGGGTCCCTTTACCTTTATTCTTTACCATGCTAAAATAAGTAAAATGTAGATTCACCCACCCCATTTCACCAAAGCATATGGAACAAAGTACCAGTACCAACAACTAGTCAATAAAATAAAATCTTAAACCGAGGCTTCTTTCAACCATTTTTACTTGCCTGTAAAACTGTACTGTCTCCAAATCCAAATCCTTCTTTTAATAAAGCTGTAATGTAACTGAGATCCATACAAAGGAAAGGACTGGCAGAGCTGTAGCTGTCCAGATTGTCACATACTTCAAAGAAAAAATTGAGAAGAATAGTCACCAGTATTGGAGTAAGTGACTCCAAAATAAACAGTATTATCACAAAGACTATTAAATGTAATTCTAGCTGAATGCGAACCACAACTCGGACATGTATGATCCTATAGGTCATTCCACATTTGTTCATTCCCACCTGTGCTACACTTGTGCATAAATTAGTTTCAAATGCTGCTTTAGGAGCATTCGAGAACAAGAACCATGGAAAATGGTGCAAGTGCAATAATAAACCGAGTTGGGAGCCATCACTCTTCTACTTGTTCCCAATCCCTTAATTGTTTAGTATATGTTTTTAGCTACTCCAAAGCAGAATATTTTCTACCTGGAAGAGAGAGGAACTTGCTGGCCATATTAAGACTGTGCACTTTAAATGGTTCCTAAATATATATACACGTGAATGCACTTTATTGGAATACATAATCTATGCAAGTATAGTGGTACCTCGGGTTACAGACGCTTCAGGTTACAAATGCTTTGGGTTACAGACTCCGCTAACCCAGAAATAGTACCTCAGGTTAAGAACTTTGCTTCAGGATGAGAACAGAAATCGTGCAGCGGGAGGCCCCATTAGCTAAAGTGGTACCTCAGGTTAAGAACAGTTTCAGGTTAAGATCAGACCTCCAGAACGAATTAAGTTCTTAACCCGAGGTACCACTGTAGTTGAAATGCTTGTGGACTGGCTGACTTGCCCTTATAAAATCATAGACTCATAGAATTATAGAGTGAGAAGGGATCCCGAGGGTCATGGAATGCAGGAATTTTGCCCACAGCCATCCTTTGGTGGGCTCAAACCACCAACCTTCTGGTTAATAGCCATGGTTGTTTCATGGCTATTCCATAGTTGTTCTCTGAATTCAAACGTGCAGAGTGAATTCCTAATTTCTTAAGCAGTTACTCGGAAACCTGCTTTATTCTGATCAAACCATTAGCCTTACCTTGTCCCTAAACAACAATGGTCTGATATTTCAAATGTCAGTGAGTGACTAAAATACACCCTCACATGGCACTATTTCAAAGTGACATGACTACTGCTCCATTAACTGGAAGTACCCTAATTCAACTCTCAGAGTACATTTTACCTTCTTTGGCTTTTCTTCTAAAGTCTTCCACTTTGAGAACACCGCCTTTCTCATAATCTGAAATGTCAAAAGATAAGGGTCATCCTCTGGCTACGAGATACAGTGAAAAACTGATAAAGCACTTATCTCTGTGGCAAGTGTAGTAGTCTACCCAACACAAGTTATAGCGGGATTTCCTGATCAATTTAGGATGGCATGGGATGCTGATAATAAAAAACCCCAAACATTTAAATGAGTTACAATGTGGTGTTTGGCAGATTCAGATATGGTCCTTAAAGCCATGGTTTTCACATTTTCTTCTCACAGATTTCCTTTCCATGCCAACTGGTCTATGAAGGAAGCCGTTTGTGTCTGCCACGGAACCCCAATACGTAAAACAGCTAATGCAAATAGTCTGTTTACCCAGAGTCCTGTCACTGGCCTATGGAACATACCCTTGGTAGGTGGACTGACTAGGAAAGAAATACAGCAAACATTAATGACAAACATTTAAGTTGTCATTTAAACATTTAATGTTTATTTAATTTAAAACAAGTTAAACATTTAAGCACTAGCTTCAACTCAGATCATGGGCACCAGTATAGCATTTATGGGCAAAGCAGCAAACTTATGGACTTCTGGTGCCCACAAAGACTGCCCCCCTGCTTACTGCCCCCTTTGTCATGAAGCGAGGAGGAGGAGTTCCTCCTTCATCCCTACCAAGGCCTGTAAAACAACAAGCATGTACAAACACATATTTTGTTGGGAGAGATGCAACTAGAGGGGGTGATAGCTACACACACACACACACACACACACACACACACACACACACACAGGGAGAGAGCTCAAAACGTGCCCATCAACCCAAAAAGGCTGGTGACCCCGTGAGCCATGATAGCCTGGCAGTGGCACCTGCCCAACCAACTGTGCTGCTGCTTTCATTCTCCACAGGAGTGAATGAAATAACACCAATCATTTATACAGAAGGAAGCATGCAAAAACACTCCTTTATTGTTAAGGCTCTTCCAGAGGTTAAAGGAATTCTGTTCTAAGCACTACGTTTGCACTATCCTCAACCATCTGCAGCCACACTTTAATCCATCCTCATACAACTGAAAAGGGGAAGGCACGTTTTAAAAGGTTCATAAAGTGGTGCTGGCTGCATTGCTCATGCTTGTGATATTCAATAGGTGCCAGTGACATCTGGTGCAACCACATTCACAATGGATACACTATCTGGGCTGGGGGAATCATATTTCTCCAGGTACAATATATACTTCCAGTGCTTACCATGCCGGGATAATAAGATATTCCTGCAACAAATGAACGACCCATGTGCATTCATTGCATGAATAGAGGAGCATCTGGAACGGCTCATCGAGTCCCATCGTGTAGGTGACTGACTGAAAGAAGGGCATTCATTCCCCAAGGGTCATAGAGCTCAAGCAAGATTTCAAATGTTTGCTATTCACCTATCAGGGCGGTGTCCACAGCCCGATCGTAATAATAGGAAAAGGCATAGAAGGAGCTGTGCCGAATCTCATCTGGTTGATGCAGTTTTCCCTTTACCACCTCCAACACTTCAGAATAGCAAGGTTCAAATCCCGTTTCTCCTGGCAGGGTAAACACACAAAGGTAAGTTCAACATGTCATGAATCCCATTGCAGATAAGTGCAGAATTGCTAACAATGAAATTAAGGAAAGTGCAACAGTTGTAAATGGTCTTTCTTGACAGCTTTGCAATATTGGCACAGCCTGGGCACATTCCCATCTCTATCCTTACGCTTTATGATTATACATTGTTTTTTAAAAACAAACAAGCAAACCCTAGGTGATGGGGAAAGGGGTCCTCTACCCGAAAAGGACTCTCTTACAACTGTGAACATACACCCAATATTAAATGCCGTAGATGTCAGGGAATTATGCAAGGTAACCTTATTGTGAGCCTTGTGATCCAAATACAGTAATGGAGATTTTAATGGAGCAGAAGTGACTCATTTGCCTGGTTTGCACACCACACCGAGACAAACCATGGCTTAGCACAAACGTGTTGGTTTGGAGAAAAGATGGTGGCTGCTTTGCTCGTTCCCTGATTGTTTTGCATCTGTTCCACGCCGAGCTAACCCATGGCTTACCATGTCCAAAACTGGGGTTGTGATTCAGCTCTCCTGGACAAAACTTGGTTAGAATTTGTGCTTAGTCTGGACAACACTAAACCACAAGCCTGGGTTGAGACGACACCCTAAGCCAAACCGGTTTAACTCAAGCAGAGCATGGAAGCAAAATGACTGGCTGTGATCTCTGGGAGCCCACTCACTCGGGTCTTTGTGCTAAGCTTCCATTTGGCTTAGCATGATATGCAAACAGGGCCACAGTGGCCAGAGAAGAAAGGAAATGCTGTCTTCCTGGACCTAAAATTTATGTTCTGTGCCTGCTGCAATCTGAAATGGAAACTCAATAAATATTAGAAAAAAAGAATGTCCGTTGCTATTGCCTGTGCAAAATAGCTCAGGTCTTATCTTGACACCTCTTCCTGACTAAAGCCACTGTGTCTTCACGAATCTCTGACTCATCTCCCAGCTTTCTCTCTTCTCTGTCCTTAAATACTAGGTTTTAATAAAAATAGGTATTCCTTTAATCCACGATTTAAGAACTTCCTGTTTTCAATAAATCAAATCCAGAACTGGCCTATCTTCTACGGGTCAGTTTTGAAAGATGATCACACTCCAAGCGAGCAAAAAGGGGAAATGTTTCCATGCGGCTGCAAGCTGCGCCTGCAAAGAAGTATTATGCAGTGCTTTCTCTGCCACAAGCAAGCCCTGCTTGTGGCAGGGATAGGTAAAGGGACCCCTGACCATTAGGTCCAGTCATGGTCGACTCTGGGGTTGCGGTGCTCATCTCGCTTTATTGGACGAGGGAGCCGGCGTACAGCTTCCGGGTCATGTGGCCAGCATGACTAAGCCGCTTCTGGCGAACCAGAGCAGCGCACGGAAACACCGTTTACCTTCCTGCCGGAGTGGTACCTATTTATTTACTTGCACTTTGAAGTGCTTTCGAACTGCTAGGTTGGCAGGAGCAGGGACCGAGCAACGGGAGCTCACCCCGTCGCGGGGATTTGAACCACCAACCTTCTGTTTGTTTGTTTTTTAAATGATATTTATTACTTTTTTAACATTTCCAACACAAACTAAAAAAGAAAAAAGAAAGAAAAGAAAAAGCAATGCAAATACAATACACAAACGCTACATGAACTAAAAAAACAAATAAAAACAAGCAAAAACAGTTTAAAATCACCTCAAACATTTTCAATATCTTATATTTCATTCCCTTATTTCCAGCGGCCTCCTCCCACCTCCCTTTTTGTATTCCACTTCCATTATTTGTTTCAGCAATTCCTTTCCATCTTACTCTGTTTTCTGTTCTATAATTATCTTAACACATTCTTGCCATACTTTTCCTTTAATTTTCTATTAATCTATTTATACCTAATTCCTTATGACATTTCTACTAAAGCCATATAATTTCATTCCAACATTTTTCTAACATTCCTTAATTTTACAATATCTCTATAAATGGTCTTTAAATTTCTTCCAATCTTCTTCCACCAACTCTTCACCCTGGTCTCGGATCTTGCCAGTCATTTCCGCCAATTCCATATAGTCCATCAATTTCATCTGCCATTGTCCAACACTTCAATGTTTGAACCGCCAACCTTCTGATCAGCAAGTCCTAGGCTCTGTGGTTTAACCCACAGTGCCACCTGCGTCCCTTTGTGGCAGGGATGGCTTCATTCAAAACTTCTGTTCCGGAGTCTCTTGAGTGGAGCCAATCCCAGAAGATCTGGTATTCAGGACCAAGTTTAAAGATATTGAATGCAAGCCCCACTTGCAGGCAAATTAGTGCACTTTAACACTCCTTGTTGTTCCTTTGCAGCTACAGCTGTACTACACCTGATGTCGTAGGAAGTCACATGTGGGGTAAGTGAATATGGCCTGGGGTAAAATGCCTCATAGCTTAAATTGGGACTGCTGGCCTCCAGGCTATAGGTTCCCCACCTGTGCCCTATGAATTTTATTTAAAATAGTTACTTAAAAAAGAAAACCCTCCAAGTGTAAGTAGCAAAATGTTTAGAAGTGGGGAGCATACAACATAAAATTCACATCAAGCAAATAAATTATGGCAATGGACAGCTTCACTGAGATTCAGATCAAGGATTCCCAGATGAAATAAGAATACAAGAGACCGGCCATGTTACTTCAGTGGGACAATATACTCCAACGAGCACAATCAATGGCTTTTCAGCTGAAGATCTGTTTCCTGATCATTATTATTTCTGGCTGGGTCTAAACCATTTCAAGCCATTACCCCAGCAATAAGCTCCCTGGGACCAGAAGATAGATGATAGATAGATAGATAGATAGATAGATAGATAAAAGTCAGAGGAGCAGCAACAGTCTTGGGAAACTTTATCTCTCTAACTTACCTTCTTTGTTGCCACCATACTGGTATTTCACTCCCCCAAAGTGCCATTCTGCCTCCAGCTGTTTTGGCAAACATGAACTTCGGAACGTCCGTCCATCTGATGCTAAAGAGAATATAGATCGGGTGAAATCAATAATGCTTATGTTTTTCAGTACCCTTGGTACTTGAAGGAAAAGGAAGTTGGGAAAAGTTCAAATGCCAAAGTCCATTTATAGAAGAAAATCAAGTTTTTTCTTGTTTCCCCAAATAGGAAGCTCAGTCCACTAGACCAGGAGTAGCTAATCTTTGGTCTTCCAGATGTTGGTGTACTGTAGTTCCCATCAATCCTGACCACTGGTCATGCTGGGTTGTTGGAGCAGATGGGTGTTAGAATTCAACAACAGCTGGAGAGCCACACATTTCTCACCCCTGCACTAAACTCTATGTAGGCAGGTGGGTCCTGTATAGACAGGTAGGTGAAAAATGGAAGAGACAGATACAGGTTGAGGAATGCTTCTGCTCCCAGCCAAACTGGACTAAAAATGTATAGATGGGGCAGCAATGTACAACACCGGGATGGAGGCCATGAAACTTAAGTGTATTCTGGGTGAGTTGGCATTATAATGGGATGTGAAAATGATAATAGCTGTACGTGCTACTCAAAGGGTCTTGATATTAATATGTTAGTGGACTCCTAGGCCAGGCTTCCTCAAACTTGGCCCTCCAGATGTTTTTGGCCTACAACTCCCATGATCTTTAGGCAGCAGGACCAGTGGTCAGAGATGATGGGAACTGTAATCTCAAAACATCTGGAGGGCCGAGTTTGAGGAAGGCTAATCAAAAGGAGGAGACGATACTTAGAAGGTTCTCAAGTAGGAAGAGCATCCCCTGAACCCAAATTTTTTCACATTCGAGCAAAACAGGAAGCTGAGTTGCTGAACCGTTTAAAAGAGCTGAAGTAGTATATCTACTGTTTAGAATGTAGATCGTAATCATGGTGCTTGTTTGTTTGTTTGTTTGTTTGTAATCACAACCCAAACTCACCTCCACCCAAAGGCTTGGTTTTAATAAGCAGTTACCCACCACAAAGGGCAGCTACAATTGCTTTCCACAATTTGGCTCCTCTTTGAGTTTATCTTTCAGCTGGCTTGTATAAGCCTACAGAGTGCCATGTTACCTGTCTCAGTGACAACAGAATCTCATTAAAAGGAAAATGCACACCAGGAAGGGGATAAAGAGACAGTCAGCCTGTCAGAAGCTGGTCTAGGACCATTTCCCATTAGAATTCTGAACAGGACAAATTCTAGGGACTGGATGAATCCACTTAGCTGGATGAACCCCCCCCCCCCGAGTCCATCCACACACAAAAACACAAAGCTATTCTGTCTGACTGTACCTTCCATTTCCAGGGCTCCCAATGTAGCAAGCCGTGCAGCCTTCAGACCAAACCCCAAATAGCTGTAAAATGAAGAAGGCCAAACAGCACTTGGTTAAAGTCGGAGTTCATCCTATCCCACTTACAAGACTAGGCAATTTTATGAACAAGGATATAAGATCAATACTCTGCTAAAACAGCCTCCTCCTTGCTAAGCCCATGTATGAAATGTTAGCATGTGGCTCTTTACAGTAATCCACAGACTACCTGTTTATTATAATGAGAATAAAGACACATGTGGGGTTGTGATAACTAGCAAGAGATGCGATGCTGACTTCAGAATAAGCAATACAAATTATTAAGGCAATATTACATCTGGCAAATACCTAACAGTGTCCTTAAAAATAGTCATTTGCATAGAACTGCCTCACTCACCTGTGTGTGTAGAGCTTGTAAGTGCTGTTGAACATTTCAAATGAGGTAAGGAAATCTACTGGTGTTTGCTCTAGGGTTTCCTAAAATTAGGATAATGAAAAAGGTTTCTTCAGTGACTTTAAAATTTCAAGATACATTTGTGTAACATTAGTACAGCATATAACATTCACACGAGTCTTGAAGAGACAAGAGAATTTTGATAATCTTAAGCTATTAATGTTCAGAAAACATCTGCTCTACTGTAGTAAGGAAGAAAATCTTCTATGAAGGTTGATAATGAATGTAGTCACAGTCATAAATTGATGATGCTGGAAAGCTCACAATAAGGAAAAAAGGTAAAGGACCCCTGGATGGTTAAGTCCAGTCAAAGGCAACTATGGGGTTGTGGCGCTCATCTCGCTTTCAGGCCGAGGGAGTTGGCGTTTGCCCACAGACAGCTTTCCGGGTCATGTGGCCAGCATGACTAAACCGTTACTAGTGCATTGGGACACTGCAATGAGTGCCAGAGCACATGGAAATACCGCTTACCTTTCTGCTGCAGCGGTATCTATTTATCTACTCGCACTAGTGTGCTTTCGAACTGCTAGGTCAGAAGCTGGGACAGAGCAACGGTAGCTCACCCCGTTGCGAGGATTCGAACCGCTAACCTTCCGATTGGCAAGCCCAAGAGGCTCAGTGGTTCAGACCACAGCACCACCCACGTTCCCTGGTCAGAATATACGTATGATAATAAGATACAGGCACTACTTTAAAGAACAAGCTGCAACATTTTGGAAGTCACAGCTTGAAAAGCAACATTATCAAATGCATACCATTTCACATTATTTCTGGTATTTAAAACACTTTTACAAAGAAGCCTAACAACCTAATGAATATTATTATAATAATTTCATAATAACAATAATTTATTATTTGTATCCCGCCCATCTGACTGGGTTGCCCCTGCCAGATTAAAGCAGCCTAGATCTAAATGAAATAAAACATGAAATAAATAGGACACCTGCACCAAATTATCCAACATTTGGGCAACCTCGAGATTCCTCACCTCTCGCTGTGGCAGGAATGTGATCTGGGTTGAGGCTCCTCCCAGATCCAGGGTCCCCACCGTCTGCTGATTCCGGCCATACAACTGCCCTGCAGGGAACATTGAAGAAGTTCAAAGACTACCCACATGCCCAGAGAGTTTCCATGTTATCTATTATTTGCAGCCCTGAATGGATTTCAGCAGCAGAGTCTTCTGAAAATTTGCACTATAAATATCCAACTACCTACTCAGTTTTTACGGAACAGACTCTATCCAAGCCTCAAAACTGAAATCACAAAGCAGTAATTACCTGTCAAAAAGTTCACAGTGATCCAGGCTAGTATACCTGCAAAAAGGAAGGAAAAGTAACTGAAATCTATCTTGAGACCCAAATGCAATCCAGAAAGATATCCACTGCTGCTAGATTTCCACCTCTATCACTGTTCAAGCATAATCTCTTCCAATCCTTCCCTAGGTTTTGAATATGTTCTAGTCTCCACCCCCATCAGCCTTCACTGTTTTCCATTTGAGACCTTCCACAATTCCGCTCTTGAAATATATTTGACTTCATTTCTAACCCACAAAAAATGTATTATCCTTACTCTTAGTGGACATGCTTAACAGGCTTGTCAGCTTAGGGACAATTCACTTGACCACTTTGGCATGTTGAACATGTGAGGGGGATCCAGGCTGAGTTTAGCGCGCAATAAGTATGGTGGGATAGCTTTGCACTGCTCACTGTTTCCCATCTCAGAAAATATTTTGGCTTGCAAATGTGCAGGCAGGGACTGTGCTCTTTTGCCTGTACTTCCCAATAAGTAACAAACAATAATTCACTGTTCATCACAAAGGTATGGAAAGTGAGTTGAAGATCATTTGGTAAATGTAGGCTGACTGAAAAACCATGCTTGTGAGGAAACAGAAAACCTCTACTCCAGCTGTCATTGTTAGTCAGATTAGGGGTAGGAAATCTCAGGCTCAGGGGCCAATGCAGCCCTCCAGGCCTTTCCATCTGGTCCACAGAACCCTACCAGGTCATGCCCCATCCATAGGCCACACCTCTCTCCAGCCCTGTTCCACGTCCTCTTCCACTGCTTTTCCTTCACCAAAAGACTATGTCCCTGACCTTTGACAATGCCAGTTGTTGAGACTGGGGCAGGGGTGCGCATAAAGACCTCTGACAATGTAGCTGACTGTACAAAGGTAAAAGTCTCACCTGTCGGGCAACATACTTTTGTCTCCAACCCTGCACATCTCTGGCATACAGGGGCTCCCACCCCCCTGGGCTAGATACACTTAAAACTATTTACTCACTATGCCAGTTTGGCTACTTGAATTTGTCCTTTGCTTGAGTTTCTTCTAATTGCAAACTATGTGACTGCTTTCCATCTAACAGTACTTGCATTATGAAATGTTGCCATTAAAACCAAGGAGACTCTTTGCTTTCCTGTGTATGGAACCTAATTCTCCTCTAGAAACTTAAAGCGTCTCTTTGGGACTAAGAAAGATATTGTGGTTTGGCCACTGTGATACCAGCAATATTTTACCTTTCATTTGGCACTGGGGAGATGCTACTCCTTCCCTCTTGCTTCTGTGGTTATTCTTCCTCACTTGATCCCCTCCCTTTTCTTTCTCCATGAACTCACCTCCATTCCTTCCCATTTTCTGCCTCCCAGGACCCACCTTCATAAGATCCATCCATGATGCTAACACTGTTATCAGGAACTAGAAATGGTGACTCCTCAAAGACCGCCCTGACCTGTGGAAATGAAAAAACTAGGTTATGCATGGATGAGTGGATGTCATAACTTTCCTCCCGTACAAAAAACAGTGGGAGGTAAATCAAGGTGAGCACAAGTCAAGCGCTTTCACCCAGCATTCAGGTATAAAACAGGAATTTATTGAAACATAGTGACAGCAGATGTAGGATCTACAAGTGCCTCTCACACGACTGGTATAGTATTTTTTTTTAAATCAAGGCAAAACCGCACATAGGCAAGCACTGAAAAGAGCTTGTTACATATGCCCCCAACTTTTACACAATAAGCCAACCCCCTTGCAATACAACCTAAAGTTACCTCAGAGAGTAAAGCTTGGGCTTTATGCTCTGCTAACAGCCTCAGACCAGCCGTGGCTTTCAGGACTACTGGGGTCTTATTCCAGTGACTGGGCGGTACAGCTTCTTTAGCCATGTCCAACAACTGTCTGACTGTTTCTGCTCCCTAAAGTTGGAGAGAAATCCAAGACACAAACGTTGGTAAGTTCGCTCTCGCCTATAACTAAGTTGCAGGTACATGCAACTGCATTTACTCACATTTGTCCCTTCCACCCACCAAGTTCCTCTTGCCCCACCCTCTCTTACCTCTTCTGCTATCCTAGATTGTAAGCTCTTGTCCAGCTCCCCCTCCCCATTCTTAAACTGTGTCAAGCACCATGTCTACTGATGGTGATGTACAGCAAAACATCTACTTCTCACCCGCCTCTTTGTCCTCCTCGCCTTCCCATTATGCTTTCTTTTTCTTCTTCATGTTATATAAACTGAATTTATAATGAGTGGGGAGGAAGAGAGCCAAATAGTCACAAAAAGCCATCAGAATGTCTTACCTTTCCAGGCTGATCAGCATAGGCGGAGAGTCCTGGCTTGACTGATTCAAAGATTTCGCCTTCTAACTCTGCAGGTTTTTCTGCAAAAATCAAGCCAAACAACTTTTATAATAGTTGATCTTCTCAAATGTGTGCATATCTATCAAAAGGAATTTACTGGTTTCACAGGATATCAATCTAACACATCATTATTTCTTTCACACAGAAAATGTTCTAGTATGGGCCACTGTGGCTTTGGTTTTGAAAATGCAGCCAAACTGACAAATTCAGTATACTTTTGGGAAAGGAGATTCTGAGCCCTGCAAATCCAGGTGTAAAAAGAATTACTGGGGCAACAAGTCAGCACAAAATTAGATGAAACGTGACAAAGCAAGCTGATCTGGATAAGGCCAAGCAATCAAAATAAGGAGCTGAAAAATTTATCTAGCATGTCCTAAGCCAGGGGTCAGCAAACCTTTTCAGCAGGGGCCGGTCCACTGTCCCTCAGACCTTGTGGGGGGCCCGACTATATTTTGAAGAAAAGACAGAAAAAAGAACGAATTCCTATGGCCCACAAATAACCCAGAGATGCATTTTAAATAAAAGGACACATTCTGCTCATGTAAAAACACGCTGATTCCCGGACCATCGGCGGGCCGGATTTAGAAGGCGATTGTGCTGGATCCGGCCCCCGGGCTTTAGTTTGCCTACCCAGGTCCTATGGTGATCCTTCCCAATTTCCTCCCCCCACTCATCCATTTATTGAAACAAGGTCACCTTCTAAATTACAAAACATCTTCCCCTCCCTGCCTAGAGTAACTTTTAGAAAACATATTTGTTTTGTTTGACAGTTATCTGATAATCTCCTAACAATTCACTGTAGGAGTGAATATACGTCTCATACCACTACCAAGTTCCCACCTTTCTGACACTCACTCTGTTACAGACAACATTTCAGACCAAAATCCCCTGCTGTTTTCTGTGATAAAGCCACTTTAAATTGAACACCCTCTCAAAAGAAGCATGACTAAGCAGTACAACTGAACCACAATGAACTTTATCTAGGAAGAGAAGCAAACATGTACAAACTGATCAAAGGTTAAAGAAAACAAGACAGAAGCTCTGAGAATAAAGGCTTATGATGCATTAAGAAACTCTAGAGCTCAGAATAAAGTTTCAATGGCTGGTCACAGTAGTACTCAAGCTAGTTCTCCAACTTTTAGAGGATGAGTAAGATCATTGGTATCAGAATTAGCAAAAGCATACAATATATTCACAATCTAAGGTCCCCACGGCATAGGCTTAGAACCTTCTCATGTGATCTTACCTGGGCTTCTCTGTACAAAGGTGTAAATGTGAATCCGTGTCCCTGTGCTTCCTGCATCAAACATAATGCCATATAGCGTATCCATGCTGGTGTTTGCAGGGCACACTTTGGAAGGGAAGAGGTCTTGAAACCACAGCTCTGGGCCGTGGTGAGAAACTAGGCAGTAAATGGAGGAAAGCGCAAACATAGCAATGACTGCAGCCCAGGAAAGTACCATTGTGCTTGGGAGCCTTGGACAGCCGCTGTACAAATCAGGATTTGCAGAGTTGGAGAAGTTCCTGCAGCAGAGTTATTAACCAATAGCATAATTAGTTACACCAAACCTCTTACACACAGGAGACTTTCAACATCCTAAAAAGCCACCCCAACCACAGCTCATGCTACAAATGCACTCCAAGAATCTGATTCTCACCATTAGGGGCTGCATCTTTTGAGTCTACGGAACAGTTCAAGATGCATTCTAATGTTCCAGGCAATTTCATAAAAATGCAAGCTATGCTCCTCCTCCCTCACAGAGTATCTGGTTGAACAGCTTCAACATAATGTTGAAACTGTGCCAAATGCCAAATTAAGCCATTGACATGAATCTATTCAATTCAGGCTAAGCTGTGTTCAGGCCAAGACTTCTGTGTCCTCACTAAAACACTAGCAGGCTTGGGCAGACAAAGAACACAAATGTCATTCAAAACGACAGACAATGGGAATCTCATCTTCTCCTGATGGCAGCGGCTTAAAAATCAGGGAGGGTAAAACACACCATTTCACTACGGTTATGTACAGTTATTAGAGAGGCAGAATGGGAGGGGTATTAGAATTAGATGCAGTTTTCTTTCCTTGTACTCAAATTTATCTTTCAGTATATTTTGTTTTGTTTTGTGTATTAACTTTTACTTTCAAATCAGATGCAAATTGTTTTTAGACTAATGTTCCCAACCAATGCTGTGTCTGATTATAGCACAAAAGAACCTCACAAGAACCCAGAAAGTAGAGAACATATAAGGCTTTCACCAAAGATGAATTCTGATAGGTTGCTACCAGTCATACTAAATCTCCCAGATTATCCAGCAATGGAGGGGTGGGGAGACGAGGGGGTAAATCCTACAGAGAGTGATCCAGCCATATTCTAGGAAAAATGAGCTTTAGTTTTACTTTTCCAAAGCTTAGAGGACACCATAGAACTCTATGAGGTAATTTTGAAATACAAGAGCTAGCTTAATAACCGTGCAGTCTAACATATGGAAGTCTTTAAGGAGAAATTCCAGAGGAATACTATTTTCAGCTCATGAAACAAAATGTCAAAGAACAGAAATAAAGTTTATTTGGGAAAGGGGGGAGGAAGAAGAAAAAGAGGAATGCAATGCATCACACAGACTTTCAAACTAAAAAATTAAAAAAGTCAATCTAATGTAGCCAATTGCATTTTACCTATTTGAGTAGAGTGCTGAGTTTTAGAGCCTATGCAGAACTTGTCAAAAAGAAGTTCAGGGGAAATGCAAGTCCTTACAGAGCATCTGATGACTGGCCCACAGAAAATTATGTCAAAATAAATGTGTTAGTTGTTAAGGTGCCACAAGACTCTTGGTTGATTTTGTCCATACTTAGCTGTGACATGCTCTTATTTCTAAAAAGCCTCAAACTACTTTATGCATCAGCTTTTCAGCATAGTACATCACCTCACTATTTGCACACCCAGTCTACTAATTATACCTGTCCACCGACATGTGATTAGAACTTGGCATCTGAATCCACTGGACTTGTTATCTTCTCCTGCTTCTACCCTTATGCCTGTTTCAATTTGCTGCCCCTCCCGCTCAGAAACGTCATTTGCCCTCTGCCTTTTTTTTATTTCCTTATCATTCCATAGCTCCACTCTCATAGTTTGATCCCTCAGCTTTATGACTAGTTACAAAACCTAAAATGAATCTTTAAACTTCTCTCCCTCAGCAGCTATGTCGTTTTCCATCTAGATTCAAATCAGTATGTTTTGTTCCAAGAGCAGTAGAAAGTATTCTTGGAGAGAAATCCCATAATAAAGTCCCCTCTTAACATAAAATTAGGGCTAAGGACAAGTTTGCTGAAAACTCTTCTCCATATGCAGCATTAGAATATCATTCTAGGCTATACTTTGGCATAACAAAATGGCAAAAAATTGGTCTAACAATCTGAAACCTAAACTTTCATTTTACAATGAACATCCCAAGCCAAATGAACTCAGAATTTATGTTAAAAAGACAGCTTCAGCAACTTAGGAGCAGATTGATTGTCTAAATCAAATTACAACAAAGTTTTAAATGCAGTAGCAAACAAGTGAAATCCTTTATTCAACTTTACCAATAACCAACACCATTTTGAGAGAATATCCATTAACATCCCTGTTGAGTGAATTGTTATTTTGCACCACCAGTAGTTTCCCTATTCAAATATAAAGCTTAGGATGTTGTCACATGGGATGTTGAAATAAAAACATAGATTGTTATCATAGAACTGGAGGCATAATAGTGAATAAACTTTTTTATTTCCAAAAAGGAAATAAAAATGCAAAATCGTGCTAGCCAGTATTTATTAAAAACTTGGGTATTTTCTAATAAATACCCACCTTTGCATTTTCCTCCTTGTTAAAGGCATAATAACTAAAGTAGTCAGATGCATAATACAGCTTAATGTTAAGCAAGTCTTGATAGAAGCTTAGGTCTCATTCATGTTGTAACCAAGACTGGATTTAGAACTCAAAGTTCAAGTTTTCTTACCAACCACTGAGCCTGCTAATAAGCATGGAATCTGGCATACAGAGGAATCCTATGCACATTTACTGAGATGTTTACTTCCCTCCAGTGAATATCTAAGCCTGCAATCCTATATTCACTTACCTGGGAGTAAGTCACATTGAACTCAATGCAGCTTACTTCTCAGTAGACATGTACAGGACTGTCTGTAAAACGTTACACCATTGAGTTGGATTTGTGGCGCTGCAGAGGATTTATTTTGTACTTGTTGGTGCAGCACTTTGGTTTTTTGGATGTTGAGTGATAGGCCAAGCTTTTCGTAAGCTTCTACAAAGATAGTTAGGATGGTTTGGCTACGAGTGATCGCCAAAGAAGAGGAATGTCTGTAAAAATCTCTCGCTGCAAAAATCTAAAGGAGAAGCTCCTGTACTATATGATACCACAGAGCAAGTGTGGTGTAGTCAACAGAATGCTGAACTAAGACTAGGAAGACCTAGATTAAAATATCTGCATAGCCATTATAATGATCAATAGTTGAACTTGGGCTCAACACTCTTTGTGCTGAACTGATTTCACAAGCCACTGTGACTTAATTATGGTTCCACCAAACACCTAATTTATTCTTGCAACTACCCTGTGAAGTGCCACTGTGCACTTCAAAGGAAGGCAGGATAATTACCGTACTTTTCTGTGTATAAGACTAGTTTTTTTAGTTTAAAATGGGATTAAAAATCTGGGGGCATCTTATACATGGATAGTGAATATGCCCATTTTCTAAATTTGGGGTCCCCAAAAGTAGGGGGGCGTATTATACATGGGGCAGTCTTATACACGGAAAAATATGTAATATATGAAGCAATATTGAATGGTATTTGGAAATTGTAGCTCATTCATTACTTGCCATTATACTAGGCTAGTACACCTTCACAGATAAACAATAGTCCAATTGATGAGCAAATCACATATAAGCTTCATGTACTTTGTGTTCTTAGCTGTCAAGCTGCAGTGGATTTCATAATAGATTTAGAACATGTGATGCTGAAATCTTAGTATAATCTGTATGAATGGTTCAGGGCTGAGCAACAATGGTTAGAAAGCAATTAGGTTAAGTTGGAGTCCTTAGAAATCTGGGAACAATGAATCCAGCTGCACTTATACAGTGTACCTTTGTTATACCACCTTTCTTACTTCCTTCAAATCCCTCCACAAAACCCATCTTTTCCATAAAGCCTTTAGCACAATCTCCAATTACTACAAACCCAAAGAATGTGTAACTGAAATAAATACAGAGTCTTCCCCTGCTTACTCCTGCCTGTATTTCCCTCCATTTTATCTGTGGTCACCTGTGGTCAATTGATTAGAATGTAAGCCCCCTCAGGGATGGATAGGACCGGTTATCTTGTATATGTAAAGCGCCGTGCACATTAATTACATTACAGTATATACAAAGAAACATAATATTGCATCTCTTAGTTTTTATTTGATGGCAATCATGACAACTATATATTCAATCCAAGACCTGAAATTTAGGTAGTTTCTTTCAATCCCAAAGTCCCCCTCCCCACAAAGCAATTTAACTAGCCAAGCAACTCCAATACAGTACTGTATCTTCACTCACCTATTCCTCAGCTTTATTTGCAAGTGCAACTAAAAATGCTCAGCTATTAAGCAAGCAGGAGTTACATGTTAAAGTTCAAGCCAACCACCTTCTGTGAACCTAGGTTTATCATTTATCTAAGGCAAACAAGAAAATATGCCTTGGTTGGGGTTTTTTTCCTGCCCCAGGAAAGTTCAAGGGGCATATTTCAGTAGGGCAAAAGCTCCAATAAAAATCATTGCTGAATTAGAAAATAATTTACCACGATGAATGTTCATTGCAAAAGAAGGATGGGGTGGGGGTTGGGGGTTGGGGAGGAGGCACAAAGTCAATTCATGAACAGGGGAAAACAAAGAGCTATTTTTGACTCATCTTCTTATGTCACACTGTGCTGATCGGAGCGGGCACTGCCACAGCGCAGCAATAGATGATGCGACTGCTTGAAATGCGCTTTATCACAGCACCCCTAGAATACCACACCGCGATTTCAGGAGCCATTGGCATAACTAAAATTGGAGAATAAAAACAACACTCTTTCCAAGACTTAACCCATTGAGCAAACCAATTTTGTAAGTAGTGAAATGACACGTTCAGCTGATGCTTGGAAACAACTACGTATTTCCTCGTGGTGGTTCTAAACGGGCAAAGTGGCTTTTCTTTGTTTGCACGCAACAGATTGAAACGGGAGGCATGGTCTCTCCGAGTCGAGAAGCTCCGGATTCCTACGGAAAGACGCGTGTCGGGTGTGCACGCATCCGAATGTATCGGAGTGATACGCCGCCGGAGTATCGACAGGGCAAATGCTGCCGAAGCAGGAGAGACCAGAGCCGGGAAGGCCGGGGCAGGGGGAGCTCTCCAGGGCTGGGCCCGCGCGCGACCCTGAGCCGGCGGGGAAAGAACTTCCACGCACTGCCCCGTCCAGACCTCTCCACTCACCGCCTTGTCAGAGCCCTCAACCTTCCACATCTCGCCGGTGCCGCGTGTCACGTCAACACACCGCGCGTGACGTCTCTCCCTCTCGTGCGCGCGCGCGCGCGCCATCGTCCTCATCTTCCCGCGACGCCCGGTTGCCGTAGCAACGGGCCGCCGCGAGGGAAAACACCGGCGTGGCTTCTAGGGGGAAACATGAAGGGGAAAGGGAAGGCGAAAGCGGCGAAAGGCGGGAAGTAGGTAGCTAGGGAGACGGGGACGGGCGGGCGGGATGGCGCTGGGACCCACCTCTCCGGGCATATCTGGCGGGTGGGAGCGAGAGTCGCCCGGACCCCTTGACCCTCCTATGGCGCGGTGTCGCTCGCTTCCCTCAGGGGGAAGAAGGGCGGCCCCGGCGGCAGCGGCAAGAAGGTTGACGTGAAGGCCCTGAAGGAGGAGTCGGAGGCCGACAGGGCTAAAGCTGCGGCGTCGCTATGGGAGGCCAGGCTGGAGGTGACCGAGCTCTCCCGCAAGGAGTACCGCGCCGCCGCCCGCCGCCTCGCGCAGAACAACGAGGAGCTGGAGCGGCAGCAGCGGCGGCTGGAGAGGGACACGGTGGACGTGATGGGCTACCTCAAGAGGCAGGACATGGAGAAGGAAGATCTGGTAGGTGTGGAACAGCAGGCGAACTTCCTCCTCCTTTTGCAGAGTTGCTACCCCTTAACGCTGAAGGCTACGATCTTTCCAGCCTGTCGAGCTAACTCAGAATAATCTGTCTAGTTCCACGGTTTTAATACACAGATGCAGTGCTCTCTTTTTCTAAAAACATGTTTAGGGGTGCTCTCACTTTCCTACTCATATTGAAATACTGCCCTCAATGAGGCCAAACTTAGCTGCACAAAATGTTTAGGGGTATGCGTCCCCCTGCGTTCTCCCAGAAAAAAGCACTGTATACGTGTGTATATACACAAAAAACCCCCACAAACAAAATAAAAATAAAAATGAAGGAACTGATTGCTGTTGTATTCATTAGGCAATCTTAAAACTGGTGTGGGAAACTTTTAACCCTCCAGATGTTGCCTTTTTAGCCCTAGCAAGAGTGGCCAAAGGCTGGGACCCACCTCTTCAGGAACATCTGGAGTGCCAAAGGTTCCCCACACCTGTCATATGGCATGTACTTTCAGAATGGAGACGTGACATAGAATTTCAGAGCAATCGCCACTGCTACACTTTTTAAGGGGGAAAACAACCTAGATGAGGAGGAAAGTGTTTCTTCTCAACACTGTTTAGATTTTCTTTCATTGCAACAGATAGCGTTTGCCAAAACTATTATCCTTTCGTTTTCCATTGGTCTTCAAAATCAATAGTACAAAAGTACTAATATGGAGTGTCATTCAGCATGTATAGTTTGGCTTTCCTTTACAATTTAACAGCCTACTTATTCAGCCCACTGACTGTAAGACTTTCACAGCAAATACCCTAACTACTGTAGCACTTTTGCAAATAAAGATATGGAGAAAGTATGAAATAATCACCCTCATATAACTAACATGCTTAAATCTAATTAATGTGTGGAGGGACCAAAACTATAAAGCTGTCCTGTCAGGCTTAGCTAGGTCACACACCCTCACCTTGGGAAAGCTCTTTGTTCTTCCATTCCACCATGTGAGCCCTGAACTGGATTTTTCCAATCCATAAAATGATTGATTTTTTTCCTCATTTTCTTTTTTTAATATGTAGATTGAGAAGCTAAAGCTGCAGTTGATTGAGGTGAAGCAAAAAGCCAAAGAAGAGAACGATGAACTGGTGAATAGACATGTCTTTTGATTCTGTTGGTACAATGACACACTGAAAACCAGACTAAGCACATTTTGGGTTGTACCTGACAATAGATAAGTTGCACAAGACTGTTTTACAGTAAATATATTTAATCTTCTAACATCTGGTGGTTCAACTCTTTAAGTCATGACTAAGTCTTTAACTAGGGCTGTCATAGGTTCAGGCTCTGAAAATGGCATCCGGGTGGATTTTTGCCGAAGCGTCAACATGTCTGGGAAAACCTGGATGTATGGCAAGTAGAGCTTTCTTTTAAAAAAAGAAATGCTTTAAAAATCATTTTAAAAGTCTAAAAACATAATTGGGGTGCATGTGTGTTCTTAACAATTTTGTCCCCCCTCTCCTCCCCTCCCCCCAAGAAGAAAAAAACTCAACAATGTTGTCCGGATTTTCACTTTTGGGAATATGGCAATCCTACCTTAACTGTTTTTTGGGGGCAGGATTTGCCAGAAAAAAAATGGAAAACTAAGTCCAAAGTATGTTAATACTCAACCTCATGGCAACACACCCTTACCGGGGATTAAGTTCCATTCAACTCAATGACTTATTTCTAAATAAGCATGCCTAGAGTCAGAGATGGAGTTCTCATCAACATTTGGCTTATGCAACTGGAGGTAGAACTGACTTGGAATTGTTATACTATTATTTGGTTCTAAAAGATCATCATTTAAAGCTTCATTTTGTTAAGTTATTTTAGTTTTTTATTGGTAGCTCTTCCCTAGTGATGCTCTTTAATGTGAATTATTTTTAAACATGCTACACATCAAGCTGATCCTAATGCCATATGCTCATTTTTCTCTGTTTCCTCCCATGGTAATCAGTGGGACAATCAGAACTTAAGCCAGTTTGTGTCCTCACATAGATTTCCTCCATGTTCATGGATATGAGTGTGCAATTACAAACACTGATAGTATGCTTCTCTTCCATGCCCTACCCTTTTCTCTGCCACTCTACCTCTGGGATTTTGCTGGTGTAGTTTTTCATCTGATGGGGTCTTTCATCAGTGTGACAACAGGGTTCTGGCAGTGGATAACTTGTTCTGCCTCTGTAGGTTCAATTCCACCATTGGAAAAGGAGTTCTTCCACTTCCAAAGGCCATTCGGCCAGCAGATACCTAGGGTAGGATTGCACCATTAGTTTTCTTTTTTTTTTTATCTTGCTAAAAGTTTCTAATTTGCAGGTACAATATTACACCAAACAGTTGGAGGAGATGGAGGAAAAATTCAACAAGAAGGCCAAAGAAATTGGCCTAATTCAAGTTGAGCTGAAAATGATAATGGATTTTCGCAAAAAGAAAGCTCTTTTGGAAAAACAACTTGAAGATGTAAGTTTATTAGCATCTATTCTGCTAAGCGTTAGAAGTGCATTGGGTGATCTCTAGACTGCCATGCTAAAGTGCAGCTGTGCTGGACTGCCAAAGTGTAATTTGGAAAAATGAAATGAAGTTTTGAGAGACAGGCTCAGAAGTTACTAGAATGAGACAGAAAGTTTTTTCCTTGGATTTTTGTAAGAAAATCAAGTGTTTACATTTGCAGTTTGATGACCTTTTAGCAATTTATTAAGCTTATCATATATAATGTGATGTGCACTTCAACTGAGATATTTTAAAGATTTGTGTGTAGCAGATTTTGGATTATATACTCTGACAAAGATTAAAAGCTATGTCAAAATGTGAGAAGGTATGCAAGGCCTGTGCTATCAGCATTGCTCACAAAGTAAGTGTTACCTGCAGTGCTTTTTTCACGGTGTACTTTGAAGGGGAAGCAGTACTGGCACCTCTTTTGTTGTTGTTAAAAAGTGTGGTACTTATTGTAACAACTTCACAGTGAGTACTGGCAACTATTTTTCTAGAAAAAAGCATTGGTTACCTGATATGCAAACTTGCAAAAATGTGAAAAAGTGAGCTGGTAAATTTTCAGGTAACAGATAGTGAAAGCACTGTGAGTTTCAAGGCATGCAATACGGACATATAAGAAAAACATGTGGCATATTGTGAGATACCGCTCTAGAGAGTTTTGTTTAAATTGTCATTTAGATGGTTAAAATAATAAGTAAATATTTCTTAAAATCCTAGCTCAATGAAATTATGGAAATCACAGAAAAAGAACATCAGGAAACAATCTGCATGTTGGAGAAAAAGTTCCTTGAAGAAAAGGTATAGTGTTTGGGCAGTAGTACGGTGCATATGTTGTTTCAGCATGCACAGTCCTTGCGATAATGCACAGGATGTCTGCTTCAATCCACCAGTTCAAACAGCTCCGAGGCAGCAATATGGGGCTTGCAGTCTATGCATGGACAACTTTTTAAACCACCTAGATATGTATGGAATGAAGAAATATGAAGTACTGTACTGATCCAGATTCCAGATTTGCATAATTTTGCCTGTTCTGTTATCTTCCCCCAGCCTGAAATAATAAATAAGGAAATAGGTACAGATTTTAAGGAAAAGTTATGGATCTCTGCCATTCCGCCTCTGTCTGTATTGAACCTCAACTTTCACAGTGCAACCTTTTATTATTTTCTATAACACAGAAGGGGCAAACACTTCCTTCACATACTTTTGAAATGTGAATGCTGCTTTATGCCTGGTTTTCATTGCAAAATATCTGTTTATGCTTCTTTCAGCAACGACTTGAAAGAGAAGCAGAGAAGAAGATTTATATGCTAGCAGAAAGGGCTCACCATGAAGCCATTGTGTAAGACTTACTTGATTTCTCTGTTCTTTAACCATTGTGAAGGTGCTAAAGTATGGTAACTTGTAGGATATCCACATGGGTGCTTTGTTTCTGATAAGTAAATATGATGCTGGACCCAAAGCAGCCTTAACACACCCATGAATGCTGTCTCCATCTGTTTGTTTTGTATCTACAGCTTGTGCACTGTGACGTATTGTGATTAATACAGGAAATTTGTGATTCCAACTGCTGAATAGTCTTTACATTTATTCAGGCAGTTGGATGCTGCTGGAAAAGCTGTTTTTTCAGAGAATGTTCGTCTTCATGAGGCTCTTGGATACCACATGAAGGAAACAGAAGAGTTACAAAAAGCCAAGCAAAAATTGGAGGAGAAAAATGCCTTTCTCTTGCAGGAGAAGGTTAAGTTTATGACTTCTTACCTTTTTCATTCTCCTATACATAAGATCCCTTGAAATTCTATTTGTGCAGGTTCATGAGAGCTAGCACCTCTCCATATCTATGCCAAAATCACTTAACATTTGGTGGTATATTGGGAAGCTAAAGCTCCTGTTCTGTTCTGTAATGAAAAGGCTTCTAACACCAATTCACATGTTACTTGCATGTAGGGCACTCGTGTTGAAACAGGGGCAGGGCTGATGACTTGTTCCCAGGCTAGTCTTTATCTAGCCTTTATCTGCATTCAAAGGAATGCAAACATGGGAGCAGCTGCTGTTACACCTACATGTGGCACCTAGATGTCAATAGTACATCTGGTTGTGTAAGTGTCCTGATCACGTGGATCCTTGTATTTGAACAGCAGCTTGTGCGTATGGAATCATTTTCAGATACCATTCAACATGTGGACATTGGTTATGCAGCCTGGGGATGTAATTTCAGGGGTGGGGTCATGTTGTGGGCCTTGAGCATGCAAATGCCTTACACACCAGTAATGCATGAATAGGTGTCCACTGAAGACCATATTCTATATTTTCTCCTTCGGTATTTTGAGATTTTGGGATATATTCAGTGGGTGGGATTTACCTAAGCAGCTCAGCCCACTTGCGACTGGGCTCCCTCTTCCCAACCCTCCCAAATTGGCTCTGAGCTGGCAGACAGGAGAACCCCAGAACAGGGCATGGGGGAGGCAGGATTGTTCCATCTGGCAGGCTGCTGCTTGTGCAGACTGAACGATAGAAGAAGCACAGCATTGAATTCCACCCATTATTGATTATTATAGTCATATATCAGAGCCAGAATAGTTTTAAAATTAGTCCAAATCCCATCACTATTGTGAAAGTTCTAGATTTAAACATAAATTAGTCATTCCAACTGAACACTGTCCGTTTCAACTACCTGTGGCTAACCTAAAACCTATAGTAGTTTCCCTCCAAAATGCACTAGTTTTGCATATTAACTGGAAGAGAAAACTTATGTTAAGTTTGTTTTTATCAGATTGAGCATGAGTTGAAGGGAGAGAAGGTGTGTGCAAGCTGCTCAGCAGTGGACTCTTTAATCTGCCTATCTGAGATTGGCGAATGTTGCAAGCAGGACAAATTTTAATCTAGTCTGTGATCCATTGAAGCTTTCAATTTTGTTTATAACCGTTTCAAGAATTTTAATTGTCTGAAAGCTTTGATGATCAAAAGACAGCTTTCAAAAGTATTACCTTGCAAGTAATTTTATTTATTTATTTTTAAAGGAAACCAATGAATTGTTAGTTCACGAAAAGATACGGCAAATTACTCAGCAGAAAGCCCTGATCCAGGACCTGCAAAACAAGGTGAAAAAACTGGAAGAAGCTGTTTATCATATGACCCGAGAATTTAAAACTGAAGTTGAAAGTACCCAACAGAAGGCTTTGATGCAGAACCAGGCAGGCCAGACAGAAATTGCAAAGCTGCAGCAGCTGCTGGAAATGAAGGAACGAGAGATGAGCAGAGTGAAGAAACTGGCCAGAAATATCCTGGACCAAAGGACTGAGGTGGAGAAGTTCTTCTTAGATGCTCTGGAGCAGGTGAAACAGGAGATCATAACCAGCAGAAAGTGCTACAAGCAGGTGGCTCAAGATGCATATCAAAGAAAAATGATGGCAGCATATGCAGGGAAAGATGAATACCCTAAAATCAGAACCTTTAACAACAATGAGCACAGCACAAATAGTGTACAAATGGACCTTCTGGAAGCAGAGAAATGGTACATGTGGTAGAATTGTAGAAGTTTTCTTTCTGGTGGCCCTGGCTGCCAGGAATAGAAAGTGTGTAAAAATCCCTGTGAAATAGTACACCTCAATTTAGACTGTCTTAGGATAGGGCCGGGGTAGGGATCCTTTTTTAGCCTGAAACACATTTCTTTGTTGGCAACCTTCTGGGACCACATGCCAGTAGTGAGTGGAGCCAAAGGTAAAGTGGGTGGAGTGACAAATGAAAATTTTACTTTTGTACAATAAGCTAGTTTCTTCACACACCCTCTCTATCCTGTATTCTGGCAAGCAAAATGCACTGTCAGAATTTAAGGGCACATTCCATCCTGGCCAAAATACCCAAGGAGAGGCATTGCCTGGAGAGAAACCTGGAAGCCAGATAGAGAAGCTTACTGCAGCACAAGAGTAAGGAGATAGAGCCATATAACTGTAGAGTTGAAAGGGATCTAAAGGGTCATCTAATCTAACCCTGTGTAATGCTGGAAACACAACTAAGGAATCCCTGACAGGTAGTCATCCTATCCCTGTTTAAAAGTCTCCAATGAAGGAGAGTCCATCACCTTCTCAGGTAGTCAATTCCACTGTCAAAACAGCTCTTAATGTCATGATTCTAAATCTCTCTTGTGGTTAGGCACCACTGGTTCAGACCATATAAGCAGATATGTGAAGTTAGGACTTCTTTCTCCAGTGTGTATCACTTTACGTGGTGCTTAAATTGCATATGCCATTTTAATGTCTGTTCACCCAGTTTAGGAAGAACCTATTAGAGTTCCTCACAATCCCTTTGGCCTGTTTGTTTTTCCCAACCTGAACTATTGGATGTCACCCCAACTCCAAATCATGATGAATAAGTTTAAAAAGCCCTGCTTCCAATGCAGATCCCTGAAGGACTCTGCTTCTTCCATCTCTCCATTTGAAGAACTGTTCATTTATTCCTCTTCTCTGCTTCCTGTTTTATTTCCAGCAGTTACTGATCTGTAAGAGGACCTGTTCGCTTATCTCTGTTAAGCTTACCCAAGAGTCTTTGACGAGGTACTTTATCAAGAGCTTTTTGAAAGTCCAAGCACACTGTGTGTACTGGATCACCCCTATTCACATGCTTCCAGATGCTCTCAAAGAGCTCTGAATCTTCTTGAGCAAGGCTTGTTCTTCTGTATACGATGATGTTATTTTTAATACCTTTTCCACCAGTTTCCCTGAAACAGATGTTCAACTAACCTGCCTGTAATTTCCTGGATCCCTTCTTAAACATTGGTGTTACATTTCCAGTCCTCAAACACAGATACAGTACCAGTCTTAAGGACAAACTACATATTTTTGTTACAAGATCAGCAATTTGGGGTCTTTAAGAACTCTTAGTCGGATGCCATCTGGATCAGGTGATCATTTTTATTTTGTCCATAATACCTTTGTCTCTTGTCACCACTATTTGCCTTAGTCCCTCAGAGTCCTTTCCTGAGAAAGTTAGTTCAGTTACAAGTGCTTGCCTTACATCTTTGGAAGCAAAAGCTTTTCTTTGATTTCCCTTTCTTCCATCTGCACACTTTGACACCCTTGTAGTCTAAAGGTCCAGCTGTTCCCTAGCTAGCTTCTACTTTTAATTTACATACTTTTTATTGCTAGCTGTAAATGCATTTTTAAATTTATTTATTTGGGGACATTCCTTGCCATCTGCTTGCTTTTTATTTTTTTGGCTGAAGTTTGTTTTCCTTTTTCCCCTCATTTGGCCCATTTCCCCCCTGAAACATTCCTTCTTGAATCTAATAGCTTCCTTGAAGTTGCTCCTTAATTGCAGTGGCATCATCTTGGCCTAAGAATCATAGAATTGTGGAGTTGGAAGGCATCCCGGGGGTCATCTAGTCCCAGCCCCCTGCAATGCTGAAATCTCCCCCATCTAATTTGAAACCATACCGGACCTTCCTTCATTTTGCAAACGTGCTAGCAGTTTTATGGTTGCACCTCCAGGAGAACCTTGGTGGTGTCTTTCCTGATCTAAGCTGCTATTATTGAGGTTTTGCATGATCCTAAAACATTCTGGGAAGATTTGACTTTCCTGACTTTCCCTTTCAAATTCCTTTTTAACAGTCCCCTAATTTTTTAGAAGCTTCTTTTTGAAGTCAAATGTGATGCGTTGAACTTTGGCAATTGTTCATTTTACACATATATTGGATTCATTAGTGGCACAATGACTGTTCCCAATCACACCAGTTCTTGGGTGCCCCTTAAGATTAAGTCCAGGGTCACTTCCTCCTCCATCAGTTCAGTGACCAGCTGATCTAGGACACAGTCATTTAGGGTATATATTTGTAGGTTTATGGTCGTAAGGTACTGATTTATTGATTTTATCTTTTTTTCTGTAGGACAAATATTCAGAAAGGAAAACTGGACATTTCTGATTTGACCTGGGAACAGAAGGAGAGTGTGCTGAGGCTACTCTTTGCAAAAATGAATGGCCTTAAACAACGGTAAAGTCCTGTCTGTTACAGCGAGCAAGGGCTATAGAATCCTTAGGGTAGCTGCCTATTTTTCAGTTCAGCACTTGTTCGCCAAACGGAAACCCTCGAGAAATGGTCCACAAAAAGAATCATGCTCAAAGTGACTTACAACAAAAGTCAACATCATAGGAACAATTTCATAACAACATAATAAAACAACATAATAGCAAAATATAACAAATAAAAAACACAACATTTCAGTACTAATATAATAAGATGGCATTAACAAAGAATTTGCAATAGCAAAAAATAACAAGAGAGCTTGATAGTTTCTGCTTGGTCCTAGAAACACCCCTCTCACGTGATCGCTCATAGTTCCTTTCCTGCAGCAACTTGCAGGGCTTCCGAAGGGTAGTTGGAAACACTCCTCTGGTGGTGTTGGGGGAGGAAATGTTGAAACTGGAACTTTCACTAGCTAAACCAGATTTTTTTGGAAGGAGGGGTTTGCAGAAAGTAAATACCATATTTTGCTTTTGATTGAATTAGAACCACTAGGCCTGAGACTGAGAAATTCTAGCTGCCCTGCTTTCCTAACATAAAGATGAAGGGACCCCTGACCATTAGGTCCAGTTGTGGCCTACTCTGGGGTTGCGGCGCTCATCTTGCTTTATTGGCCGAGGGAGCCGGCGTACAGCTTCCGGGTCATGTGGCCAGCATGACTAAGCCGCTTCTGGCAAACCAGAGCAGTGCACGGAAACGCCATTTACCTTCCCGCTAGAGTGGTACCTATTTATTTACTTGCACTTTGACGTGCTTTCGAACTGCTAGGTTGGCAGGAGCTGGGACCGAGCAACGGGAGCTCACCCCGTCGCAGGGATTTGAACTGCCGACCTTCTGATCGGCAAGTCCTAGGCTCTGTGGTTTAACCCACAGCGCCACCCACGTCCTTTCCTAGCATAGTCAGAACAAAAAAGAGACGTTAACTCCTGCAAGCGGAAGATGGAAGCTTCTGCAAGTCCTGCCTCCACTGCTGAAAAGGATGAATGCTACTGGATGTCGTCCTCTGTATTAGAGCAAGAATGCAAATAGGAAAGAGTAGCTTGGAAAAATATTTCTGTGTTCCTTTTTCTTGTACAGGTCCTAACTAGCTAATGGGGGAAATGGGTATCCAGACTTTATTAAGAAGTACTAAAATTTAAAATGACAGAATTATGAAGTATTTTCTCTAGTTTTGAAAATTTAAGCAGTGATTCGAATCCCACTTATCTGGCAATAAGTAGCAGTGAGCTCCATTGAATTCAGTGGGACTGACTTCTGAGTAGACATGGTTAGGCTCACAGCCTTAGTTACTAGTGCATTCTGACACATAGTATTGAAATAAAGTGCAAACTAACTTACTATTCAGGAGGAGAAAATGGAACAGAAGTTCAGGTGTGTAGATTCATTGCAGAGTCAATGATTTCCCCAAAGTTTTGCAGGGTCACAGAATAGCATTGACTCTGGGAGTTCTGGGCAGAGGAGAGAAAAAATGCTTGATAACAGATCAGCAGTGTCTGCTTTCTTTTCATCCAACTCTCATCACAAGGAAAATTACAGAAATGGGAACTGAACTGATGATTTTTGCTGTCATTTCTGTTTTATAGGAAATACGGTCAAGCTTTGGTTCCCATAACTCCAGACACAATAAATTTAGCAGAACCAAAGAACGCTGGGTAAGAGAATTTGCATTTATCTAGTGACTTAGTAGTTCTTTTTGTAGCACTGTCCCACTTTCCAGAAAGGGCAATGGTAGTTAGTACTAGCATGAGCAATTCCCATGTTACCCTGCCAGCATGGGAAGATCTATGCTGGCAGTGTCATGTAAGACAGACTAGGTCCAACCAAAAGCCACAGAAAATAAGGTAAGAATGCTTGTATTACTACATCTTCACTTTCTATCCTTCTGGATATATGTGATGGAATTAGCATTACCTTTTCCAGCATGTTGTAGCTAGTTGTTCTGCATGTCTGACTTCTTCATTGAGTTTGATCAACAGACACAAGGCAACACTCTCCCAGCAATTTACACAGTGAAAGAAAGGTAGATATGGAAGGTGGCCACAAAGGAAGAAAAAAGCAGGAGTGCTGAGAGATGGAGATGTAGACTCTAATTAGAGAAAAAAGAGACAAAGAAGTCCCATAGGATGCAGAGAGACCTGTGGAGGAGGGAGGGTAACAGATGGAGATGCAGAGGAAATAGGATGCAGAGGGCCTTCTGGCGATTCCCTTGCTGTGAGAAGCCAAGTTACAGGGAAGCAGGCAGAGGGCCTTCTCGGTAGTGGCAACCCGCCTTGTGGAGCGCCCTCCCACCAGATGTCAAAAACAACTACCAGACTTTTAGAAGACATCTGAAGGCAGCCCTGTTTGTTGTTTAGTCGTTTAGTCGTGTCCGACTCTTCGTGACCCCATGGACCAGAGCATGCCAGGCACTTCTGTCCTCCACTGCCTCCCGCAGTTTGATCAAACTCATGCTGGTAGCTTCAAGAACACCATCCAACCATCTCATCCTCTGTCGTCCCCTTCTCCTTGTGCCCTCCATCCTTCCCAACATCAGGGTCTTTTCCAGGGAGTCTTCTCTTCTCATGAGGTGGCCAAAGTATTGGAGCCTCAGCTTCACGATCTGTCCTTCCACTGAGCACTCAGGGCTGATTTCCTTAAGAATGGATACGTTTGATCTTCTTGCAGTCCATGGGACTCTCAAGAATCTCCTCCAGCACCATAATTCAAAAGCATCAATTCTTCGGCGATCAGCCTTCTTTATGGTCCAGCTCTCACTTCCATACATCACTACTGGGAAAACCATAGCTTTTACTATACGGACCTTTGTTGGCAAGGTGATGTCTCTACTTTTTAAGATGCTGTCTAGGTTTGACATTGCTTTTCTCCCAAGAAGCAGGCGTCTTTTAATTTCGTGACTGCTGTCACCATCTGCAGTGATCATGGAGCCCAAGAAAGTAAAATCTCTTACTGCCTCCATTTCTTCCCCTTCTATTTGCCAGGAGGTGATGGGACCAGTGGCCATGATCTTCGTTTTTTTTGATGTTGAGCTTCAGACCATATTTTGCGCTCTCCTCCTTCACCCTCAATAAAAGGTTCTTTAATTCCTCCTCACTTTCTGCCATCAAGGTTGTGTCATCTGCATATCTGAGGTTGTTGATATTTCTTCCGGCAATCTTAATTCCGGCTAGGATTCATCCAGCCCAGCCTTTCGCATGATGAATTCTGCATATAAGTTAAATAAGCAGGGAGACAAAATACAGCCTTGTCGTACTCCTTTCCCAATTTTGAACCAATCAGTTGTTCCATATCCAGTTCTAACTGTAGCTTCTTGTCCCACATAGAGATTTCTCAGGAGACAGATGAGGTGATCAGGCACTCCCATTTCTTTAAGAACTTGCCATAGTTTGCTGTGGTCGACACAGTCAAAGGCTTTTGCATAGTCAATGAAGCAGAAGTAGATGTCTTTCTGGAACTCTCTAGCTTTCTCCATAATCCAGCGCATGTTTGCAATTTGGTCTCTGGTTCCTCTGCCTCTTCTAAATCCAGCTTGCACTTCTGGGAGTTCTCGGTCCACATACTGCTTGAGCCTTCCTTGTAGAATTTTAAGCATAACCTTGCTAGCGTGTGAAATGAGTGCAATTGTGCGGTAGTTGGAGCATTCTTTGGCACTGCCCTTCTTTGGGATTGGGATGTAGACTGATCTTCTCCAATCCTCTAGCCACTGCTGAGTTTTCCAAACTTGCTGGCATATTGAGTGTAGCACCTTAACAGCATCATCTTTTAAAATTTTAAATAGTTCAGCTGGAATACCATCACTTCCACTGGCCTTGTTATTTGCAGTGCTTTCTAAGGCCCATTTGACTTCACTCTCCAGGATGTCTGGCTCAAGGTCAGCAACCACACTACCTGGGGTGTACGAGACATCCATATCTTCCTGGTATAATTCCGCTGTGTATTCTTGCCACCTCTTCTTGATGTTTTCTGCTTCTGTTAGGTCCTTACCACTTTTGTCCTTTATTATGGTAATCTTTGTACGAAATGTTCCTTTCATATTTCCGATTTTCTTGAACAGATCTCTGGTTCTTCCTATTCTGTTGTTTTCCTCTATTTCTTTGCATTGCTCGTTTAAGAAGGCCTTCTTGTCTCTCCTTGCTATTCTTTGGAAATCTGCATTCAATTTCCTGTATCTTTCACTATCTCCCTCGCATTTTGCTTGCCTTCTCTCCCCTGCTATTTGTAAGGCCTCGTTGGACAGCCACTTTGCTTTTTGCATTTCTTTTTCATTGGGGTGGTTTTAGTTGCTGCCTCCTGTATAATGTTGCGAGCCTCCACCCATAGTTCTTCAGGCACTCTGTCCAGCAAATCTAAATCCTTAAACCTGTTCCTCACTTCCACTGTGTATTCATAAGGGATTTGACTTAGATTGTATCTTACCGGCCCAGTGGTTTTCCTACTTTCTTCAGTTTAAGCTTGAATTTTGCTATAAGAAGCTGATGATCTGAGCCACAGTCAGCTCCAAGTCTTGTTTTTGCTGACTGTATAGAGCTTCTCCATCTTTGGCTGCAGAGAATATAATCAATCTGATTTCGATGTTGCCCATCTGGTGATGTCCATGTGTAGAGTCGTCTCTTGTGTTGTTGGAAAAACATGTTTGTGATGACCAGCTTGTTCTCTTGACAGAACTCTATTAGCCTTTGCCCTGCTTCGTTTTGATCTCCAAGGCCAAACTTGCCAGTTGTTCCTTTCATCTCTTGACTCCCTACTTTAGCATTCCAATCCCCTATAATGAGAAGAACGTCCTTCTTTGGTGTCATTTCTTTAAGGTCTTGTAAGTCTTCATAGAATTGGTCAATTTCAGTTTCTTCAGCACCAGTAGTTGGTGCATAAACCTGGATTACTGTGATGTTAAAAGGTCTGCCTTGGATTCGTATCGAGATCATTCTATCATTTTTGAGATTGCATCCCAGTGCAGCTTTCGCCACTCTTTTGTTGACTATGAGGGCCACTCCATTTCTTTTACGGGTTTCTTGCCCACAGTAGTAGATATGATGGTCATCCGAACTGAATTCGCCCATTCCCATCCATTTTAGTTCACTGATGCCCAGGATGTCAATATTTATTCTTGCCATCTCATTTTTGACCACATCCAACTTACCCAGGTTCATGGTTCTTACATTCCAGGTTCCTATGCAATATTTTTCTTTACAGCATTGGACTTTCCTTTCACTTCCAGGCATATCCGCAACTGAGCGTCCTTTCGGCTTTGGCCCAGCCGCTTCATCAGCTCTGGATCTACTTGTACTTGTCCTCCGCTCTTCCCCAGTAGCATGTTGGACACCTTCCAACCTGAGGGGCTCATCTTCCAGCGTCATAAATTTTACATGCCTGTTGTCTTTGTCCATGGAGTTTTCTTGGCAGGGATACTGGAGTGGCTTGCCGGTTCCTCCTCCAGGTGGATCACGTTTGGTCAAAACTCTCCACTATGACCTGTTCATCTTGGGTGCCCTGCTCGGCATAGTTCATAGCTTCTCTGAGTTATTCAAGCCCCTTCGCCACGGCAAGGCAGTGATCCATGAAGGGGCAGCCCTGTTTAGGGAAGCTTTTAATGTTTGACGGACTATAGTATTTAAATATTTTGTTGGGCAGGGTATAAATAATAAATTATTATTATTATTAATAATAATAATAATAATTATTTATTATTGAGTCATGCAGCTCTATATTTAGAAAGAAAGAAAAACAGCTCAGGGCTACTTTATCCCCCACAGCTATGCTTTGTTCCAGAACATGGCATTTTAAAGGCACTGTATATACTCTTTCTTTCTCTTACACACTGAGAAATGCTTTTTTCCTTGCAGGGGAACTGGGTTTATTATCTGTTTTCAATCTGGCCTACTTATCACCTCTTTGTTGACTTGCATGGGGTTTGGGGAAGTCCAGCAACTGATTTTCCTTCTCCGTGACATTTGGGCAGCTATTAGGCTACCATTACTAGATCAGGGCAAGTGCCACAACTTGGTCTTGATATTCTCATCCCTTCAGAGAAAGGAATGGGAACTCTTTGGAGTTGCAGCTAACAGCTGGCCTAAGGTAGCCGGCTGCAAAATAGGTTGAAAATAGAGACAAGGGCACAGTGCCTCCAATGTGCATGGCTGAGGACATTACCCACAGGAGGACATCCTTAGTATGGGCCAGGACCTTTGTTGTCAACTATCTAGGACATAGGTAGGCAAACTAAGGCCTGGGGGCTGGATCGAGCCCAATCACCTTCTAAATCCAGCCTGCGGATGGTCTGGGAATCAGTGTGTTTTTACATGAGTAGGATGTGTCCTTTAATTTAAAATGCATCTCTGGGTTATTTCTGGGGCCTGCCTGGTGTTTTTACATGAGTAGAATGTGTGCTTTTATTTAAAATGCATCTCTGGGTTATTTCTGGGGCATAGGAATTCGTTCATTATTATTTTTTTCAAAATACAATTGAGATGGAAAGTGTAATACACTGAGGGCAATTGTTAGGCTTATCTGGATGAATGTATGTGCTAATGCTGATCTTTTCTTACTGTCTTTCCATTACAGCACTGATGATACAATTCCTGTCTATGCTTTCATCACTCAGCAGGCACCACTATCGGAGTCACCTCGTAAAGGATCATCCCTTCCAGATATTCAGGTTATACCACCACAATCCAACTAAGATGGCTGCTAATCAAGAAAAATATATAATGAAAGCCACCTTTCTTCATGGGCTCCAGGTCTATCAGGCAAATAATGCTGCAGTGATGAAATTCAAATGTTTTCTATACATTTCAATTTACTACTTCAGTTATTCTTTCAAGGCAACTTGACTTTCTTTTTTAAAAATTCACTAATGCTTTCTTGCAAGATGGAATCCTATATCTTGGTAACATTTGTTTCATTTTAAAGTCTTTGTATTGTATAACTGTATTCTGAAATAAAAAATGAGGGCATTTCGTTCAAAGCCCTTTTTGATAAGGTGAAACTTTCTGATTTTTGCCTTAATTCAATACAAAGTTTTAGCTTGCTGAAGTCAATGGGTTCAAGGGGATTTGTGCTATTAGATTGTTTTCCTGAAGAAAATCAGAAGGATTCTGAATTTAATAGCCATTTATTCATGATTAACACCAATGTAAGACACAACATACAGAGTATTAATCAATTCAATTATTCATTACCATTTTCAGTTTAAGCGCTTGCTGGTTACAAAAGGCAGAATATCAAATGAGTCCAATTTGTTTCATTAGACAACTTAAAAAAATCACTGCATGGTTTCAAAGTGGAAGAAAGGACTTTGAGCATGTTTTTTTTATGCCACTAACATCCCTATGAAGCCAGATAGTTTATCCCTCCCTATCCCATGACTGCATCACGCACAGCTAACCTATGCAGATCACACTGCTGTGCAATTCAAGGTGTCATCTCAAGTTGCATGTACTCCCACTATGCAGGACTGCCTTTAAATAGCCCTAGAATCGACAATTCTCCTTTGCACTAGTGTAATGGGAAGTAATATCCCAGTGAAAGCTAGACTGATAGAACCAATTGCATCTTTATGAAGGCTTATTATTTTTGACGCCATGGTGGTCTAGCAGCCCCAGAAGCAAAGATCACACATGTTTTGGTTCCAAAAATATTTAGGGCATAAATAAGGTATAGGCACATTCCTGTGTTAAGGTAGAAAATCTGTCCGCTTTAAAGCAGCTTGCATGCTGTTTCCATGCATCATGGGAACTAAAGTTCACTGTCTCTTTGCAACAGCTATTTCCTATGTGTGAGATTCTTGGAGACTACTTATTAAAGTCGAGTACCTGCACATTTACTGCTCAATCCTGTAATGAGTAAATCTGTTTCTCTGAAGTATCCAGAGTTTATTGCGGGGGAAAGCTGAATTAGATTCTGACAGCAGCTGTGAACAGAGAAACAGCAGTAACTGCAGCAATTGATTCTTAAACACTAACATCCCATGAAAAATAGAGTCTGGGTTCTCAGCACTGGGTTGCATAAGTGGGACAAGAGAAGCTGATTTTGTCTGTTTACACACAACAGATTATTTTCTCTAGAATTAAAGAAACTACCTTGGGTTAGCCAGTATGTAGATGAAAAAAATCTAAATTTTGTGTTAAAGGGCCCTGGCCAATTTGATTTTAAATGCGGAGCCTGAAATGAAGCAATCTTTGTTATTTCTAGGGCAACAATGGCAACAGGGAATATCCAAGAGCAGCTTGCATCAGTGGGTGAAGAATACTTTCAGCAGCATCTTGAGCAAATTTAACAAGGTGCTTTAGTTCCCCATGGTTGGCATAACGACGGCAGGCTTGGCATCAGTAGCATCTTCCTCCTTCCACTGAGAAGTGATTGTCTTCAGCTGTGTGTAGAAATGTACACCCTGAAAGAGACAAAGAGTCAGATGTTCATATCAGTTTGTGCTGCAGAGTCACTGGTTTTAGTTTTAACTATAAGGCTGCAGGGGAACCTGCAGTCCTTTTGACTTTGTTGGACTCCAAATTTATCAACCCCAGGCAGCATGGCCCATGGTCAGGAATAATTAAGAGTTGTCGTCTAGCAACATCTGGAGTGCTATAGGTTCTTCACACCTGCCACAAGGCAAAATATATTTTCCTGCTCATTTTCTCTTGTCAGAAATACAGCATGCTGATAAGCCTTCCCTTTGACTATCTCTTACAAGTTTATCTCTTACAAGTTTTTCTTCCCTCCTTGGCTCCTCCTGGCTTGCTGCAGCATGCATCATAATATATATATATAAATAAAACCTTAATGGATTACCTGTTTGCCGTAGAAATTGGTGTCCCCCCTGAAAGACCCGCGAGAACCAGTGAAGGAGAACATTGGCAAAGGCACTGGAATTGGAACATTCACACCAATCTAAAGCAAAGTCAAAATTGATAATTTTATTATAAATCAAAGAAAATGCACAAATAAATCTAAAAAGAGTCAGGCTAGGCTCAAGGTAACCTGGATTCAAATCAATGCTCTGCTGTAGTCTCACTGGGTAAGCACTGAGCAGTTTCTTACTTTGTAACCTCAGGGCCAAAAAAGAAGAGAAAGAGAAAGCTTTTGCATTTTAAAAAACTTGCACGTTGAATGCAGTAATGCATTCAGCATCAGTTTGGTCCTCGGTTCGTTAATAAAATAGCCTTCAGTATGTCGTTGGTAGCATGGCAAATGGCTCCACAAAGGGAAAATGGGGCAAGTGTATTACATTCAGATGGAGATCTCTCAGTATGAAAGGCCACACAGGAAAGAGGACAAGGTTCTTCTTGCACCTTTAGTGTTGGAGAGGGAATTTCCCAACCCTGCTATCCAACAATCTTTTCACTAAGAGATGCTAAAGATGGAATGTGGGACAGTCTGGATGTAGAGCATCTGCTCTGTCATGGAGCTATGATGGAGCTAAAACAGTACCCTAAGCTGTTCAGCACGAACCTCAACCTTTACATACCTGCCCAACATCTACTAAGTGAGAGTACTTCCGAGCAGTGGCACCATTGGTGGTAAAGATGGCTGTTCCATTCCCATAAGGATTTTTATTTATTATTTCAATTGCTTCATTCAGACTGTCTGCTTCCAGAACCACTAGAACTGGTCCAAAGATTTCCTCCTTATAGCAGGTCATATTGGGCTGTCAAGAAAGAAGCAACTTTTAATTGTACCGCATGTCAGATTCTGCAGAAATCTTATTTCTGACACTTAACACAGAAACATCCTTTTCCTTCACAAGTCATCACCCCAAAGGACCCTTCTGTTCCTTTTGATGAAATGGCTACCACTCTAGGCTATCATCCCTCCCTCCAATATTGAACTCGGATGGTGGCTGCTGCCAGGATTGTAACCAGACAGGGAGACTAAGAAACAAGAAGGAGGCTATCACTAAGCTTGGGAGGGGAGAACCCCAAGGTTTGCAGAAGTACAAAAAAAGGAGAACCACCACCTAATGCAGGGGGTTGGGGAGGAAACCAACAAAAAGCAAGAATGGTGAGGTCTGAATATACTCAGTAGGCAAGAAATGTAGATGAAAAATGGAAAGGGGGAAATGGGATTCTTCTCTCAACAACTTCACAGTGGACTGGCAGGACGGACTGAAGTGAGGTTGCAAAATGTGTTGTAGTCTTGTGATCCCTACAATGACCCCAGTCATTTATTAAACAGATTTTATCCCATCTTAGAGCATATTCCCTCGCAAGATGCTTTGCAAACATAAACATTTGAAAGGCACACTGAAACATCAGATACCACCAATAAATGCCATGTTGCACAATTGTTCAAATGCCAGTCATATCTAAGGCATTCAAAAATGGGCCAATTTACCATTTTTTTATTCAGGGAAAGGTTCTCCACCGCATTCCAGCCTTTATTATTCCTTATCCATCCATTCCCATATATCCACCAAACATCATTCTTGAACTTCACCACTTTTTGACAACCATTCCACATTCTAGCCACAGCTCACCTCAATAGCCAGGTATCAGGACATTTGCAACATTTCACTATGGCATAAAATATAGCTGTAGGCCAACACCAGTCTTTTGAAGACCAAAGGGAAGGCTACCTCTTGGAACATGCTGGATCAATGTTCATGTCTTCCTTAGTTTTAAGGTGTTTTAATTTGCACCTGCTGATCAGTACATCAGCTCACCTTGACCTTCGCAAGGATTGTCGGTCCAACAAAATTGCCATTTTCAAAACCTTTCACTCTGATATTTCGTCCATCAAGAAGGATGCTAGCCCCCTCCTTTGCTCCACTGTCAATCAGTTGACAGACACGCTCCTTGGCCTGGGGACTGATCAGCGGCCCCAGATCTGCTCCAGGCTGGTCTCCTATGACAATACACAAAACCTGCTCAAATCCTAAACTCTTCTTTTTCAACACCTAACAAAAATCAAGCAATAAAGCAAGCAATGTCAACATAGGAAATTAAACATGGTCCTCGTGATGCAGCCTTGTAACACTGCTACATATTTAGCCCATCCAAGGCTAACTGTGCTCTTTAGCCTTTAGACACAGGTTTATTTTAATAGTGCCATATATTCTGATCCTTTTCAACGTAGCTAAGTAATTAGCTAGCCAGCTATGCAACTCTTAATTTTGGTGACAAGGCAGTGAAGTTCCATAAAGTGAACATGGTTTTTATTATAAGGTTAAATGCAATGAGTGTTCCGAGATCTTATTACATTATGAAAAAGCAGCAAATTTATTAGACACTTGAGAGAAACAATTTAATGGGCAGAAGTTGCACTGATCATCTTCACGGCTCCAAAAATGAGCCTTTAACAAGCACATTACAACACACATTCTAATGCTCTAGATTAGACAACCTGTGGCTCTCCATGTGTTGCTGCACGACCTATGGTGAGGAATGATAGGAGCTGGAGCCCAACAACATCTGGGAGGCCACAGGTTGCCCACTCTTTTTCTAGATCTGCAGAAATTGGATTGGATTAAAACAAATGCATCGGCACCTGCATTAACTCGCAGCTTCTTGGCTCTCTCCACCAGTTCGGGCAACCAATTCCGAGCCTCTCCCACCAAGACTGCTGTGGATAATGCCATGCAACGTTGCCCAGCTGCTCCAAAAGCTGCTCCAACCAACTGATTCAGGGTGTTCTCCTTATTGGCATCCGGCATCACTACTCCATGGTTCTTAGCGCCCTAGAATGAAATGTACTTTTTTTTTAAAAAAAGAAGAAGCTGAATATATGTATATATTAAGCAACAGTAAACATCAGCTTAAATGGTCCCAGACCTTCAAGGAAAATGTGGCTGTTACACCAATGTAAAATCAGAACCAAAAAGGGTGCAAGGTGTCACAAAAAGTTTTTTACATTTTTGAGATCTTCTGCTAGATAATTAAGTGTTAATATATGGAGTATTCAAAGGTTTCGTGTTAACCATACTTAAAATGACTTTGAAGTTTGTTGTTTTCGACTGTAACATCAAAACTTCAGAAATACAATTCAGGACATTAAAATTATAGATTTTTCCAGGATCATCAACAACTATCCTATAAACAGAGATGTCAAGTGGTACATTTTGCGGAGTTTTACCATATTGGCCTGCACTCTCTTGCCGTTCTTGGAACCCCTTTCATAGATATATTCTCCAGCCTGATTAGATCCTACAAAGCTGATTGCTTTGATATCAGGGTGATCACAAATAAAATTCACGGCTGAAAAAACAAAACAAAAAACACTGTTCATTATATCTTGTCAACAAAGAGCTCTCCATCTTTGTGCTGTGGCAACAATAACCTAAACAAATAAACCAAATTTCTCCCTACATATGTTAAGTAAAATAGAAACATCGTCACACCTCCCCCCGCAACTCTTTCCCCCCTTTCTTCCTAATGTTTCAACAAATGAAACTGATTTGTAAAAATGTCACATGGGGGGGAACATGAGAGAGAAACATTGCACATACTTTTGTAAATCAAGAAAATCTTTAATAAAAATACATTTTAAAAAATCAACCAAATTTCTCCCTCTCCCACACTCCAATGTTCTCACAGAACGTCCTTAAAACAAAAACACTCTCCCATTTGGGCTATCTACTTGGCTCACCAAGCCTCACACCTTCCTTGTTCCCAGATCACTACACAAACACATGATCTGGACAAGCAAATAACCTGGTCACACTTGCAAATAGGGAAGACCAAGAGTGGTAGAAGGGGAAGATTTTTTCCTAGCCTTTCAAGGCATACCTCTTGAAGGAGTGGGGAATTTGCACCTGTGATTACCAGGATCAAAGTGGGAAAGATGGAGAAGGCGCTTATTTTTAAACAGTTAAAAGAGAACACAAGCACCCAATCTTGGCTATATAGCACATCCTTGCCTGCATGAAATCAACATGATATCAACCCCATTCTGCCCCTACACTACAGCCTTGGAGGCCTGCCCTGCAATTGTTATTGTTATTATTAGCTATTTATTAAATTTCTATACTGCCTTTCATCTGAAGAAGAAGAAGAAGAAGAAGAGGAGTTTGGATTTGATATACTGCCTTTCACTCCCTTTAAGGAGTCTCAAAGCGGCTAACATTCTCCTTTCCCTTCCTCCCCCACAACAAACACTCTGTGAGGTGAGTGGGGCTGAGAGACTTCAGAGAAGTGTGACTGGCCCAAGGTCACCCAGCAGCTGCATGTGGAGGAGCGGAGACGCGAACCCGGTTCCCCAGATTACGAGACTGCCGCTCTTAACCACTACACCACACTGGCTCTGAGGATCACAGGGCCTGGGATAAGAGGAATGTTTTTGCCTTAAACATTTTGAAATGAATGGCGGCAGGCAAGCCTCCTCTGGAATTACCTGCGTGTTGTCCGTGGATGATGTTCAGTGTCCCATCGGGGGCTCCAGCATCCTGCAGCAGCTTTGCAAGAAACATGAGGGCTCCCGGCACCCGCTCAGAAGGCTTCATCAAGAAAGTGTTCCCGCACACCATGGCCATGGGAAACATCCAGAGAGGAATCATGGCTGGGAAATTGAAAGGTGCTATGCCTGCGCACACTCCCAGAGGCAAGCGGTAGGTGTAAGTGTCCATATCTTTAGTGATGGAGGGAAGGGTCTCACCCAGCATAAGGGATGTCACACTACAAGCATGTTCAACGACCTCTGCAACAAAGAACAGGGACTTCTCAGTTTACGAATCTCCCTGGAAATGCTCTTTCCAATGCCCTCACGATCTGGCTAGCTTTTGCAGCTCCTTCACTATAACTGATACAGTGGTGCCCCGCAAGACGAATGCCTCGCAAGACGGAAAACCCGCTAGACGAAAGGGTTTTCCGTTTTTGAGTTGCTTCGCAGGACAAATTTCCCTATGGGCTTGCTTCGCAAGACGAAAATGTCTTGCGAGTCTTGAGATTTTTTCCCCCGCTTTTCCCCCCCTTTATCTAAGCCGCTAAGCCTTTAATAGCCTTTTAGCAGCTAATCCGCTAAGCCGATAAGCCTTTAATAGCCGCTAAACCGCTAATAGCGCTAATCCATTAAGCCGCTAATAGGGTTGCTTCGCAAGACGAAAAAACCGCTAGACGAAGACACTCGCAGAACGGATTAATTTCGTCTTGCGAGGCACCACTGTACATTCATTACCATCCAGAAATACTTCCCATTCCGACAGGGATAGGATTCTGCTTGAGAATTACTTCAATTCAGATAATTAACGGGTGAGGTGGATTCATGTCCAAATGGAGACAGGAACTCTGCTAACTAAGACCTACATTGGCTCCCAGTATGTTTCCGAGCACAATTCAAAGTGTTGGTGTTGACCTTTAAAGCCCGAAACGGCCTCGGCCCAGTATACCTGAAGGAGCGTCTCCACCCCCATCGTTCTGCCCGGATGCTGAGGTCCAGCACCGAGGGCCTTCTGGCAGTTCCCTCATTACGAGAAGCAAAGCTACAGGGAACCAGACAGAGGGCCTTCTCAGTAGTGGCGCCCGTCTTGTGGAACGCCCTTCCCATCAGATGCCAAAGAGATAAACAACTACCTAACATTTAGAAGACATCTGAAGGCAGCCCTGTTCAGGGAAGTTTTTAATGTGTGACATTTTAATGTATTTTCAATCTTTGTTGAAAGCCGCCCAGAGTGAAGAAGAAGAAGTGTTTAGATTTGATATCCCGCTTTATCACTACCCAAAGGAGTCTCAAAGCGGCTAACAATCTCCTTTCCCTTCCTCCCCCACAACAAACACTCTGTGAGGTGAGTGAGGCTGAGAGACTTCAGAGAAGTGTGACTAGCCCAAGGTCACCCAGCAGCTGCATGTGGAGGAGCGGGGACGCGAACCTGGTTCACCAGATTATGAATCTACCGCTCTTAACCACTACACCACACTGGCTCTCTGGGAAACCCAGCCAGATGGGTGGGGTACAAATAAGAAATAATAATAATAATAATAATTCTACCATAAAAGAATACTGTCAGTATTATCAAAAAGATATCAGAAAGGAAAACAAAGCTCTTAGCATTTCAGAATATACTCGAAATATACAAAGCAAAATATACAAAGCGAGAAAAGCAGAAGTGTTGTTTAAAATTCACAGAGTATTCAGAATTCCTTCTTGGAAGGTTACAGAAGGGGCTATCCTTCCAAGGCCCTAGAACGCCTAGTACTCAGAAGTATTCTGCTCTTCCCTCAGCCCGTGAAAAGCCATTTTCTATGTACAGCAAGAGGTGCCGGCAGCTTACGGAGGCCTCGAAACACATCTCCCTCAGCATCAGCCAGGGTCTTCCCTTGCTCTAAGGTGATCAGTTTTGAAATTTCTTTCTGGTGATTGAAAAAAAGAAAAGAAAAGGTAATGAGAATTCCTGAAACTGAGAAAAGGGAAACTCAACAAAGGTGGAAGTAAAGCTCATCTACTGAACCAGAAGGCAAGAAGCAAGATTTACTGTGCTGCAGGAGGCCAAGTGCAATAGTAGGGAAAAGCCACTCTGCACATGAGTAATCACCACCCTGCCCCCATCTTCTTCCTGGCTGTACGCAGCTGGTGGATGGGTCATTTGGACCACTGAGAGTGAGAATAAAATGCAATTTTGCAATAAATAAATAAATAAATAAATAAATTCTTAAAGACTAACAATGTTATTCTGGCATAGGTTTTCAGGACCACAGTCCACTTCATCTTGTTTCTAGGCAGCCTACAAACTCTATGTAGAGCAAGATAATACACCTCCTGAACAGGGTAAAATTATTTAATGTGAGAAGAGGCTTGTACACATTATTTTGCTCATTTCTGTAACGATTTTGTAGGGAAGGCTATCTTAATTCCCATTTTATAGCCAAGGGCACTTATTTATTTAATAAAATTAGTATAACGCCTGACTGAAGAAACCTCCCCACCACAAAGCGTTTTACAAGAATAAATCAATAACATTATCAGTACCCACAGTTTAAAAATAACTGTTCAAAACACACACAATCTGGTCAGTCCAGTTCCTCACCAGATTGTCTTTGATGAGCTGTTGGTATCGCAAGAAGACTTGTTGCCGACTCAGAATGGATGTCTCAGCCCAGCTCGGTAGAGATTTCTTGCACGAAGCCACTGCTGCTTCCATCTCACTTTGTGTAGCTTTGGGGACACGACCAACCACTTCATTGGTGGCCTGTTAGAATAGTAAACCCAAAAATGGTCATTATAAATGTGCCACCGACTCAGGATTGCCTTAACATAGGAATCCACAAATTGTGGCTAAATTTCAGGGCCAACTATTATCTTCTAGGAGCTAGCTGCAAAGTCTAGTCCAGCCCAACCTCAATTTCAGTGGGTCACTCTTTCAAGTAAGGATATTTAAGTTTACGGCCTTAAATTCATGATAAACAGAGCAATCCTGACCCCTGACATGCAGGGAGTGGTAGAATGCTGTGGCCATTCCTGCAGTCCATGACAGCTGGGATGGAAGTTTATTATTTCTTTGCACAATACCCACTCAATACCCATTACAAGGGTTGGGACAACCAGAACCCGGAAACAATAAGTGAAATGGCTCCAAATCTGCTGCAACAGACTTGCATGTCCTGTGCAAACAGAAAATGCTTAGCCGATTATGAACCTTCTTCTTTGAAGACACTAATCAAGGAAGGGTGTCATCTCTAATATATAGAAATGGGATTCCTTGAGAATCCAAGATGGGGGTGAATGGCAAACTTTTGAGTCTCCGCTCTCTGAATAGGTCTCTGAATAGGTCTGCAGGGGAGTAAAAGGGAAAGCAGCATGCTTTGCTAACAGCACATGAACTCATGCCTGACAATCAGGGATTTATTTTAGGGACTGTGGTAGATGACCCTTGATCTGAAAAACGTGGTGAAAATTAAAGGGTTCAGGAAATCAGACCAGACCAAATTTCATTAAATCATACACAGACTGTTGGGGGTCCGCTAACTGGGCCCAATCTGCCTTGGTCGACTTTACTAAAACAAAACTCTACAAGAGAGAAAAACTCCCAATAATTACACAGATTAAAATAGCTCAGAAAGTAAGAAAACATTAAGCACAAACTTAAGCTAATTAACATAAATGCTTACATTTAAATCTCAATAGTCTGAGCAAGATGCTGTCAAAAGCCCAAATAAATGCTGACCGCTGGCTGGCTGTGGAGAGATCCCACAAATCCAGGTTTTATGGGAACTTAGACCATGGGTGTTTACCTCTTCCACCCCACTTACTGTACCTTGTGACACTGTCCTTGAAGCCTTAACAGGAGACATCTGTATGCAAGCTCATTCTTTTTGAGGTTCTAACCCATTCCCACAAACCAGTCTTAAAAGGGGCGATATCACCACAGGGACACACGGCTTTAAAGCTGCCAGACTAGCCTCCACATAAAATCCGTTGTAGTTTGCCCCACTAGGAGGACTCAGGAGTACATTAAGCAAAATAATGTCAGTGATTATGTACCTACACTTAGTGTCTGAAATCTTAAGCCAGGGATGGGGAACTCATAGCCTTCTGGATGTTACTGTCAACTCTCATCAGCCCCAGTCAGAATGGTTAATAGTCAGGGATGATGGGAGTTGTAGTCCAGCGACATCCAGAGGACCACATGTCCTTGCCACTGCTCTTAAGGTAACTGCTTTAAGTTCCAGCCAAACAACTTTATTCCTCTGTCGGTGAAAAACTGGACCACATGACAGCTCTTGCAGAAAGACATTTTAAATTTCAAGCTAAAGACAGCTTTGGAATTCAGACTACTTAAGCAATTCCATTTTAAAGTGTTGCTCCTGAGTGTCTCTTCCTTCTTACACTGGTCAACTGCACAATCCAACCCTTTCCTGCCTCAAAGAAGAGAAGCACAAAAGAAAAAGGAAGTTTACTTACTGGGTTGTGAATATCAATCCATTCATTACTTTTGGAATCAACAAATTTGCCATCAATGAACAGCTTGGTTGTTGGCTGCAGAATACAAAGGGTTGGTCAGTGCCAGAGTTTATCTGAATGCTGAAATACCAATCAAGCTAAACTCTTCCACATACTTAACATAAGGATTAAGTATAAATTCTTTTTTCCTTTCTCTCCCTCTAATTCTCTTCACGGAACTGCAGTCATTTATCCACCTTTATCTGCAACCAAAGTTAATGAATACTGCCAGAAAAGTGGGTTGAGAATTTGCAATCCACAGGATTGTTTAAAGCCAATATGCTTGCAACTGAAACTTTATTTTGGAAGAAACCAACTCACCACTGAAGATGAATAGGAGGATGAAAAATGCCAATTTGCCTTCCTCTGGATCTACAAGATGGAAAAAACAGGAACACAGAACTTACTCAGCAGCACAGCTACAATTTTCTGTGAAGAAATTCAGCTACCCTAAATTCACCCAAGGCTGTGCCAGGAACAGTCAACGTATTCATTTTCAAACTGCCATAATTTACTATTGCTTTGTGTCATATGCAAATTTGTGTTCTCTTTTGCAGGTGGAGTAGAGCGCCAAAGACTGAACTGGGGCCACAAATAAGTATTAATATGCCTGACAAACATGGAGAAATGAAGGCCCTGAAAAAAGACTGGGAAAATTCAGGGGCGGGGGAGAATGTTTTTCTGTTTTCCCCAAAGTTTCTTTTTTCTTTTGGCTTTCTCCCCAAATAAATAGAAAATATCTAGGTTGCGGGGAATGGATTATGAAGTCATTTCCTTTAGAACGATGAATGAAATGTTTAAGACAAAATGTTCCTATATCTAGTCCCCCAAAATTATATCTAGAAACGATGTAACAGGAAGACTTTTTTGTAAGACTATGTACAGTATCAGATCATTACAATTCCTGTACACAAAGGACAAGCAAATCCTGAGTTGCAGACAGAGAACAACCCACAAATGCAGGCGCAAGATGCATTTCTGTGGAAGGAATTCAACATCATGCTACGGTGATTGTTCTGTTAGGGCAAGCATTTTGGCTTGCCAGACAAAATTATCCCCCCTCTGCTCCCCTGTGCACTGTTGCAGGAGTTCTCTTGAACCCCTCCCCCCTCCACAATCCAATTTCAGGTGGCATCGAGTGGTGTACGGGAAGGAAAGTCCTTGCCCAGAGCTTCTGCTGATGAAACTCATTAGTTGAATCCCACCCAAAAGGAATGGGTAGAGAAGCTTGTTTCAATCCATGCAAGCCTTCAGTTTTTAGACATTCATGATAAATATGAGATGTAATAAGAATAATTCTTATTTGAAACATACATTTATGCTTATGAGGTTTCGGGGGAAAGTACTAGACTGTATAAATATTACCTTTGGGGGGGGGAAAGCTAGCATTGTCAGAGGATAATATTATTTTAAATTATCTATCTACGACTTGAAATTTGACAACTGGTCAACATAAATAGATTCTCCGCACCCTCACTACTGCTAAAATACTGATATTGATAGAAGAGATGACAACTATTGCAAAATACAAATGGAGAGCTTATAGACATAGACTGCATATAGACAAATATTGTTATTTGGCAAGCATTTATAAAAATATAGTAGGTTATAAATAAATGTATATGTATTGGAATAATAATTTCATTTATAGACCTTTGTGTTATATATGTATAGAATTATAGGGTTTTTTGTATTTTTATGCACCTTTTCTTTTCTGTTTTCTCACTTTATTTTGTTCATCTGAAATCTTTTCAATTGTAAATTTAAAAGTCCATAATAAATATGATGGCATAGCTTCTCAACCACGATTCATACTCACCTGAGATATGGATATACAGTGGTACCTCGGAAGTCAAACGGAATCCATTCGACTTCCAAAATGTTCAGAAACCAAGGCACGGATTCGGATTCGCTGCAGGAAGCTCCTTCAAAATTGTCAGGAGAAGGAACTTCCTATGTACTTTTAAGCCATTTGCAAATATTCCCTTGGGTTTGTACGACTACGTTTCTCCATAGCACTCATTAATCACAGCTCTGACTTCCTACCTTTCAGAGCTTTTAGCCAATGAGTGAGCAGGTTCCTATCTCACAAAGCAATTCCTTCAAACGTTCCTTGCACATTTTACTTTTGTTCTACAAGGGCAAGAGATTATTTTATGTTTAAAGGAACTCAAAGTCTGGGCCTGATACAGCTGTACCCCCCTGCCTGAACTGCCACCAAGGGCCCTGTATCCATTTGTCAAAGAAAGCCAAAAAGGTTTATGCCTTTATCCCCTTCTCCAACTTCTGCACTGTCTCTTTCAAGCTCCATAGATGAGACTGTAGTAAGGAACCTGCAAGATTTTCCATTGTGCATTTCATTTGGAACTACAGCATATCACACAGTTGTAGAGGGCAGTAACCAATTCAATAGTCATTTCAAATACAACTTGTGGTTAATTAAGATCTACAACACATATGTTAATTCTGTAGTGAGAGAGGTTTACTCGGGTTGTAAGTCGCTTTGGGGTTGCCCCAGGGTTGCAATTGACAAATAAACAAGCAAATACTCTGCAAGGCAATTAGAGAGTTGAACTGTCATGTATGAACGGATCCCTGCATGTACTTGTCCCCATAATCACAGAGCGGTGCGTGTTCAAGGCGGCTATGCACACTTACCACGGAGGAATTTAGCAGAACTAGCCTCCAGGTAAATAGGCACAGACCAGCCTGCATACATTCAACAGTGCTTTAGACTTTGGAGAAGTACAATCTAAAGCAAGGGTGGGCAGAAGATAAGCCCACCAGCCAGTTTTCCGTGGGATTCTTCTTGCAAAGGGCTCCTGCCTGCATGGATCCCGGTCTGATCCTACAACACGCTTTGCGATGTTCTGAGGCGGCTTATGCACACTCAGGGATAACTGAAGCAAAGGGGAGCGATTGCACCTTCGCCTTTCAGAAATCCCGAGTGTACCCTCGCTTCGCACGTGAAAAAGCAAGCGCGTCCACCCACTCAAGGCTGAAGTTCGCTGGCTCCTGCGAAGCGATCCCCTTCGCCAGCCAGATTTCATCGCCTTTTGCAAGGGGGGCGGAGCGAGTGTGGTGGGACGAGAGTCGATCCCGCTCCAGGGGCTATTCCAGGGGGGTGTAAATTATCCCGCTGCCCGCTCGCCCATATGTGTGCTTGGGAGTATTCAGGAGGGCAGGTGAAATGGAGGAAGGGGCAAGATCTCCCGCCTCCCGCGGACCCGAAACTCCCAAGAGGAGCCCTCCCCCTCCCCACCCCAGTCTCTTTCGGGGCCGCTCCCCCTCCAGCATGCAGTCTCACCCCGAGCCAGAGGCGCCGCCCTCCCTGAGACCCCCGAGCCGCCGTCACCGCCGCCATTCTGCCAGCGACCACCTGCCAAAAGGCGCCCCGCCCACCTCCAGCTCAACGATCGAACCCCGCCCGAGCTTTGAGCTTGGCCAATGGAATCAGGAGTCCCGACGTTTTCTCCTCCCCTTTCTCCCTTAGCAAGCCAATGGGATAGTGCTGGAACCTGGCTCGGACCCGCCCCTTCAGCTCCGGGTTCCGATTGGCTACGTTGCCGTCAACGCCCCCTCTAGGCGGAATCTGACTGGATGGCTCTTCCCCCCCCCCCCACATCCCTGGTCTCTCTCTCTCGCTCTCGCTCTCTCTCTCTCTCCCCTAAATCACGACCTAGTGGGAGGAGTGCAGGAGGGAGGGGGCGGAGCAAGGTTGGCTCGTTCGAAAAGGAAGCGTCATATGTTTAGGTTCCCGCGTGCAGGCGGCCGGGTGTCACGTGAGGGGCCAAAATGGCGGTCTCAACGGAAGGTAAGAGGTGGTGGTGAGGAGAAGGTGAAGGTTTTTCCAGTTTTGCGAGTCTCTCTTCCACTGGCATATTAATACTATAATTTGTGTCCACTTGCTTGTCTCTTACTGGGTGGGCGGGGTATAAATAACTATTATTATTAAATTATTATGAGTACGTGTGCATAGGGTGGACCGAAGCTGTCGCATGGGAACAATCCTCACCGAATACAGCGGGTAACTTTATTCCTCAGAAAACCTGCTCCAGTTAGAGCTGAAATGCTACTTAAGCGAATTCCTCAGATTTTTTCCTCAGATCTGGAAATAACTGTTGGGGTTTATATTCACATTTGATGCTCTGTTCATCCAGTCAGGCTCTAAAGAGGCATAGAACAGTGGCAGTGCGCCTCGTGTCTTGAATGCACACGGTCCCAGTAATATCAGGCTCAGTCAGTAGATCATGAAACTCTTAATCTCAGTCTTGGCTTTGAGTCCCGCAGTGATTGGAAGCATTTTGGTTGTTCTTCTAGGCACAGACTTGGAAGCCTCCCTGCTGAGCTTTGAAAAGTTGGACCGGGCTTCACCAGACCTCTGGCCTGAACAATGTAAGTTGCACTCAAGTGGGAAATGTGAAAAGGCATGGAGGATCTTTGGCGACTGTGATATTGCTCTGACTTACAACCTGCTGTTAGGATGTTACTGACAGTGTCTGCATGTTGAACATAAACCTGTCTCAGAACAGTCTTCAAAAATGCACCATAGAGTGGTACTCAATAGCCTCCCAATAGTAGCATCATTCCTGGTTACATGGACATGGTGGCAGCAAGTTGGGGCTGTGTGGGCATGTTGGCAGATCCAGTCCAGAACTCCTACTGTTTTGCTTGTGTGGCCCCTATCACTACTGTGTCTCTCACTCACACTGCCCCAGTTAGCAGCAACAGCACTGCTGTTGGGAGGGCAGTTGCCTGGTACTGTGCCAGTCGCTTCTGTGCACATGCACATTCATTTACATAGGCATGCTCATACACTTTTGTTTAGCAAACATAACAAATGTTTAGTTGAACTAACACGTTTTAACTATTGTGTTTTCTATCCTTTCGGTATTTGTGTTTTCAAAGTGGTTTTAAAAATACATATTGGCTAATTGTGAGTAAGCACTTTATTATAGCCAATCCAGTTTAAGGCTGCAGTCCTATGCAGAATTAGCTGGGAGTAAGCCTTACTTACTGTGAACTTTACTTCTCACTAGAGAGAAGTACAGGATATGTGTATAGGATTACACTCAAGGGCTCCAGGTGTGTGTTTCGATGATGGACCAAAGAGAAATCATTCAAATTACTACTGAGCTGCAAATGTTACAGAAGCAAATAATTAGTGTTGCATTTGCACAGTCACAGAATTCAACATGAATGTGAAGTAATACATGGTACAAATGAATAATCATTTTATGCTGAATATCTCTAGCAATTTAACTGGTGGAGTTAGCAACAGAAATCATAAATTGCCCTTGAAGTTGTAGAGAAAGTTGTAGTCCAGTAACTGTTTCTGTTTTGTCTCCAGTACCAGGTGTTGCTGAATTTGCAGCTTCTTTTAAAAGTGTAAGTAATTTCTCACTTGGATTGACAATTCAATACTAAACATATCTGCTCAGAAGTAAGCCCCTATAAATTCAGTAGGACTTAAGTCTAACCATTATTCACCTAGGCCCATCAGTTTATCACCCAGTGTTATTCCCACTGTGTTGTTCAGAAACCTGATATATTGCCCAAGCAGGCAAACACATCCCATTTCATGCAAAAAGCTGACTAAGAACTAATTCTAGACTTGGACAGAGCTGACCCATCCATTAGCCAGGGTAAACCAGCAGATTTTAGGTCTCCATTAAAGTAGAGCAAATTGGTATGTTTTTCACTTATTATAGTTTTTACACTGTTTTGTGGAGTTGTTGGCCTTCTCTGCCTGAGGCACCAAAGTGTCTTGGGCCATCTCTGCAACTTGCAAATTCTGGTTGTGTGTTTCTTCACTGGAAGCTTAGCAACCTGCCATATTCAAGGACAACTGAAATGGCCTTTTTTGAAACTCCTTTTTTAATATAAAAATAAAAATCGATCTCTTAAACTCATGACACTTTATGTCTTTTTTTCAGCCTGCTTCTTTTATTTTTTTAGAAAAGCAAGTTTTGCATTATATATTTTTTAATATTTGCAACCATGAGAACTTAAAAAAAAAAAAGGCTGGATTTTTAGGGTGTCATAAAATAGGAATCTGACCAGTGGGTCATAAAGTGGTTGATGATAGTTATATTCTATGTAAGTGTCATGGAAATGTAAAATGTAATAATTTTCATACTTCTGAGTTAGGAATCTATTGGTGTCTGGACACTGCATGCTGAGTTTTGTTCTGTCTGCTACATTAAAATTGTAGTAATTTTTTTGTAGTTTATACAACATTGTGTAGCTATTTAGAACTTGACTGGTGATTCTGTGTAGTCTGCATGTGCCAGTGCTGATATAATCTTATTTGAATTGTACTTCTATGCTTACAATGGGAATATTTTGCAAAAACAATATTTGCTAATATTTCTTATTTACATTTTAATCCTGTTTTTCAAAGAAAAATTAGCTTCGTTCTGCTTCCAGTTCTGCTTCCAGCAGCTAAACTCCAGTGTAATTAACAATTGCTATGTAATGCAAAATGCTGTTGGGGAGTAGATTTTGATCTGGTTTTGTATTCTGGCATGATAAAAGGGCTTCTGGCTCCTTCCTTCATTCTGACAGCCTCAGCAATGGTAAATGGTAAAATAAAAAATGTGTGTGGTTATTCAAAAACTCTACAACTAATACTGCAACCTTAATTCCACTTACCTGAGAGTAAGCCCCATAGAAAACACATTCTCTGTATCAAAGTAGAGTGGAATTTTATGCAATTTGGCAGCTGAGCCTATTTTCTATCAGCTGGTTCCAGATATTAGAAATATTTCCCAGTTTCTGTTTATCAAAGACACAGGTAATCACCATTTTTCTATATATGTGCGTGTATTTTTTTTTTAAATAGCCCATCACCAGTTCTCCTCCCAAATGGATGGCTGAATTAGAAAATGATGATATTGACATGTTAAAAGGTGAGTTCCTGTCAATGTTTGAGCACTTCAAATGGCTGGAATTAACAAGCCCAGTATAGTTTGTCTTTAAAACTACACAAATAGTTAAATATTTGTTTTTTATCTTTTTAAGCTCTACTCAAGCATTCATCTGAATGTATGTGGGCAAAAGATTGTGATGGGGGGGACAGGGGTGCACACATAAGCCCACCCCAGTGTCCCTGCACACACCTCATTCACACCAGACCTTTCCATGCTGGGAGGGAAAGCTTGAAGGGAAGATTAAAGACTTTGGCCAAGGGTGTGACCAGCCAATGTTCATCATGTATCTGTGATTCTGGATCCATTCATTGAACCTCAGACTTGGAGAACATCATGCAAGATATTCTCCAAGTCCTTGAAATACACCGGAGTATTAAACCACTAATGAATTTCTGTATGTAATACTAGTTTCCAGAATAGTAGTTGTTGTTGATGTTGATGATGATGATGATACAACATTCTGGGAGTGATAAAACCCTTCTTTGAAGTATATGTTTCAATTTTTCTGTATAACCATTTTAAATTTCATGGTTAATTATTACTACAGTATTATTAAATTTGTTACACATACTTCACCAGCAGGTTGCAGGGCATTTTTAATTTTTCTTCAATAAGCTTCTTACATAGATGCTTCAGATCAGGCTAGATGTAGGACTGGATGTTGGATTTGTATATCTATAACAATTTTTTGTCTACATAGTCTTTAAACCAGCTCCAGTCATGCAAGCTAAGCTTAAGGATGTGGCGAGAGCAGTTTGTAGCCATTTAAATGGACTAGAGCAACACTATGTGAAAAAGAAAGAGAAGAGCTGTAACCTTAGACATATTTGGACAATAGTGTGCCAAATACATTTTGTATAATAGAATAGTGACGATACTAAAGAAACAACAAGAAGAGTCTTTGCTAGGAATTTATTTCATGGCACAGCACATCTTAAGCCACACTTCTTCTTTTTTAAGAGTTGGGGAGTCTCACCACAGCTAATCTAATGGAGAAAGTGAGAGGTCTGCAGAATCTAGCATACCAACTGGGACTAGACGAATGTAAGTAGATAGTTGCTAAGGTGTATTATGTTTAAAAACTGTAGGTCTGTTGCTTAATTTTCTTATAGAGCCAAACTTTACATATTCAGTAAGAACATATTCAATATTTCACTTGTGAGAAATAATACAATAGCCAAGCATGTATGATATTGCGCTGTTAGTCTCCTGAAAAATTAACAGTTTGGCGTGGCTGCATCAGTAGTAGAATATCTCTACAAGCAGTTGCTGGGTTCCTACAACGATTGTGTGTCTCAACGATTTAGGTGGGATGTTTCTCCTGTTTCTTCTGTGAACCTCTCTGATGTTTTGTAATAGTAACCCCATAAGATAACTGAAGTATGAATTCAGAGTACTTTGGAACACTTCTTACTTGAAGATGAAATTACTCTGTTAGGATTAAGTACTGCCTTATGATATGCAAGATAAATAAATAATTATTTGAATCAGTTTATGAGAGTCACAACAAAAGCTATCTTTAAGTATCCTCTAGGTGGCAGCAAAATGCTACCTAGAGATAATTGGTTCTCCGTGATGTTTTTGTAGCTTTTTAGATTTGGATTGAGTTCTTTTGCGGGGTGGGAGTGTTAATCGCTGAATTATTATATTGTACTGAAAAATGATATCAGAAAGATTGTCTCCATGTAGTAATGTTGATGGTCCCTTATTTTTGTGGAAAGGTTGATAGAGAAATTTCTACTGACTTTTTTTGATTCTTCGTTAGCAGTTTGCAGGTTTAGGTGTTATAATTCTCATGGTCAGTCATTGCTCTCTCTTGAGATTAGATTGGATATTTTGCTGAGGAGACAATTTATTTAGGTAATTCTAGAGTTCAATTGGTTTTTAAGCTATAAATTTATAGTTCCATGTACTAATATTTCTCATTATAAAACTGTTGCCTTTCTTTGCTGCTCTGACATTTAGAATGTTCCTGCGTATTGTATATGACCACCGAAAGCAAGCCATAAGAAAATTACCTTAGTAACTTAGTTTGTAACTTATTATGGTACTATCCTGCTCATTAGGATCCTCTGTACAGTTAGGTAATGGCACAATCAAATCTTAGTTTAATAAGCAGAGATATGCACAAGCTTCAGACACCTACCTCCAACTGCTTTGTTCCTCCCTTTGCCCAAGCCAGAGAGCAGATTAAACCATGATTTCTTGTTAACATCTGATTCAGGAAGCTGTAGAAAGACAGGATAGGACAGAACTTTTAAGTTATGGCTTCCATATCCTGGCTTGTTCAGGAAACCAGGAAACTTAACCATAGTTTCCTGGTTTATATGTAATATGAAATCACAGTTAAATGCATCTTCCTGGTTTGTTCATTCGTGCAAAGGATTAAGCAGAGTGATTGCATTCAGGTGCCTGAAGCTCATGAATAGTTTAATAAGATGAGATGAGATTTGATTATTCAAATGTTACCATTAAATAACTTGTTTGGAGGATCATAACTCTTTACATAGCATTTATATACCACCTTTCAATAAAGTTCTCCCGCTGGCTTACAAAATAAAAACACTAAAAATCCTAAAACAAATAGCAATAGCAGAGAGAAGACAATTCATCTCCTACAACTTGGTAGCAAGAGAAGGGGATAAACAGGCCTCATGAGAGAGGACAGTCTGTAGTACTGAAGCCATCACAAAAAGGCCTCTTGGGTATGTCAACCTGATACGCATCAAGGATGCTGGCCAGCTAGCTGTCCACAGGCAAAATCCAGCCCCCCAAGCACTTTTGCTGGGTCTCTGGTAGTTCTGTCAGATTATACTTGAGGTATGCTAAAAAGTAAAAATTCAGAGAAGCTCTGTTCTGCAAAGGCAGATATCTGTCGGTAACAGTCTATGCCAGGGGTAGGCAACCTAAGGCCCGTGGGCCAGATGCGGCCCAATCGCCTTCTAAATCCGGCCCGCGGACGGTCCTGGAATCAGCGTGTTTTTACATGAGTAGAATGTGTCCTTTTATTTAAAATGCATCTCTGGGTTATTTGTGGGGCCTGCCTGGTGTTTTTGCATGAGTAGAATGTGTGCTTTTATTAAAAATGCATCTCTGGGTTATTTGTGGGGCATAGGAATTCGTTCATTTTTTTATTCAAAATATAGTCCGGCCCAACACATGGTCTGAGGGATGGTGGACCGGCCCATGGCTGAAAAAGGTTGCTGACCCCTAGTCCATGCACTGAAAAATTGCTCATAAAAAATGGTTACAACGCACATGCAATGTTAGTGCTACCTCTATATAAGCATGGTTCAAATGCAGTGTTGGCCTTGTAAGGCCTGGGGCATACCTATACTAAGATGGTCCCAAAACTCCGAGGGCATCTGGCTGGCTAAAGCTGTTCTACATTGATAGCACCAATGTTGCAACAAGCTCAGCACTGTCAAAATTGTTGGTGGCTTTTCTGATGGTATGGGACCAGGCCACCGAATATTAGTCTCTAGTCCATCAGCAGACTGTGATCAACATTCTGCCTCCCTTCTCTCTCCTCATTCCCCACTTCCCACTCTGGTCATGCTATTGTGGGGTTTCACCTGTCATAAGGTGGTCACTTTGTGTAGTAAGGTATGGTTCTATTCCCCAGACAACTATCTGGAACAGAGTGAGTGCAAGAGTCTGAGCATTCCTGGTTTAGGTCCTAGACTACTCCAGTACATGAGATGGAGTAAATTCCATTGCTGGGTCTTATTGAGAGGTATGTAATGCTTGATTGAGATGGCTGTCAACCAACTGATAGCTTCCATACAGCCATACAGTTTTAGGTGAGCCATAATAACAGATCAGATACCTTTTTTCAGATCACGGATAGCCAGTTGCAATCTACAGGCAGCATCAGGAATGCAGCCAGTTATCTAGTCCCTGTTAGGCTCATTGTGTTGAGAAAATAATCTGAGGGTGAAGACAAAGCTGAGACTCTTCCATGCTCATATTTAGGGCAGGACGGGGAGAGAATGGCTAAAATCAGTTGTTCCAGAAAGCAGCAGAGTGTGACTAGAAGAACCTTGTGTCTACGTTGCATTAAAAAACAACCTGCTAGGATCATATGTAGAACTTTCTTATACCCTCCCATCAGATGTATGGATAAATGTAGCATGGTCATAGGTTCTGAAACTTTCTAGTGTTGCCCTCCATGTTCATCTTGCTGAACATGCCATAATGTAGCATTGGGGACTCTCCAGGGTATCATGCAGGAGACATTCTCCCAATATGGAGATGTCAAGGACTGAATCTGGGACTTACCATGGAGGTTTAGCTCTTCCCCTCTGCAACAATAGGTATAAAAGCCTCTGATTTGGGGTGCAGGCACTCTGTACAATCTCAGAGGCACTACCATTCCATCGTGTGGTCCAAGGATGAGCTCAGCACCAGTAGGGAACATAGCAAGGTGCCTTATACTGAGACAGCTCATTCGTCCATCAAAGACAGAATTGTCTAGCCTACATTGACTGAGAGCAACTCTCCATAGGTTTCTCCCAGTCCTACTTGAAGATGCTGGGGATTGACCCTGGGTTGCTTCTTCTGCTTGCCACAGCTTTCTATTGTGCTTGGCATATTTCATTTTCCAGCACTCAAAAGCTGCCCACCAGATCACGGGGCGGCCCTGCTAGAGCCCCTCTGATTTTCATCATCCCACCTCAGAGGAGGAGCAAAAACACTGCCATGCTGTGCAAATACCAATGGATGGAAGAGAAGCCAGGCACATAGGGTACTACCCAGGCTCACAATCACTTCTGTCTGGAAGGAAAGGCCAGCCTTTCCATAAGCCATGGCTGAAGAGGCTCCTGCTCACTGGAAGATTCCTGCAGATCCTGAGATCCATGGAAGAATCTGTCCCGCATGATTTTAATGCATCCAGGCTGCTGTTTCTGTATAATACAGTTGGTTTATATTTTGTATTGATCTCTTGTTTTATGATGCTTTTTAAAAATGTTGCGCCTTGGGATAACTCTGCAGCCCCCTGGTTAACAACCACTGATCTGGACTACAGTGGTGCCTCGCAAGACGAAATTAATTCATTCCGCGAATTTTTCGTCTAGTGAATTTTTCGTCTTGCGAAGCACAGTTTCCCATAGGAATGCATTGAAAATCAATTAATGCGTTCCTATGGTCGAAAAAAGTCCAAACAAAGCCAAATTTGGTACAACAAGAGTTTATTAAGTGCTCTTTAAAGTCACACATACTGTAAAGAGCATTTCAAAATTCAAACCCAGAATTTTTTTAAAAAACAGCAGAGAGGCCCAATGGTCACAGAAAATCATAAAAATGCAGGGGAAAAAACAAAAGCTTCCAGATTCTTGCAAACCCCTCCCCAACTGTTCCCCCAGCCACCCAGCACACAGAAATTCAAATCCAGAATTTTTTTAAAAAAACAGCAGAGTTCCCCAATGGTCACAGAAAATCAGAAAAATGCAGGAAAAAAACACACAAGCTTCCAGATTCTTGCAAACCCCTCCCCAACACCAAGTCCTTGAATTCCAAACACCCCAACCCAAAATCCAAACCACCCCAAAAAAGTTTTAAAAGCTTAACTTACCAAATGGCTGCAAAAGAAGTTTTGGAAAAGCTTCAAAAATCACCAAAGTCTTTAAAAACCTCAAAAAAGGCTACTATGTACACTGCGTTCTATGAGTTGCTCCTCGAAGTCAAGTCGCAACTGTATTAACGGTGTTAAGAAAACCGAAACAAACTTGCAAGACGTTTTCGTCTTGTGAAGCAAGCCCATAGGGAAATTCGTCTTGCGAAGCAGCTCAAAAAATGGAAAACCCTTTCGTCTAGCGAGTTTTCCGTCTTGCGAGGCATTCGTCTTGTGGGGCACCACTGTAGTAGTTTATACAACATTGTGTAGCTATTTAGAACTTGACTGGTGATCTGCATTTTTTGTACAGTGGTACCTCGGGTTAAGAACTTAAGTCGTTCTAGAGGTCTTTCTGGGTTAGCAGAGTCTGTAACCTGAAGCGCCTGTAACCCGAGGTACCACTATTGCTATTTGTGTAGTACAGCATAAAATGCAACCAAACCTCAAGTTTAAATAATAGAACAGTTGTGATATGCAGAGCAATGGTTCAGAAAGAGCTGGTTTCACCTCGGAGAATTGGCTTTATTAAATACAAAGCTACCATCTGTTCTTGAGTGTAGTCAGAATTACTTTAGCTAAAATAATTTGCAGCAATGATTAGACAACCATGTAAAATTTTACTTTAAAATATTTTATGATTGTCCTACACTTAATGAATTCATCTGATATTAATTTTGTATTCCCTGATATGCACAAAGTATCATAAACCACATCAAAATTCAGAGTTGTTGGTTTTTGGTTTTGTTTTGCTACAATGTTTTGCTACCATGGTCATGTAACTGTGTAAACTGTAGAACTTACTGTTTGATACCTAGTCTCCAAGGAAAATAACAAGCTGGCATTTCGACATTGGTTTGAAAGTGGGAGTGCTTTATGATGAACAGAGGGCTTAGAAGTTCTCCTGTAACTTGATAACCGTGTTTATGTAGGCTTTTGTGTATGGAAGGTGTGGCTTCCTAGTATGCCATGAAAGAGAATTCTAGAAGCCCACATGGGGTTGCATCCTGACTAAGTTAGTTGAACATGAGGCCCATTGAAATCTGTGAAACAAATTAGTCACGATTTGACTTGCATTCCATTTATTTAAACTAATTTAGTGTGGATCCAACCCATGTACAGTACTTATTTTGTGTTGTGTTATTGCCAAATTGCTGGCTTCTTTTGGAATGAACATGGATGTTCTGCAGGTTCTATGGTTTGCTTCTTGTGTTTCATCTGGTACTCAGAAAAGATATATTGACTCCAAAATGTGTATGTAATGTGGCAAACAATATAAACTTCAGGTTTCTCCTTTAAAGTCTCTGGCAGCAGGCCGCGGCTTCATTGGCTTAGGGGCATGGAAACATACGCATCGGTCTCTTGCCTACACATTTCAAGAGAAATTTCCATGTATGTATACATGGGATCAGAGCACAGAGAGATGCTAGAAGATTGTAGTCCTACTTTCCACACATAGTCGTGGGAATCTAGAAATAATTTAGTAGTAAGAAGAAATAAGAAGCTGCTGCTAGATCAAGTTGTTGCTGGTAGGAAGCCTACAAAAGCAGGACCTGAGTACAGCAGCACTTTCGCAGCCTGCAGTTGCTAGCTGGGAACAGCTTTTGCAAGGAAATAGACTGCACTGTGGGCCAGGCATGTCCAGAATCTGTTTTGGGGGCCCAAAGTCCATTTCAGGGACCCAATCTAGACTGCCAGTCGATTTAATTCGGCCCCCATGGTAGTATATGTCCTAGGGTAAAATCCCTAAAAAAGCTCAACAACTTTGGTCGGCCCTCACGCGTGTTCACTTCATCAAATCTGGCCCTCTGAAAAAAGTTTGGGCACCCTGCTGTAGGCTTCTGAGAAACTAATCAGCTATGGAGAGTACTTAGGTTTCCAGCACTCCTAGATGTATGTTAGACCTCACAGGCACTCACCCCAGTGCTCAGCCTGGGATATATATATTTTTTCCATACTTCATTCTTTTTGATCATTCTAGGTCTCTTTTGACACACACTCGTGTGCTGTTCACATGCAGAGGAACAAGACATTCACCTTTGTCTTTGCTGCTCATCACACAGCTTGGCTTGTTTACTCACTGTTGTGTTTTTTTGTTTTTTATGTGTGAGTATTTCAGTTTCTAAAAAGAGCCACCCAAATACCAATTTAAAATTAGGATGCACACAAGACCCTTGAATGGGCTAATTTTGACATGTAATATTCTTAACTATCTGCAGTCCACAGATCATGACCTCAACTTTTTATCATCGCTATTGGATTGTATGCCAGTTTTAGAAGTGAAGGAGCTATGGGAAGTTTTAATTGTACCTGTGTGATTTATCCCCAGTCAGCTCTTTAATTTCTTCTGGCTGTCTGAGGTTTCCGACATGCTGTAAATTTCACCAACTTTTTCATTATCTGCAATTTCTTTATGACTTGTGAATCGGAGTGGAGAGAGAGTGTGGATTTACAGCGGATATAAACATGTCCATAAAGTCTGTATCTGTGTCAGTAATTGTACTGCTGTCAGTGACTGTCCTGTTTTACAGGCCTCTCTTGGGGAAGGAACACACTTTGCTACTAGTGGCAGTGTAGTGTTCATCCTTCGCTTTGCATTAACTCACCAAGAGATTAGGTTGTAATAATTGGGATGGAAATTGAGCTTAGATATTGGTCACTCAGCCCCTCTCTCTCTCTCTCTCTCTCTCTCTCTCTCTCTCTTTCTCTTCTTGCTCTTAGCTAATGAATAAGTGAGTGAATTATCCAGTATTTGTTTGGAAGGAAAGGGAAATGGACAGATAGCTGCTTCATGCTAAAATGTGGTGCAGTCGACTAACAATATTATAAATGATAGTGCTGTGCATATGTACAGATTAGTTGCATGTACCATAATAAACACTGTCTTTACCTGCCTCACCAGCGTTTCTAGATTAACTATTTCTTCTGAGGCAGTTAATTACATCCTAATAATCTCCAGCTGTTGATGACTTTTTGTTGCCCACAGGAAGAGGTGTGGGGGCAAAGAGAGAGTATTCTTTTAAATGTCAATAAATGTGCCAGGTATTTCTTGTTTACTCTCTTTACTTCAAGTAAAGTAGTTTGATAAGCTGTAGATTTTTTTGACAAGGGCATTTTTGTGTGGCTTGTCTTTTAGTATATGGACTATTAGGTGTTTGGTATAGCAAAATGCATTTCAGACACTGGAAGATTATTCATGATGTCTTTGTGGAATGTCTCATTCACTTGTCAAATACCCAGAATGTGAGCCGGTTCCAGCACTTCTGATATATATGCCTGCCAAACAGATTCAGACTGTGGAGAATGAAAACTTAAAATAAAGCCTTTTCGGGAAGTGTTTGGGTACAAAGGACTGTTCGATAGCTCACTTCCTTTTGTTCATGTCAGTGGATGCTAACTTTAAAGCCTATGGCACTTGCGTGGCATCTTCTGGAATTACAAGGGCATGGTTCCCCATTTATAGTAAGTGTAATTATATTTAAATAGCTACCAAAATCTGATACGTGCATGCACTTGACCTTAAATATATAGATAAGCACACTTCATTTGAGTCTTGCAAACCCAACTTTATACAAATTCATGGGAAGTTTCTAGTTCTTGAGTGTCACTCTGTCTAGATTTGCACACATTGAAATGCTGTTTATCTTGTATTTTTATGTTGTCAACCACCTTGAGATCTACAGAGGAAGGGTGGCATATAAATATAATCATCATCATCACCATCATCGTCATCATCGTCCATGGTCCAAACTACTTGGTTTGCCACGATGGGCAGGATAGAAAACAAACACCTGGCAAATTGTAACAGTTGGCTGTTGTGTGCATGTCTCTCTAGGCTTGTTCACACATTTCACTGAACAAGGGTACCAATTATCTCTACACATGTTCTGTACAGCTAAACTATTGTGTACACAGACTGTGCTCTGCTGCATTATTAAAAAAACTATTTGTGTACACAGATTGTACACTCATTGAATGCAACGTGCGAACACGCTCAAATATTCTGCACTGTTTTATTTAATGAAGTTATTGTTACACATACACCAGACTGTTTCTAAAGAGTTAGAAATTGAGAATCTGGAGTCTGTGTCTGAAAGCTTGGCCTTTTAAAAGAAATAAAATAAAATTGTTTTTTAGTTTTCAAAAGTTTACATACTTCACCATCAACAATATGTTTAATTCAGGCCTGGCTTCTTTTGACCATGATAGAACTACAGTCAAACCTCGGTTTTCGAACGTTTCGGAAGTTGAACGGACTTCCGGAACAGATTACGTTCGAAAAGCGAGGTTCCACTCTCAACTTTTCCACACTGGAAAAACTTCTATCTTGAACTAGGAATCAGCTATCATCCTTTGTCACACTTGCTTCTTTATATCATACTGCAGGGTATATATACATAAATAAACTTGCAACTAAATTTTTACATTATAATTTTCAAAAGTAGAAGACTTACATTTTACTAAGTTGTGATTATAAACTTAGATAAGACAGCTTGTAATTATAAGGTGAGACAGCTGGTGTTGTCCAATTCCTTGCCCATTGGACTTGGGTCTGGGTTTAACACCTGCCTCTGTCATGGACTTGCAATATGCCTTGTGTAAGTTGTGTTCCTTACTTCAGTTTCCCATCTGTGTAACATGTGTAATACTTGACAAGGCAAACAGGAAATTTGCAAATAAGTAGCAATATAATATGTAACCTGCCTTTTTCAAATCCCTGCCTACATTTTTATTTCCTACTTTAGTTTTTTATGACAAAAAGCAAATAATCTTGAAGCATTGGGTGCCAACCAAGGCAGAAAACCAGTTCAGCTCCAAATGCTGATGTATAATAATAATAATTTTTTTAGCATAATAATAATTTTCTTAGAAGATTTGAATGTATCCAGAATTTCAAAATAATCATTCTATGCACAAAATTTGGTGGACCCTGATGTATTGCAGTCACAACTGTAGTTCTTTAAACAATCACGTAGCTAGGACTATTTTTCAGCTGGAGCTTACAGGAGCTCAGTTCTGGCATCTTTCAGATGGGCGCCATTGCCATTCTAAGAGAACAAGAAAGAAGTTCATGGTGAGCTCTGGCACCTATTTTCTAGAAAAAATAGCACTGCATGTAGCTCTGTTTTAATATATCTTCCCTTCTGCCCCCTCCTAGTTTCCTGGGAAAAACTTGGGACAACCTCATTTGATTAAGTAAGCTATGCAAAGTACCGTATTTTTCGCCCCATAGGGCGCACCTAGTTTTTTTGGGGGGGCGGGAAATAAAGGGGGGAAATTTCCCCCCCAGGCGCGCGGCTGGGGTGGGGGAAGCCCAAGCTTCCCCAGCCCCCAGAACAGGCAGCTCTCCGCAAGCCGTGGGAGCCTGGTATGAAGTCACGCCGGGCTCCCGAGGGTTGCGGAGAACTGCATGAAGCCCGGGGCGCACTCCGCTGCGCTCCCCAGGTTTCGGGCTGCAGGCTGCTGTCCGCAAGCCTTGGGAGCCCGGGGGGAACTCCCGCAGGCTCCCAAGGCTTGCGGATAGCTTCCTGAAGCCTGGAGAGCGAGAGCGGTCGGTGCGCACTGACCCCTCTCATTCTCCAGGCTTCAGCGAAAGCCTGCATTCGCCCCATAGGACACACACACATTTCCCCTTCATTTTTGGAGGGGAAAAAGCGCGTCCTATAGGGCGAAAAATACGGTATGTGGAAATGCTTGATTCCTAATGGCTTCCCATGTGATGTTCAGCTGTGGCATATACCACTTAGCAGATGATTAACTAGGATGCACATGGATATATGTTTTGTAAATTAATCCTACAGCACAACCTTGTTCTTGTTTACTCAGAAGTGGGTCCGACCCTCATTTTCTCTTAGCAAATTCAGCAATCTTACTAGCTGAGATTTCTATGGTTTCTTTAGAGAAGAACCTGTTGTTGTTTTCTCAGCTTCCCAGAAGCAGTTCCTCCTCTTCTGAATACGAGGCCTTTACAGAGATCAATTGCATTCCTTTTTGCATTCCTAGTCACCGCAGCCTTGCAGGGTCTGTATATATCGAATGTAATATAGCTGGGCCAGAGCTCTGTGACAAGATCTAAGTGCCTCATTAACTCCTGTACGCTAGAACAAGATAAAAATGTCATCAAGCCCCTATCAGATGCCTGATATAACCTCTAGCAAGCTGGAGTGCCATTAGTTTAAATTCTCAATCAAATGCCTTCCTTGAGCTTAAGGAGCAATGATTAAACGTGGAGTGTCCCCTGAGGACTCTACAGCTGTCGCGGCTTGGGGTGGGTCCCTTCTCTTACCAACCGGAGAGTCTTGAGCCAGAGGTCCCAGTGGGGCGGGCCCTCTTCAGACCTGCACGTGCCTGCCCCAGCTGTTCTCCTTTGCCTAATGAATTGCTTTACAGGGAGAAGCTGGGTATTGTCATCACAAGCTGCCTTCCCTGGGGGCTTGAGCCAGCCTCAGTAATGACTAATGTTAGTGATAGTAATTGAAGTGTGATAGCTCTCTGGGGACTCTGCACCATGTTTGATGCTAGCAAGCACTTGTGGCTGGTGCAGGCCTGCGAACGGCTCAAAAGTGATTTTTAATTGCTCTGCTCCTGTAACTACACTTAAAAGTGGACTTAAAATGTTTCTCATTTTCTTGGTAATCTGGTGGATTTATATCTTTTAGAGTGAGTGGTACTGTGAAAGGTTTGCAGGACTCTACTGTCCTTGTAGTCCTATTATTATTATTATTATTATTATTATTATTAATTAAAATTTGTATGCTGCCCTATACCTGTAGATCTCAGGGCAGTTCACAACATAAAATCACAATATGAAAAACAGAAATATACATAATAAAAACAAAGACAACCCAATAATCCCCCCCTTCCACAAAAAGTTTTCAATTAGCGATAATTGCAATAGTCCTTAGCACCCCTGTTGCTTGTCCTCATCTGTCGGTCAAGTTGCAGTGTGTGGAGCATACAGTAACATGAATCCTTCTCTTTTCTAAGTTCAGCTGAACTCTAGTGGAAAGAAGGGTCACACGCAGTGATGGAGTTAGTTTGTTCATTGGCATCAGCATATGGGGGTAGTCCGGATCCTTACCACCCACAATAGGCAAAGTTTGACCAGCAGCTGGTGTCAAAGATGTCAGGTGACATGTTTTTGCCCGTGTGATGATCAGCTGATGGTTTGGGCTTGCAACCTTTCTTTCACCCAGCCACATCTACCTGCCCTACAACTGACATAATATAGTATAACATTAGATATGGTGAAGGTGCATGTGGCTTAGCCAAAATGGCCTTGCGGGCCTTTTACTGGCTTTATCTGGTTCACTAGCTATAGCCATTGCTGGACAGAGGTAGCCTGACCACTGTAGTCCATGTGTTGGTAAGTTGAAGGCTGGATTACTGCACTGTGCTCGTTGTGGGGCTACCCTTGGTCCTGGTTCAGAAACTAAAGCTAGTGCACAATGTGGCTGTCGGGCTGCTGCTGGAGGCCTCTGGCTGACAGCATGTGACGCTAATATCTGGCTACCCGTCTACTACTCAGCCAGGTTCCAGGTTCTTGTATTAATTTACAAAGCCCTGAACAGCTTAGGTGCAGGGTTCTTTAAGGACCACCTAAACCCTTATATCTCTGCTCAGTCACTGAGATCATCTGTAGGGTCCTCAATGGTTCTCTCCTGAGTTGGCATAGTCTTTGACATCAATACAAAATAGAGCCTTGAGTGTCATCAGCCCAGTCCTGTGGTATGTTGAAGAATTTATTCTGTTTAAATTTTCTTCCATTTTATACTATTTTTCAGAATTTTATATTCTTTTCTAAGCAGTAGTGCAGTCTCCACAGGATCAGTTTTACTTGAAAGTTTGGCTTGTGATATCCTTTTCTAGAAAACCTCTGCTTCAATGCAGACAGTTCAGAAACAGTTCTTTCCTCCTGTCCCATTCCTGCAGCCCTGCATTGCATTGCACAGGGTTGGACTAGAATTTAATGAATGTTTGTGGCTGTGGCAAAGCTTGCTTACAGATCTTGGTCCACTTCATATGTAGCTTCCTACGGATATTTCTGCCTGTAGGAAGAATGTTCATATGTTGATACATCATTACAAAGAATATTGAATATAGTCAGCTTTAAAGATACAAATGTTTTGCACTTACATATTTCTCTGAAACAGCCTTGTTCAGCAGATTTGTGCTGTATCTATTTAATGAGAGAGAGCTCTTGGTTCCTTGGAACTTCTGTGCAAAGGCGAATGGCGAACATTATAGCTACAAAGTGTGAATTCTTAGCTGAAGTACTGACAGCATGAGCTTTAAATAAAGAAGTAGGAATGTCTCATTTTTGACGTCACAGCAATCAAGTTCCAAATTAATTACTAAGAGACACTATGGAGAAGAAATTTTCAATCTTTTCTGCTAATTTTCTCATGCTGCTCCTAGTAATAATCTTTCATTGTATATGCATTATAGATATGCTTGGATTTGTTAATTGTAATATAAAATTAATGAGCACACTCAAATAGCAATTAGTTACATGCATTCTTCAGGAGGCTCATGGCATTTTGTTCTGCCTAGTGTACCTGATACCTGCATCAGCAATCTTGACCACATTTATCAAGGTTTACTTGTGGGGTGGCAGCGATAATGAAGGGAGTGCATTCTATTGCTCCAGCATGTCAACCAGAATAAACCCCTCCTTCTTTCCTTATATGACCTGTACACTGTTAACAGCTACTTTCCTATGGTTGCCAAGTTTCCTTAGCAAGGTCTCTAAAGCCCAGGTCTCATCTGGGCTTGTGCTGTTCCTCATTAATATACACGTGCAAATTATCTATCCTTCACCCCCACACACAGAGCGCTACACTTTCTATAGTTTTTGTTAAGTCAAAACCTTATGAAATTATATTTGTGGGTGTTCTTAAAGCTAATTTAGATGGGCATCATCATAGTTCATGTATTGTCAATATATATTCAGGTCAAATACAACCCATATAATTAGGTTTATATAAGCATGCTTTCTCAGTATTTTGCTCTGGTTTAAGTAAATCAATTTTAAAATCAATTTCTGTTTGTACAAATAAGACCTTTAATGTGGTAGCCTCAGACTTGGTTGTTTTAAGCATCGTGCCTGTTCTGAATAACTTTCGCTGCTGTGTTCACTAAAAGTGCATCTGCTGGCAGAATAGGTCTTATTTATATGTTGGTTCTGCAAGCTCAAATACTTCAGATTGGTTCCACTTAAAGCTCCCAAGATAACTGCCAGTTAGCACTGATGGTTACACATTCATCGTTTTCTGTGTAGCATGTAGATACCTGGGCACTGGTTGACTTCTATTAGACCAAGCTGTTTTGAATTCAGCAGCAACCTTTCCTAAAATAAGGAAAGTTGCACAAAGTATGGCACATCTGGCAACACCAATGCAGACAGTTCTGAAAAGTTATTTAAAGTTCTATGATTTTTGACCTATGGAAGCATGGATAAACAAGTGTCTGATCATGATATAATTATAAGAGGAGGTGGTGATAGGAGTTTAACTCCATAGAAGATATTTCTTGAGCCAGTAACCTTTCTATAGAAAGCTGCATTCACTGCTGGAATTCAGTTGCTGTGCTCTGCTTTTCCCTGGGGGATTTAATACTTCTTCTACATACCTTAGTAGTATTCCCTCACCCCACGCCCAGCAAGATCAAACCTGAAACCCTGAAGAGCTGTTGCCAGTGAATTATAGACAGTAGTAAGCAGGATGGACCCAGTGGTCTTGGTATGTGACAGTTTCCTATGTTCCACATGACACACAATATGATTGGTGTATTTTTAAAACTAGGGTTTCCCAAATTTGGGTCTCCAACTTGGACTACAACTCCCATCATCCCTAGCTAGCAGGACCAGTGGTCAGGGATGATGAGAACTGTAGTCCAAAAGCAGCTAGAGACCCAAGTTTGGGAAGCCCTGTTCTAGAGGAGTCCTGTACAACATTTTTAAAACAGTTGTACTAGCTTCACATTCTTAATCTGCAAGTGTGCAAACTTTTTAAAATACTTCTTTAAAAAGATCATCTTTAGGATGCAGTGAGTTTCTTAACTCAACGTAAGGAGCAATTGCCAGCTAATTTGTTTATTAGATATTTGGGCTTAAGCATCTAATAAGTGTAATAATGCCTGGTTAGTGATGAGTAACCTAATGAATCTTATGCAAGCAGGTTCCTTAACCCTAATCCATTGACCATGCTGAGGGTCACTGTTGCAGTGCATTTCTCAGGATGAGCCGCATGCTGCCTGCTGCTTCCCTGTTAGAATTCAGCCTGCCATACCCTTAGCACCCTGTCTCCTGAATGGAATTCAAAAAGACACTTAGATTTCCATAAATAAATTAGGAATTCAGTGGCTTCTTCCGGCTAATCAGGACAGGCTGATAAACCTTGCTAGCTGTTTAATAAATGAATTGTGACTGATTACCTATTAATATGGACGCCTCAGGAATTCACCCAGGGGGAAGCAGAGCAGTGAAATAGAGAGGGGCATGGCCCCCTGGGAAATCAGGGCTTCATGTTTGCAGCTTAAATATCTCTGTGAAGTATCAATAAGGAGGTAATTGAATTTTGAACACAAACATGAGCGCCGGATGGATGAAGAGAAGGGGAGGGGGCTCTGATCGTCTCTTCTAGGCCCCTTCATTCTTCCCTCCCCTTTCCCTTGGAGACCACTCTAGTGAAGATAGATGCTAAATCCATTAAATAAAGATTAGACTCTGTCGTGGTAGAAAATGGTAGCTTAGCTAGATCCCTGGGCAAATTGGGACCTTTAGCAATACAGAAAATTAAAATATACATTTTTAACAAGTGTGCTATCGACACGCTAATAATGGTTGCCTGTCTTGGGGGTTTGCTCACCTTTAGATTTGCTTTTGTTAGTCTATAGTGCTCTCCTTGTTTCTGTACTAGATTTTTTTTGTTGTTGTTCCTTAAAGTGGTAAAACTGTAGCTTCTTCAGACTATGATCTGCTGTCTCCTAGAATGAGATCTAAAATGTAATATTAGACAAGAGATGTCTTACATTCCCTGAAATAGAAAGACTACCAAGAAGATGCAGTTAAGGCAACAACATGCAGACACAAGGATAGATGAAACACCCAAGAGAAATACTGTACTTTTATGTCTACACAAGCTCCATAAGGACCTTGAATCCAAGTTTTTTTTCTTTTCTAGGTTTGCCTTAGATTGAATCTGACTATTAAGAGGGTGGCACTGATACCAGTTGTTCCTGGTTTCTAGATTGCTCTGTAGGTCAAAAATAATGAACTTACTAGTGAAGAGGTTTGCACAACAGTTAAATCAGAACTCTGTGCCTCAAGAAGCAGACAAAACTTTCCCTCTGTTAAAAAACTCTCTACTCTTCATTATACTTGCCGTTGACTTGTTGCCAGAACTGTAGGAAGTCACCATATTCTAGCACCTTTTAGATAGGATAGTATTAAGTTAAAGGAAGCTTCTTTAATTTTAGGATCTCTTCGCCGAAGGATTACAGCAAAGTGGTCTGAGTTTAACACAACATACACTGCGTAAGTCTTGGTTTGTTTGAACTTGTAAAATAACTTTACACTTGTGCTAGGTAGATGGAAAGCACCCTGAATGCATGAATATAAACAGCAATCCAACATATATATGAAGGCTGTAGGTGTCCCCTGGGAAAAGAGAGGGGAATGGTAGTGAACCAACTACTTCTATAGAGATCCCCTCTTTTCCATAGAGAGGATGGGATTTGACCTAAAGCCCTTTTACATTACTGGGATTTTTATCTCCATACAAGTCAGCATGCCAAGAAAGTCGTTCGGCACTTGAGCCTACAACAGATTCTAGAACTGGCGTCATTTTTCACAATGCAACTTATTGTACTTTTCCTTTATTCCATTGTAGCTCTTTAAAATTTTCATTTTTTGATTGCATCATGAAGAGCTGAAGTGAATTGTTTTGAGCAAGCGCTGCTGTGGTTTCCTACAGAATAAAGCTCAGACTCAGTAAAGATTCAAGGCAAACTTGCTTTTTCCAGAGTTGGAAAAGCCGAAGCTCACTTGTGCCACTTTGGGGTGCAACATGCTGGATTCTAAGCACCAAGGGATAGAGGGAGTATTACTTAACCAAAGCAGCGTAATAGGAGACTTTCATTTACTAAGATATATAGAAGAGGTTGTATAGCACAGTAGTTTCTACGAAACTGACCCCTATACCAGGAAATTGCCATTCCAAATTTGGCCTTGCCCAAAATGCATTAGGCAGCCTTTTGCAAGTTACTGCCTCTCACCCTTAGCAAATAACGGGATAATAATATTGACATGGCTGTTAGGGCTGTTGGATATTATGTGAAGCGCCCTGTGGACACTCAAGTACAATATAAATTCATACTGGTATTGAGATGTGCAGAGTTTTCTGGAACACATGCTAATGGCTTCACTGAGACAATAAAAAGATTCTGCCAAGGATGCTAAGGATTTAAGTATTTCATCTGTGCTTGGATTTCAGTGCTCACACAAATCCTCCCCTCAAGCATTTAAGTAGAATTAATTTACATAAAGTTGTTTCCTACATATGATCATGATGGTAAAGAGGGTTAAAGAGTCTTCTCCAGTGCTATCCAATTGCTGTCCTTCTGTTTCAAGAATGTAAATGTTGACTAAGTGTGATTCATTTTTTTAATTTTGGGGGAAGACAGATGCTCTCTGATGGATTGGCTGAAGAGTTTCTTCTGTTTAGAATTTCTGCCATTTTATATACTATTTATCAGAATTTTGTACTCTTTTCCAAGCAGTATAGTGGTACCTCTGGTTACGAACTTAATTCGTTCCGGAGATCTGTTCTTAAGCTGAAACCGTCCTTATCCTGAGGCACACTTTCGCTAATGGGGCCTCCTGCTACATGCGCGCCTCTGGCACGCGATTTCCATTCACATCCTGGGGCAAAGTTCGCAACCAGGAGCAGCTGCTTCCGGGTTAGCAGAGCTTGTAACCTGACACGTTCATAACCAAAAGCGTTCGTAACCAGAGGTGCCACTGGCTTCAGTTTTACTTGAAAGTTTGCCTTGTGATATCCTTTTCTAGCAAATCTCTGCTTCAATGCAGAATGTTCAGAAACAATTCTCTCCTCCTGTTGCATTCCTGCAGCTCTGCATTGCATTGCAGGGGGTGGACTAGATAGCCCTTGGTAGCCCTTCCAACTCTACAGTTCTATGATTCTGAGACTTCTCAGAAGAGCCTTTCAATAGTTGGAGATGTTTGCTTCTTATTTCAATGAAATGCCTGCTTAATCAACCTGAATTACTCCCATTAATCAGTAGGTTGATCCCACTGAATAGCTAGTGCTCTGAGGGAGAAGGCTATTCTGCCCACACTGTTTATGAGAGCTATAATCTAGCTGTTAGAGTAGCTGTGTTAGTAGCATTTAATTCAGCGAATGTGTGCTTTTTTTTTTTAATAATTACATAGGGATTTGGCTTTTACAGTTATTGCAGTTCTCAGGGATGGTTGATTAACAGAAGTAATCATCTAATCTTTGGCATTTATGCCAGTATATGTTGTGTAGCAAAGTGAGGTGGTTTCTCAAAGTGTAGTGAAATGTATACTTTATCAGATGTTGCTTCAAAATTATGTTTGCACCTTTCTGCTTAAAGCCAACCATATCTCTTCAAATTTTGTAGTCCAAGTCCACCTCTCCTCTTTATTGGTTGCAAATCATGTTTGAAAACAGATATTGAAGCCAATCTGGTAAGAATGGTAGAAAATAGCACACACAAACTCTCTCTCTCTCTCTAATCTCATCTCAAGGATTTTGACACTGGTGTACTTCCTAGTGAAAGAGCATAACTTTTCCTAAGAAAAAGTAGAAGATAGCCATGTTGGGCTATAAGAAAACCCATCTAATTCACCATCCCTTCACTGTGGTAATTGCTCCTTTGGGCATAACATATTTGCAGAATCAACCACTTGTACTCTACATGTGTTTGGATGATAAGGAAGCTCGGTTATGAGTTAAGGACTTATAACATTTTGAAATAACTTGGTGTTAGTCTTGATCTTTAATGCCCCAAACAGTTCAGGCCGTCATGGAGATGTTCAGGTCCCACAACTCCCCACTCCCACCCCAGTCCCACCAACTTCTGATCTGAGACAGGATATTGCTGGCTCTGGTTTTATGTGTTTGTTTCTGTTCTACTGTTTGAAATGCAATGGTTAGATGTGTTTATTTGTTTTAATCGTTAGCCGCTTTTATGAACCCTTTGAGACTGAAGCGCGGAATATAAATATATGTCAATAAATGTTCCCCTAAAGAAGGTATTCCGGAGCACTTAAGTAAGAATGTGAAATATTTTTCCTGCAACTGTTTACGTGGCCAAAGCAAATGCCTTTCCTACTGTGCATGGATTGAAAGCAGATTTGTGCTCTCTCAACTGAACTGTAGCTATGGCTGGTCATCCTCTTCGCTTTTCATTTTCTTGGATTGGGCTGTGCTTTCTTCAGCTCTGCCGCTGGAGATCTAAGCGATGTCAGTAGCACATAGCAACATTCACCACCTGTGGCCCCTTCTGGGCAGAGGCTGCATGTGGTTATTCATACTCTGATAACCTCCCAGATTAGGTTACTGCAACATCTTCTACTTGGAGCTCCATCTTTAATTTTTATTATTTGTCTTTTATCCAAGCTGTATCTTCTTCTCTAGACAGTTCTAATCTTCACTTTTTTCTCTGTCCTTCTACTTCTAAAGCCTTTGGCTTCAGGTGAACATGGGTGAAGCACAATGAAAAACCAGTGCTCTTTAAGAGTGCTTAACTCCGTTGAATTGTGCCCTTTCATTCTTTCACCTTGATTTACTGCAGTATGCTATTCCCCAATCTTCCCATTTTCCAGTCTTGTTTTGCATTCTGCTGCTCTGCTCACCTGGTTTACTCTGCATTTTGTTTTGGCAAAGTCTCATTGTCTTCTGGCTTCTCTCCACAGACCCCAGAACATTCCATGTGAAGTTTTGATTACAAGTATTCATGCTCCTGCTCCTGTTTCCCCCCTCTTTGCACTCCGACTCAGTTTCTTGGCCTCAGTTTTATGTTCCTACTTTGTATGTTAAAGATTTCCACTTCTGCTACTCTCCACCTTTTCTTACTTGTAGCCCTCTTCTATGGAATACATGCTATCTGAACACAATGCATTCCCAGGAAATTGTTTGTTAGGTGAGCGTTCACATAACAAGTCCACAATTACAATTGATTCCTATGGGGAAATTTCTAATGCATTCCTGACCAAAGCCATTTGACCTCAAAATGATGGAAAACCCCCAGGAAAACACTCAGAAAGATTACAGTACAGTACAGAAATAAAATTCCAAACACTGTAACCATTAAAATACGAACGTGTACTGTGCTTTCCCCCCCTTCCCATATGGTTGTTATTCTGTGTATACATGTGTACATTTTGCCTGAGTTTCCCCATCTTATTTATTATTATTAAATTTGCATACTACCCTTCATCTGAAGATCTCAGGGTGGTTAATTTGCTGCCCTTTATTATGTTGCTTTCCCTTTTCAAATTCTAAGTAGATGAAAAGGATATTGGCCTTTTTTTGGGACAATGTGGGTGCTATAGAAATATAATTAAATATTCAAGTTTTGTGAATGTAAAAAGGAACATATACACAAAATGTTCCCTTCTGTGAAAATTGGTTGTACAAGCACATTATGTAATTCTACCCTGGTTGCGTTTCTAAGAGTTCTGGAATGGTAACTTAGAATTGTAACAAAAAAGTATATATGAATACTGAATGTATAGACAATACTGCATGAGTTCCAGAGTTTTGCACCAAACTCCAGGCTATTAGTAATTTAAAACCAGAGGGAGCATTTGCTTAGCTAGGCTAGATTAGTTAACAATTTAATTGATTCCAGGTTGCCAAAGAATTTAGATTCTTTTCTGAATGTGTCCATATCTGAAACTAATTCTAATGCCATGTGTGTTATCCAAAGAAATTTGGGTGTGAACCTAATTTGAAAAGAGGTACAGCCATAAGATCCATGATGAAAAGTGCTAGCATTAAAACAAACTGGATGGTTGTCACATGGAGTACAGTGTGTATGCTAATAAAGCTTTGGGCGAAAATATTGCATGCCTATGGTAGATTTAGTATGAAGTAAAGAAATGCATTCTGTTCTGTTGAGCAGATTAAAACAGAAGAAGTATCTGTTGAAACCTTTTAAAAAACATGTTTGAAAAAACAAAAACTAGTCTTGGGTCATGGAATATGAATAAACAAGGAAACATGCTATATTCCCTTGTGCTTGTGGGCCTAAGCATCAGTTAGATTTGAGAAAAATATTTAGTAGGCTGCATTTTTGTTATGAAAAGTTGTTGCGGGGGCAAGGAGGGAACACCCTGTTGTGCAAACAAGAAGTCCTTGCACAGGACTTCCACTGGTGGAGTTCATTAAATGAATCCCATCCCAGATTTAATTGAACTTTGACTTGGTTGAACGTACAGCTTTCAACCAGCTCTTTTTAGAACCCTCTATCTGCCTTACAATAGAACTTCTTTGCAGGGAATCCACAGCTTTCACCACACTCACAGAGAGAAGCCCTTTGCAACTCTCCTCTATTCTTAATGGTTGGGAGAATGGGTATACAATCCTGGCATCCATTGAAATGTGGGCATGCTTGATGAGGTATGTTCAGTGTAGGCTAAGCCCATACAAATTGCTTGTCCTGCTCAGCTCCTATCAATCTTGTGTGTATTGTGAATTTTTGAGGGGATATTTACTGAGACCTTTTGCAGGCCCTGCAGGAGGTACTGGTGCACGTTGGTGACCCCTAAATACATATATGTATGTGCTTTATGCATCCAGTTTTGCTGATAATTTTTGCAGGGCAGTTAGCCACTATAACACTCCCATAATACTGTGTGTGTGTGTGTGTGTGTGTGTGTGTGTAAATTTGTTTATAGAGATTGGCTTTAGTGTGTATCTTTTGATGGGATTTTGTCTACATGATTTTACTTTGCAATATAGGATGTAAATTCAGCTCAGGCTTTGAGCACTATTATTAAACCTTTTCAAGGAGGTCCCTCGTGGCAGCTTCATAGAGCAGGTGGCCTGTACTGCATATGGGGAGTCAGGAGCCTGTGTCTTATCAGAACATATAATCTAAAAATCGCTCAGCCTGTTTTCCTCTCCTGGGGAGAGAACGACCACACTGGACTCTTATGCTAAAAACTAATTATTAACCTACAGTAAACGTCATTCAGCACAAATCCCAGCTGAAAGTGCCTGGGTGACGGATGTTTCTGGGTAGCAGGCCAAGCTGTCATTTGGCTTTTTAATAGATAGTCTGTTCATTGTCCCACAGAATTTGAAGCTTATCTTTTTGGATTTAACAGAATAAGCCAAGCCTTCTTTTTTATTTTTCTAATAGCTGTTTAGAGGAGTGTGAATATTATTATTTTTTTAATGTAGGTCTCAACGGAGCTCGTGGGACACTGGCTGCTTTACTCAGTTATAGCGTGAGTGGTCCAGTGATACCAGACATAGAATTAGGGTTCATGAGAATTTCCATTTTCACTTTTACATAGAAGCTAATTTCTCACGATTCCTAAGTTCTGTTTTAAAACCTGTAGGCAATGTCTATGAAAGGCTGTATTGATGAGGATGCAATTTGTGTCCTACCTGATTACCTGTTTTCCCTCCTGATTTCCGATAATTTTGACCAACATCTTTCCTCTTGCTGCCACATTTTCTGTGCAGATAAAATAAAAGTTTGCCTCTTGCCTTGCTGAGGGTAATGCTGGTAATGCGTATCCTTGTGATGGCATCTGGGTATCAAGTAAACCTGCCTTCCTACACTTCCTGCAACCTCCTTCCTTTTTGTATCCTTCTCTGCCCAGGTCTGGCAGCTGCCACCACACTAGGCACACTGAGAAGGAAAAAAAGAAAGTGACGACTATGCATATTACTTCTCCCCGTGTGGATTGGTTTCTGGGTCTGTTTACAAACTGCACAAACAACTTTCATCCCCTTGGCAAGGTCTGTCATTTATGTGGCTTGTAAACACTCCTCCAGGAGGCCAAATCACATTTGCTGAAGTAATTAGATATCTGGGACTGTGTGTATGCAACTGCAGAGGCAGTGACAACCACCCGAGGAATTATGTGTGTAAAGGGGGTCTTAGAATGTGCTACAGATGGAACTCAGCATTGCACTCACTAGTGTTTATCCACCCAAGCAAACACAATGTGCTTTGATGACCCCCAGTCTCTGGAGTTTCTCTGTCTGAGTGAGTGAATGCACCCAGAGCAGTCAGTTGGGAAACTTTGTGGAGCTTCGGGACACTACACACTCATTTCTCTCTTTCTCCCTTCCTTTCCTGGCAGGGATGTGAGAGTGATCATGCCAGCAGCAGGAAAAGAGCCTGACTGGGTACCTAGTGACAGCTCTTTACCGCTCCAAACTGGTAGTGCATTTGAGCTTCAATGTTTGGTCCACAGCCACACCTACCAACCATTCTCTGATTGTTCCTCTGTTGCTGTATTCAATACAAAGAATTTCACAATCGGAATGCCAGTGTTGAAATTCATGGATGATAATTTTTAGAAACAACAACACATAGAATCATAGAGTGGGAAGGAGCCCTTGGCGGTCATCTATTCTGCCTGGTCATTGCGGCATCTGCAATACAGAATGTGCAGCTACAACATACCTGTCAGCTGCTGCTTAAATACCTCCAGTGAAGGAGAGTCCACCCTTTGAAGCAGCCTGTGCCACTGCTGAACACCTCTTACCATTAGGGAGTTTCTCCTAATGTTCAGTTGAAATCGGCTTCCTTGCAGTTACTACCCATTGGCTCCAGTGGAAGTAACGCGGAAGTCTGTTCCACCTTCTGCATGACACCCCATCAGATATGAGAGCCGCAACCATGCAGTCCCCTCTGCTTAATCTTCACTTCTCCAAGCTAAACATATCCATCTCCTTCAACCATTAATCATAGGCCTTGACTTCCATCCTGCTTACCTTCATATGCCACGTGTAAGAAAATGGCTCCCTGTATCCCAAAGTCTTCTTCCACACATTGGGATTTGACAGGGAGCAGAGGCAGCACACTCATCCTCACTGCCCGCCTATCAGGTGTTTATGCCAGATTTGTAACACTTGCGGAAGGTTAAAGTTGTCCCCTACTATCCCAGCATACTTCAACCAGCAGTGGGAGCTCTCTCACCTTTTTCTCTTTCTCTAACCAGTCATGATGAAAGGTGGAGACTATGATGATCTACTTTGTCCTCTTTAATAGTTTAATAAGGGGTTGATAACTGTGGTTAGCATTTGGAGGGATTCCTGCAGGGTTAAGGATGCCACAAAGGAAAATGTCTATGATTGGACTCAACTAATCCTGCAGAGTCAAGAAAACTGGACCCAAGCAGGGGGGTTTTGTATTAGTAAATGTGTTGAGTGTAGGATTATGATTAACATTATATGGAAAGAATGGATATTGGTAATATGAGACACCATGTGATATATTTATGTGATAGAATTCTCATTACTTTATAGTGATAACTGCTCAGTCTTTTGCTATACCTGGAGGCTCTCTTTTGGTAGCTTTAAGTAATATTTTATAGTTTATTAGCCTCATAATTTAACTACTTGTCTTTGATATTGGCTGGTTTTGCATGTGATGCTTGTATGTGTGCTCACACACACAGTTGGCCTTATGCCAGAATAAATATTTTAAGCTGCTTGGTTCCTACTTTTTCTCCTTTTCCTGAAACCACAGGGCAGACATAACCAGCAGTGGGAGAACTGAACTGTATAAACTACAATTAGAATTGCAGCGCACAGGTGGTTGAAGCTTCTATACAATTGCCAAGCTATTTTGTTTTCTCAAATGAGAGGGTATTTAAGGAAAAAGCGGGCTGAAAATGTTGCTTTCTCATTCAAATTCTTCCAGGCAATGTATTCTATTGATGCCATTTGAAGCCACAGCAATAAACCATTTAAAGCTATCCTACAGTGTTGCTGAGAAATGAATATATAACCTGATTCAGTTAGCAGTTCATTTATTGATTTAGATTAGTGTATTGGGAATAACTGTGCCCTTCAAAAGAAGCTTTCCTTTGATCACAGCTGGATTTGGCACTTGGAGCCTCAGAACAAGGCCACCAGTAACAAGCAAGTTTAAAATAAAAAGATGGTTTTAGTGTCACAGTTAAGTACTGTTTCTGCAGTGGGAGTCTAAGACTTCACTAGGGAGACAGGCACCCCATCTCTATGCTATTCAAATACAAAGAACTATTGCAATGAAAGACTGGAATAGCCACCTCATAGCATGTAATGTATCTGAAGGTTTGGTGATCACTCCATTTTGCAATTTAATAGATAAGAAACCCCCTCCCCTCGCACCCTGTATATCTACATGCTCTACTATGTCAGATCTGCATTCTTGGGATGTAAGGTTCCATTAAAAAATAAATAATAATCACAGCCCCCGCTCTCCCCCTTCGCCACACTCATTTTCTATAATATGGTAATGATATCACCGTAGCAGTAATTACGGGTCATCTTCATTTCTTTCATCTCTGCTGGTTCTGATGGCTTCATTCCTTTGACGGAGAAGATTTGGCTCTGGGTACTGTGATTATTTTGTTAAGCATTATTCGAATAGACAGGAGTGAGAGAAATTAATCAATCCAAATGCAATTAGCATCATGTTTAACCCAGTGATGGACGTCTCAAGGTGAAACAGCCAAGGGAGTTTCAGTCATTATTATTCAATCCAGTGGCTCTTATCTAAATTATAATCAAGAGCGGTTTTATTGGCTTCAAGGCGAGGAGATGTAACTCTTTCCCTACACTTAGTGTCATGGAGATCATGGGTCAAGGAGGTCAAGCTGGCTGCTGTCAGTTTCTTGGAAGTGGGAGGTGCTCCCAATACATTCATCTTCATATTTAGGTTGGTTGAAACAAAATAGCACTTAGTGAATTTGATACTGGTAGTTTTATGTTCTTGGCTTTTACCTTGATTGTGTTTAGTAGGTGCAACAGCACAGCCTATTCCTACGCAGTCTACTGAAGCCGATGGTGGTCCAATCTGCTTTGAGTACCATAAGAGTTTTTATTCCCTTCTTGTAAAGGGGCCAGAAAAAGAAAATCCCTGAAGGAGAACCTATTACAATAGAGAAATTCCTTTGAAATTCTGAACATCTTTTCAGGTAGTCCAAATCCATCCATGCAGCAGGGGAAGAGAAGGCAAAATCACATTATGCAAGTAGAATGTCCACTTGCGCATGGACAGTTTTGGATACAGCCCATTGTTAAGTCACAGTATTTCACGATCAAGATTTGAAATACGTAGAGCAAATATTACCAGCACAATCAGCTTCTCTTCATCACTTAGAAGTCCAGTGCTATAAATAACATGTTCCAGATATGACTCTTATTTATTTATTTATTTATTTATTAGATTCGTATACCCCTCTTCATTGAAAGATCTCAGGGCAGTTCACAAGATAAAAGCACAAATAAATAGTTAGAACAGAAAGAACCAGGCCTTTTTTGTTTCAGCCAGAACTCTCTGGAACTCAGTTCTGGCACCTCTTATGAGGGTGCCATTGCCATTGTGAGAGAACAAGGGTGAGTTCCAGAACCTCTTTTTCTAGAAAAATAGCACTGGCAACAACCAAACAATATATTTGATACGTGAACACTGTATTCTGGAACTAGAAAGTAAAATTATAGATCTGCAATGATGAAGTGAAGCCAGTATATGTAAACAACATTCCATCCATGAATGGAAGGTTGTATAGAACCGCAGAACAGCGCCCACAATTATATTTTAATCTCCATGTCTGCATTCAGTTTCTTTGGCATAAGTTGCATGTTTCAACTACTATTCGTTCTGCCCTTAACAAACTTACAGGGCAAGGCTCTTACGAACACAGAACTCTTCACTTAAGGTCCCTTAACATGCAATTTCGATGCTAATGGACTGTGATTTTACATATAAGTCCGCTTGCAAAGCCATGTTTCTTATAACATGGTGAACATAGCACATCAGTGAAAAGCAGTTGAGAAGTTAGAAGTATTTTATAGAGCTGCCCTTAGTTACAGCTGTGAACTGTGTATAAGAGGGCATAAAATGGCATTGGCGGTGTTGATTGTTGCTAATTGCATCAAGGAGGCTACCTTATACCAAGTTAGTCCATTGGTCTGTCTTGCTCGGTGCTGTCTACTCTTAACTGGCAGCAGCTCTCCTGGGGTTTCAGGATACCAGGGATTGAACCCAGAACCTTCCTTCTGCAAAACAGCTATTCTGCCACTGAGCTATGGTCCTTCCCTTAAATGAAATGCAGATTGTTCTATCTGAACACGTTGGGCATCTTTATGCAAAAACAAGCCATCTCCCCTTTCCCATTAAGGATCCTTCAGAGTGATAGCTGCTTACATAAATGTAAGTCACTGGTTTCATTGGTTTTATCATAGTAAATCCCCCATTATTTCCTGACTATCCAGAGCTTATGACACAGTGCAGCACAGAGATACTATATGCATGAGAATGCCCTTTATGAGATGTTGGGGACCAATGAGCCCCAATCTCCAGCAGAGGGTTCTTTTCTAATTAAATTGCCATTGGAAGGAACATCCTAGCTGCAGTTTCCACTTTGGACCGAAGGCCAAACATTATGAGTCTTTGTCATTTGATTAAAAATGTTACTTAACCTTTAAATTGCTACAGATGTAAAGATAGCCCTGAGTTTCTAATGTAATCTCCTCAAAGTTAAAATCGGGAAAATCTTTGTGTAATGAAACCCATATGTCATAGTGAAAGGATGCAAAGCGCTGGCAGAGTGGGCTGCTCTCGCAGGAGATTCTGCACCCAATCTTGTTAACCAGGGCTGCTTTTGGTAATCCCTCATCTCCTCACTTGCAAGAAATCAATCTGTACTACTGAATCGCTTCAACCAACAGCCACAAAATTTACTGCGGGAGGCAGTTTGGGGACAGTTGTAGTGCGAAGGGAGACCAAGGCAACAAGGCTAAATACAGGATTGAGGGATTGAAGTTCCAAAGAGGAGATTATATTAAACTGTGCTCCACCCTCCTTAGCAACTGGGAAATTAAGCTTCCGTTTTTGGATTCGGCCTCTTCTGTCCACTACCTGGTTTGAGATCCATCTATTCTAAGGCAGAAAATTTAATTCCTGGTTCAAGAGCTTCTGTTATTTATAGCAACCCAATGGCTGTTTCCTAGGTAGTCCCAGGAAAGGGCGGATTTGTTGAAATACTCAGCTTTATTGTAACCTAGGCCGATTACATCCTAAATTGTTGTTTTCTGTGGTCTTTAGTGCCCCCACTTCCCCATCTAACTGAGGAGATTAATTTGTAATCGAGCTATTGCAGTTGTATCCATTGTTGGTTTTCTATTGTAGTGATAGAGAGAGTAAATTTTGCCTGGATAGGGCAATTTATGCTTCTCTTTCATGCTTTGGTTTTTTGCTGGAATGATAAAAAATTGTATGATGCCCCACCTCCAGTAGGCAAGTCCCTTGGATTAAGTATATTTTTAAAAATATTCCAATGTAATCTAGTACAATTTTGTTTATCTGTTTTATTTGAAAACGTACCTCTACTACGTAACTGGCTTCCCTTGTTCCCATGGGTAGTCAGTAGCGACAGCTAATACTGTAAGTTTCCCTGACAACAATTGCATTTAGGATGTTGACTGCACTTTCTTCTCTTCCTTGTTTCTCAACCAAAATAAGCATGTCTGGAATTAGATTTTTAATGAGGTGGGGGGAAATGTTGAACTGGACCAACGCTAAACAAAAAGAACCATTTAGCATAAGAAACATTTTTGGGTTTCCTTCCCAAAGTGGGGTAAACTACAGGGAAGGGGGCAACCCAGAGGGAAGAGTGCCCAAAATATTGGGAAAGAGCACTATCTGGTCTGAATTTGCCTATTACCAGAAATATACTGTGAGGGAAGGAGTGCGTGTCTGGGTAGATCAGCTGCTAGACAAACAGCACACCCAAAGAAAGTAGCAAAATGCAGAAACTTCTCTGCATAATTTGGATGGCCCTTGCTTATTTGATGGCTATAAGGACCTTACCTTAGTTTTGTATTATAGCTTTTAAAATTTAAAGCCTAGTTGACTCCTAAGTGTGTATTGAGAAGAGGAATACAGAATAGCAGAAGGCTGTCTCCTGCTCCTAATGGGATTTCGTAGCAGCATGTGCGAGTTTGTTTCAGAAGTCAGAAATGAACAGATGTTGGTATAAATTACCTCTGTGTCTGATGTCTTGCAAATTAAAAGCGCGGTTGGCATCACTAAACAATTTCACCAGGTGGGGGGGGGGGAGGGCGAGCCGGGTGGTGATTATTGTAGCAGGTCGGTAAGAATCTTTAAGCTGCGGCAGAGCAGGATAGCAAGGATAAAGGAATGAAGAATAAAATGAGAGGTCTGTGAATTAATCAGAAATGTTAACATCTCCGATGACAAGCGAACAGGAGGGCACGTGCTCAGGAGCAGCCCCCAACTCACAGTAATTTCACTTGGAGCGCAGAACTAGTCAGTGCTCGCAGCCTGATTTATAGGGTGCAGCCCTCTTCAGGGGCGCCTAGTTGTCACACATTCGTATATCTCCTATATGGGACTGGGGCTGTGGAAAACTTCCACTCCATCAGTTGATAATGCTGCAGTTTGACATTACTCGAGCAAGAGCAGGGCATGAGATTTAATTCAAAGCCAACTTTCTTGAACCTCAAACTTCCAGTGATGATGTTTTTAAGTTATTAGGGTTTATCCCCTTTATACAAATTAGAAAAGAAAAGGCCCCCCTCCCGGAGCGTCTCACTGCACTTTTTAAGTCTCGGAACTTCACGTATATGGTGTAATCGTGGCAAAATTTGAAATAGGAAATGATAGTCTTCAGGTTACAAAGCAAGGTGCAATATAGTTGAATGTTTTTCTGCGATTAAATGTCGGTTGAGCGAATATGGTTTCATGTTTTCTATTTCTGTGTGCATTGTGGTTATGTGCCTGCTTCAGGGCCCCTCAACACCACCAACATCACTTTGGCACATTTAATAAGTATTTGGATGGTGCAGTAAAGTTGGGTCTCTGATGTGGGAAAACAATCACATGGCCATTTTTTAATCAATATTCACTCAACCTGCACCTTCCTTAATTACAGTCCTGTGAACTGGACCTGACTTAAGGGTATTATTATATACATGTTCTAGATCAGTAGTGGAGAACCTCTGACCCACAGAAGTGTCATCTGCCCTACACCTGATGTCAGTTGTAAGTAAAGATGCTTCTAAGTGAAAGGGAATTTACAAGCCCCATTGGTTATTTGAGCCCCTTTTAAAGCCATCTAAGTTAGCGAGTAGCTTAGTTTAACGGTCAAGTGTTTGAAGGAGTGCTTCCTTCTGTTTGTACAAAATTGTACACAATATTGAAGTGTGGTTGCAGCTTAGATTTGTATAATAACACTTCAGTATTAGCAGTTTTATTTTCAGTCTTATGACATGGAGTTTTCACAGCTGCCATAGATTGAACCAATGTTTTCACTAAGCTGTCCACCACAACCCCAAGATGCCACATTGAATTGATGCAATAATACAAGAAACTCCCCACTTGTGTGTGATCTACTTGCGCACAACCCCAGCACCAGGAACCCAGAAGAGGCAGGTGGGTCGTGAGAAGACCCTCAGAGCAAGAAGAAGACATCCTTTTTGAGCTCTGGGGAGGATCTCCTTGCAAGCTATGAGGTCTCCCTAGGGTGTTCCCCACTTAAACGCATTTCACTTATGTTCGCAGGGGCCCAGAATGTAACCCCCACATAAGTGGAGAGTTGCCTGTTCTGCCCTTGCAGCCAAACCCTCCACTCTCAAGATTGGGTTGTCTGGCCTTCATAGTAAAGGATCCCACAGGGAATTTTGATGCCCAGGAGTCTTTGCAATATATTAGCCCTCTGTCTGCAAATAACCTATCCACCACAATGAATGGGCAATTTACTTAATACTTAAGAATGGGGAGACAGCATGCAAGGGAAAGTGTTTGTGTATTTTCTCTTTGAAATTTTGGTCTTTGGGACACCTGCAGCTAAAACCTTGGAACTCCAAGTCAGAAATGTTTCTGGAGGAAAGTAGCTGTGTAAAAGCTCTGTGGTGCTTTTCACAGAGATTGATGACACACAGGGAAGCATATATATACTTTGCCTTGCTGTATTAAGCACTCAGGGACTGACAATACAGCGTGAGAGGGTAGAGCACAGCTCTGTAAACTCTACTTTAACACACCATCCATAGATGAACTACTTTGAGGGAATATAAACTCCATTTACGTTATAGCATCCAGGGACTATCACTGCCAAGGGAGAGTGGAAGTGCTGTCTCATTTATGTTTAAGATCATAAGCAGCCAGGGACAAGTAATCTTGAAATGGAGGGAGACAGAGGTCCATAATCTCTGAAGGGTTATAGCATCCAGGAAGAGATGCCCTGAGGAGGAGCAATAGCGCTCTAGATTATACTATTCATAGATGGATATAGCAGGAAAACTGAAAGGGGGAACCTGAAGCCGCAGAGGAAATAAAGGAAGTGGGTGTAGTAAGAAATGAGACAGCTTGTGAGTATTACAGCTGAGCTTTGACGTTTTCAGTGCTTGGCCTGCAATTCCAGACTGCTAGGAACTCAGAACCGCAGCACAGATTTATTTCTTCACTTTATATCTTTTTTGCTACCTCTTGGCACCAGAAAGCCATTTTAAATGAATTTCACAAGTGGGGTTAAATATTGTAAATTACCCAGCTCTACTTGTTTTATGTTAAGCCTTTTTTTCTTTCTTTCTTGTGATTTCAGCAAGAGAAATGACTCGAGGGAAATTTCTGAACATCCTGGAAAAACCCAAAAAGTAGCTGAATATGGAGTTTGGAAAGAAATACACCTGGCTGCTGGAAGACGACCAGAATTTCCCCAAATGCCTGATGCTTACAGAAATGCTCTCTTGCCTCACCTCTTTTCTGAAGAGACACATCCAGGTCATTTTGGCAACAGTTCCCCAGCAGAACAATTTGACCTGCCTGCCTCTTTACTACCCCTACACGTTTTGCTAGAATAATTTTATGCCAGTTGTGTCAAAATGGATACATTCATTCATTCATCCATCCGTAATTGTCAGCAGCATATTTTTTAAAATAAAAGCAGGGTTGCTTTTTATTATCTGGTTCTGTGGCACAGGCCTGTACATCACTTGGCATATACAAGTATATGTCTGCATGCACGTGCATGTAGTCCCTCTTTTCCTTTTGGGACAAGAACGCAACATGAATAATGCCACATGGAAGAAGCCACCACAAGTGTGGTCCTGCATGAAAACTAATTTTTATTTATTTATTTTTTACATTTTGGCTAATCTCAAGACTGCAAAACATGTTTGATTTCCTTCCAAGTTAGCTGTATGTATTGGCCACAAACATCGCAGATAAGACGATGCGGTTTCTCTTTCCAAAGCTCACATAGCCTCAGGTGCTGAGTGGGATTGGGAGCCACATGCCAACATGTAATATGAATTAATGGATGTATGTTTGTTTGAATATATATTTGTCTTTTAGGGTGGGAAACGTGGAAGGGGCCTTTCTAAATAATGAAAGAAAATATCCTCCAATCGTTAATACCCAGAAGATGGTTCTTCAAAATTGGTTTCTCTTACAAAGAAACATATTGGAGAGATGTCATTATTGTATCACTTGAATCACATCTCCCCCACCCACCCACAAGCAATAAATTGCTTGTCCACAAGATGCATGGTTAGGATATTGTATTATGAAGTTGCTAGTTAAACATTTGAGGATAATCCAGCCAGAAGCAAGCAGTTTTAAGTCCCATGCATCTCAGCGGGGAGATTGAACCTCTCTCATTCTGAAATAAGTGGGATTCAAGAGAGCTTAACTTTGGGTGTGGCCTGAATATTCTACTGAAAACACTATATAGATTTCACTTTTCCCCAGGGCAGAACAAAGCATTTACGTTGTGGGCACTGGATATACACTGAAATATTTCAGAACAGAGACCTTAGAGTGTCCTTTTCAATTTGCAGGGTAAGCTTGGAGCTGTACGAATAAACTATAATCAACTAACTATATATATGCAACTTCACATGATCCTGCAAGCAATTCTGTGTCAAGGCACTTTGTACAGTACACAAGTGAGAGGTCTCTGTTGCAGCGCACCTGCCAGTTTCAGCTGTAAATCCTTGGGTATCTTCCTATCCAATAACAAGAGGGACTTTTCAAAGCATAAGAAGTTTAGCAAAGTCTTCACTTGTTTAAGTAATGGTCACATATGGTCACAATATGCATGACTGGGGCTCAAATATGAGGTTGCATTGCTGTGGGAGCAAACCTGCATATAATGGTGAACACTGAGATTGGAAGCAAGAGAAACTGTGGTGTTGGCCAGAGAAATGATGATGAAATGTTTTTCATGTTGACCTAAAGTTTATATTTGTTTAGGAATATTGAAATTCTTGCATCTATTTTATATATTTGTAGCTTTTCATATGTATATAGTAAACATCACAAAATGGGTTTTTGTGTACACGTTGAAGTTACGTTGGGACAGAGAGTTCTGAACTGACCCATTGAAAGCAATGGGATGTGAAAGTGTTTAGCTCCAGTTTCCTCATGCTCTGTATATTTGTTTTTATTGTGAAGGTTCTTGAAACACATTTTTGAGGCTGTGAAACTGAAAAGTTTAGGCAACACCTAGAGTAACTTCACATTACCAGCCTAGTCATGAATCACCATTTTTAAAATTAGTTGTTAAAAAGCATTTCTTTTTTATTCTGGAAACTTTTATCCTTCATAGATAAGGCAGTAATCTGTATATGCCCTAGTGTTGGGATATTTATATATTTATATTTTTCAGTCTTGGATATGATGGGAATGTATTTTTATAAATAGTAGTAATACTTGATCGGGTTGTCCTGAACAAATAACCTGTATGGTATAGCTCCATGTTCTTAAAATAAATAAAGATTAAACAATGCATTTTCAAAAGCATGTGAAATAAGGAATTTTGTTTCACCAGTGATTTTTAGCCAAATACCAGTTTGATTCTATGTATGCCCCAGCTGGGAATTACTTATACATTTCATTAATGAATTGCTTCCCATAGAGTTCACCTGAGTTTGAGACTTGAAAATCAGAATTTAGTTACTTATAAAGAGTAAGACTTGCGCTCTCTCAGTCTCCATCCCTAAATATCCTCTATAACAACCGTATGAATTTTTGAGTACAGTCTCAAGTTTCTTTAGTATTTTAACATCCAAATAATAAATAGAGCAAAACGGATTCTGGTCTTTCAGGATGCCCAATTCACTTGCTTTCATACATTTAGAGCGAAGTCATTTTGTATTAATTAAGTCTGGCAAATGTTGGAGTGTTTTGAGATAATTACGGAAGGAGTCTTCCTTCGGGTTGACTTGAATCTCCTATGGTCCACAATGGAAAGTGTAGCTTTGTAATAACGGGGAGGTTATCTAATTAGCAATTCAATTTAATCTGGTTTTAAATATTATTCAGTAATCATAGCTGCATGGTGTTACTAAAGGATAGAGTTAATTGAAAGCCTTAGCTGTGCATTTCCATACCTTAATAAGCTTGGAGAATAGGAGACATTCAAAAAGAAAAATGTTACATTCAAGTGTACCCTGTTGATCCTATTAAATCTTTTAGCAGCCCTTAATATCCTGAAGCACTAGGTTCTGATGTTGCAAGCGCAGAACGTGGCAGACTTTTGTGTGACAGCTTTCTAGGGGTCTTCTCCTGCCAGTTGTTGGGGAACAACAGTGGAAGAGAGCTATTTCCTTCATGCCCTGGCTGGTGGGTTTCCCATAGGAATATGATGAGTCAGGGTGTGAAGCAGAATGCTATACTAAATAGGCCAGGTGTGGAAAATCTTTGGCCCTTGAGATGTTGCTGAACTACAACTCCCATCAGCGCCAGCAAGCATGGCAGATGGGCAAGATGAAGGATGAAATGGCTTGTCCAGCGGCAGTGGAGCTGCAACACTAGTTTCCTAGCAGGTTTGTCATTGGTACTCACAGAGAGAGGGGGTTGGAGAGGTCAGCAAAGTCAACCCGATGTTTCCTGCCCTGCTCTCCCCCTTCCCACTCCTAGTAAGCAGCAGTGACACAACTGCCAGGCAGCTAATATCACAGATCTGCCCCACAGTGGGAGGCCACGCCTGCTAGGTCTTAGGACACAGGTAGTACAGATAATTAAGATGTAGATTTATACATCAACTATCTAACACCTTAATTTAGGGTGGAGGTGTTGGGATACTGCCAGGGAGACAAAGTCCATCATGACTCCACGTCGCCGCCGGACATCCATCAATCTCCCGTAGATACAGTATCAGCAATTAGCGACACGAGCTCCAGAAATAGCTTGCCACATTCCAGAGCTCATGCACGCTCTATCAGCAGAATTCACACAGCAAAAGATGCACGCAGGAGAGCATTATTTACAAGTTTATTCAGCGTTGGTCAGAACAAAGAAAACATGACTGCCTGCTTCAGTGTCTCAGGCACAGAGAGAAAACGAAAGCATAGACACAACAGAAACATCCTGTGAACAGGAAATACGCAGGCTGTGACACAAACCTCCTGCTCCCTTTTAAGGTGGAACGGAAATATCCTAACAGGAGGGAGCCCTTTTTGTTTTCACAAACAACTGACCTCCTTTAAAATTATCCAGCAATCTACTAATAGATCTGCATTTAGCTGCTGCCAATCCCTGCTCTGCATAATTTTAGTGGCACCCTGAAGATAGCAGCAGGGTGAACATCTAAACTCCATTAAAATGGAAGATCATTTAGTAGCGCATGAGACTCTTAATCTCAGGGTCATGGATTTGAGCCCTACAGTGGGCAAGAATCCTGCATTGCAGAGGCTTAGACTAGGTGGCACTTGTGGCCCCTTTCAACTCTACAAAGTCTTCTCTTCTCTCCTCTCCTCTTCTCTTCTACCCACAGTTTAAAGTAAGTGTGTGTGTGTGTGTGTGTGTGTAAAATCTCATCAAACTGTTTCCAGGATGTGACTCCAGACATTTCTATGCATCACCATTTTAGCACTTCAGTGGTTTTGTTCTAAGTGAAGTTCAGAAAATACGTCATCTGAAAATTGGTGATTATCCAGCTTGGGCACTAGAGCCACGTATAGTGGTAGAGAAAATGAAAAGTCATGTAAAATGTGCAATTAGTTCCCATGTTTCACAGCTGAAAGTATTTTGACCTTGCTGGGGACCCCAAGGCATTGCATTCCATACTTCCTTTCACTTTATCATTGGTAACCCAGCGTCACAACAAAGTGATCAGAGCAGCTAATGCAATAAACAGATTAAAAACAATAACCCGTTTTGCATTGTTCTTTGGCCCAGTGCTGTGATCAGAGCAGTTGACTCCAGTCAACTGACTTCCATGCAGAATGAGGCTTTTGTTGTTGTTGATGGGTTTGTGTTGCTGACCCCTGACCTCCATGCTGACTCTTCCAGCACTGCTCCCTGGCGAACAAGACACTGGAGCTTCCTGCTGTCTCTGTTACAGATACTAGCTGAGAGAAAGCAAAACAGAAAAGGTGATTCTGCTATACCTAACCATTCACTGTTGAATAAATTGTTCTTATTTCACCAGTCCCCCAAAAAGCTGTTTGTTGTCAGAGGAAGTGGAAAAGAAAAGGGAATACTTTTTGAGGGCAACAATAGCCACAGAACTTTTTCTCCTTTTTTGTAACAGCAAGTTGTACTGTTAATCTTGTCCTTTTATGAGAGCCAGGGTGGGTGGCTCAGGAATAACATATTTTTCAGCTCTGTACTACAGTTTTCTCAATGCATTGCTGCTTTTTTTTTTAATTCAAAACACAACAATGTTCTATTTTTTGCAGCACCAAAATATCTCAGGCTATCCAGAATTATTGGCAAAGGCTGCCTCAGACAACATAGAAAGCATTAGATGTAATACTTTGAGATGGTTTATACATTGGATCACCAACACAGTGCCCACAAGCACACAGGTACCTGCAGAGATCTTCCCTGGCACTCAAGAGGGTCCCACCTCCCACAAAAAAGGCTTGAAAAAAGCCTTCTAGTCAGATGTCTCCATGGGCCTAAACAGGTTGCTGGCCCCTACTGTATGCAAGGCAGTCAGTGACCAGATGAAACTTTTGATGTCTTTACATCCAATGCATTTGATAATAGAATCATAGAATTGTAGAGTTGGAAGGGATCACGAGGGTCATCAAGTCCAACCTCCTGTAATGCAGGAATTTTTTTGCCCAACATGGAGTTTGAACCCATGACCCTGAGACTAAGAGTCTCATGCTCTTCTCATATCTAATACAAATCCACTCTTATCAACAGTCCCTTCTTGACATTATTCATTCTCATTACACTATAAATGATCTAGAATACATTATTGTCTAGACACACACCAGAGCTATGCAGAGTGCCATGAATCCCACTAGCTGTGCTATTTATTCCTAAACTTCTGAGTATTTGAGCATCTTAGATGTTTTTTGTGCCATTCAGATCCAGGGAATGTGAACATATAAAAATTCAGCATGTTTGCTGCTAGTGTTCATCTGTTTCTTGTAGCATAGTTCTTACTTCCAGTTGGTGTTCCAAACAGGTACCTAGTATTGAATCAAACAAATTCAGGTATGTGAATTAGATGTCATACTTTGTGGACAGTGTTATCAACACTGCTCTGAAATAGTGCCCCCAAAAGGCCAGTTTTAAAAAGCTGTTCCTATCACCTTTACTAAATAGGATGATTTTTTCAGTTATCTAATTACCGTACTTCATTACTATTGTCATTGGTTTTTCAAAATGCACACACGTGCACAAGGGGCATAGATGAAAGGGAGGAAACATTAGGTTAAAGAATATCAAATTAGTAGTCCTTATGGCACACAATTTTTCATTTTTCAAATATTTACTAGGTTATATATGCTTGCCTTCCTGGGGAGATTAAGCTAGTGCCTCTGTTTGCTGGACCATCATTTAAAATGCTGTGAATGAAAAAGATTGGAAGGTAAGTCCATTTCTGAGCCTATCCTGTTAAGTATATTACCTTCTATTTCCTTTCCCGTCACCTATGCCAAGGTCAATTGAACATCACTCTCTGTTGTGAATCCATTAAAAGCAATTATATTCTTTCTGGAAAACTGCGCAATTGTGATTGCACTATGGAATGAAGAATACAGAGTAAGTAGAGATAAGGAACCCAGGCAAGCAAATAGTTCTCATGGCTACAGAGAGACACCTGAAAGCATGCTGGGACATTACCGGTATATATTTGCATTCAAGTTTAGGAACCCTGCTGTTTGTGTGAAGCTTCCAATGTAACTATCAGCCATTCCTTAGTTGCGTGGCGAGTTCCCGCCCCCCACCAGGGTAAATAAAGACACAAGACACCATAATTTAAGGTTAAATGGGCGAATTAGGCCACAACTTTATTGAATTCAGGAATGAGAGGCATTGGCTTAGGCATTGGTCCTATTGACTATCTGGCTCCAGCCCATTTGCTGGAGACCCGGGGAAGGGTTAACACTATATCGGGGGAGTCTCCTGCCGAGGCACGTCGACTAGGAGCTCCGCAGGGTCACCGCTCTGGGGCGTGCCTTTGGCCCACACATCCATAGGCTTCAGACAGGGCCACGCCCCCCGGGGTCCTTTAACGGACCACCCTTCGCTCACTGGGGGGAGGTGATGGCGTTCCTCCCCCCACACACATCCTCTTAACCCCTTCTTACCAATGCCTACCGCCAATGCTGAAGAGTTGTGACGAGTTGCTACGAGGTAGGCGAAAAACCAAATGGCTGTAAATTGCCAATTGGGAAAAATTCCTACCATGCCCCTTGCGGCGACAGACCGAAGTCCATAGCAAAGTCAGAGACCTGCCTAAAGCCTACCTAGAGGGAGGGAGGGTGGGAAAACGTGAGGGCTAGCCGGCGGAAAGAGGGCGAGCCCCCTCTGTGCCGGCCGGGATTCCCCTGTTCTCGTGGGGGCTGAA